AGTGTTATGCCCGAAGCCTTGAAGTGCAAGGGGTTCAGTAAAGCTATGAAGGAGTTGCACATGGCGGTAGAGACAAAGAGTCCAGTGACAAGAAACGCCTAACAGATCGAATACTTGGTACCCTGTTAACTCTTGGTTAGTGAATCTACGAAATTTCAGCGCAAATGTCCTACGGGGCGTAAGTTGTGCGGATCGAAAGATCCTAGGCATAAGCATATGACCTCCGTGACAACTTAGAAGTCTGAAACCCCCAAGTCGATGTCCTACGATTGATTTTTTTTGACCTGAATAAGGATATGATTGAATGGTCAGACCGGAGACTTGAAAAAAGAAATGAAAAAACTCCGTGCTTGTTATCCACGATCCCGAGCGACTTGGTGCGGTCAACGGGCTGCGCTGAGCCGGCGCCGCTTTTAGTGGCTTGCCAAGTTGGCAACGAACACAGTCGTTGCGGTAGCCAATTCTTAAGCGATGTATTGAGACTCACCGAAGGGTATCTCATACATCTAATTGCTCCTATGATAAGCAATAGTATACACACTCCAGACCCGGTTACGTAGCTATAGCCTAGTTATCGAGAAACTACTAATCCCATAGCAAAGCATTTTAAAACCCGCCGCAGCCCAGCACCAAGCAATATTTTCCCACTTCACACCTGACGGTCAACTCTTCCGATTTCATCTTTTCTCCAGAAACACAAAGATGTTTTTGCGCACATATACAGGATTACGCCAGTGAATATATTCATTTGTCAGTATCCTCACAACTGACCAAGAAGACCCCCTTAGCTATGTCCAGCTAGCGACTTTAGAACATTGTCGCCGCCCAAGGCCCTTGCAGATTGAATGCACAACAGGAGAGAGCATGCCCGACTAGGCTCTCCTCCCTGGATACGAGCGAGCGGCAAAAAATCTCTCAGAGGGGGTCTAGGAAGCTCTGCCAATGCTAGTAATAAATCCCATAAAGAAGGTGACCTTCGAGGCTCTGCTAATGAAGGTAGATGCCTTTTCGGAAGTGAGCGTAATCTAGTGCCCAGGCTCGACAAACAGAGAACATATGGCTTGGTTGCTGGACCTTGAGGGTGATAACTGTTGCGAAAACGCCTAGCTTGATGTGCCTTGTCGCCTCCATGTCATTAAGTAGAGTCACGTCATCCGGTTTCAATGTGGTAGCATCGTCACTTCCCACTTGTTTAAAGTCCAGCTCGTATGTCGAGCATCCATGTTGAGTTAAGAAAAAGGCTGTTAGAGGTCGTTTTTCATTTCCACGATGGCATGTTCAAGCGAAACCAGCGGAGACGTGTCAAGGAAAAACACATGGTTTTGGTCGCCTGACACGCATCCATGGCTCTTTTAATCATGGCCGACTTCCTCACATCACCATCCTCCGCCGGTGAACAACGAGATTCCGCCTTTAGTGGCTTTCGTAAGTGAGAGATTGGGCTTGGATGTGGCAAGTGGTAAGTGGTAGCTATCTGCACGGTGCTGGCATCTGAGCATGGTTCCATAGCCATGTTAGTGTCAACGTTCAGCATTAATCTTAGCAGTGACATTAGTATCAGCGTGCTGGTTTCTGCTGGGTTGGGATGATATTTGCCTAGCCAGAGTCAGTCGCCATCTCGATGCTGGTTGATGTGACTGTGGTTGTTGCAGCATCGCGTGGTTTGCTTGTTTGCCTGGTTATCGACTTCCACCTCGATAGGGGTTGTGGTTTCCTAGTAGGCAAAATCAAATTGAAAGCAGCTAGCCAGAAGTCAGAAATTCAACTGAAGTTTTATCGGCCGCTATGGATGAAGAAAACCTCGGCCCGAAGTTACGTGGTTTTTGGTTCTTTCCCGGCTACTCTGTGACCGTCAAATCACATCAACCCCAACACCCAAAAAGGCAATTGCGATTGTGCCTCAACCTGACAATTCTCTCGCACTTTCTGTGCAAAACCCAAGATTCCGGCGGCGCTCTTGACAAGCATGGCTGTCTAGATATTTGGTGAAGCATCTCTGGTAGCGCTTGGATTGCTCGCTCTTGGCTATCCAATTGCAACGGCACAAGTAAATGATGAGCCACTACATTGGGTGCGTTTGACAATCTTGACCAACTCATGCCGCCCGAACATCATTGTTATCAACCTCTGCCATGGAAAACCTCGGGACACTATCCTCTATTCAATCTTCCTCTGGGGTGAAAATCCCAACTTGACATCAAGTTTTCCAGAGATGGAAGAAAGCCCATTCAACGCTCGATTCCGTCAAAGTGCAGCTTTCTGGATTACAGCAGTACCCCCTACTTACTCCGCTTACACACGAGACCCTTGCCGTGTTGCGACATGCTTGTCATAAACAGGATGCAGTATTTTCTGAAGAGAAAATAGTGTAGTGGCTATATTCCACGAAGACAAAGGCTTGGAGCTTCAAGGGAGAAGACAGTATATTTTCGCATCTCACCAACCGTACACTCGTCTCTAGAAGCCCACGACTGGAGAGAAACTCGTGAAAGAGTGTGATTTCCATCATAATGGCCACTTGAGTCTAGGATAGGTTGAGTAACTAATAGCACTCAACAACCAATAGGATCGTCTTCAGGTCGATAAATTGTTGCTAGGGCGGAAGGTGAGGGATAGGCCCTTCTCGTCGAGTTCTTGTCGCATAGGCGAGGAAAATTCAGTGAAGATACGCAAGCTAAGCAAAGTTCTAAAGGGCCACTTCAAAGGTTCGACACATAAAAATAAAGATATGCCATATCATCAAATCATACCTTCGGCATCGTGAGCCCGTATCATGATCACTTTTGAGTACATGGAATCTCGACGTCAGCAACGCCATTGACAGCATCCACGGATCCAGTATACAGCCGTCAGACTCAGCTACTATCCTCGACATCGAGACAAAACATATATGCCAAGTCAATTGTTTTGTCCTCCAAGACATGACTATGGTCTTGGTCTGACACTCCTTCCCTCAAAACCGCATCAGACAATCCCACGCATCCATTCTTGGCATGTGCTCACACCTCTTGCGAGAGGTGGATCCGTCCCCTTCACAAATTTCTACTCTGATGATCCACCCACGCGGTATTTTGCAGGAAGACGCACCCGCAAACTTATCGTGTCCCTAGCCCCAGATGTACGACAATGAACAGATTGTTGACTCCCAGAATCAAAATCAGCACGAGGCGAACCTTGTTTTCCCGGGTCAACGGGAAAAAAATGGCTCAAGAAAACGTAATATGGGGTTGTCGGTTAGTCACTCCAGCGCTCTAGAGAAGAGAGTTTCGTCAAAGCTTTGGTGGCTCGCGCGACATTAAAAATACTTGTTGAGAAAAGAAAATTTGGCGGCCTCCGTCCCTCTCCCCAGGAACTAACCGAGCACATATATAAGGAGACCAGACTTCCGAAGAACATTGAAAAGTTCTAGAAGTTTGGGTTGGGGGTTGTTGACCAATCCATAAGCCGTCGCTGGCTACCCTTCATCTCGTGGAGATAAGATGAAGGGAAGATCGGCTGAAGCAAAGACGGTCAGTATCGTCTCGATGCCGATTTAACGACATTCGCGGCGAAGAAAGGAATCGCCTAATTTCCCGGTCAACCTGGGATGACTACGAAAGATCAGGAATAGCTTTGCGCATGTCCGCTCGTCTACGTCGTCAGGCTGGTCAGGTTGAATGATTTCGAAGGTGAAATAAAATAAAAACGGTTGGATCACCGCATCGTCGCATCTGACCCGACCCGATCCCTCATCCAAACTCGTCTTCGGAAGACCCTAGGTAGCCGCCGCCATGCGTCCGCAGAATCTTTTCGCCAATTCATCAACTCAACTCGATTCGATTACCGTTACGAACATCTTCGATCAGACGAACCTTTTCGCTCCGCTTCCGACCCAAAATTTCCCACTTGCCTAGAACGAGCAGTCGCACGCAGCCGCTGTCGACGCCGTTGGCGCAGCGAATCGACTAGAAACGACACGTTTTCGGGTCCACCTTCCCCTTCAACCGACCGAAAGTGCCGAGAGTGTCGTGGCCCCGTAAATGCCCCGCCGCACTCTGCCGAACCCAGGAACCCCGACAACCCGATATTATCACCTGCTCAAGTGCGTCTCCATCATTGTGCGGCGTTCGCGAGATCGGCAAAGCAGCGAGCTGCAGGAACGAGAAGAAGAAGCGCCGAAAAAAAAATCATTCATTAGCGAACCCTCCTTACCTGCACAGCCTGCAGGTCCATTTCTGTGGGCCTTGACTGTCCCGTCGTCTTTCGGGCGTTACACAAGAAGGAAGAGATTACTGCAGCGACGCGCATTCCCCGGTCAGGGAAGTTTCGGGGTTTCCCATCTAACCGGAAAGAGAAGGACTACCTGTTCGCGAAAAGACCAATGTGATGCAATGAAATGTCATGGATGGTGAAACCTGGTTGCATTTCTCGGAGGCTCACTCACTGACGCGTAACATATGCAAATATCTACTAACATTGATGATGAGAAGAAAAAAGACACTCTCAAAATGGGTAAGTCCGTTTTGTTTGCATGTCCTCTCTAGATCCAGACGCCCCCTTTTCTACCTCTAACGACTATGTGCAGTCCAGGGTACTCAAATTCGACTCTTCTACCTTCCCAGCTCCCAAGTCTAGAACTATCCCAGAGACATGAAAGTAATATGTACGGGGGAACATGATATGATGCAGTTGCTGTCTTGACGTGACAGACAAGCAGACATGTGCAACGCCTTGAAGCCGTCCTCGCCATCCAGGTTTAAAAAAAAGAAAATGAGCCGTCCTCCTTTTTTTGTTGACAATCCGCGCCTGGCCCCGAGGGCAAAAGAAAAAGCACGAGACAGCATACTCAGTGAAGGGATATATGCTGAAGAATACACCACCAACAACAAAAAGGCATGAGATCATGGTATCATGAACGCGAAATGAGATAAGAAACGTGGCCCGCAATTTAAACCAATATCAATGTGAAACCGACAACAGTTGGGGATGTTGGATGGCCCGGATTTCTCCGGGACACCTTGCTATTGCGTATCCCAAAACGCTGAGGCGATAGGATCTGGCGAGTTGGTGAGGCCATCGGCAAAGTTGTTGTTCATGGACCAGTAGTTATCCTCCTCGAGTAGAGGGAAATCATCCAAGCCACCCAAATTGGGCAAGAACTTATTCGCAGCGGCAGTGCCCTTGAACTGGGCGAAATCAACGTTGCCGAGATCGCTGCCGCCAAGCATAGACGTCTGGGTTTGCGAACTGTTCAAGAAGTTTGTAGCCGCGCTGTTGCGAAAGCCTTCCATCTGCGCCTCGCTGAAGACAGGTACAAAGTCCTCCGTTTCCGATACATCGCCCGAGTTCGACGTCAGAGTGGGCTCAGTGGAGCCGAGATCGAAGCCAGTGTAGGACTGTGCTTGGCCGAAGCTGGACGGTTCGAAGCTGTCGCCATTGAGCTCTAGCCCATCATATTGAGCCCAGTCGACGGAAACAGCGCTAAGGCCAGCGCTGTATATGGGCTGCTCGCAATCCGATAGACCACCAAAGTCGTAACCCCCGGGTTGATAGTCAGGATATTGACTGCTGATGGTGGAAAGATCTAGTGGTGGTAGATTGCTGTTAAGTTGCTGGAATGAGGAGCCTCCCACCGAAGGCGAGGCCTGTTCCGATTTGCTTCTCTGCACATCTTCCTCTGACAAAGCCGCCGTGTCCTTGGCTCGTAGTCTGCCACTAGTTTTGCCATGCAGAAGATTATCCATCGATCGATTGCCTAAACTACTCGAGCTACTCGAGCTGTGCATCGAAGAGCCGCGACTCAAAGAGTAAGGACCGCATTTCTGGGATACCTTATTGTGCTTGTGCATCGGCTTGTGGTGGCCGTTCTCGTCGAAGCTGAGCACTGGCTCCGAAATGGCAGTGTTTGTGCGACGCCGACGAATCGTGACCTTGGACTTGCTGGGGCGAAGTTCCTCCTCGTCCGTTTCTGACTCGGGTACCGTGTCGAGCGAGGGTTCCTTCTTGTGCGAGCAAGTGCATCGTCCTCCGTGGTTACAGCAGCAGCTTTCTGCAATTCGAGGGGCGATCAGACTCTGCTATAGATTACTTTTGCGATTTGCTTCTCAAGAAGAGCTTACCTCGGTGTCCGTCCACCGTCTGCTGCAGATGCTGGCACTTGTGCGTCTTCTCGCCGCAGTCGCATTTGACATGCGACGCCCGCGACTTTCGCATGGCGCGGCAGTGCTGGCATTGTGAGACGGGACGGCCTTTCTTGTTGATGTGTTGGAGAGGCCGATCTGGAGCCAGTTAGAACAAATTCCTTTTCGAGTCCGAAATGGTCTGGCAAAGACAGCGGACGGGCAGAGCTCTTTCAATGCTTGATCGAGCTGCGGCTAAGTCGCTGCATGTTGCCCCGCCGTGCAACGAGTTGGAGTAGAGGGGAGGGGAGCCGCAATAATCGCTCACCTGAGTGCTGACAATTACTGACGCGATGCCCACGAACGCACGCCTCGCAGGCCCATTTCTCGCCGTCAATGATCATGATGTTGTCGTTTGAAATATTGTGAAAGACAAACTGCAGAAAACCCGTCTCAGGACGATTTTAGGATTTTGGTTGTCGCGACACGGTGGCGCTCTCAAAGAAGTTTGGAGGGTCCAGTCCTGAAGGGCCCAACTGACACGCCAGCTGTGTCGCAGAGTTGACCGAAGTTGGGGCGTGGGTGTGGGCGTTACGGTTGCAGTTCGGCGGCAACGGGTAAGGAAACGCGCCGGGGGGATCAAAGGGCCGAGTAACGGATTGAAGCTGCAACGGGAAACGGAGATGCAGGAAAATGCTGCAGGGGCGACGAACAAAATTCGACGAGGGGAAAATAGCTGCTATGCACGCATTTCCAGGATATAGATCAGTTCCAGCAGCTTGTATATGAGAGATGGACCGAACCACCCAAAAGAGATAGACGACAGAGTCGCTCCTGGCCAATTGAACACCGTTGCTTTGCTGTAAGTTACGTAGACTGGTTTCCAAATTTCGAACGCAGACCGAAGAAAGAAAAAGGATTGAGTGGAGATTTTGGGGTTGAATTTCCGAGAGCTGGCTAGGCCGCCCTGGTTTGCGTGTTTGTGTAGAAGCAGGCTCTAAAGTTGTGTAGGTTTCGTCTCTAGGATGGTGAAGCGGAACTTTCGGGCGGTGATATTATTAGAGAGGGCTCGCTTCCGGTAAAAGGTGTTCGTTCGCCTGACGGTTGCCGCCGGAAGAGTGGTTTCTAGTTCCCTCAGCTGGTGGACTTTTAGCGAGCTAGAGTCGACGAGTCTCCAACGGCTGTAGGTCGCAACCAAGGACTGAGGGGCAAGACACACAACCAGGCTCTGAAACCCCGTATCAGGATAGTGCCAGTTGGAGGTTCAGGTAATAACAACACAAATCTGCGCAATTGGGGAGCGAGGAAATGGGAGAGCTTTTGAAGCAGGCGCACGAGCAAGAGACGACCCGGCCGAGGGTGTGGGTGGCTTTTAAGAGTCAATTGCTGAAGAAGAAGGCGTCCGCAAATACGGAACTCGAGCTAGCAAGGTAGTATGGTAGCATGTGTCGTCGTCAAGAAAGGCCGATCCTGGGAAATGGAATCGATGCAGGGCAGGCTGGCACACGCAGGTTGTGGGATGGGGTGGATGGCAAGAGGGGTGGTGGACGTGGATGGTGGACCGGAGCTTGACGGCCTACGGCTTTGCTTGCACGGGTCGCAACTTCGCGGGTTGACCATCAACTATCAATCACAGATCAATCACAGACTCAGATTGGCAGCGTGGGTTCAGTCGCAATGGCCGAATCGTGGTTGGCCCTGTTGGCCGGCCAGTAAGTACTCCCGGCTTGCTTATGGTCAGGTTGCAAGTGAGAGGGAGAGAAAGAAAAAGGTGGGCATTGCAGATGTACTCCGTACCATTCGATAGTACTTCGTACATCATCAGAAACTTGAACTGGTTGCATCAAAAATATTGTCATGAACAGCAAGCCCGCGCCGCACCAGCCGACCCAGTTTCCAGCTCCAGCCTAGCTTGCAAGATCGCAGCGGGAGGAGCAGGAGGAGCTAGGCGAAAGGCGGGATCACGTACAGGCCCTCGCAGCAGGGGGGGGCACGCCAAGCTTCCATCGATGATGGAATTGGCAATACAGAGCGTGGGGAACACAGGGTGCAACTTTGCACAAAGATCCCATCGGTGCATGTGGGCGTTACGCCGTAATCCGCTGTGTTGCCCGGCTTATCACTATGCTACTCTACCAGGCTGCCTTACAAATAATATCAGTTGAACACAGCAAGTTTCAAGCGCCTACAGCTTCCTGACATCGGGCATCCATCCAACTTATGAATACAAATTTGAAGTAAGATGACATCCAAAATGCGAAGTATTTACGAGCTTACACTTTCGCCACACTGTCTATCTTGTACTCGAGTACTTGCCCACAATAGCCCTCCCCCAGGCAATATTTCCCCATCCCGATCGGTCATTGCTGCCAGGGTACATGACTAAGTTATCTTCATAATCGGTGGAGCCGGGAATAAGGACGTAAGCGGCCCCCCCCCCCAGGCTCCAGTGGTTTGGAGACAGTCTCGGACTTGGAGTTGATTGCACGGCCAGTTCTGATGAACTCTGTAGTTGCCAAACTTGGAGGCTGGGCTTTTAACAGGAATAACCCCTTCTGCCCTTCTCGTTTCGTGTTGTGTAAATTATGAAGAACCCCATAGTAACCAAAATTTCCATTGTTCCCCCGGTCTCTCAGATTGGACATACGAAACATCATCTCCAATCCTCCATAATAGTCATTGGACATTCTATTTCGTGTTGTGTGTGGTCCTTCCTACAGCCGCTGCCGCAAATTTGAGCCGCCAAGCGCGGACTTACACAGGGCCGTTACACCACCACCCGTCAGAACGTCGAGATGCATGTTTCTCCACCATTTACACCGGCGTCCTAAAATTTGCTAAGTTGAATTCATCCTCAAGCGAGAAACATACGTATTCAAATATCCGCGTCGCCAAGGTCGCATATGCAGGTCTCGCGATGATCCTCGAAGCACGGAACGACACGAGCACAGGCTATTGTCGCTCAACAAAATTGTCTTAAACTGTTCCTCAATGTCCCTGGTAGTGAACCGTGTTCCTAATGAAAACTGAGTGGTTGCACAGTGTCTGACGGTCAAGGCTGACGAAGCCTGGCCATGTATGACGAGAGCATGGGAGCGTCGATCTGAAGTTTTCGTTTGCTTCTGATTATTCCGACGAATACTTCTAGAACTCTGCTGAAGGCAATTGGAGATGGCCTGATAATAGAGTCAAGTTCCTTCTGACACCGAGTCAAGTCGCCAGCCTGCGGCGTTGACGATAGCACCATACGTGTGTAAGTGCGGCTTGGAGGATGATTCTGCAAGCTTGGCAGGCCATTTTGGATCTCAGTTAGGGAGTTCAGAAACACCACTACAGGCTGACTATATAATAGTTCCCAACTGTTGTGTCAGTTCTGTAGAGTGCCGAGTATATCAAGTTAAAGTTCCGATAAAGCTCATATCTACCCTTCTTACTCAACCTTCAACTGGGTTGAAACAGATGGCCTGTGTCATGACCATATTACTTGACGACTCTTGACAACATCATCTTTGTCAAAATGACACCGACGCCGCGTTGCGGAGGCTGCGTTTTACGAGCGATTGTGTTTCGTCACTCAATAGTTCTAGCCTCATTGAAATGTGAAAGACATATCACAGCTTGGCAAGGCTGCTACTCACATGCATAGCACGTTGTGTTATCTACGGATCACTAGTCACTGTGTTGTGAATGCAAGTGCCAAGTTGCAAAAGCGCAAAAGCGCTACGGTATTAACTCTCTATTTACTGCTTCGCTCACACCCATCCTCGAGCCATATCCTCCTGGCAATCTCGGGGAAATCTCAGGGAGTCGGGGTATGAGCAAACGTGTTCATCATACCCGCAAGGAGTTATAACTACATAATGTGAACGTCAATAAATAACGAAACAAGTATGACTACGAATAGCAAGTTACAGATTAGACCTTGCAAGAGGAGAGGCGGGCCTGGAGAGCGTTACCAGTTCAGGCTGGTTCCGGGCTATCTTTTGACACTAACGTCAACCCCAATTGAAGTTCCCCCCACAACCACTTCGACCGGGCCGACAAAAGTTTCCCACACGGGCAATCAATGACAGAAATGACAGATTGCCCAGGCTTGCCAGGCATTGTAAACTTAATGCTTGCATGCAGCAGTAGGAACAGCCTGTTTTCCATATCCATTCGCCCACCGAATTCGATTGCCATTACGCCGGGCACCCTGGCCTCCATTGCTATTCGTGTAGCATTGTTGCAGTTGAGGAAGCCGATCAGCGACCACGGCCCACGGCCTTTCTCGGCGACTTCAATACGTCGGGGGAGAACGACGAAGAAAATTTTTCTTCAACCGCCCACCCAAGCCAACTCGCAACCCACGACTCGGCGGCGTGTCAGCGTGTCCAATCCCACGTCTCCTCCAAATTACTGTCCAGAAATCCTCCCACACTCGCCCGCGTTTCTGATGATGTGTCGATTGTATTCCCGACCTTACCTCAGACCGACATTGCTCATCACTTCGACCAGAATCCATCAGCGGGCCACAAGCTTCCAGGTTCCAAGTGCATGCCTGAAGCCTGCCCAGTTTCCAGCCTTGTCCTTGCATCTACATCGTTCATCGTCCCGCAACCTTATCTTTCGATTTGAATGCCTCTTTTAAGCCCAGTATGCACACCAGCGCTGTTATTTCGGGCTGCAGTTAACGTAACGGCCAACGCCGCGGTCCTCTGATTCTCGATACTTTACTGGTTAATAACGTCAATATTGCTGCATTAGCGGCACCGCTTTTCGTCGCTACTCTCGTTGCGAACGGTCTGGCTAGCTTCGGGGTGAGAGGGGAGTCAATGGGGTGGTCCCCTGCGCTCTGCAAACCCGGAGAATTGGGAGAGATCTCCAAGATTTCGAGTGTGACCACTGCCTCTGCCTCTCCGGGAAGGTCCACGCAGTTGACCGACAGCATATGCGACATGAATTGAGCCTGAACGGTGGTTCGGGTACGCTTACAGGACAATTCTTCTTGCACCATTCGCAAGAGAAAGAGCATCTGACTTGCAATCAATCAAGACAGGTGGTTATGAGACAGCCGGTTGGACTCGGCCGCATCCTCGCACACCCAGACTTATTCGGAACCATCACACGACTACTTGTTGGCTGAAGCTTGGGTACGGGTTTGAAGATCAAGTACACATCTCGAATGCCTCTAACGTCGCAGCGATCTTGGTGTCACGCCCACAGCCGTGTGACCAAGTTACCATCCTTCACGTAAGCTTCTACACGACAAGAAAGTAAGCCGAGACGCATCCTACTTGCGCATCGATTCTCGTCTTATTTCACGTCAGAATTATTTTGTCAGGAACGGAATTCGAATCCTACAGGTTGCTCAAAGTCACCGTCAACCAGCATTTTCGCTACACACCAGCGAGAAGTATCTCGGTATGTGACCACGCCTGTCTCTTTTCCAAACAAGCACGTTACACTACACACCTTGGCAAGCACTACCGCCAGGAGTGAGTGCTCCATGGAAACATGCCTGCTTCGCAGGTTGGAAAGTCGTTCCAGTGAGCGCCATTCCGACCCTGCATGAATTGCAACGCAAGAAGAGGAAGTCGGACGAGGGAAAAGTTTTCTTCTCGGATGTAGTGCAGGTCAAGCCAACCATCAGCAATTCTTTGACATGGTCAAGATGTGCAATCCATGAAGCTGAGATGTTGGCCAATCATCTACCATGCATCGAAAATTCGACGGAACCAAATTATCGGGCTTCTTTATCCCTTCTAGAAGCATTCTCCAAATTCTCCGCAGGCGACTGCCCCATCCTTGCAACCCCATTCTAGCAATATCATCAGAGTGTCAAGAAGTATGCCCAAACTGGACATGCTATGTGCGATGGACTGCGGTACAGACGATTGCGTAGGGTTGCAGGTTGTCACATGCTTTAGTTCGCTATCTACTTGGGGAAGAAGTAACCCTGACCCTAGTGGCGGCTGGCTTCACGCTTGTCAATGCCATACGCTCGTCACCGAATACCCCCATCTTGCCATCCAATAACTAAGGATACGCATGGGCTGCATAATGGCCAAGTCAGTTGCTTCTTCCTGCTCCTGAAACTGATAGGAGGGGTCGCTTGCGATGCCCATCGAAGCAGCCCTCGACAACCAAGATGTGCAGTGTGGCCATTGGAGCAAGTATTGGGGCAAACCAATCGGCAAGGGCGAAGATTTGGAGAAGGTGACGCGATACAGCTTTCGAGACCTTCATGTTCCCCCCTCGTTCTGCCCCGGTCGTCGGCAGTAGTTGACCCCCACAGGCAAACCGGCAAGATCCAGTTTCGCAAAAGATTATCGTCAGCCCGAACGCTGAATTATCAGCTACGTCTTTCCAGCCGATATCATTGGACAAAAGCTTGCATTCTGACCAAAGCGCTTTTGTTTATGTTCACCAATCACGGTATTCCCGTTTCGGCAGACAGCTGCGACGAAGATCACTGGCCTCCAACTTGCAGCACCTGACCTGTTGGTCTCGATCATACCCTACTATCCCCATATACACTATGGCGTCCCTGGAGCTTGGGTTCTGGCGTGGTCGTCTATCGCGGAGCTCCACGAAGAACTAGGAGCGGCTTGTCGTCCCATAAGGTTATCGACCTGGCCTTCCCGTCATTGTGGATAGCTCAGGCATCTGCTGACCTGCAAAAATTTCTCCATGCGTTCTTCTACCTCGACGCTGTTGATTTTGAGTGGGTGGGGAACTCTTCTTACCACGGAAATACATGACTGGGGCCAACAAATTTCCTAGCGGATTGGTTCGGATGGGTGCGTCCTGGCCTGCGAAGTTTGCGATAGCGGTCCGAGCAAGCACCAACTTAAGGATTGGCGTATTCGTTGATAGATGCGATGAAACGCGCCCCGAGGAGACTTTCGATACGAACCAGCCATGTCATCATCGTACAACCCATGGTGATTGGGGTGGCAATAGTTCGTCTTTATGGTGAAGCTTCAAAGGGAAGGGGGGTTGTTGTGAAGGGCGAGCCAACATGCGGCTCGAGCCCACGGCACTGTACGGACATTCAGATTTGTGTTACGGAACACTCGAGATGTGCGTCTGGTCTTTTAGTACGGGAAATAGCTGCATGGTAGGCGGCTTATTCAGAGGCTGCATCATGTTTCTCGGCGATAACTCACTTTCGAGTTATTCTTCGTTTAGACATACTCTTATTGCTCCATCCATTGTGGAACCACGCCAAGACACCGCGTTTGATAACTGAGGTGGGTGCAAACTGGATCGCCTCGTGAACCTATAGCTGCCAGCGCCCTCTTCACCCGCGGCCCAACGCACGCTACTAGGCTGTTGCTGTTTGCGTTGCTTTTTTCCAATTTCCCACTCAACTTCGACCGTTGAAGTGACAAATGGCGGAGGAAGAGGTATCATGACGTGGTAGAAACTACGTGCAGACCGGGCTGGTAGCCATTTGATGGTTATCTGGCTGTCCTATGGTCCCTTTGCCCGCTGCCGGATTCAAGTTCCCGCCGAGAAGCCCCCGCAACACACGGATTTCGTTTTCACGCCGGAGCGGAGTGCGAGATTCCTCTCGAGTTCCTATGTCTTTATGCGCGGTTGCCGACCCCCTAGTGCACCATATCTACGGGCTCATGCATCTGTAACTGACGATACCTTAGTACGGAAAGGCATCATTTACCGAGTCGAATGACACTCCAGACCAACGGACGGACACGATGCTCCTGTGGACCACCTGCCAGGTGCCAACCACAGCGACGCTCGAAACACATATTCAACCGTCATGATTATTATGATGAAGCCGCTGCTGGCGATAGAGATTGCAGTTAGCCAATGGAGAGGTGCGGGTTTGCTGCCCACCTTCTTTCACCCCGCCAGACCGGAAGTGGGCGGGGACCTCGAGGACCTCGAGGACTGATAAGAGCTGTTAAAGCCGATGGTAATTGCTTTGTGCAAGTCACCATTAACGCTGGATGATTTATTACCCCCATCATCATCATCATCATCTGCGGGGAAGTAGGCATACATGGAGTTCGCCGTTCTACGGTGAGGTTTCGACATTTTAAAGATATGCTTATCGATCTTATCTATACGATTTGAAGCATAGAGGTATCTTTGCAATTACGTACTGACATAAGGTTTCCAAGCTGCGTTACCTGTTTGCTGGGATGAAGACAAATCTCGACTATGACAAGGATGATGGGCAGACGGCAAGCGCAGGTTCGGTACACTAGCTTCCTGCCAATATGCGGCATCGCGGGGGCGCCCTACACTATTCTTCGGGATGAAGATGATTTCCGAGGGGGAAGAGGGGGCGCGTGCAGCACAAGCATCCGCCCGCAGCGCTGACGGCAGCAGACCCGCAGACGCGGAACATTTGGTGTCACATAAATTCGACAATCCAAATTGAGGGTTGACGAGTGATGGAAGGGACGGGTCCAGCGGTACAGGAAGCAGTGACATCAATATCCGGGCCAGAGCCGGATTGCCGGATTCGAGATAGGGGCTCAGAATTGTTTGTTAATTGCCGTGGGAGTTAAACCCTGCCGCAATGGTTTACGTACCCTTTGTCACTCTGCAAATTCCACCTTGTCGTTCCTGTAGTTTCGTTATCAGATCGTCCTTTAGTCAATCCCGATTCGTCATTGGCGCACGGGAGAGACATTGCAAGGTGCAGTCAAATCGATTATTCGGTATGAGATGTATTTATAATAAGGCATGTGGGGAAGTGAAAACGATATAATGAGAGGCGAGGTACAAAATCACTCTATCTATACCACTCTCAGTCTCGCGCTCGGTTACTCGAGCATAATTTAGGTTACTGTCCGTGATTCTAAACTTGATGACGACATGTAGGAAATTGAACCAGATGGAAGCGTATTTCGGAACCAGTTTTGTGGATTGGAAGGTTAATAACTGCAAGGTTACATTTAGGGGGTAAGGAGAGGAAGCCATGATATAAAACACCATGGGTGAATTACTGATTTTGGGTGTATGAACTGCTACACGGTATGTGATAATGTAGGCTACTTCAACTCGAGTAACATTGCATACACAGTTTCGGCGTATTTACTGGATTACCAAGACCAAACAATGCCCAACAAGTTGAATTATTTATGATTGATAACAATGCGACGTGCAGGAATACCAAGCATTAACACGATATTTTTATCAAATACAGAAACAATACAAGTGTTGATATACGACAATGACAGCTCGTTCTTTATAACCGAAGGAGAGCAGATGTAAGTGATACCCGACGTCCCGGAAAGCCGCTGTGCCTCGGTATAAATGCCGCATAATTACATACAGGCCCAAGCTCCCCACAGCTAAGCGCTAGCACTCTGAACACCCCGCTATGTAACGATGCTTGATCACGACTTTGGGCCTTCAGCTTGCTCGATGCTTGGTGAGAAGCAGGACTGGCTTGCTTGTTGCAGGACTACTATAACCTTCGTACTTTAGTTCGAATTTTCGTGATGGCACTCGGCGATCCGGCTAAGTGTGTGAATACCCCTATCCCATTTTGGCCTTTGACTGACTTGAGATCCAGGCCTGTGCATGTGCTGTTCGTCGGAGCAGGCGCCGTGGGTTGCTTCTACGCATCGCGGCTTCACCATGTGAGATCAATCTTACGGCCCGAAAAGATCCATCATCATCAGACAGGATAGCTGACTGGCCTCTGCGAAGCCGTCTCACAACATCTACACGTCCTTGACAGCACGGTCTAATTATTCCGTCATTGCCACCTCAGGGGTCACTCTGCAGACTCACACATTCGGCAACTACACCTTTCACCCCCATGCTGTCTTCCCCTCCGTCAGCGCCGCCACGCTCAGTTCTGCGGCCGGCTCCTCTGAAACCCAGGCACCAAAGGACGGCTGGGACTACATCGTCGTAACGACCAAAGCGCTCCCCGACCGCAGCGACGAATCCTCTCTCATCGCCCCCCTCGTCTCCCCGAAAACCTGCATAGTCCTAATCCAAAACGGCGTCGGCGTCGAAGGCCCCTACCGCCAACGCTTCCCGCACCATCCCATCGTGAGCGCCGTCACCATCGTCAGCGCTGAGCAAACCCAACCCGGCACCATCCGGCAGAACCGCTGGACGCGCATGAGTCTCGGCCCGTACGGCACAGGACTCACCGGGAATGGCTCCAATCCGACCAAGGAAGTTGAAGAAGTGCTGAGGCGAGGAGATGAGTGTATGAAGGCCCTGACGCACTGGTGGACCACCCACGGCGGCATCCGCGACGTCGAGCCGCACACAGAAATCGAACTCCAGACGATCCGGTGGCATAAGCTGTGCATCAACGCGGCCTTCAACCCGTCCTCCGTCATGTCTGGCGGGCGAGGCAACGCAGACCAGCTGTCTGACCCGGAACTACGAGAGCACATCCTGGGCATCATGCACGAGATCTGGGACGCGGCGCCCAAGGTACTGGGCGCGCCGCTGCCGGAGGGGTTGGCAACGCCCGAGAAGATTGTCAAGAGTACGGAGAGAAACACAGGGGCGAAGCCGAGTATGTTGCTTGATTGGGAAGCGGGGAGGCCTATGGAGTTGGAGGTAATCCTGGGGAATCCGGTGAGGATTGCTAGGAGGCTGGGGGTAGAGATGCCGCGGTTGCAGAGCTTGTATGCGCTCTTGAGGAGTATGCAGAGGGTGAGAGAGGAGAGAGGGGAGAAGGGGAAGCTGTGAGTGAGGATGGGAGATGGGATGATGGAGGGACTCCAGCTAGTGGAAACTGCATGGCAGCCGATCGACTGACTGGAAGCATTAGGTACTCCGTCGACTGGCATAGCGCTGAACAAAGGACTGCGACAATGTTCACTCACGGCCTAGCCATGCTTCTTCTGTCACTCACTCACAATATAGACCAAGAGGGACCCGTCTGAGTTGATGAGCGGAGCAAAGTAAAGTATTGATTATAAGTACATGGTATCTATCGCGCATAAACGAGTCACTCATTGCATCTTGCGAGTTGGCCATACAAACGTGATAGACCCCGAGGCCCATATACAGAGCTTGGCTGCTGCCCTCTCAAAACCCGAGCCGGGGAGTCTTGTTATACAAAGTAGTCATTACATACCATCCACCATTGCATCCCCGCCAGTAAGTGGTGAGCGAGTACCCTGCATACGCTTGCGCAGTGACTGTGGCTCCTTCAGAAACGAGGCCCTGGATGACATGAGGTGGTTCGAAACGCCACGCAATCTTCAATAAACCGAGAGAAGGCGCAATATCCACAGCATGATTCGTGTTTTCCTTTTCCCGGTCGTGGAGATTAGTGAATCCACAGTAGCTCTCAATTCCACTTGAGCTCTGGAAACCCGTGGGAGCTGAAGGGTGGAAGGTCTGATGCTTGTTGTGCTGGGCAGAAGACTTGTTCCCCCGTCGGCCTGGCCGTCTGGTATCCTGAACCGGGCGATTTGGCCACAGCACTACCCTATCGTGCCGAGAATGGCCGTGGCTCTGCGAGCAGATTCAAGTATCCACCATATGTCAAAGGCCGCGGGTCGATGCCAACGCCGTTCTGGCCCTCGCTCGAATGAAGCTCCGGCTGCTTTTCCCCCTTGAGGGCATCAAGTTCGGTTGCCGTCGCCAAGTCAGCTAGATGTTGCAGACTTTGGTTAGCTGTCGCTTCCATCGCAGCCTGTGCGGTGGTGGGCCGAACGTGTTCAGCGATTCGATCTCTGATGGCCGCGTCCCACGTTGATGGTGCCAATTGGGAATCCAGGAGCAAAGATGAGTATGCCATCGCTTCTTCCTTCGTGAACTCGACCTTGATCAACTCAAGCAGTGAGAAACTCGTCAAGCAGAACAGGTGGTGATTCAGCGGGCTGATGAGCTGCGAATTCGTCAAAAGCAGGCCGACTGATTCTTTGCAAGACCAGAAAAGTTCATTGAGCTTGGCAGGAGAGTGTAAAAGATACTGAAGTGACCTGCAGTGCCAAAACACAAGATGCAGAACGGGATGAGCATCTGGAGTGATGTTTTCTGGAAGCATGTCACGGAACAGATCAATTGACACGTCGATCCAGGTGTTGAGGAGAGGCGCTGACCCAGACTCAAACGACATTGCTCTTGGAGAGGCTAGTGCCGTCAGTGCAAAACGACTCAGTATGTTACAAAGACGTGCAAGATGGTATGCGGTCTCTCCAAGAAGGGGTTTCAACCCGGGTAGGATAACAACACTGTCGTTCGGAACCAACAAGGGGCTAGCGGTCCCAATGGCGTTCCACCGATCTAGCATTATCAAGGTCCACCAAGCTCGAATCGCCACATTCTCATCCGAGTCGAAGTCGCTGTCAGCGCCCGGATTTGCATCAACCTGAGCCACATGTAATCTCATTGAGTATGCCAGGCCAATAGCACGGCCGAGGATGGAAGACTTGGCCGGGCCACCGTGCTCCCCCTTCAGCGATGCCGGACCATAATTGTCGGTCAAGATGGCGGTTAGAATGAGTATCTGCAGGTGCACGAGATTCGTGATCTGTGTTCGTTGTCCCGGATCAGCCTCCCAATCTATGAGCGTTCGCGAGGCAGACACAAGGTCTCCGTTTGGATATGGAGCTGTGAAGGAGGGGAATGATTGCATGGTGCCATAAAACGCTTCAAGAAAGGCGTCACGCAGCAATGTTGGACATTGGTTGAGTTGTGCTTCCGCCCGTGCCTTATTACTCGCCAGTAATGGGAAATACGGATGAATAACATCAAGGTAACTGCTAAGATGTCAGTCAAGCCGTCCCTGATACTGTTAGAGAAAATCATGCTTACCCATTGAACGCCGCCTCATCGATATCCCGGCCTTGACCCATAGGAACAAAGTCCGCAGGCACGCCATCCATCAGAGCTGGTGGTCGAGACACAGTTTCTGATTCCTTAGGTCCTGTGGGAGTGGGCGCAAGGCTATTCGGGTTAAAGCGAGCATTTGGGGTCTGATAAGCTTGAATTGATCTGGGCTCAGAGCTCCAATTTTGCTGACGAGACGCAGTCGGTGTACCAAAGTCATTACCTGAGATACTCGAGAATGGTCTCTTGCGGCTATTCTCATCAGACTGCCCCGAAGGTGGGAAGATGTCAGCCGATTCCCTCCGTGTGCCATTGAGAAGCTCGGTGAGACCGTCGATGTTGCCGCCTTCGCTTGCCAGCTTCCCTTCAATGTGGTGAATTCGGTCCGCCAGCTCCTTGATGTATCCTTTGCTCGGACCACGCTTTTGGGGAATCCGGCTGAAAAGACAGTTTATGTTGGAGCGACGGCAATTGGAACAGGGCTCTTCTCCGGTTTCCGAAGGAGCGTCACACTTCACCTTCTTCCGTCGACACTCGTCGCAGGCCCGAGACACCTTGGAGCGCTTCCGTGGTGGAATGCTGTCAACAGGAGAGTGCTGGAAATGGCCCGGAAGGTGATTCAGCGGTGCAGAAGGTTGCAAGTGCGGTTGCTGCTGTGGCTGCGGCTGCGGCTGCGGCTGCGGCTGTTGTTGTTGTTGTTGTTGTTGTTGTTGTTGTTGTTGCTGTTCGGATATGTACTGTGCCTGAGGTGGCCTATACGGTTCATCTTGTGGTTGCTGCTGGGTCTCGTGGTGGTGCAGTGGCTGATCGGTCTGCATTTGTGCTTGAGGCGGCCCGTATGGCTGGTCTTCTTGGGTGCCTTGCTGCTGCAATTGATGATGATGGGGGTGTTGATGTTCATGGGGTTGAAGATCTTGTTCATGTTGCGCCAGGTTATGCTCATGCTGTACCATATCGTGCTCATGCTGTGTCAGGTCATGATCGTGGTGGGTCATCTCATGCTCATGTTGGTCCATCACATGCTGCAAGTTTGACTCCTCATTGGGGTCCATCATGTTGGGGTCGGTAAGATTATGGGATGCGAGGCCCTGGCTTAATTGAGCAGCCAGCTGCAGTTCCTCCGCACTCGTGAAGGTTCGCTGCTGCTGAGGCGTGGGAGGCTCTTCCAGCTGGTCATGGTCCTCGTTGTGCTGCTCCATTTCAGATTGTGTTTGTTGATCCTCACGTGGGTTGGTATTATAGAAGGGACCATTGTCTTGACCATCAGCTGTCGGCGAAGGGTATTGCTGCATGACAACATCGACTGCTTCGGCAATTTGCTCAGCATCGTGCTTCACGAGCATGGGGTCTATGTCAGGCATGATGCCCGATGCACTACGAGCCACTTTCACCCAACAGGCTAGACTTCAGCCTTGTCCCAGTATAAGTGTGTCAATAAGTCCCACGTTCTACAGGGACACGCTCAATCGGGCGAGAGGCAAGACCCAGGCTTGTCCGTGATGCGAATTGACTCGATGCGACGCAAGATCTTTGCGTCCCGGGATATCCAATGTGTAGTGCAAATCCCCAATTGATCCGAAGACGTATGAGGTGGTTTGCACACTTTGGGAGAATGGACGTGAGAGGGGGTTCCCACGCAAGTTATTGTGTCGTGAACTCTTGCTGCGACTACACTGAATACATTGACGCACAATGGTCGCACGCGTGAATGCACACCAACGTTGCTGTTGTATAGGAACACTCGGTGTCAACAGGTGAGTGACTTGTGCAATTGTTTCCTGCGACTAACAAGAGGTTACTCATTGAACTTGATTGATTGCGACCGAGAGCTCCTTGGATCAACCCAGAAACGCCGTGCCCATTCAAAGCTTTACGCGACCAGCGCCAGCATATCGTGGCGATTGCAAGGCTCGGGTGTTCGAGACAATGTGTCGATGGCTTCCGTGCTGCAACATCGCCAAACTGGAACGCGACGCCATTGTTGTGGAAAGAAGAGCTGTCTTTTAACGCACCTTGATCAACTCCCGTTATTATGGGGATGGAAAAACAGACTGCTGGAAGTCCGGAAGCCGCTGCGACGACGCGGAAGAGGAAGAACCAGTACAGCCGACTCGTGCTTTTTTCCCCCCTTCGCATGCGCCGGCTTGGTCGTGGTTTTCTCGGAGGCGGGAAAATTTGAAGGTGAAGTGGCAAAGGCAGCTACGAGCTTTGTGGAAAAAGAATTTTGCGGATGATGACTTGGGCAGTGAGGGCGCTTTGACAGTTTGCCTTGAGGAGGTGGAGTTAAAGGGGTGAGTTACAGTCATTGATTGGTTGACTATAAGTACCACTAGGAATTCTCTTGGTCCGTGCGGACCAGTGTGCTGCCTGGAAATTCGAGATCAAAGGCTCAAGTTGGCTAGATCACTCTTGTGAGGTGTTCGACTTTACCAAGATGCACCACATTCATTCTGCCCTTACCAATGTGAAGCTTGGCTCTCGCTCATATAAGGACTCTAGCACTCTCTTATTTCAGGATCTACCGATCGCCAATAGTGTTGGGCATATCAAGAACCAAGTTGGGACAACGTACTTCCTACACCTTCCAGTAGCTTGGTTCGCAAGCCGAGACTTCAGGGTTGCTTTCACAGCCGAAGCAACCATGAGCTTCCGTCTTGCATGATGAATACCAGGCTGCCAAAAGCAAGGAGCAGGAAGCAGCAATGCATAATAATCCCTGCAACATGCAAATACGATGGATACCTATCGTACCAATGTACCTTATGATCATTTGCATCATCCCATTTAGTCTGTGTCCCTTGAACTTAGATAACTATTCGTTTATAGTCCAGTCGGCTTCGTAGAGCAACCGCTCTGAACTCCGCAATAGGTCAGGTCACCCTACTGTAGGCAGTCACTCTAACAGAGCACCACCATTACCCCCGCAATGCAACTACATGCAGTGTTGGCAGTGTTGGCGATGCTGGCAATATAGTCGAGGGACTATGAGTTCATTCTCTTGCCCCCAACCTGTGGTTCATGTGTTGGACCACACCGTAAACTGGGCCATGCGGTGTACAATTTGCTTCCCGAGGCGGTCCGAGACTTACCAACCCAACCCATCTTTCGGCGTGTCTCGCATCTCTGGCATAAACCGGCATCCTCCGATCTCCTTCACCGATCGGGTGCTCCTTTGCGGAACCTCCGAATCTATGATTCGTTGGGCATGAGAAGCGATATTCACTGTACCCAACGTGCACCAGGAATAACGGAAGACCGCCCAGACTCCGACTTCCCTTCCTGGGTCTACGGCAGCACGCAATCTACTTTATGCCCCTCCCCCACGTTGTGTTGCCGCTGATCACGGCTTAGCAGGTAGTATTGACGGGTCGTGTTGGTTATGTGTCGCATCTGTACCACACTGTCCTGCATGTCCAATTCGCTGTCCTCTTTAACAGACACTAAGCGGTATGTCACTTTCAGTTGGACTTAATATCTTGGAAGCTGACATTATATCGTACAATATACTTCATGACACGTTCAGAGAACGAGACGAATCGAAACTACCGAGGCTAAAAAGTCAAGCTCGGGGGTTTGACATGAAGCTACAGAATAGAAGAGCTGACAAAGTTGTCCCGTCCATCCTTGCGCGAATGTACAGAGAACAGTAGACGATACGGTCGACAAGACCGTTGCATCTGCTATGATAATCCTCCGGAATCAGTTGGAAAGTTTCTCTGCACGGAGTCCTGCCGTGTCTGTCTATTGGGCCACTTGTTGATCCTAGGCCCGCGACGATAGCTATATTTCGACTACGATGATCTGCTTGTCGCCAGAGCACGCCACACTTGTTTGATATACATTTTCTCCAAGTCTCAATATATTCGGAGATCATGGTGAACAGTTGGACATACCGAAACAGCCACGGCGGCAAATCCTCCGGTGGCCATGGTACCAAGCTAAATTATCTCGTCATCTCCACGGATTTTCGTTGTTTCAAACACGAGAGAGACAAAGATTGCATAGCTTCGTTCTCATATCTTTAGTGATTGTTATTGTCCCAAGGTGAAAGAGACCCGCGGCTAAACAGGTCTGGGTTCGGACCTGGCATGTTATTGTGACCCAAAGCGCGCTTAGTTGAGCGTCCCTGTCGATCTTCCGAGGGCAAGGGTTTCAATATACTCGGAACCAAAAATGCAACCCGGAAGCATTCTATTTCCACCTGTTACCTTTCAATACGAAGCACCTGCCTGCCCTTCCCTAATACCTGCGCCCCTGCTTGTTACCAAAGTTTCTCTCGGAGATATATGGCGAACTATACTTTTTCGGTACCCCGGCATCAGGATCGTTATCTACGTTGCCATCGAAACGTCAATGTCACCTTGGATCGCAGTGTCTCATGTCTCACCGGATGCCTGGTCAACCAACAGCAGCTCGGTTCAGATCTCAACTTTACACGGGTCAGTGACCTGGCTTCGGGAAAATGTACATTGATCGATCGATACACGAGCCCTGGCCCTAGTCCATTCCCCGCAAAGTCCCTACCTGGATTCAAGTTCACGCAAGCAACTGACATGCGGGGATGCTCGACATACCCCAATCTTGGTACATGCATAGTAGTTGTTAGGCGAGAGCTGCATTCTGCCGGCTCCCCAAAATCGCATCATCAAGCGAGGTTGGAGTGTGTCCATTTACCTCGCTTTTACCACCAACCAGCACGGCTGTTTTTAAACCTCCGATGTTATTGTGTAAAGACTTCATTTTAGCCATACACGACCGATGTCGATATCTTGGTCGTCTACCTCCTCGTGATCGATGACGATCATGTGCGAGATAACATGTGCTGTCGGCACATACGAGATCAGGCCATTGTGAATGACTATACTGATCATGCGGAGAAGTGGCCGGCATTCAAGCTGTCGAAGTTCCCATTTCTTGTCTAAGCGCAAGTAGTGGCACTCCGCAACGAGCGCATAAGGTTGCGGGCTCCCTCGGCATACGGCGAGTATTAAAGAAAGGCAACATTTGCGGACTGACTGTGGATCTCATCACGGTGACGAGATGGACTGATTACAAGCTCACTTGATAGCAAAGTTAGATCTTCTAGAATTTCCGTCCGGAAAGAAGTCTGGAAGTAACGAGCCATGGCTGAACTTCGAACTCGACTAGCCTGCTTGACGACGATTCCTGCAGGCGCAAAGAAGTCAACTGATCAGATAGCCTCGATTAGTTTGTAAAGTAGCAGGTAAGTCGGTCAATTTTAAACGTGGCAATACGAGAAACAACGTCTTTTGAGGTATGTTATTGTCATGAACATGACAATGTGAAACTCGACATGTAAGCTCGTCCAACTGCGATGAACAATTGCCTTGCTACGAAATAAACACTTCATTCAGGGACAGGAGTCAAACCAAACTGTCGAAAGCCAGCTTCGAGTCCTATGAGATAGACATGATTTACGCAGCAGCCAGTGAGATTAACTCATTTTGGTCACATGGGACCGAGCAGGGAACTTATGTTGAACAAGCCCCACAACCCCGAGAAGAACCAAGCCAGGATCAATGGTGTCTCCTGCCCCTGAATATCAACCTTTATTCCGCTTCGCTTAATCTGTCCGAACTCATATTATCATCGGAATAGTGACTACAACTTCGTCAGTCACGAACCAGTATCCTCCATTCTCTCCATTAACCTCATAATCACTACTCTTCAGTCCCCTCTCAATCCTCCTCTTTCTTCTCCTCCGCCTTCTGCTTCCCCCAAACCACCCTTCCCATGTTGGCATCTGTGGCCGCCGAAGATAATGCTGGGTTGAGTGCAGACCCAGTATCACAGTCTCGCTAGTATTGTGGATGTCAAGGAAGCTGGGAACCAGGTATCTGCGCAACGCACCCGCTATAACTGATCCCGGAATTATGAGGTCTAAATTACGTGCATGCATCGCACATGGCTTAATTGTAAGCACCTGGGACTTGAGTGTGAGGACATCATTTGAAATCGTTGCACTATTCACTACGTACCAGATCACATGTAGATAGCAAAAACGTGCGATGGTACCGCTATGATCAACTCCATATATATTCGCCTGTATCAGAGTTTTCTACCATGAGAAACTGGTGTTGAATCCCCTACTGAGATTAGCCGATTTGTCCAAGATGTCGGTCTCTTCACAGCTAGTATCCACAAATGTCATGATCGCATTTAGAGGAGGACATGGTCGTAGATTACCACTTCCAGTGATCATGCTACTTATCAATCACCTTTATCATTGCTTTGGGAGAAGACGGCTTCATTTAAATTTTGAGCCGATGTAATAGGAGGTGACTCCTAACAGGTAGTAGAGACTATAAAGAGCTTATTAACAGAAAGTATAATAGATACTAAGTGCTTGGAGTAGTAGGCCAAGAATCAACAGGTATAGACAATATCTTACGCCTTAATGATAAAATATAAAATCCGCGTGCGTAATAGTCTTGAAGTCTTCTAAAGGGTGTATAGTGAGCCTTGTTTCGAGAAGTGAGCGGTGAGTATCAAGATGTTTTACGCAGTTAATTTGTTCGCCACGTTCTAGTGATGTGAAGTAGGTCAACTGAACTTCACTATTGGCTAGGCGTACCAGTTCTTCCACTTTTGGAACACTTTACTATGTGAAGGATGCAATATGATTTCAACTTGCAACGTTGAGAGACGTCAAGCCTCAGATTGTTTCAAGACAGTTGTTTTATTACAATCAGGACTAAGACGAGACAAGTGAGCTGACAATCACTGGTGGGGCCATATGGGGTTCAGGCAAAGATTTCCAAGGCCACTTTTCCATAGACACCTGCACTGAAATCTTACGCCGGCTTTGTGAATCTTTGTGGGGTTTCAAGTTGTCTGCGAAAATGTGCAATCATCAGTCACGTTGTCCACGTCACATCACTGCTGTTTCCAATGAAGCCGCTACACTAGGTCGTGTCACGTAGAAGAAGTGTCCCAGCTGCTTATAGTGAAAACTTTGAAGCCGTTATCGTCTAAGCGGCCACCGTCTAATCCCATAACATGATCCATGAATGCAAATATATGAGGTGAACAAGACGGATGTCCCCGGGTGAAGACACAATTTTCGGCCTCCGAGCTAAGCGAATTTTGGAATCCGGAAACCCCTAGGCTGCAGCCGGAGCTGTCCGTGTAAGTATCAGCATACAAGTTACATTACTTGAAAGTTTCAGTGGTATAAGAAATATATCAAGTTAATAACTGTTCTCCAGCTTCTCTAAACTCGGAAATTTTAATTAACTAAAGTTAAAGATATATAGGCGGCTTCCCTCTAACAATACGCTATATGACTAAGGTTAGCGTGGTTTGAAGCATCGACCACCACAATGTTCGAACTGTCTTCCGGCTCACGGCCTTTTTCCAACACTTCAACTTAGCACCCTCGGTATACTTATCAAGTCAGCCTCAAAGATGTCAAAATTTCCAGCTGATGAACAATTCCAATCACCACTTTTTAAATTACCCCCAGAGGTGCGCGATTTGATATACTGCCGAATCCTTCTCAACGGGGCCAAAACACAGCACATTCGAGTTTACTACCGCTATCCCGCCCCAGGATGCCTCCAGCGAGGCCCTTGCAGTCCCATTGCGGACGAGGAATTCATCAAGGAACAAATCAGCAGCGATACCTCGAGCGAAGAGCTCGACTCCCGTTTGACAGACTACGCACGTGATCCTTACCGAAATGGACACTTCAACTGTCAACAGATCTTGAAAGACGATCCTAGGTTTCAAGAATATCAGCTCAGCTCAGCGGTACCTTTGTTCCTAACCTGCCGCAAGATCTACCGAGAGGCGGTGCCCAAATTGTACTCATTCCGCTTCAACTACTTCGCGGACGCGCTCTTGTTTCTGCGGTATGCAAGGCTTGCAGAGCTGGACCGCATCAGAAACGTCGAATGCTTCATGGAGATAGAGTACTTGGCGGACGTGGATCTTCGCGAGCTGTGCGGCAGGCTGGCCAACTTGACGAGTCTGCAGCGACTGCACATTGTCATGGATCCGGGGCAGAAGGAGGATTCTAATGTGCTGCCCGTGAAGTGGTTGGATATGCTGAGCTTGATTAAACGGCCTGAGAGATATGAGGTGCACGTTTTAGGTTTGGAAGCGGATGAGAGTGAGAGCTACGAGCCCGCTTCGGAGCAGAGACCGTTTGTGCTATGGCGGAAACGGGAGCCGGCTTGGATCTATGGACAGGCCGAAATTCTGGCCAAAGGTGTCAAGGCTATCCCTGATGTTTGCAAGATGTATTCTCAACCTGTCATGAAGGATGACTGATCTGTATTTTATATGCATATATGCGGATCAGTTCAGCGAGAGGACTCTGGACAGATGACTATGGCTTGGGCTACGGGTGGACGGTGAATTGTAGATCCAGCCGACTTGGAAGCTGCCTTTGGTATGCTCAAAATGCCGTCATTCGAGCCAGACTTAGGAACCGCAAAAGATCACCAAAATTGTGAGACACAACCGGCTCCTTTCGAACCGCATGTTGAAAGACTCGAGGGGGTGGGAACATTGTATTCCATTCCATGGGGGGCTCTAGGATAGTCTCGCTTGGTCGCCTTTGGTTAGATACACAGAGACCAGCTAGGTATTGAGTCAAAACATTGATCGCATCGATTGGCATACAAGCGTCAGAGTCCTCGACCTCTTTACGCAAGGTATTTTACCTTCAGGTGAAGCAGTCGAATTACTGCAAAGTACTCCTTCACGACTTGGCCACATTGAAGTGGTCACGGGTCAGTTGGGACCTGTCAACTTCTAGTGGCGCACAGACCCGCAGCCTGACTTGATCAAAAAATGCCCCGCGATCGAACCCCTGCACCACGAAAAAAAAAGCCCTTGCAGTGACTCAATTCGGTGTACCCCGCGGTCCTCAAGTCGCATAAATATTTGGACTTCATTCATCCCACTTTCCGGGCCAGAGATCCTACATTGTTCAACGGTCAGCAAATACCCGACCATGGCGGACTCTAGCACTCCTCCCACCGACGCGGTGGCCAACTTGCACCTCGACGAGGTCACTGGCGAGCGAATCTCCAAGACGGAGCTCAAGAAGCGCCAGAAGCAGCGCGAGAAGGAGGCCAAGAAACAGGAGAAGGCCGCCGCTGCCCCTCCCAAGCCCGTCGCCGCTAAGAAGACCAGCGCCGAGGATGAAGAGAAGGAACTCACCCCGAACCAATACTTCGAGATCCGCTCCCGCGCCATCACCAAGTTGATCGAGACCAAGGAGCCCTACCCGTACCCCCACAAGTTCCACGCCAACTACGACATCCGGAACTTCGTCACCGAATATGGCCACCTCAAGTCGGGCGAACATGCCAAGGACAAGGAGATCAGGGTCATGGCAAGAATGTACGGCAAGCGCGCCGCTGGTACCAAGCTGTTGTTCTACGACCTCCGCGATGAGGGCGTCAGGTTCCAGGCCATGTGCCAGGCTCAGGAGGTCCGCGAGGGCGCGCCTGCATTCGAGAAGCAGCACGAGCATCTGCGACGAGGCGATGTCATTGGTATTATTGGGTACCCGGGACGGACAGCCCCCAAGTCCAAGCTCGAGAAGGGAGAGGAGGGAGAACTCTCAGTCTTCGCTACGGAAGTCGTTCTTCTGACGCCCTGTCTGCATCAGCTGCCCGACGAGTACTACGGTCTTAAGGATCAGGAGGTACGACATCGGAAGCGCTATCTCGATCTAATTATGAACCCCAAGACCCGAGACACATTCACTACCAGGCCAAGGGTCATCAAGTACATTCGAAAGTACCTTGACGATGCGGGGTTCTTGGAGGTGGAGACACCCATCATCAACATGATCGCCGGTGGAGCCACAGCCAAGCCGTTCGAGACGCATCTCAACGACTACAACATGGACGTCTTCCTGCGCATAGCTCCCGAGCTTCCCCTGAAGATGCTGGTCGTCGGGGGCCTCAAGCGAGTGTACGAGATTGGTCGTCTGTTCAGAAATGAGGGTGCCGACTTGACACACAACCCTGAATTCACAACGTGTGAATTCTACGAGGCCGGGGCTGATTTCTACGATCTTATGAACCGGACTGAGGAGCTTGTTGAGGGAATGGTCAAGGAACTCACAGGCGGCACCAAGACCACCTTTACCACACAACACGGCGAGACGTACGATGTAGAGTGGAAGCGCCCATGGCGACGAGTTTCCATGATTGAGGAACTTGAGAAGGCAACGGGGGAGAAGTTCCCTCCGGCAGACCAGTTACACACGGACGAATCGCAGGAATTCCTCAAGAAGGTGATGCAGAAGATGAACGTCGATTGCCCGCCGCCGCAGACTACATCAAGAATGCTGGACAGACTGACGGGAGAATTCATTGAAGAGACGGCCGTCAACCCGACTTTCATTATCGAACACCCCAAGATCATGTCGCCCCTTGCCAAGGACCACCGCGAGAAGCCGGGCCTGACGGAGCGATTCGAGGCTTTCGTATGCAAGAAGGAGATCGCAAACGCCTACACCGAGTTGAACCAGCCGTTTGAACAGCGAATGCGCTTCGAGGAGCAGGCACGACAGAAGGCCCAGGGTGACGACGAGGCGCAGATGATCGACGAGACCTTCCTCAACGCACTCGAGTACGGTCTGCCGCCAACTGCCGGCTGGGGTCTCGGTATCGACCGATTGGTCATGTTCTTGACCAACAACTACAGCATCAAGGAAGTCCTGCTGTTCCCATTCATGAACCCGGAACACACCGTCAAGAAGCCGGCCGGAGAGGTCACGGAAATCGCGGAGGCTGGCGCCGAGTCCGCGCCCGCGCAAGGAACTGAAGGCATTGGTGCGTTACTTGCTACACAAATATTTGTTGGCGACAACTGACACACCATTTAGCCCACAAGTAGGTTTGGTTTGCATGGCTTAAGGATGGCCGCATGCGAACTTCTAAGCCGAGGATTGGGATTGTGGGTGTGGACGGAGTAGAGGTTGGAATTTGAGCAGATCTTTGTACAATACCCTAGGGTACATGTCTTGCTGCTGGGCAAAAGCCACGAGTATGACGAGTCTAGATGGTAAAAAAGACATGACGGAGCATGGCTTGTAGTCACACAGACCCCCGCAAAGAGGATAAAAAATACAAGTATAGGTTTTACACATGTTTGTAACACATCGCCACACCTTCACCGTGTCGTCGATTTCAGTTTCCTCTGAGCGGATGCCAGCACATGTTTCGGAACATGCAGGCGGTGCCCTAAGACCAGGCTCCCCGTCAACAGCGCCAAAGCACCAGCTTGGTGAGCTGCAGCCAAAGGGATCGGCACGATGTAAATCAGCGTGCTAATACCCAGCGCAACCTGTATGCACACCAAGTGCACCATACCCAGCACCCCCTTCCGCGCATTGTTGGGCAGCGCTGCCGCGACGCGGCCGGTTCTGGCGTAGGCGAACAGGGCCAGAACGGAGAAGAATGTCGTCGTGGCGAGGATGCGGTGGTCCAGCTGGACCAGGCTGGGGTTCTCGAGCATGTTGCGCCACCACAGGTCCGATCCGTCTTCGTTGCGTGCATACCACTTGTCCCAGAGCTCCGACTTCGGCGGTGTGAGGCCCACACCCATCATGGGGAATTCGTTGTAGATGAGTCCCGCGTCGAGCCCGGCGACCAGGGCGCCTGAGCAGACCGTGATGAAGACGAGCGCTGTCAGGGCGGCGACGGAGCGTCGCAGCGGGACAAGAGCCGGATTCTTGAGCGCTCCGATGGATTTCAACGCCGCCGTGGGGTCGGCTAGCATGCGTCGTGTACGCAGGACACTCAGGCCGGACAGAAGCATCCAGCTATAGCAAACGAAGGCGGTCATCAAGTGGGCCGCAAGGCGGTACTGCGAGACTCGTGGGTGGCTCCCCGGGGCAAACAGGTCGTCCTTCAATCCGCTCTTGACCATCCACCAGCCGATGACGCCCTGGAAGCCGATCAGGCCGCTGATTCCGACGAGGTTGAGGGCCATGCGCTTGGTGACACGCCGCCGCGCCACGAAGTAGATGGTGGGCAGCACGAAGGACATGCCGATTACCCGGCCCCAGAGCCGGTGCGTCCACTCCATGAAGTAGATTTTCTTGAATTCGTCGATGTCCATGTGAGAGTTGAGCATCTTGAATTCGGGACTTGCGCGATACTTTTCGAATTCGGATTCCCAGTCCGCTTGGGACATGGGTGGGAGGGAGCCGGTCACCGGTTTCCATTCTGTTATGCTGAGGCTATTTTGGGCGGTGAACGTTAGGTATCTCAGAATCGAATACTATTGATGAGCGGATTGCCTTACCCAGATTCAGTCAACCGTGTAAGTCCACCGAATACCACAATGCCGAATACGCTGACGGCGCTGCCGATCAGCCAGTATCCGACTGACTTGGAATTCGTCTCTGGCCATGCCGACTTCTTCGCGCTCTGGGCTGCCTGGACTTTGGATCCGGATGAAGCGGTCTTGCTGCTGAGAGAGCCCAGCGTCGGTTCGGTGCTGGACCATCGTACGAGGCGCTGTGTGGTCCGCGACGTAGCTGCTGGAAGTTGTTTGCGCAGGCATTGGCGGCAGATCAACGGTGCGGTTGGTACCTTAAAGGCGAGTCTCCGGATCCCAGGAGAAATGAACGACATGGTTGTCGTTGTTGGAAAATTGTTCCAAGACGAACTCTTGTAAAGCGGTCGTACAATTCTCGACAAACTGCATCGATTGATTCACCATGTCCAAGAAATTGGGGCACTCCAACGGTTGCGCAGGGCTGATCATGCACGGGCTAGAGTGGGGGCCCTTCGCTCACGAATCAGGTTGCTGCCATTTCAACTCTGGGAACGAATCAATCTTGGGTCGTCACTTCTCTTGGACTTCAAGTTGATTCCAATAACCAAGTTGGGTTCAGTCTATCCCATGTACACATATTAGGGTATCCGCACTTCCATTATTTACAAATTTCTTTTGTATCGTCCAGCAAGAATCCTGCATAATTCTTCTCCTTGTGTTCCTTGTCCAAATGTCAGTCGTAATTACCTCAATTGTGCTGCTAAAACAGCAAAGGCCTATTTCCGTCACCAACCCATTCGCCGTCGCGCTCGAAACCACGGTGTAATCCACTCCTGAGTTCATCAGCTGAAAAGACAAGCAACCGTACAGTTACAAACTTGGCCACACTAATACTTCATTCCGTGCCTGACCTCCGTTATTTTCCATCCAACGCCGTGCTGGGATGGTTTTCATCACTCATTTAGGTCGTTCTTTTTGCCTCCAAGCAGCATCTCCCTCAAGCTTCGTTGGTGCTTCTTTTCTCGAAGCTCGTAGAGTGGCTTGTGCTCCTCGTGGATATCGTGGTCGTCGTCATAGTCGATGTGGACAAATGCTCTCTCGACATGATGCATCGTGTTAGCAGACATGAACAAGACTTATAGGTGCCTCGCCCCTTTTCCGTCATGGAAGAATTGCTCACCTTCAAGCTTCCGCTGCAGCGATTGACTAACATCATGCGGGATCTTCAAGGGGAGGTCCTGATTCGTAACGATATCGACTTCGACGTAGTACTTCTGCCCAGCGTGGTATGCGCGGCACTGCCATGGTATTAGTATCATGTACGTTTGACCAGGGCTTTACCACTCGCCGTGTCCACTTTTAGAATCTTATCATGTGTCATGGTCATGTAAATGAGTTTAGAGACGAACTTCCTTGGCGCAGACTTCCCGACCAGGAGCCAGCCACACTTGTTTGAAGGCACTGGACACCCCGAAAGGAGGATAAGAAGGGCGATGCAGATGGCGCCAATAGCGTCCAGGTCCCACACAAATCGCGAGCCAACGACTGACATGATGCGACCAAAGCCATTGACAATAATGTCGTTGCGATGGTCGATCTGGAGATGGTGAGCAGGTGCCCTTCTCTGTCGACTCGCGTGGCACTTACAAAGCACACATGGACCGAAGGATATTTGCGGTATGTAAGACAATAGAGCATGAGACTGCCTTTGGCCGCGATGGCTACATCAACGAAAACGATGGAGACGATATGAAGCGACTCGGACTCTATAGGCCCCTCGCCAAGCGACCGTCCCGACTCGACCTACATCTCAAGTATGAGCAAATTTCATAAGAACGGGCTATGTGATTCCCACGTTGACTTACCAGAAGCTGGATGGCAACCGTGGTCATTAACGCATAGAATAAGATGACGCCGATCGTCTCAATCCTTGTGCGGCCCTAGATGCCGGGTCAGCATCACGCAGAGAGCACCTTGGCATATTACAAGACTTACTATCGGATACTTGTACAAGCTGGCTCTGGCAGCCATACGCGACGTTATCAGCACTGCGAATGATGACACAAGATCCATCTGTCTACAGTCAATCGGCAGTACTTCATTAAAGCAGAGGCTGTACGGACAAAGGCGTCTGCGGCAGTTGCAAACAGCTACCAAAGGTCAACTAAGTTTACCATAAGAAGAGAACGCTAGGGCCACGCACCTACAGTGACTCAGTGGAGACGGCCGCATAGAGCTGAATCACGAAGAGGCAGAAGTTCACCGTGAATGATGCATTGACAGCGAACTTGATCTTCGGAGCAACTCGAGCATCTTCTTCAGCTTTCAGATGCTCTTCATCATCGGCACCGAGAAATTGGTTTATCAGCTCGTTCTGTCTGTTGTAGAACGTCTTGAGCTTCCTCTTCTCGCCCTGAGGATGGTCAGTCTTCATCTAACGCTGGGTGACATTGTCTCGGCGATGCCGGCCAAAGTTGAGGGGGTCTGCGTTGAGGTCAGCAAAAGTTGCAACGATAAGACGCCGCCCAGACTCTGGATTCTGAGTGACCGGAGAACGATCGTTGCTCTCTTTGGCCAGCAACGGCTGGGACGGCTTGGCTTGAGCCGAGGTAACGGGAGTGGTAGCATCTTCCGTGGCAGTGGTGTTGCGTTCAGTGCCTCCACTCCAGTCAGCTCATGCCATACTCTCGCGAAGTATAACGAGATCCATTGCATGGGGTTCAAGCATTCCAACCACTTCCGGCCTTCGGATATTATGTTGTCATCGAACACAGACACACCTGACATGGAAAATTTCTAAATTTGGAAACAAAAACCACCAGCTGTGGGAAGATTGGTTGGCAACTCGGGATTGGCCATGTTGCATTTGGTTGCGCGTCACTAGGGATACGAAGGTTGTGTCTGCAAAGGAAGAGTTCGGCCGGTCATGGTTCGAGGCCACAATATTATATCACGCCAGCTGCTACGGACCAGCGTTGAGGGAACCAATGATGACAGCATCGGCAAGAGATTGGGTGGCAGGTGTATATCCTCCCCACTCTGCAACCATGGCAGTTATCACTTCCTGTCACTCTCATGAAGATCGATCTACTTGATAGATGTTCTAGAAGGTCTGTTCACAAATCCTCGTGTGAGGTCTCGTCACAGTGATCTTGGCATTTAGCTGAATCAATGGGAGAGACCGTTGGGCCCTGGTTGTGGCCTGCATAGACGATTTGACCGCTACGGATTGATCAGAGATGACTACTACGTAACGCGTTTGGGCCAAGTGGTACGCCTTACAGCTAGCACATAGGGGCCCCGTTTTCATTGTCGAAAATCGTCGAAGACGATCACCAGCGAGATCTGGGCTGAAGCCGGAGTGATTCGCAGTTCCGATTGGACACACTTGTTTCATCCAACAATATTCGCAGGACGGATTACCAAAGAGCCGCAATAAACCATGTCGCAAAGTGGCTCATGTCGTTCAGCATTCCCCCGGCTTGTACAACCATGCCACCAACCAAATTTAGCTCCAACAGCTTGGCAGTTCCGGAAAGGAGCCCACACCCCCAGGTTTTACAGGGCATCCCAGCCTTGCTACGGCTAGAACGGGTTTGAAACTATGTCACCCCTGCTTAAGTCGTCAAAGCTATCTATCGCTATACGATGATACAACAGCACATTTGACATAGGTCATTGTAGGTCTGACGACGTGGACATTTGGAATCGGTATAGGACTACTCCGACCCACGCACTGCCTGACTGCCCCCATGCACGACCCCCGTCGCCTAAGTCCAATCCCACATCAAGTCAGCCGGGCGCGGGACGTGTAGAGTTGGAAAACCTCCGACTCGTTGTATTTCTGCAGCCGCATTACATACTCCAGTTCCACATCCACACGCTGCGGCTGCTGCCGGACACTGTTCAGTGGCGTGAGTGGCGTCACTAAAGCTTGCTATGATTAGGCTTGTGACGTTCATAGTGGGGAAGCAGTGTCACTAGCAAAGTATAATTGCTTAACAGTTGCACCCACAGCCCAAGTCTCTCGCTCAGAATCAATCGACTTCGGCTAGTCTTGCTCACGTCTATACGCCCAGAGATATTGAAGGATATGGGCGAACAGATCGAAACAGTATGTGACAGGCATGTGCTAGGATATACCATGGTCTTTCCGCTTCAGTATTTGCCTGTGACGTGCCTTGGGGCTTGAGCAGCGTACACGAAACCGTCCGAATGTCGTAGCAGGCTGATGTATGGACACTTCTATAAGGGACTAAAACCAGGTGTTACACGCGTGGGCCGCAGTCTGCGTCGATACCTGCCAAATTAAACTAGGGACCCATCTTGAAAGCTTCTTTTTCCTCTCACTGCGGTACAAGCTTTACAGACGTGGTCCGATCTCATATGAGTACCATACACGTTAACCGCAGAGTTGTCTGAAGTGTAATGTCTTGATCAGGCCTGGTAGGTCAAGTGTTGCCTGACAACAAGCTTTATATGAACATGAACGCCTGCCAGATCTCAGTAGTTCGATCTCGGTACTCTTATGCACGCTGGGGATTTCCGTCTTTTGTACTCAATCTCTTTTATCTCTTTACCTTTACCTTCTCTCGGCGTTAAACTCGTCCGTTCTGTCAACCTTGTAGTCGCGGGACGACTTCTTTTCCGCCATTCCTTATCCTTCTGTTATTATTTCGGCTCTGAGTCGTTCAATAGTTATTTGACGACTTTCTGACTATCTTGACATGTGTCATTTGTTTTCTCTAAACTCTAATTTGGTCCACGACTCGGAAAAGAATCACTGAAAATGTCGGATTCCACAGTAAACGTGAAGCCGCAATGTGGCAGCGGAGATCAGGTGGGAGAGTACGATCTTGGCTTGCACGTAGCTGGCCTCTGTAAGTCGTCAACAGCTTTTGGCTTAGTTTCAAGCTGTGGACACAATCAGCTAACACCTTGACTAGTTATGGTATTAGCAGCCTCGATTTTTGGTAAGACAGCCAAAACGCAGAATGCGTCCCCTGCGCAATGCTGATGTCAATGTCCTCCAGGTGCTGGATTCCCAGTAGCTGCAAAGAAAATCAAGTGGCTCAAGGTCCCCGAGAAGGTGTTCTTTGCATGCAAACATTTCGGTACGGGTGTCTTGATTGCAACAGCCTTTGTTCACGTACGTCCATACTCGGTGCCCCAATTCGAAGCATGATCTAATAACCCATGCAGCTTCTTCCCACGGCCTTCTTCAGTCTTTCGGACCCATGTCTTCCAGACCTATTCACCGAGCAGTACCCGCCGATGCCCGGCGTCATCATGATGGCATCGCTCTTCTCTCTTTTCACCATCGAAATGTGGCTTAACAGCAAGATGGGAGGTCACTCCCATGGCGGCGCCAAGGGCTTTGAGTCTTCGCCCTCTGCCAAGACCATGGCCCAGATGGGAGGGCAGATGAGAGAGCATATGGGGCCCGCTGGCAATTTTTCTCGCCCACTTCGACACACCCGCACGAGCCTCGAGACAGATGATGACATCTCATACGAGAAGAAGGTCGCCCAGAAGGCCTACGAGGAGAACGCCACAATCCAGCGTCAGAACCCCTACGCAGACAGCAGCTCCAACGAGTTGGACTTCGCCCACTCCGAGATGCCGCCCTGGTTCATCGTCTTCTACGAGCAGTATGTCCGCCAGCACCTCGAGATGATGAAAATGATCAAGGAGTCCGGAGGCCGGTACCACGAAGATTCCGAGTCCGAACCCGTCGTGTCGGAGAACCAGGCCCCCATCTTTGACGAGGAAGGCCAGCAGGTCGACCCTGCGGTCCTCAAGAAGATGTCTCTCAACATCACCCTGCTTGAGGGTGGCATCCTGTTCCACTCCGTCTTCGTCGGCATGACCATCTCCATCACCATCGAGGGCTTCATCATCCTCCTCATCGCCATCCTCTTCCACCAGATGTTCGAGGGTCTCGGTCTCGGCTCCCGCATCGCTGCTGTTCCGTACGCCAAGGGAAGCATCAGGCCTTGGGTTCTGGTTGTGGCCTTTGGCACTACGGCGCCGATTGGGCAGGCTATTGGGTTGATTACGCGCAATGCGTATGATCCCAACAGTGCGTTTGGGCTGATCATTGTTGGTGTTTTCAACGCTATGTAAGTCATCTACGCTTCAGTCAAGTCAAGGCATTGGGACACGTGGCTAATACTTTTCCAGCTCTGCCGGTCTGTTGATCTACGCGTCGACGGTCGATTTGCTTGCTGAGGACTTCCTGTCCGAGGAGGCGAATGAGACGCTGTCAGAGAAGGAGAAGATCACGGCATTTTGCTACGTGCTGGCAGGGGGTATGCATCCCCTTCCTTCCTGCTTCGCGACATTCATGCTAATCATCTACAGCTACGGGCATGTCCATTGTGGGCGCTTTTGCTTAATATCACATTTTACTGTACACTTGTTAAAAGGAACAGGAGGCGATTGGCGGAAATACCCCCAAGGCTGCTTCAGCCGAGTTTTAAATGTTTGATTGCGAATCACGAATGTCCCGAATGAATGGAAATCAGCGGCTAATTTAGTTCAACACTAACGCCTGCGAGGTGGTCATCGGCTGTCAAGTACTGTGGGCAATATGGCATGTATTGGTGTGATGATGACGCTGATGATGACGGGACTAATCCCCAAGAGTTTGCAGCTACGGAAGGGTTACAGCAAGCTGGCCAAATAGAGAGAACGAACTCATATATACCCCAGGTCACACTCATTGTCAGACTGCCGCCCTCTCGCTACGCATTGGAGAGAGGTCGTTACGATCGGCAACGGACTTTTTTCCTATGTGTGCGCACACAGTCGAACTACTCAGTCACCAGAGCGATTGATGCTTCCAGGATTCTCAGGAGAAACCGCAGAGCCGCGAACAGAGACTATAAGGCATGAAAATGACGGACGCTACTTTAAGAGTCATGGTATTCAGACGTGGGAGCTCGTCCACAAGCTGTTTTGGGTCGGATTGTCACCGAGTCAATGACACCAGCAGAGAAATTGACAAGGTGGATTGAGTGTGTGGGGGAATGGGACAAAGCGAGTCACGTCAAGTACGGACTCGGTGGGACGGAAGGCAGTGGAAAACAATTCGCGCATTTGCCTTATCCCATGTGTACTAGGCCTGTCCCGCATGGGGACATCCACGGGTGTAAGTGCGATATCGATGTAGTCCAATATGATCAAATTTACACCACTTGAAATGTAAAGAAGAAATCGGAAAAAAAAGGGCATGTCATTTGCATGAAAATACACAACATCCTCGGGTATCAACAAGAAGAAAGCTCTTCAGAGGGTAAGCAAAACTCAATTTCGGCTTAGTCTGAGACGTTACACGCTGGTGACTCGAAGCCAGGAAAGTCGAGCATGAGACGATACGCCTCTTTGTTATGTTTGACACGATGTTCGCAGCTGCAAGTCTAAACGGCCCTCCTTTCCAGGCCAGCACTTGGGACGACGCGATGGCAGCTTTGCTGTACTTTAGTCTTCGCATCTTCCCTGACCTGAACGACACTGGCATACGGATTTGCTTTCTGTCATATTGACTCAATCTGGAAGATATTGAATTCCCTTGGTCCCCACACTTCTTCATCTTACTTATCAGCTAGTCCAGAGGCGTTAAGATAGAGCTTTGGCTGCAAAGACAAAACTACTCCTTCAGAAATCAAGGTGCCATGTCTGATAGTATGTAATCTCTCCATCGGTGCATTCCTTTTTTATTGGTCACATAAAGGCATTGCCCATGAGAGTTGACAAATGTCTGCCCTACAATATTCATGATGCGATGGAACATGTAAGAGAACACCAAGACTCCACACCACCACCGGTACTGGCCTATGCCCTGTCACGGTAGCCCTCTATGATAGTCAGTACCTACCTTCCCGGCAAGGTCTGCCCTTGCGCTTCTCGAAATGCTGACAACCAAGCGCCAAGCCCCCGGGTTAGACAAGGTGTCCCTGTCAATGGGTTCCAACTCCATTTTCCTCTTTTTGATTTCCTCTCTTTCCTCTCTTTTTGGTAGGGGTTAACAGTCCGTTTAAGAAACTTTGACAAATCGACCCCTGCTCTGCTTTCTTCCACCGGGCCACCCGGTCAGAAAAAGGCGGGCAAGCGGGTATCCTTGCTTGATGTGCACGGCTACTATGAAAATCCCCCGAACAAACCCACGTTAAGACGTATGAGCTCTGCTTGGCGGCTGCTGGATGGGGCAACAAGTGAGTCCGGTGTAGTTGAGAGGTTGGGCGGTTTCTAGCCAAGACGGAATCGACGACGATTGGACTATGCGCTGCTGATCATGAACATTGCGCTACATCAAGGCTGCAACAAACTGTTGTTGCTATTGCCTGGATACTTTACTATTACTACTATCATATATCACTCGTTTTTGCTTTTCCGGCTGAGCTTAGCATTGGGCCTTTGATATGAAACTGGTGATGGGCTGATGTTAGCCCAGCCGACCTCGAGTTAGAGTAGGGACTGTCTTATGTATGTAATCCCTGAGGATTGTACGGGCTGTATAGACTCGCTTCTAGTTATAATCGGGAATGAAGAACCCGGCAAATCTGCTAACCTCTATCGCGAGTTTTGTCGATGCTCAGACGGCCAAGTATATATGCAGACATATGGAACATATCCAATGGTCGCATCAGCGTGTCTTTGGGAGATACCCGTATCCCATCGGCTCTTTATGCTGCCCACCAGAGTCCCGAATCTAGAAGATCTCTTGAAAATTTTGTTACTAGAGCTATAAAACATGATACCCTCCCAAGAAGCCAGGCATTGAAACACACCGTGTCTGCGACAAGCTTCTACCACTTGGCTGTCGGAACGCCAACGAAAGCCGACGACCAGTTTGATGGGCAAACCCTATGGTCAGATCCTGTCTCTCAGATCATGATGTCGGAATTTCTAGAAGTTAGTTCTGCTGAGTGTATCTATTATGTCTCGGCGTTAGGGATATGTTGATTCCAGGCAACCTACGACAATTATGCGCTACTTGATTACTCGGCTACTTGACTGTCAGGTCGCGTACTTGGGTGAAAGTACACGAAGCTAGATACAATTCTAGATAAGTCTCCCTCGGTAGTATTCATAGTACGTCACTGACGAGCGCTATGAATGGGATATAACGCAACCCCGGCGGAACTAACTCGCAGATATACGGAGATGACAATAATCTAATTTTTCATATATCAGTCACTCTCATATGTATAACTGATAACTAATGCCCGAGATTGTTCATATGTATGTATTCAAGTACGGCTATGTCGATTGGTTCCGTAACAATCCAACATCTTCAGGCAGGTTGCGAAGCGCCTTTCCTTATATATAAACGCGAGTCCGTTCGGTCATCAGAAGCAACGCTCTCATATCCCCATTCTTCGATCCCTCGCTATTTCTCGTTATTTTACAGCTCTGCCTTTCCCAGCGTCTTCATTTCTATTTTGCTGCCGCTGATTGCTGCGAAATCAGAACAACTTCCCCTTGTAATCCTTCGGCGCCAGAATGACATTATACTCGAGTTCAAGCTCGGCAAGGTCATCGCCCTTGAGTGGCTTGAAGTCTACCACCAAGTCGTCCTTAACGGCGAAGACGGTGTCTGTCTCGAGCCACGGGTCATTCTTGGGATATAATTGCGTAGTGCAGCCCTTAAACTCAGGGTGCGTGACCTTGATGTCCCTGTTAGCTACTGTTGCTCCGAGCCCCTTCCCCTATTTCCAAGTCGCGTTATCTGGGAAAGCGGCAGCTAAACTCACCATAATATGAATATGCGCCGGCCTCATCGGGTGACGATCCATCAACGTCAACATCTTGTATGACGGCCCATCGGTAGGTAGCGAGTACGCCGTGGGGTGGTAGCAGTAAAACCAATACTTTCCGTTCTCGTCGGCGCGGAACTTGCCCCGTAGGTTGTTGTCCGTCTGGTTCTCCGGGTCCTGGAAGTCGTATTTGCCGTTGGACGAGGCCTGCCAGATGTCGAAGACGGCGCCCGGGATTGGCTTGCCTGTCACCAGGTCGCTGATGACGCCGTGCATCAGGCACACGCGCCCGCCCTTAGCCGGGTCTTGGATGATGGTTTCACCATTTTCACGGAACGGCGCGTTGGGCGACCAGAAGGGGCCTAGGATTGCTGACGAGGTCGGGTCCACGTCGCCCTCGGCGATGATCTTGTGGGCGATTTCGTCGACGAGACTTTGGATTTCGGTTAATAGATATTCTTGCACGCATCGTCAGAGGCGAGGCAAAACTTACGACTCGAGACCCACGATGTCAGATATTCGGTGTGCCTCATTTCGCGTTGGGGTGGAGATCTGGCCAATGGAGTTGATGAAATGAACGCCGGTCATCCACTCGTCGATCGTGAGCTCCGTCTCCCGAGCGAAGTCGTGTATGTGCCTGAGCAGAGCACTGAGTACAACCCGATTCCTCGGCGTCACGTTGGGGCCCATTGTATCGATGACTTTTTGTGTGAAGGAAGGGTCGAAACGTGAGGATATGGGTGCTTTCGCCCCGTTTGAATGGCCATTGGTAGCCCCTTCGGTGGCACCGTTAGTGCCGCCATTTGTGGCTGCTGGAGACATTGTGACAGAAGATTCTGGTGCAACTTGGGGGATAGATGCAGTTGATTCGGTCTATTGGGTTAACGCCGAGAAGATAGATATAAGTAGAAGATAGCAGGTTATGTCTCACACTGGGAAAACAACTGGATATGAGAAGTGAATAACACAATGGCTTAGCATGAACGGATGCGTATTCACTTAAATACCCATCCCCGGCGGCGTAGTTTGCCTTCGTAATGATGAATTCACTCTACTCTGATAGGTCCCGAGTCGCGCTCCCCGCCAACCAAAGGTGGGTTGGGCCGGTCTGATCTCACGGCATGGCGAATGACCTCGTCTGCAAATGTCAAGTTGGCCGCGAGGTGGTGGTCGGGGGAAATATTGCCCTCAACTAGATCCATACTAACGGATATTTTGCGGGGGCGCCCCTCGATGTCGCAGACGGGGACCCTTGGTGACAACAAGAACGCCATGATACGGCAAGATATTCTTCCTACCGGCTTAGTGCCTCACACTCGGCACAAGGACGACGACTCCTGACTCGCTGAAATTCTAAAAAAAAGCCCACCGTCCATCTAAGGTTGGAGGCTTGTTTGTGGACTCCCGAACGGCGTGAAGCCCCTTGGGCACCGGATTCATGAAGTAAACTGGGAAGTAGGGGACAATGGACGGGTATTTACCCGGCATGATCGAGATGCGGCAGTGGTCCGTTGGGTTTTATTTGCGGTCGAGCTAGCAACTGGTGCGTGCATCTACCGCCGCCCATGCCGAACCGGAAGTGGAAGCTGCTGAAGCAATCGGCTGGTGAATACTCTTCCACTCTCCCCACATTACGGCATGGAGCTTTCTAGTGATGTGGAGATTGGAGATGGAGGGGTATGGATTGTTGGTGGGCGCCGGCGGAGGTGTGGGGTTTCAGAAGCTCATGAGCCTGGAGATGAGACGACTGGACGATAGTTGTTCCCAAGTCAGCTGAGTCTGATTGCTAGTTGCTCGTGTGAAGTGCGAATTTTTCCAGAGCTCTCTTACATGTTGAAGGCAGCGTCTCCTATCAAGCATTTACGTCCCTCATTCATCCCGAGGACTGCGAAGATGCCTGTTCATCACTTGATGTGTGGGACATGGACTCCACCTGGAGCCATTTTCACTGTCGCATTCGACGATGAAAAGTTGACATGTGAGGTGGTCAAACGAACCGAGATACCCAAGGACGAGCCTATCTCGTGGATGACTTTCGATGTGAGTCTACCGCGCCCTCAATGTCCAGATCTACCGCAGAGCTTGACAACTAAGTAAGTTGTAGCATGCCAAGAAAAACATATATGGTGCGGCCATGAAGAAGTGGTCGAGTTTCGCCGTCAAGAGCCCAACCGAAATAATTCACGAAACATCTCACCCTATGCTCCATGACCGTATGTTGAAGCGCCAGCACTTGCCAGTCAAGCTACCCAGTAGCTAACCCCTTGAACTGCAGCCCAGGCCGCATCTCCCGATACGAATACTCGCGCAATCTTCCTTCTCGCTGCCAAACAATCCCCGTATAATGTCTATTGCAACCCGTTCTACAAACATGCAGGACACGGCTCTGTATTCTCAACCTCGTCAACAGGCGCCCTCAGCGAAGCGACCCAACACTACGAATACCAGCCCAACTCGGGCATCCACGGAATGATCTTTGACCCAACCGAGACGTGGCTCTACTCGGCCGACCTGAAAGCCAATAAGCTCTGGGTGCATAAGAAGGACGCCTCAGGGACCCTTTCGCTCGTGGGCTCGGTCGACGCGCCGGATAGCAAAGACCACCCGCGCTGGGTCGCCATGCACCCGACAGGCAACTACCTGTACGCGCTGATGGAAGCTGGCAACCGGCTGTGCGAGTATGTGATCGATCCGCAGACACATATGCCAGTATACACGTACCACTTCTTCCCGTTGATACCGCCGGGGATACCCAACTACGACACCATGTACCGTAGCGACGTGGTGTCGCTAACGAAGTCGGGCAAGTACATGTTCGCGACGGCGCGGGCGAACAGCTTCGATCTGCAGGGCTACATTGCGGCGTTCAAGCTGCGCGACTGCGGCAGCGTCGAGAGGCAGATCTGTTTGAATCCTACGCCGACGAGCGGGGGGCACAGTAATGCGGTTTCGCCGTGCGATTGGAGCGATGAGTGGGTGGCCATTACGGACGACCAGGAGGGATGGCTCGAGGTTTATCGGTGGAAGGACGAGTTTCTTGGGCGCGTGGCCAGGGTGAGGATCCCGGAGCCGGGCTTTGGGATGAATGCCATCTGGTATGATTGAGTGGTAGTAGCTTCCGATTGCGTCTCGTTTACGCGTGTCGTCCGATGTAGATCTTGGGAGTTCACATGTAGGGACAAGCACTGCCGAGACAATCAATTCTTTAACCCACACGCTATTCTGAGGCTGTCGCAAGCGACACCTCCAGGGGTTATTGATGGTTTCCGCAATTGACGCGGGTGGGGGCCATGAAGCGAAGCAAACTATACCTGCTGAGCAAGTAAGTACCACGAGATTACCTGACATGCATACAATTGGCGCGGTGGCATGCGTTTAATATTCTAGTACCTTTGGCAGCGAGCTCATAGAGACAAAGAGCCTTTGTTGCACAAGTCCAAGTCGATGTCGTCTGACCGAAAGAGCCGTTACGACCCCGTCATAAATACCCCCGTCATAACTGGCCCAAGCTCCCACCGGCTCATTCTCTTACCTACTGAAGTCTCGGCCTTTTGGTGTCCACGGGTTCGAGCAGCAAGTCACGTCGTTCCATCGATCTTCAGTTCAACATATTACAGATTTGCTAGATCATGCATCGTAAGAGCGGAAGCAATGTTTTCCGTACGGTGCGCCCAGTCGTTCTGGGTCTCGCCAAAGTCGCCGCGCTAAGCATTTCCGCCGTTACTGCCTCCCCGATATACCGATCGCGCGATGTCCACGACAACGAGCCCGAGGCCGAGGGCGGTACCCTCTGGATATACTACGTCGTCTCCATGGTTCTGGTGCTGCTAGGAGGCGCATTCGCCGGTCTGACCATTGCGCTGATGGGCCAGGACGGCACGTACCTTCGTGTCATGGCTCAAGACCCTGAAGAGCCGCAACGGAAGAATGCAAAGCGCGTTCACGATCTGCTTAAAAGGGGAAAGCATTGGGTGCTGGTCACGCTCCTCTTGTCCAACGTCATTGTCAACGAAACTCTGCCAGTCGTCTTGGATAGGTGTTTCGGTGGTGGTGTCGCAGCTGTTGTTGGCAGCACCGTCTTAATTGTCATCTTCGGCGAGGTCATCCCCCAGTCTCTGTGTGTTCGCTATGGCCTCCAGATCGGCGGCTACATGTCAAAACCAGTTGTCGTACTCATGTATCTCATGGCCCCGGCTGCCTGGCCCACGGCCAAACTGCTCGACTGGCTCCTCGGCGAGGACCACGGCACCGTGTACAAGAAGAGCGGCTTGAAGACGTTGGTGACACTGCACAAGAACCTGGGCGAGGTGAGCGAACGACTCACCCACGATGAAGTTACGATCATTACCGCTGTTCTGGACTTGAAGCGAAAGTCGGTCGAGGAGGTAATGACGCCTCTCGAAGATGTCTACATCATGTCTGAGGACACCGTACTCGACGAAAAGACTATCGATCAGATCCTTGACGCCGGTTACTCCCGCATTCCCATCCATCAGTCCGGAAACCCAAACAACTTTATTGGCATGTTACTGGTCAAGATCCTCATTACCTACGATCCCGAGGATGGCAAAAAGGTTGGCGAGTTTGCCCTTGCGACCCTGCCCGAAACTCGCCCCGAGACTAGCTGTTTGGACATCATCAACTTCTTCCAGGAGGGTAAATCACACATGGTATTAATTTCCGAGTATCCGGGCGAGGACAATGGAGCCATCGGGGTTGTCACTCTTGAGGATGTCATCGAGGAGCTGATTGGAGAGGAAATCATTGACGAGTCTGATGTCTACGTTGACGTGCACAAGGCTATCCGACGGACTCACCCTGCACCCAAGGCCCACCGCACCCAACGAAAGGACATAATGGTCAAAGACATGGCCGTCAAGGATAGAAACCTAATCGACCTTGAGGGAGAGCACGATGATCAGAGCAAGCTGACTTTACCCCTCGGCAAAATCGAGTCGCCAGCAGCGCTGTCTAGCAGCCCCAAAACCACGCTATTGATGAGAAGGTCTTCTGCCGGGCAAGACGGACAGATGATTCACACTACGGTCCCTGTCAAGGCCAATTATCAAGAGATGAAGGGCCATCTGAAGCACCTTGGTCCTTCTAACCCGGCTTCGAATCCCAAGGCGACGCGCGTTTCGGCCGTCAAGATCAAACCGGGTCAGGCCCGAGCCAATTCCGTGGCAGGAGACATAATTCCAGAGCACGCAGCAGCTTTCTCAGACGGTATAGCTGATGCTGATGGCGTTGATGAGCGCACAAGTCTCCTGCGGCCACAGCGGAGCGGCCGAGACGGAATTCAAGCCCTTCATCAGAGTTATATTGCGACGCCTTCAGCATCCTTACAGGATGTGGACGGTCCCAAACCCAAGATTGCCATCAACACAGAAAACAGTCCGGCTGCGCAGGCCGATGCAAACACAGAGTCGGAGCAGAGTAGCAGCTCCCCCACTGCTGTGTCAGCCAGTGGCAGTATAGGTTCTCAAAGCAGCGGTAAAGTGCCCGGTCGGAGAACCTCTACCAGAGGCTATGTCCGCAGTGGTAGTATTACCGAAAATGTGGTCGAGGCAGGTGGAATCCGCAAGGTCGTCCTGGAAGCTACTAGTTCTGGCGACGAGGGCGAAGACGACACCACCAACAGGGCTCCCGGCCAGTCCAGATCTAGGAGCGGAACCACCATCTTGCTAGCCCCCACGCAGGAAGAGGAGGATCAAGAGGGTTCCGCCGGACCGTCGGTTGTTAGTGCCGACGGCACTTCTGATGCGGCCAAGGGGCTGAAGAAGAAGTCGAAAAAGAAGAAGAAGAAGGGTGGGAAGTAGGACTAGCTGTGAACCAGCAGCCTGCTTTCTGCGAGATTTTTGTACGATGTAGTCATATTCTAGCGATAGGGGTGGATTTGTATCATGGGAAAGGGGGATCGTCCTCATATGGACGGACCCGGAGATCAACAGAACACCCGCTGCATCACTTGAGTAGAGCGCATACCTACCTACTTACTTACTTGGTAGGTACTTGTGTTATTATACGGAATACTATGCTAAGTTAAAGCCTACTGCTTGAGCCTGTTTTGTTCAAGAATGATTCGTCCGTCAAGTCCCAGGCTAGAGCTCTGTGGTGTAGCAAAGTAGGTGCGAGCACTGCTCAAGCCGCTATGCACAGTGACATAGATACTTCGTCATATAATGAGGTATTAGATTAAACCCTGGAAGTCGTGGTTTGCGAATGGCACCATATTAAGTATGGACGGTGCTTTGTATTCTGGCGACTACTCCATTTAATAAAGTCGAAATAAGGATGCTATGAATCTAACCGGTAACAACCCTGCCACGTCAGTATGGTTTGCTATAGCAACATCACAATGATCAGTCGTGATTGGATTCTCTGAAGCACATCCCAAGGCAAAATAGCGGCCTCAGCCTCAAGCTGTCGTTTTTGTTCTTCGCCAAATATCAGTCCTTCAACTCCTATTCCATGGTGCTTCGAGCCAACAACCTTTCAAGCACTTCAACCTCGTAGAATGAAAGACAATACATACTGAAAACCGAAGTGCGAATAATTTGATGGATATAGTATCCACGGCTAGGAGAAGCTATCTTGTCGTGGTATCTGAGTAGAAGGACAGAAATGGCTTTAAACACTATGTCGATGAATGTGTTTTCGACCACACCTGGTCTACACAGCCTGGAAAGTACATCATAGAATACCTGCAATGAATCAATCTTAGCCATTATCGGGGTCCACGTACAACTGCGGTGTTTTTGCTTGGTTTGTTTGTGAACGATTATGCAGTGGTATAGTATAAAAGCACCGGATAGAAGCACAATAGATATTGTATATGTATCAACGTAGTGCCAGTTAGATAATCTCTTCTGTCGTCCAGAACAAATATGGCAAGGTATACTCACACTTCGCGCATAGATACTTACATCCTGACGTCAAAAAGCCAAACACTGGCCCATCACCTGTCCACGTCACTCATCATCATCTTGCGCCCTCTCCCCATCGGCAGCTCTCGTCCTCACCCTCGCATCTTCACCGCAGCTACCCACCAATAAGACCAAGCAGCCAACGACCGCACACAGCAGCTTTCGCCACCTGTTGCTCAATATCATCAGTATACACCACCGCAACCCTGCACAAACGCCCCGACTTCTCACCCCCCGCGACCTCTGCGCCGCCTCTTCAGCACACGCGGAACCAGCGTTTTCGGCGCGAATCTGGCAAGTGGGAATATCGTTGGTTTGGCGAATGGGGCCATTGTGCAGTTTGAGTGGGAGGGTCAGGTTGGCGCCAAGGGGAGGATGGGGTGTGTTACTGGGTTTGAGATGGCTGGGACGGGCTGGTGAGTTTCTTTACTGTTTTTTCTTTTTTTCCACTCGTAGGGAGGCTATGAGATGGAGTAAAAGAGTGCAATGTGAGTTACCTGGAGTTGACTCGCCCTGCAGGAGAGGGATATTGGATACAGGCTGCTGCCCTGTCACGTATGTAGAATACTTAGATATTTGTGAGTCTGGCTGCCAGAGATAGAGTTTCTCAGTTTGCCTGGAATAAGAATAGCAGAGAAGGTTGTCATGCGTGAGTTTTCCCAACCTATGGCTCTCATTGATCTCGAAGTCACTTCAGCCACGAAGTTTCCAAACAGAAAGCTTGCGCCATAGACATTCAAGAGTGCAGAAACTGGGGCAATGTCTATTGTGATTCATCGTGCTTTGTAGCCATCAAAGTACGTACCAGCAGCACTGTATTCGAGGGCTTTGGCTTCTGGAAAAGAAAAAGTTCCTCATTTCATTGTTACTTCTCTTGCAGTACAGGTGCGCTTGTAGGCTCATGATGCGCAGAACATAACAGCTAGAGTAGAGAGCATCTCATCATATCGTCTTGAAGTTCCGAGTATTCGCGGGCGCAGTTGGCTTCTCGTTCCCTTTGCGATACTTACACTGACTGACATTCCACACCGGAGGATATCTGGAGTTGTCGAGTTTGTGGGGTTGAAGGTTTGCAGAAGCAGCCCCAATCTCACCAAGCTCGGACTGCTTTGTGATTGTGGCGGTTCTTTCTGCTGTGTCATACCGTCTGAGACTCTCGCCTCAGCTGAGATATCCATCCATCCCTGGGCTGGCTGTGTGCCGCTCGCAATTTCGCTTTCGTATTACGCCAGTCCCAAAACAAGCTTCCAAGCCGACCGATCCCTGGGCAAAACTTGCTTGCTTTCTGCCAAACTGCCCCAACCTTCTATCCCCCTCACCGCCCTGGAGAAAAGTCGCGAAATCTAAGTATAAGTATCTCGTCCTCCCCCGTCAATTCCCCTGCTTCCCTTTTCTTCTTCATACTTACCTTCTTACACCATACCAAGATCAAGCATTTGGGATGGTAGCATGGAAAACCTGCATTGCACATCGCGGTGTTTGCTATGTTTCACTGTCCTTCGGGGCCGTGAGTGGGGGAATTTTTGATACCACACTTTCTTTTTTCATTATGCACTATGCCTTGCGCATGGTCATGAGGAAGATAGATTATCTCAGATGAGTTGTGGATGTTGCGTTAGTTTCGTAGTTGTCCTGTGCCTTCTGTATTAAATTGTGCTTGACTCAGCCACGGGAATTACTGTTAAAGAGAACATTGTACATCTCCAACAACATCGGGCAGGTTGGCCAGAGTGCGTGCTACAGTTCAGCCACGGCCACGCTGGGAATTGCAGCCACGTCGATCTGCGGAAAGATTTTTGCTGGTGACTTTTGCATAGTTGCAAAGGTATTCGGCATCCATCTTCCACTGATTTTATTCTCATTTGAAGTATCACAGATCCTCCTTATCTGAAGGTAATACAGTATGTACCTCGGCACCAGTTGTTTGACACTTTTCAGTGCCTGTCGCTCCTGCAAAGCTGATCAGTCCAACACGTCAACCTCAAAAACATGGCCACTTTAGCCACTGTAAATACATCAATCATAGTCCCGTATGGTGGTATATTACGAAGTTCGTTGTTTTGTTTTCTAATGTCGCCCATCGCCGGCGCCCGCCGTGATCCGTCCAGATTTACCTCAACGCCGATAAGCCACGTAGTACATTAGAGTGCATCCAAGCCGAGACATAAACCTCCTCTTGGGTGCAGGTTCAGCTCTCCGTTGTTGATTGCTTCATGTACAACATCATAAAGTAGGGAATGAGCAAGGATGATTGCCATGTAATTAACAACTCTGGACACATCATCTAGCTCTCGTTAGCTTGGTATTGGAAAGAAACAAACCATGACCATTGACAAGCCCACTCCATTTGTGATCCCGACCGTCGACCTGGCTCCGTACCTGGAGGACCCCTCATCGGCGGCGTCGGCCAACATTATTGAGCAGGTCCGACAGGCCTGCATCACCAGTGGCTTCTTCCAGATCGAGAACCATGGCATTTCCAGGGACTTGCAACAATCCGTCCTCAATGCCGCCGAGGCATTCTTTGCACTTCCGCTTGAGGCGAAAAAACAGGTCGTCCATCCGACTTTGAAGAACCGCGGCTATGAACTCATTGGCTCCCAAGCACTACAGGAAGGCGCATTGCCTGATCTAAAGGAGGTAGTTTTTACTTTTCCACTTCTACTGTATCAATTCGGAATCAGTTGCTCATCGAGCCACTTCAGGGGTTCTACGTCGGTCAGCATATCCCCAACACAGATGAGCGTGTGAAAGACCACCCTCACTTGATGGGACCCAACATCTTCCCACCAAACATCCCTGAAGACGTCTTGAAGAATCCCACAGAGACGTACTACCGCGATCTCCTCAGTCTGTCCGGCAAGATCATGGAGATCCTCGCCAAGGGCCTCCCGTACGGCAACGAGGTCTTCGTGCCGTTCATGTCCAACGACCCCGTCTGTTCGATAAGACTGCTGCACTACCCGCCGCAAAAGACCAAGGACGTTAGGCAGCTGGGTGCTGGGGCGCATACTGATTTCGGTAAGTCGACTACCTACCTCCATAGTCACCTTCCTCGGCGTGAAAATCCAAGCTTGCCTAACTACCCGAAAAGGGGCTATCACCCTCCTCATGCAAGACATGTCCGGCGGCCTTGAGGTCTTGAACGACACGACAGGGCAGTGGATCCCCGTGGACCCCAACCCGGATGCGTATGTGGTGAATATCGGCGATATGCTATCGATGTGGACCAAGAACAAGTATAAGAGCGCTACGCATCGGGTCATCAACACGAGCAATAAGGATAGGTACTCGGTGCCCTTCTTTGTTGATGGGAATACTGATGTGAAGCTCACGCCATTTGATGGGAGTGAGCCTGTAGGCGGGAAGGTTCTTACGGCCGAGGAGCACATGCTGGAGCGGTTTGGGACGACTTATGGGAGGGCTGAGAAATTGGTTGCGGCTTCGTCGGGGTCATGATGGGGTGGCGCAAAGCAAAGGGCCGGCGTGATGGGTTAGGATGCAAAGAGTCCATTTCCCCGATCCCCATTGCGTACATGGGTCGATTGGAGAACGCAGGGATGTCCTCCAGGCTATTCCCCGATTTTTAGAGGTTTGAGAAGGTGGTAACAGGAACGAAACCCAACCTTCCTATATTCAGAGCATTCCACAGTAGCAGCAATCGACTTTGAGAATACACTGTGAATACGCAACGTAATGAGTTGGCAACGATCTCTTTCGATGTGTTTTGTTACACACAATCTTTCCCTCGCAATCAACTGGGTGGTACAGATTGCTTATCAGGATGTAACTGTTTTCCGATTGATATTACGTGAGAACCATGCCATGCACACCTTCCCCGATTGCTCGAGTCTCAGGTGTTCTTCAAACAGAACACTGGTACTTTGAAGACATTGTCAAAAAAAACTTTGTAGTCACTGTCGAGATCACTGATTGCCACTTGTACGCATGCATTGCCAATGGCCGTATACGAACTAGGCACCACATGCAATCCTGATAACCCCCCTGAATACTCTAAGCTGTATATGTAGATTCAGATAAATGACTTTGACTGGCTCTATACTACTCAAACAAAGACGAAAAAATGCTTTATACTCGAGCCGTTTAGTCGGACGTTGGGCCACAGCGCGGTATTTCTGTCCTCAGTACTACATTCGAATGCCGATCAACTGACCTAGCGACCCGCTACCAGCGACGGTATAACTCACCACTGGACAGTTGATTTAGGCCATCCCTCGTATTTAACGAGAGAGTGGGTTGAGCGGATTCCACCTCCGCATCATGACCCCGGGTTAGGTTAGATAAGTAAGCATCAAGTCAAACCTGGGGTTGAATGAGGGGAAGCCCACGCAGCTTGACACCCGAATAAAATAAAATAAAATAAAACCTGATGGAGCACTCACCTATGACTTGACAATCGCAGTTATCCTTTATTCACCTGGCCCTGCACCATCGGCAGCGGACATTATCGATATTCTTGGGAACCAAATAAGCAACCACGTACGTTAACTCTCTAACCGCATTGACCACCTTTTTGCATGCACCCCCGTTTTGCAGGTAAATTCTACGCCTTAACAACACGACGTCTCTCAATTTACCTCGTAATCGCTCCCTAGCTACTGTCACGGTCAGACCCAGCAAAATAGGGGGGTGTATGCAAAAAGGTGGTAAATGCGGTTAGTTTACAGAACGGTTTGAGGCTCCTAACTGTGATTACGATAGTTGTCGATCCAAAACTCAATCCGTCATTTGACGCCGCATTCTCACATTTTTTCCACTAAAGCCATCCCCATTGCGCACGCCGGGTCCGGTATGGGCTGGACCAAGTACAGCACAGCTAGTACCTATCGCTTACTCATCTCAACCAAGTTGGGACGCTGCGACTTGGCCGGATTGAAATGACTGCCATGTCGACCGCAACCATCGAGCTCGGGTTGATCGAAAATAATGATTCGAAAAAGGGCCCGGCGGGCCCGGACGACGACGCCGGTGCCGGCGTCAAGCACGAGATTCGCGAGTTCCGCATAGATCCAGAAATCGAGCGAAGGGTCGTTAGGAAGATGGATAAGGTCGTGGTGCCTCTGGTGATGAGTTTGTGTGAGCCGACAATGTTGCCTTCAGAAGTTGCGTTGGTGACAGCCCTACTGACCAAAATGTAGATCTTATGGCTTTCTTGGACCGGTCGAATATAGGAAATGCTGAAGTGGCGGGCATGTCGAAGGAGCTTGGATTTGACGATGCGCATTACCAGGTAGCAATTCATGATAATTGGTTTGATTTGGTTTGGAACTGACTTTCAAGCAGTGGCTGTTGACCATCTTTTATATCCCCTATAGTAGGTCCCTTGTCATGGAGACAAGCACCCGAAGTGTTGAAGTTGACCTACCCTGTTAGTTCTCTTCGAATGGTTCTCCCTGATGTGGAAGGCTGTGCCGCCGTGAGTGGAACAGGACACTTTGAATGTCGACGCGGAGTTTTAACACGTGAATAGACACATATGGGCTTTCGGCTGTGTGATGGTTTGGTATGCCACCCACCAGCCTTCGTTGCCTAAGTTCTCATACTGACAATAACTCCAGGGGCCTAGCTTCAACCTTGCAAGCAGCAGCATTCAACTGGTCCGGCCTCATGGCCTGTCGCTGGTTCCTAGCCATGGCGGAAGCTGGGTACGGGCCCGGTGTTCCCTACCTCTTGAGCTTCTTCTACAAGCGACACGAGCTCGGTTTCCGGTGCGGCATCTTCGTCTCCGCCGCGCCGCTGGCCACGACCTTCGCTGGCGCTCTGGCGTACGGCATCACGTCCGGCCATCCGTCTATCGAAAACTGGAGGCTTCTGTTCATCGTGGAAGGCATCCCGTCGGTCCTGCTTGCCTTCTTCGCCTTCTTTTTCTTGCCTGACTCGCCCGACACGGCCAAGTTCCTCAACGAAGAGGAGAAAGAGGTGGCGAGGGCGAGGGCGATCCAACAAACCGGGCGCGATGGAGCTGCCCGAGTGGGCCACGTGAACCTCCAAGATGTCTTCAAAGCGCTTGCCGACATCAAGACCTGGATCCCGCCTCTGATGTACTTCAGCTGCAACGTCTCCTTCAGCAGCTTGCCAGTATTCCTCCCCACCATCTTGCAAAATATGGGCTTCACCGCCATTAACGCTCAAGGTCTCTCGGCGCCTCCCTACTTCCTCTCCTTCCTAATCTGCATCGCCACGACCTGGATCGCCGACCGCACCCGGCAACGTGGACTCATGATCGCGGGCCTCTCCCTCGTCGGCGGCGTCGGCTACATCCTGCTCGCCACCGTGAAGAGCGTCGCCGTCCGTTATTTGGGCGCCTTCCTCGCTGCCGCGGGTGTGTTTCCCGCCATCGCGAACATTCTCCCCTGGTGAGTAACTCTCGAAGCCCTTGTTTCGCATTCTCATCGTATCCCAGAGGGGATAGAATCTGCCAAAAGCAGCCCTGCATCCTAACATATAACTGGGTTCTCCAAAGACAAGATACAAGTAGCAATTGCTGACTCCGAGAGTGGATAGGACTATTAACAACCAGGGCAATGACTCCAAGCGCGGCGCCGGCATCGCGCTGCTCAATATTATTGGGCAGTGTGGACCGCTGTTGGGGACAAAGATCTTTCCTGCGACGGATAGGCCGTATTATGTCAAGGGTATGAGTATCTGCGCGGCGTTCATGTTCTTCAATGCCCTGTTGGCGCTGGGGCTGCGCACATATTTGGCTTGGGAGAATAGGAGGTTTGAGAGGACGGATGAGGCGGCGCGCTCTGCTGCACTCGAGCAGAGCGCCGTTGGAGTTGAGAACGAGGGTTACGGCTTTAGAAACATCCTTTGATTGTCTGTGCGAGCAGATGCAGTCATTGGAAAGACTGGCCATAAGGTTCTCTGTGAACAGACGGCGGGTCTAGGATTGATCGGAAAATTACCTGGCTGGCCTTTACATGTACTTAGTTGCCATGGCGTGCAAAGTTCAGAATATTTCCCGGAAGCGAATGAAAAGCGATATTGACATTGGCCGACCTGGCGCGGTTCCCTCGGTTTGGCTTTGACAATCTTGTGGATGTCATAAACCACGCGAAATACCCCTGCGTGCCATCTGGCAAGCGAGGACGGTTGAGACTAGTTGAGTATCCAGTAGACGACTTGAATAGTAGTGAGGCGGGAGAAGGATTAACCTTAAACAAGACTTGATGATGGCAGCTGTCTGTGCTAAGGAGCATCAGAAGTCAGTCAAAGTGTTCACCACAGCAGGTAAACTCTCCAGGTTCCACCCGTCGTTCTTACCACCAAAGCTTAGGGTCTCGAGATAGCCGAAACAGTCTAGAACAGTTCGAGCGCAACAACCCCAACTTAATCAGCCGCGATATTCTCATGCCGTATTTGGATTGGGGCTGCTAGCCCGCTAGTTGGGTGAGCCTCCAGGAACAAAGGACTTCACCGACCGTCAGTCGCCATGTGGCATTTCATGTTGACTGTGGCACAACTTTGATTGGACCTTCATTCATGGCGGTCCTCCATATTTCCAAGATCAAAGCTGTTTCAGTATCCCGTATATTGTGGAGTTGCGCTTGGCAGTTGTAAGGCTCAGAACATTCAATCGAATCCTGCCTGAATCCTGCCTGAACATAAGTCATCGAAACAAACGCTCTGATTAAACCACGCCATTGTCTCATAACTTTGCAAATGCTTCGATCAATCTGTCGGTCTCATGTAGCTGCATGAGGGTCCGAGTAGGCGGGCCCGTGGCGTGTAAGCGGCAGCGCATGTAGTTCAACTGATATGATATGATGAGCCGCTAACAAAAATAGAACTTTGGTCACAGACAGGCGTACAAAAGCCAAGAACTGCTGGTAACACTCCCGTCTGAACCCCATGCCAAGTCGGATAACGGGAAACGCGACTCGACAATACGATGTTGAGTTTTTCACAGCGGGGCGAGGGCTGTCGATCTCACGACCGTTTGACATTTGGAAACACGACCTCCGGTTGCGACATGGCACCTGTTCGTGAAAGTGGAGGTCGATGGCGATGGTAATGACCATGATAATAACGGCGATGGCGGCGCGTGACTAGAAGAAAACTGTGGCAGTAAATGAGGCCGTCGTGCTCGATGAACAGGTGCACGCGGTTGGTTCCCCACAGATTTTCATGGTTAAATTTAGAGTGGCGGATCGTGTTTGTACACGGCGGTTCTTGGCGGCAATGACTTTCGGCCTCGGAACCTCGGACGGAGCACCTAGTTTTGCCAGTAGCATCTCTCTAGGGCTGTATTAAGCTCCAGTTGCAATCTCCATGATGATGTGACGTTGAGTCCACTTTCACTCCAGCATGCTCTGGAATAGGCGTGACGATTGGATGAGAGACTCGGACACTGCTTTTCCTGGGCCGCAAAGGGCAATAAATGCCCGGCGCAATTCGGTGAGGGAAAGCTCCAGAATGGAGTACTGCCCCCAGCTGCTGAGCCTGCAATACGAAAGGATGGGAAATTGCTTGGCATGTAATAACGCCGATGCTACTGTATGCCCCTGCAGCTGACCGCCTGAATGGACGCGCCGAGCGGGATGACTCGAGGTGAATCGCATTGTTCTGTAAAGTGCCTTCGTGCTTGACATCGTATAGCGTGTTGTCGATCGCGGCCTGTTGACTGGCTGACCTCGGGACCTGGTCTATGGCAACCCCAAGAAAAAGCACGAGAATAACGAGGGCTGCTTGCCATGGGTTTTGTTTCCAAACTCCCCCTTGCCGCCACTGGGGCGGCCGCTGGCTGGTTACACGATCTATGCTGCAGGCCAGATTGATTATGCTGTGTTAAGCTGGGCGCTCATCTGTGTTCCACTGCGCCGTGACAGGTCTTGGTGGAAGTACATATTTGCGACGGAGCATACAGCTAGGGGTCCTTGGCGTTCGTTAGCACAGTTTGCGATATCCACATTCTTCGGCACTTGCGAGTTGCAACCCCTCAGCACCTGAGAACGCGCATGTACTCGTAGCTAGAAATGCACGAGAAATGTGCCTGAATCCTGCGCTCCACAATCTCGGGTTGGCGAGATGAATCGGCGCTGTGCCGCTCAAGGCCCCTTTCCGGGAGGCCATGATATCAGGTGCCTGAATTGATTCGCTACAATCGCTGGAATGGGAGGCGGAACCACAAGAGGCCAAGCATGGCTAAGGGGGTACCCAAGCACCGTAAAGACCGGGGTCGCGGGTTCGCAAACGTTAAGTCCCAAATTTGACGTCGGCCGGAACGTCCAAATGAAGATACAACTTCGTCCTGCACAAGTGCGGCTTGTACCTGCTAGTGCCATTAGCAGGTTCACGGGCGTTGTGGTTGTCCTTACCCGCCAGCCATTCCCTTCCGTGCGACTATCCGAAGGGCTGGAACTTTTTGTCTAGACTTCAGCCATGTCGCAACTGAGCTCAGTAAATATGCAGAGCATCTCAATTGAAGTCAACATAACGTCAGCATCCCAGATGCGGTGAGGTGCCGGCAGCAAAAGTCATTTTGGGATAAACGGCCAAGTTGTGCAACGTCACTTTGGGGAAGGTGGGATGATTGGTACCTCGCAGGGCTTGATCTGTCAGAAGGATGAGACGGGGATCGTAGTTACGGACAGGGAGGGTACTATCCAGCAACCCAGAACACAGGCAACTGTAACCCCTGTGCGCTTCACAGCTCGTTCAACAGTGAAGTAAGCAGCGCCACAAATCTGATCATTCCGTCATCTTGACTGGCTGGATGCCCAAATAATTGCGCCGTTCGAGCTAACACGGCTTAGGACCACTGCGAGGCAGGCAACAGGGGAGAGACCATAAAACCATCCCTAGCACCCCATTCGCGAACTTGGGTGAAGGAGAAATCTACGTTGCTCAACTCACATTCGTTCATCACACATTCCGAGCTGTTGTTACGCCAGCCACGCGTTTCGGCTGTTTACTACTTTTTCTTCGAGCCTCTCTGTCTCTCGTTTCACAGAAGTTTATACCAATTGTAAGAGCTTCACGATCTCGACTTGCTCTCTATAACCATTCACACCAACCCGCGCGTTCTCGCTCTCGTAACCCAACTAGTAATTTTCGCAACTTCGAGACGTCGCCAAACCTTCCACTTGGCTCGATCTTTCTTCAGACCCTCTAGGTCCTTGTCACCCGCATCAACAAACAACTTTGTTGCGTTCCCATTTTCTTCGATCAACCACAACCACACTCATCGGAACCAACATGTTCTCGAGAATACTGCGCTCCGCTGCGGTGGCCCTCGCTGCCACGCAGTTGGTCTCCGCCCAGACCTTCACGGACTGCAACCCTATGGAGAAGAGTAAGGATTTCCTAGCTCCACGGGATATGATGCAATGACTAACACGTACTTACAGCCTGTCCCGATGATCCGGCATTAGGCAAGACGGTGACGGTGGACTTCACCAAGGGCGAAAACGATGTCTTCAAGAACGCCGAAGGCACCACCATCGATTACGATGACGAGCTGGGTGCCGTCTTCACCATCAACAAGGAGACCGAGGCACCCACTATCGCGTCCAACAAGTTCATCTTCTTTGGCAAGATCGATGTCGTGGTCCGCGCTTGCACTGGCCAGGGTGTTGTGACCAGCTTCGTGTTGCAGTCGGACGACCTTGACGAGATTGACTGGGAGTGGCTTGGTGGCGACACCACTCAGGTCCAGACCAACTACTTCGGCAAGGGCGACACCACCACCTACGACCGAGGTGCGTACCACACTGTGGCCACTCCTCAGGACACCTTCCACAAGTACTCGATCGACTGGACCTCGGAGTACGTCAAGTGGTACATCGATGACGAGCTGGTCCGTACGCTGAACTACGAGGACGCCACGAGTGGCACTCGATTCCCCCAGACCCCCATGCAGATCAAGCTTGGTACGTGGGTTGCCGGCCGCGAGGACGCTGCCAAGGGCACCGTCGAATGGGCTGGCGGCTACACCGACTTCAGCACAGCACCCTTCAACGCCTATTACCAATCCATCACCATTGAGGACTACAGCAACGGTGTTGACGACGCCACGAGCTACCACTGGAGCGACAAGACCGGTTCTTTTGATAGCATCGAGGTCCTTACCGGAGGTGAGGACACCAGCGCCACGTCCAAGAGTAGCTCGACCAAGACTGTCACTAGCAAGGGCTCCGAGTCGACCAATACGACCCTGGCAACGAAGACTGGCGCCAGCGGCATTACCCAGGCGACCGAAGCAGCTAACGTCAGCGCCTCTGGCTCTGACAGCTCGGCCACCGCAACTGGCAGCAGCTCCGCCTCTACCAGCGCCACCACGAGTGCTCCCGTTACTGCGGGCGCATTCAAGTCGAGCTTCAACGTGGTTGTGCTGGGCGTATCCTTGTTGATCGGCGGTGTCCTCGCTCTGTAATTACCCCTTTTACAAGACCCACGGGTCCGATACAGTGAACCGGACGGCTTCGTTTCTCGACCACCACTATTTAAAAACAGGCTGGCCTGTACTGTTTTTGCGCCTGACGGGGCCAGAACAGGTCGGAATTTGACCAATAAAAAATCCTTATAATTACGGTTCAACTGGATTCACCCGGTGGCACAGGCGCAAGAGAATGATTAGCGTAATGCACAGCTTTAAAGGATGGCTACTACTAGATCTGACGATTGCATGCGACACCTCGAGGACGACATTTGATAGGAGCGAGCCAGGGCGTCAGAAAGAGCAGGACTGCTGGAGACCGTCACCCACATAGGGCTGTTGCTGTATTCGTAGTTAGGGAGAGGTTTATTTTTGCCATAGAGATACCATTAAGAATTCTATTGTCGCACGTTTTGAACACACCGCCATTGCCACGCGTTGTGTCCTTGAGTTACAAGTGTTGTCCATGCTCTTAAGCTGAATCGAGGGCTCAACCAGTCGCACAACATGACCTGAGATAAAGCGGTATTACCCATTACCGTTTTGAGCAGAGACATGCCTCGATATCACTATTGTACCACAGTGACGGCAACTTCCAGACCCCAATCGGCCGCAGGGGGGTTCCAGCGGGATGATCTTCATGCGATGCCGAACCCAAGGAAAGGGAACCAACCGCCACTTACCAACCATCTTCAGACAGCAAAGTAACTTCACCTCGCTCCATTTCGGCTGTGCAATGCGTGGAGCTTGCCTTACCGTCGGTCTCGAACTTGCACTTGAATTGAAGCACAACATGGTTCATTTCCTTGCTGTTGACTCGCTCCCTCCGATCCAAGACCTGGTCATCTTGGATTCTAACCCATGGACCTTAATTAATCCTTTTATGGAGTTGCAGGAACACGCACTGCAGTAAGCGCGTGTTGGTGGTGTGATGTGCTGGCCAAGGCAGACCCTGGAAATTCGAGGCACAAGTACACAGGTGAATAAAGTACGGAGGAAGCATCAAGTTGAGGTGCTGTGGGCGAATGGGCTATCGCTTAAGGGATGGAGTGGGTGGGGCGAAACCCTACTTTGCTGAAACGCTGGCGTTTCGGCAGGTTTTGGGGGACTGCATGGGGACGGAGATGAGGTCGGCCTCGTTGAGGTGACTGGTTGATGATGCGCTGGCATTGGTACCTGCCGACTGCCGGATCGGATCTGAGGAGATGAGATCTGTCTGCATGCAATGTGGTCTAGACTCTAGAGGTTAGTGATGCAGTGGGAAGGATGGGTTCAAGCGCGAAATTGGCTTTGGGGTTTGACTTGGACTTTGAGCAACGAAATACCGCCTCTGGAGAAGAAACATGGCGACAGTTGCCGGCTTTGGCAGGTGCACAGGTGCAATAGGTAAGTTGTAAGTCAGTAGACTATGTCTTGTGAAGTTTGAAGAGGGATGAGATCACCTTTGACATTTACGGGATATTGAAGTGGATGCGGATATCAGTCGCCATAGCCTACCAATGTAAGGTAGATGAATTTCTGCCATCAGAAATCTAAATTGAGCGTGTCGCCGTGGTAACAGGCTGCTTTAGAGTTGTTGTTATCGAACCAGGTCAAACGTTGGGCAGAAGCTGGCTTCGTCAGAATCCTGAATTCTTTTATGAGAGGGGCATATGAGACTTGAGATGGGTGAACTTGTGTTGCTATGAGTTTGAATACTTAGCTACCATACCCTTAGTCCTCAGTCTTGAAGAAAGCGAAAACGTGAATACCTTTGGCTTTAGCAAAGGATCGGGAATCAATGTTTTGGTTGGCACTAGCCTGAAATAGAGATAATTGCAGCGTGCTTCAGATAAATGATCACGCAGATACAACTCGTAGTCTCCAAAATTTAGAGTAGGAACAAACAATACCTGCTTTGTACCTGCCTGCTTGCTGAGGTGCATCAGAGCCCAACGTGTGCCAACCTAGTTGTCAACGGGACCTGCTCAATAGACACTGGAGTTGGCTCTGGTTGCTCGAGAAGTGTTGGTTCCACTTCTGGTTGCTCAATGGGTACTGATCTCGACTCTGCATGCTTATAAGATAAAGCTATGCTGGTTTCCACTTGTGAAATAGGTCTAGGACTCCCCGTCTCTTGAACTTCACCGTGACCTTCAAAACGCACTATCCTCGTTACGTCTACAAATAGATGCGGGGCCAGTTCACACAGTATTTCCTGCTGTTCCAGCAGTAAGTTGGAAATGGTGGACCAATCGTTCTCTTTTGTCATTCTCTCGAGGCTTATTTCAAAGGACTGATATTGATCACAATCCAAGTGATCAAATGAGTATACTCTACTGTATGGCTGCTCGTATCATTAACCTCGGAAAACTGTTCACGCAGTCCATCGAACTAGTAACGGGTAAAATGACTCCCAGCCGAACAAGATGACCTAATAACAGGAAGTCCTGTCCATCAAATCAAGTATCCCGATGTCGATGAGACTGTTCCGCGGTGCAGGATTACTGTCATTGACGTGAAAGCATGGCTTGGTGGGCTCAGGTGTGAAGTGACACATTAGCGTTATTTTGACTGTCGTAGGAGATTTCATAAGTTGCAGTATCGTCTGATGCCTTGTTGTAAGGGTGATTCTTTGCATTTGAATTTGATCTCAACTTCTGCTGTCAAATCTGGCACACATATTACAGTAGGTACACTTACGGATATGGAAAACAGACTTTGGCATGTATCCTTTTACCCAGCGTGAGGTAGAGATAGATTCCAACCCGGCGATATCTGCCCGAAGAGAAAACTATGGTTTCCCGCCCAGGTTGATCGTCAAAAGGACCCCCTCCGAATCTCGAGCAAACGACCCTGGGCAAATTCTGGAAACCAGGATAACCGGCCATTACAGAGGTTCTCCAATGACGGTGCATTCTAATATCGCGACTTGGGTTATATCCCCGTTGTCAGGCTCGAGGAAACACAGAAACACCTCAAGAGAGAGCTGTCCAGCGACCTGTATCACAACCCTCGCGCCTCAAAGGACTTTCCCACATTGGAGGCAAAACACGCTGGGTCTGGGGCAAGTACAGCTCTGGATGGGCTTTGGATGGCGAGGACAGACTAATCGATACGGCTTTAATCAATATACTTTTGAAGCCTCGTCCAGGATTTACTCTCTCCCTCATCATAGAGCAGAAGCATGTGCACATCGAACAGTCCCGAAATACCGTATGCTTAGTTCTCAGCTCTAGTCATTTCATGTTTAGCCGCCACGCTGACATTATCGAGGAAGTGATCCTGTATAACCTGCCTTCCGCAGTTAGGACGTCCGCAACATAAAGACAACACCACCATGTGATGGCTTTCTCGAACGCGCGAGCATATGCTCGTGGATGCGGGTTGTGGTCGACATCAAGGGTCCCAACTCATCCTGCGTGCCCAGCTTCCGCCAACGCGAATGAAGAACTCGAGCGACTTAGGGGCAATCAGCTCCTGGATAAATGTGGCGGTATTTATTAACAGCGGTCTAATTCAGGGGCTTTGCAGACAAAAACGGTTATCTATGAACCAATATGAACGGTGTAAAAACGGAGGGATTTGGCACATATTTTATCGACCAATTATACGCTGTATCCTACGCACCTGCTGACAACGAGGTTTGCGGGCGCTTGTTACGGGCGCTTGTGACGAGTGCCACGTGATTGACAAGACTGGTCTGAATAGATTGATAGAGCTACCTATCCGTCTAGAAACGGACGTCTCTAAGTTTATAAAAGTAGGAATATTATCCTAGCTAGATCCTTATTGAAAAGGGTAGAGCTAAACTGTAGCGTCCTAGATAAGGAGATAGGATTATTATCGAATCTTTACCTACTAGATGAGGGATTCAATCCTCTATTGATGACTCTGCGTAGATCCGATCTTGATTGTTGTATCTCTCTGCTGTTCTATATGTTGCGTGTGTAGCTAATTTATCTACGAGGAAGGGTTTTGACCCCACTAACCTAGTGCAATTGCCGCTACACCGCCTTCGGCCTAGGGCATAACCGTGGCGCTCAATCCCACATATACGATTAAAGTCCTATCGGATTACTAGAACCTCTAAATATTTATGATAACCTAAATTAAATAGGAGACAAGCGCGTTAGTCTATATTTAGTACCGTTTAACTTTACTATTCAATATAGGCTAGGCAATAGCAACCGCGGGTGCGACCGTCTAATGACTTCAAGAAAGCACCCCCAGTAGGAGTTACGGGTAGTCTCTTGGCATCCAAACCGAGCTAACGTACTTAAGTAGCTAAGTACATATTTATACGGAAGCAGGATTACGCGCTGCATACTACATAGGCACACTAACCCCCCTGCTCGATACATGAGTTACTTATAGCACATCACTGGTGTGAAAAAGGCAAAAGGGTTCCAGTGATACCCCTAGTCGCAGAAGAGCGATGCAGTTTGCCACTTGGTGTGACGGGCTCACTGCGAAACTATACAGCTCAACATGGCCAAATACTGTTAATTATCTAACTGAGGAGGAAAGTAAAATATGCGAGTTGTCCCGGGAACACGGACTATGTTTTGTATGCCCTCGATGGTTCCTTTGGTGGATCCGGACGCACGGTCCTTGCAGCTCCGGATCCCATATCAGGCACAGCCTGTCACACTTGGCAAAGTAAAAGGAAGCGGTTTGGCAGCGAGATGCTTTATTTGATGGAATAGTTCTAGCTACAAGATACACTGCGTGCTGCGTGAAAAACACCTGGGCTATGCTTTCTACTCCTGATCCGTTTCGTCAATGACACCTTTTCCGCTTAGACTTACTCAACATCGGGCAAAATCCTGGGTGAAAGAAACCTTGGAATCGTAAATACACACATTTACGAACACAAACAAGAGTTATGCCTCATTTCTTCGTCCTTAACACCCTAATTGGCGGCCAGATCAAGTTTCGGTATCTTAGTTAGGCTGTCTCGAGTCTTTTGCGTACAATTCTTTCCTATTCCTGCGACACATGCATTTCGGCACAGAAACCTTTTAGCCGCCATTGTGACACGAATGCATCTTGCAAATAAAGTGGTTTCATTGCTGGAACAGTGTTTAACCGCGTCTCTTTGACTTTCTTGTCTTGTCTTTTGTTCTCATCCGGGCCAATAGTCGAATCAGAAGGAGAAAAAGGCGATCAAGGGTTCATCAGAATCCATCACTGACTTCATCAAAGACTTACTTGCCTGTCATCATGGAAGCTGCGATGAAGGTTATGGGCATTGCCGATTCTGACCAGGCAGGTAGCAGCGCATTTGCCAAAGACACGTTGACCATCGAGATTGACGGTCCGAACCGAGCTCAGCTTACCTGGCCGATGTTCCAAGCCTGATTCAGACGTCCACGAAAGGCGTTTCTGCTGCTGATGTTGCAGTGGTTACTGGGATCACTGATCACTACATCTCCCAACCCAAATAAGCTGTCTTACTGTTGTCTCGGCAACAAATGACACATCCTGTCAACTCATCCTTGAGCGAGTTCGGAAAATTGATCCTCAGGGAGAGCTAACTCTTGGTGTTATCACGAAACCAGATCGGCTGTCAGAAGGTTCCGGTTCGTAAGCTAAGTTCCTTGAACTTGCCTGCAACGAGGACTTATTCTTCAAGCTTGGCTGGCACATTATGAAGAATCGAAAGATCGAAGAGAGCGGTTTCTCTTTCGAGGAGCGCAACATCACTGAGATAATTTTATTCCGTACCTCGAACTTCAAGACATTGCCGAAAGAGACCATTGGCATTTATTCATTACGCATAAGGCTCAGCCAAGTCCTGTTTGTGCACGTCAAGAAAAACATTCCACGTCTCTGGGAGGGCATCGAGGGTGCGTTAAAGGAGGCTCAAGTCGATCTGAGACTGCTGGATGACTCCAGATCGACAGTGGTTGAGTGTCGTACGTACTTCGCACAGCTCAACGTGGAATGTCACGAGATTTGCAAAGCCGGTCTGTACGGAAACTACAAATATGCTACTTCAAAGGAAGCGCAGATGAGAAAGTCTCGATTGATACAAAGAGCACCATCGCCCGACTTCGAGCCGTTGTCCAGTATGTGAACAACAACTTTGCGGACACACTTTGAAAGAAAGGCTACAAGTATCAAATCAATTTCACCGGCGGGCTGCCAGATGAGCCGTTTGGATCGAAGGTGATTTCAAAGAATGAAGCCATGGATTGGGTTCAAAGAATGCTTCTTCGCTCAAGAGGAACCGAGCTGGTTCGCAGCTTCAATCCTCATTTGGTTGCGGGCTTTCCTGGGAGCAGTCTGAAGCCTGGGTAAGCTGGCTAGCGATCATGTTGGGTACGTCAGCCGAGGTTTTGAGACGTTCCTCGATAATATATCGAGAAGGAGGGCACCTGAGGATGTCAAGGCTCGAATTTGGTAAGTGATCCCCGTCTAATAGTTCCCACATGAACCCGCGGCCTACATATCTGTAATGGTAATTGTTGATGGTAACTAGGTCGTCAATAATGTTGGAGGCACTGGAAGAGCGTCGACGGACAGCATTAAACGAGTTGGAGAAGCTTGTTTTAGACAAGAAAGACTTTCCCATCGACTAGAATCGTTTACACTGATAATATCCACACGCGGCACCAAGAGAGGCTCCAATCCTGGCTTCGAGACCTTGTGCCAAACGATCATCAACCAACGGGTAATTTTATAGCGTCAGAAAGCACTTCAACAAGTACAAGACTGTTGATATTGAGAAGATTGTTTCCGCCTGCAGTCGACCTATCTCGTTCAACATGGAAAAGGTCAGCTTCGAGGAGGCCTTGGATTGTTTGCTAGCAATCTACAAGTTTGGAATAAGAATAATTCTCACGTTCGTTTTATTTTCTAATCAATATATGCTCAGGTGCAGCAAAAGAAGTTTGTCGCCAACGTGATGACTCAGGTCATCGAACGTCACATTACTAGAGGACTTGGCAACATTTTCTCGCCTTTGGTCGTCGTCAACATGAGTGATGCCAGAATCGAAGCTATTGCCTCTGAGAGACTGGTGACTAAGCGCCAGCGAGTCTTCCTGACGGACCGTATCAAGAAGCTCGAGGGTAGTCGTGAGATTTCCCGCGATATTATGGGCTCTGCTTTCACGTCGTGATTCAAAATGCGGTTGCACGTCTCCCTTGGACTTTCCGAGGATCGGTTGAAAATTTTCACAATAGTTGTTGGCACATGACGCTTGACGACAAGGATTTGGTTGATGATTCTCGTGTCACGAACCCAGATAGATATCATGATGTTACAGGTAAAACACGGTCTGACAGCGTCAAGATAGCCACATAGCTAGCTTAGAGGTGACCATTTTAATCATCCCCATGGGTCTTATGGTAGTGAATCGATATATTCATTTTTGGATGGTGGGTATAAAATGGTGATGGAGAATGACTAGGCTCAAGTGATTGTGACCAAGTTGTGGTGTGGAGTATAAAATCTTATCGCTACATATGTTTTTGGTAACCCTCCTCTCACTTATTGTTTTTGCACTCAGCAGCCCGTTTCCTCATCTCGTTGGGAAGCGGTTTATATTCTCTTGTCTCCAGATCCCCGGGCTGCGTGTCCTTCCTCCGCGAGTTCGATGACAGCATATCGTCGTCACTCGTGGAGACAGTATCAGCAGGTTGTCCACGCCCAATTTTACCATTCACAGCGCCGAAGCGGCTACTATAACGATCTGCAGAAAGTCTTTGGAGGGTTTCATCCAACATTGACCCCACTAGCTGCGTCGATCTACTCTTGGCGAACACCTTTCTGACATCGAACAGATCCGCGAGAGTGGTGACCACGACTTGGTCGGTGTCATGATCGGCCATGACCTCCCCAATCGTGTGTATCTTTTGATGAGCTACTTGTTCCGAAGCTTGCTTGCACACTTCTAGACACTGCTTTGACAGGTTGATGTCGTCCAGCAACCGAGATCTCTCACTATCGCGGTTGGGGCTATCACTCGCAGTGATAGAGGCGAGGCGTTCCTGCAGCAGCCCAATAGTTTCGACGATCTTGTCTCGATTCGTGCTCAGGGTTTGACTTGTCAACCGTTGAGCCTCGAACTGCTTCCGCGCTATGCCGATATCCTCGGAATTTCCATTTTGCAGCAAAGACGGTTGTTGGTCTTGTAAGGATTCGATATAGGACCTGGCGCCTTCACAGATGATTAGGCACTGCTTGGTTACCTCCTTCTCGTCTCGCAGATCTATGCGTGCATCGGGAGTGGCTGTGCTGTCTGTAGCAATGCGTGCCAGCTTTTCATCGACGCGTTGAAGATGGATCTGGAGACTGTAGGTTGTATCACTGATCATCTCGCTGTAACCTTCGAGAACTTGGTGACTGAGTTTGGAGGTTCGCCTAAGAACAGTCAACAGAGTCCTAAGAAGATGAGGGCGAATGCCTGACATGGTAATTGTGCCCAAGCCAACTGTAATTGTGGATTTGTAATTCGCGAGAGAATCCATGAATTCGTTGATATCCCCTCTCATAAACTCCATTCTAGCCCAATCCCTTAGACCAATCTTAGATTTTCCACGGAACTTCTCCATGGCGACTTCAAAGTCTCGACAAAGCTGACTGCACCGGCTAACAGGGCCTTTGAGAAGCTCTAGTATTGCAGCCTCGGTCTCCACGACATCTTGGAGGGAAGCTAAAATAATGATCAAGTCGTCCAGTTCGTCTTGAAGCCTGCTTAATGTCTTGTCGCGGTCTTTGTAGCGTTTCACTGTTGCTTGGAGCGACTTTGTCGCCTGAACGGCGGCCGTGACGACAGCCAGCACCGAGGCACCAACGCTCAAAGGGTCTGCCATGGAGGCTCAGGCGATAATTTGCTTTCAATGTTAGGGAGGCAGTTTGGCGGAAACATCAAGCCAGACAACTGCGGGGTTATAGCCACCAGATCCTGCCAAGACCACTGATCTGCTGTATGTGGATCTCGCTGCGATTGAGAGGGCGAATACCGCTGGCCAACCTGCTCTAATACCTGGGGTCTGATTCTCCAATCTGATAAGCCGCGTTTGCAGACAAAGATTTTCTATAATCGCGTTACACGACAAATCCTGTCTATTGCCCAGCGTCATAGTGCCACCAATCACAAGTCGTTTCGATTGCAGCGGCTACCCGTCAAATTCAAGTTGACATCTACCGACTTGCACAGAGGTCAAACGAAGGCCATGATGGTCTTGGACGCGGATTCGACTCCCGTTGCCATGAACACTGGAGTCTTATTCTGTCACTCTACGACTAGCCAATCAATCTACAACTTGTCGAAACGCTGAGTATATTTTGCTGGGCATGATCATCAACGGATGCGAAGATCGCAGTTGTCTCGGCATGATAAGGCTTGCCTGTTGATTTCGCGACGTCGGCAATCTTGGACAACTCCTCGTTCCCAAAGTCGATTGGGAGCAGGACAAGGTTATCCTCCGTTTGCCTCGCAGCTACTCTCTTGTTCATTGTTAACTTCCATTCCCAAACGTAAAAGATGTAAGGAGACCATGCGTTATTTGACAAGCCTGGAACCCAGTTCACAAGCAACATGATGGTAGGGTCTCTAGGGCAGATCGTAGTTAGCTGTGTGGAGGCCCCGCGCTATGAGTGGGCTGTTCATCAGAACTCCTATCGTTGCAGGGTTGCCGCTCGGCCGCGTCGTCACTAGACCAGTCGTTCACCAGTCATCTGCAACCCGAATTCCAGTTCATACAAAAAAGAAGGCCAGATTCGAGTCAAGGGGCAGACATCTGAGGACTCACTGCCTGACGATGAACACTAGGCCCCAAGCGGGCCAAGAATAAGCCGCTGCGCGGCGGAAAATTTGTTGCGTCCAAGTTCATCTCCAAGTCTTTACCTTTGCTGGCATATGTGAGTAAGTCTCTATGACACAACTCAAGTGTCTGCCTGCACAAAACGCATCATATACCGGATAACTATTCAGTTGCATAGTACTTATGCACAGCACCGGACATAGGACGACGTGCAAGGATACAAAACACCGAAATCAAAGGAAAATCGACAAACCGTTACCAACAGGCGCTGTTGACGAAGCGGGTTGTAAGGGTCACAACATATTGAAGAGCGCAGCGAGTTTACAACAGGACTGTTGTCCGAGGTGCTTTGAGTTGGTTAGTTTCACATTGAAGACTACAGAACGATCTTGGACTGTGGTCAAAAGTGTGAATACATTATGTCCTACATCGCCAGCAATCAAGATCAAGGCAGCCGTGAAACAATCTGATCTCTAAGCTTGGAGTACTATTCACCCATTCCACAGAACGCTCGCAGCCGCTTGAGATTGAGCGACAAATTAGACTGTAGCCTTCTGGAACGATATAGCAGGCATCGCACTCGTGAAATCAGCGAGTTTTCTCGGGTGTTCTTCTTCCATCGTTTCGACCGCTTCAGAAATAGGGGAAGGAGGGTGGGGTACGTGCGAAGGATCTTATTGACCCAACCCTGGGGTTGTGTAACGGAGGCAGAGGCAGCAGCAGAGGATCCTTGGGTGCCCGGTTCGTCCGGAATTCCACCCACCGGGAGTGCTTTATCTATTTTTACGGTCAACTCCAACCGCGCAACTGTGGATCTTTTCATGTTGACAACTTGAGTGGTGGTGCTCGCTCCGACGCTTGAGGTCTTTTCGTTCACTTACTAGAATCTCCAGCCTCTCCTCCAGCAACTTCCGCTCAGCGCCGCTCAGCGGTGCTTTCCTCGCGCTCCCCGGCAATCATGTATGCAACGTTGTCAGGGAGGTCGAAGACCATCTCTAGAGTCTACAGGCTGGCGACAGTGAAATAACGCAGTCCTGAACGGCGAGAGTATCGAAGTCATGTTTTACAGCTTTGAGAGCGATCTAGAAGCAGAGATAGGCTTTCAGGCAATTTGCGCGGAGCGTTTTGGTCAGGTTCGGCTTTTGCTACCTGTAGTATGTCTCCATCATATCCGCCTCCGTCTGTCCTGTCAATACGTCCAGTATAACATCAACAATCGTAGTAATCTGGTTCAAGAAATCTGCTCCTTGAAATCCCGAAGGCGCTGTCTGAGTTGCTCTCTAACGTTGACCCTGTATTTTCTAGAAGCTATCTTTGAAGGAGTGATTATAGGTCATGGGGTGGCCAGATCCATGAGGCTCAAGAATCTCAGAAATCTTGACGTGAAGGCGTTCTCCGAGCTTCTCAAGAGCCGAGCTGATCGACTCTGCCCACAGCTCTGTCTTCATGGTTTTACCCACAGCATGTGACAGGGCTTCATTTATTGAGATATGGACCGACGCTAGAATCTCTTTACAAAATGAGTTGAGTATATTCTTCCAAGGGCGGTACTGTTCGCGGAAAAGATCCCGATGATCAGGGTATTATACGTTCGGGGAAGCTCTTGGCCTCTGGTTCGCTTCATTAACGGGATGAATTCCTCCAAGTGTTGAGAACGATTAATTTGACGGTGGTCAACTCCCTCTGCGGGTACGTCGACGATCCTCCTGGCTTGCTCGTTCTACCTCATTTCGTTGGTGAAGTCCGTAAGGGTGTTCTGCACGACAGCGCGGAGCCGTTTGCTGTAGTCCTTATCATTCCAAGCGTTCCCGCAGAACTTGTCTCGGTATACTCCGTCGACGCCTCCAGGACGTGAGTGGAGAACTGATGGCTAGCATTAAATAGATACTTGCGCTGTTCCGGAATCGTGCGCCGAGAAGCCCCAAACCTTGCAAGCCTACCAGAGCAGTCGTTGATTCCTCCCTGCCCAAGAGATCCTCGAGATGATCAAGGATATAGTTTATCAGGACCTCGCTCAAACGCGCTTAAAGACCTGCCAAACCCTTATCTTTGTAAAGTAAGACGGACCAGATTCCTTAGGCGAAGAAATCCGTCTCGATTCGGTTCCCTTCGTCGTTCGTGACATTTTGGATTGAAACTTATGATTGCGCAACGCATGACAGCCAAGGCGGAAGACGCCATCCCGATTTTGCGCCATTTCCAAGTGCTTGCGCTCGTCTTCGGAAACAATATCAAGCGTGTCCGGCTTGGTGATCAGTCCCAAGGTCCGCTGCCCTGCCCCTGAGGGTCCACGTCCCGAGTATATTCCGTGACATCCTACAAGATGGACTCGCTTTGCTGGAGGTCGTCGTCGAGCGATCTGTTATTGCCCGGCTGGATCGAGATACGGCAGATCTTCTCAGATCCCTCAGGGGTGTGACGAAGGACGAGCTCGGTTGCGAATCTCGTGCCTAGCCCGTCCTTAGCTGGGAAGGACGCGCTGCTTATCCCCTGCAGTACTGAGCTCTTGCCAGATGATTGGTCTCTGCAGACAACGATATGTGGGAGGTTGACATATCGACTAATGCCTGTAAAGTGCAGTTTGTCGATGATACCATGAGGAGCCTACGGTCCTTAGACTGCAACGGAACGGTCGCAGCAGCTCATCTTCGCGACGATGATTGGCATATCCTGTTCAAATATTAGCTTGGTTTCAACTGGTGCAGACAGGCTCTCAGACTGTGGACACTTGACAGATTCAGGGAGAAGTGCGAGGCGAATAATCAATTAATTTGGAGTAATGAGAAAATTGAAGCCAAATAAGGCTAAGAAAATTGTAGTATAAGCTATCACACACATTTCTCACCATTTTTCGTGGTTAGGCAGCGATGCAGTAAGCAGGACAAATGTTTTGTAATAAAATAATATTAAATACGCCGTAGGTGTTAACCCTCGGTACCTCTACAAGTACTCCCTTAAGGGGCTATAGATGATATAGCGGGCCCTTAAGCCGCGTCGGGCGGTTATACAGGTAAACTTGTAGCCAAATGACTACTAAACCTCCTGTCCCTCCCTAAGTCTGTGCTACAACCCCTGCCTGAACTACCGATAAGTGTGGTAATGTGGCACTTAAATTCGTCCTCAGGGGTGGGATGCTGCTGATGTGCAGAAGATGCTCGACTATTTTTTTGTCGCGACAAGTCGTAGTATCTGCTAATTGGGGTTCTCGTCGAGCGTATACATCTCAACCATACGCTCAAGTGGATAGACCGTAACGTGGTCAGACGCTCGCAAGAATCGCGGCGAGAGGGCGTGCTGCGCGCCTTCTATCGTGAGGGGACGGGTTCGCCGACGAGCGTTATCGGAAAGGCGAGGTCCGATAAGGGGTCGGATTAACGATTCGAATTCTGGACCGGCTGTCGAGTTATATTCCGCCGACGTAGTGCTTGACGGTCGACTGGCTAGGATGCTCGTAATCCTAAACTGCACCAATCTCCCTATTATCGCTAGGTAGGCGAAGTCAACAAGGTGGGCAGCGCGCCGTAAGGGTTGACTAAACCCCCTTGTGTGTCAGCTGCGGGATTCGAACCCGCGACTCGTCACCGACCCAAGTGGGCGAGGCTCAAATCGGGACTTATCTACCAGCGAAGTGACCAACTACACCAGCCGACGTTTTGTAATATGAAGTCTGTAGGTTAAGACATCCTAGGCTTTCCATTACAAAGATCTCCCATGATCATTGCTTTCCCAAAAGTTCTTTTACAAGAAAATTGAACGATCGGCCACCAAATTATGTAATCAAGTCCGTTTGCGCGGCTTGCCATCAGCCGAAGAAGACATGACAACAAAGGGGAAACAGCGTACAAGGGCGAAGCTGAGACACCGTGATTAGATTGATTCGCGCTTGAGATCATTCAACGATGCCCTCCAAGGCCGGACAGACGCTACATCACCGAGAAGAGAAAGACACTTAAATTAAACACAATTGGTCGGACGAAGAAACCGTTTTTATGGAGATGCTAACGCGTTCCTAAGGCGTGCCATTACATCGGCTCTTAACTCCTCTCTCATGTCCTCCAGTTCTGGGGAACGTCGACGTGAAAACTCATCACAGCATTCCCACAGAGCGGTGAAATTATCCTCCGAGTCAGCAAGAGACTCGCCATGCTGAGTCACTGTGGCATCCAGATCCGCAACAGTCATCTCAGTCTTGTCAACGCGCTGCTCCAGGACAGCATATTCGTCCTCCCGAGTCTTCTCCTGGGTTCGAAGTTTGACGACCTCGTCCTGCAAGTCTTTAATAATTTCACTCTGCCTCACGACACACTCCTTCACTTCAGCGAGCTCTGCGAAGAGTCTATGGGCCCAAGGAGGCAGCACGTTGTCCTCGTCCGCCGCTGCCTCAGCAAGCCCAGAGCCTTTGTCCAGCGCCCCTCGCTTACTGGGCCTGCTCGACAGGGAATCGTCATTTTGTGTGCTGGCTCCACTACACTGACGATATCGTTTTCCCTGGGCCCTGTCGGCACCTGCCCCCCTGGGAGAATCTAAAGCCAAAGGGGGCATTGGCGGACCGGGGCCAATCTCATCGTACGACGGCGGGCTGTCGACTTGGACCGAGGGGCCGACTTCAGAGTCTGTGCTCACATCGTTCTCATCAACGAGAACGAGACTCTTGCCACCAATGCCTTTGTAGAGTCTGTGGAGATCACGATATCGTGGGACGGGCCGTGAGTAACCCGACTGGACTGCGTCGGCTATGGACTGAAGCCGCGCCTTGGACAAAGTCGTATGCTCAAGATATACAGAGACACTCAGAGCCGTAGCTAGCGACTCTAAGGCCCTGATGACGCAGGCGGCCGCAGGCTTCTTGGGCTCCAGGGGCTCGCGGTCGGGCACAATCAACTGCACAGGCTTGTGGAGATTGAATCGGAGACGAGTGATGTCGCTGCTTAACTTCGTCCGCACTGGATCCGCAGCGTCGTATTGAAGGGTCCAATCGATAGACGCAATATGATCTGGGGGTATATGTATGTACAATACAATGTCTTGAAGGTGCTTGTGTCTGACCGGAACACGAAGTCTGAAGAAGGAAAGGCGCTGTGACATATCATTCTCGAGACATGCTTCGAATGTAATGTGCCTGTTCCTAGGATCGGGGTGAACAAGACACTGGTATTCGGCGCCAGGCGTTTCCCAATCGACGACAGCCTTTCCGCTGGCGGTAAAAGTATTGCTATGGTCGTTGTCGATGCGAGAGGACGACGGTGATGTTGTTGCTTGGGTCGACATGACAAAAGGATCCTATTTCTAAAGAGCATCAGTAGACAGTCGTTGTCAGTCAACTTACCACCGTTCAGGCAGGCACCGCAGTCGCAACCAGTAGCAGGATGAGTGACCAAGAAGGACGACCAGATCAATCTCCGCACGCCCCAGCGGGTCAATCAGAAACAAATGCCGGTTCCGCTGACAGGTAGACCACCCAAAGGCAGCCCCCTTCCTAAGATCCCGATCCTTTCAACGAAGGCTTTTTCGCTCGCGGCAAGGCGAGATGGCGTTCGCTGAGTAGGAGTCCGGCCTGTGTGATCAGAGGCGCGGGTCACGGGCTTTTGTCTCTTATTGACCGGCAGGACGCAGCACGGCAATTCTTTCGCGCTCGATCGACAAGAAGGAAGCGCGAAAGTGCCTAGAGAAGTGATCTTGATCGTGTCGATTTAGCGATGCATAACGACCGGAGAGGTGGGTGATTGATGGGCGAGTTGCTGACATATAAATGGAGAAGGAGATTTAACAGTCAGGACTAGAGACAAAGAAATGGGGGGGCTGGAAATCAGGCAGGCATGCCAAGACTTTGACCTGGCAATGTATGTTGCGAGGTCCATAGTGAGGAAGGGCACCGCAAATATGTACTAGGCCGAAAGTGGCATAGTTGCAGGTGCAGCTCCTTTCCACCTTCCTTTGAGATAGCTTCCTACTTAACCTGCATTTACCTGCGTTATTCACTCCTGCAATGTCCACCCACGAGAGAACCAGCAACCCTTCTCTGACGGTGTCACACCAATATTTTTTGTAACTTGATGCTTATAAATCACCAATTAGTATCCCGGAAGACAGGGATGACGCATCATCGCTGTCGCCGTCAGACAGAAAGGCATAGCAGTGAGATGATTCGGGATACCAGTTGAACATTAACGTGATTGCCTTGGGCTTGCATATAGCCAATAAAACCCACAAACAAGTCCACCAAATGGTATCTCCATTCTTGCTTCTTCTATCCATAAATATGCTTATCCCAAGATGATATATATATATATATTCTTAAAATCCCTTGCACCCTGCCGTCTTTCAAATATGAGCTAGTACGCACCTCCACTGCTGCCCATGATCTCGTTAAATATATTACCCAACACAGGCTTGTCCTTCAGGACCGCCTTAGCCGTGACTCTCCCCTTCCGTGGCGCCGGCTGCACATTTTCCTTTCCTGTCCCTGCTCTCCGCACAGGCTGCTTCTTTCCCTTGCGTGCAGGACTACCAGCAGCAGCAGCAGCAGTCTTCCCCGGCGACCGCTGCGTCATCTCCGTCACCCCGGTCCCTGCAATCTCATCCGACCAATGGCTCTCAAGTGCGTCAGAGGGTAAATCGTAGACCCAGTCTCTTTCCTCCATGAGTCGCACGAACCGGGACACCATCTCATTGTCGTCGCAGCCCCTGAGCGTATCGCGACTTCCGACAACGAGCAGCTTCGTCTTGGCACGCGTGAAAGCCACATTGATGCGACGCCAGTCTTTCAGCAGGTCGCCAATGTTGCATCCCTCGTTACTGCGCACAAGACTCAACACCACGACCTCTTTGTCGCGGCCCTGGAAGCGGTCAGCAGTATGGAGCTCAACGGCAGAGCTGTGGCCGCGAAGATTATGTTTCAGGAGAGACAGCTGGGAACGGTAGTGCGTCATGACGCCAATGTCGGATGCGGGCACACCGACCGACAGGAGGCCGTCGACGAGCTGCGTTACGATGCGGGCTTCGGTCGGGTTGACGACGCGGTTTCCTTTGGCTTCCTCGCGGGAGCAGGGGAGGGCGTCCGTGTTGATGAAGCGAACGCGGGCTTCGGGATCGAGGAGGGCGTGGAGCCAGCAGTTAGGGCTGTTCCAGCTCGTGCAGAAGGAGAGGGGGGTTCCGGGGCGGACGATGGATGAAGCGTCAAAATGCTTCTGGCGCAGGGCGTCCATGTTGGGGATGTCAAGCTTTCGATGACGGAGCTCCTCGGTTCCGCATTTGAGTCGGCCTTCGTAGATTAAGATGTTGCTGAGCGTCATTACGTCTTCGCACATGCGGTATTGGTGCTCCAGGTTGACGACCGAGTCCGGATGTGTGTCGGAGAGAAGTTTGAAGAGACTAACATCGAGTCCACCCACTTTGGCTTCTTCATTCTGGACCAGCGGCGGCAGCTGGTTGTGGTCTCCGACTAACACGAAGGTGCGTGCCATCCGGATGGGACCAAGACAGATGGGCAGCATAATTTGTGATGCTTCGTCGACAATACAGTAGTCAAAAGTGCGCTCGTTGAACACAGGGTGGCTCACTCCGAGGCACGTTGTGGCGACAATAGGGGTATCGTGCCAAGCGCTGCGAATTTCTTCGAACGTCTTCATGGGGTGTCCTGCAAGCGTTACGAAGTCCTGGACCTCGGGATGGACCTTCGCAGGTGCCCCAAGACGTAAAATCGGCATGGTGTCTTCCTGAAGTTTCAATAAGATGTTGTCCACGGCCGAGTGCGTATACGAGGTCAGTAGCACACTCTTGCCCTGACTGACTAAAGCTCGGATGATGTGGGCAATGGTGGTTGTCTTTCCTGTACCGGGCATGCCCAGGACAAGCGCATAATCTTGGGCGCTCATCACTTTCTCGATCACCCGTCTCTGATCGATATTAAGATCTCCTTCATCACCCACCGTGTACTGTGTTGACACCGCTTTGAAAGTGGGTGGAACTAGGTCGACCACGAGCCGTCGGATCTCTCTGGACCCAAAGATGCCGTCGGCCATTACCTGGACGAGGTTGTTTCGCACCGTAGCCATGCCATTGCTAAACTCGTCCTTGTCCAGTCTGTACCGTATTGGCGCTTTCTTGATCTTCCCTTGGCTCAGAGCAGGCGTTGCACCTTCAGGCACAACCTCCATAATGCTGGCAAACACCTGGTTGTTACTCTCGTCAAACCCTGGCTGCCGGATGCGGGCGTTATGAAGTCGACGGTCGACCGCAACACTGATTCGTTGTTTGCGCACCGACGTGACGTATCCCAAAGCTAGGGCGAAATGACCTTGCTCATCTGAGATGACGATAGGCTCTCCAACAGCAAGCTGCGAATCGAGGAAAGAGAACCCGGGCGCAGGCGTGTCCTTGATGAAGGTATACTTATAGCGGTTGATCTTTGGATTCTCGACTTCTTCAATCGCCGATCCCTCTTCGATTATCACGTTGGCGAAGCATCTGCCAACTTTCTCGCGTTCAGAGCTGAGCATAGTCCAAAGCTCACGGCGCAGCTTCTGACTTTCCCGCTCCTCTTTAGTCAACAGATCCTCCCACTTCAAGAAAAATTCTTGGTGCGTTGGAGTCAAGTGCCTGACCACCTCGTCAAACTTTTGCTTCATGCCACTGGTTTCCGCATCGCCTTCGTCTGCGAGCTTGTGATATATAAAACAAGACACCTTGGCATAGCAGTTGCCACAAGTATTGGTGCTCTTTTTCATCGGTGGAAGTTGCACGCTTCGTTCTCGAACATAGCAAGCCAACTGGTTGCGTTGCATAATCATATGACGAAGTTCGTGATGGATGGTGGGGATGCGGATAGTCTGCGAGGTTTCCATGTAGTAGAGCACGCCGTATGCAATCTCAATGTCGTATCGATCTGACAGTAAAAGGTTGTACAGGGAAGTTTGTGCCTGATGATTGGCCGTCGCATTCTTACCCGTTTTTACCTCGAACGGTACCGTAAGAGTCCGTTGCCGTGTGCCGTCCTGCATGGTAACTTGTACCGTGGCATCAATATTGCCCTTCATGCCATACATCGGCGACCAAACGTGTTCCTCGACATCAAGCAACTTGCTCACACACATCGTCGCGTTGTCCCCGTTGCGGCCCTGAACAACCGCGTCGGCTCGTGGTTTTGGGGTCACAAACGCGGCCGCCCAGCACTTCAGCTCCGTCATCTTGGATCGTAGGTGCTCGCGGGCATCACTTATGGAAACTTTGATCTTGTACAGATCTTCCACGTGCTTTTCGGTGATTGTGTTGATGAGTTTGTCGAGGAACGCATTGCTCCATTCGTTCGCCATGAGGGCCTCTTGGAATATCTCGTGGAGCAGTGTGCCGTACACCAATGGCGGCGTAGCTTCGCTAGTTGCCTTGACGCGGTCCTGGAGAACGGCCCGGCGCATACAAGTAAAGCTATCTGCTACCACTGTAGCTGATATCAACTGATCCGGATGTAGGATAAGGATGTTCTGGTTGTTGTCGATAATGCACTGGCCCGTGGTTTCGAAGGCCCCGATGACATGTACAAAAGCCTTCGGGCTGACATTGGTATCAATCCAGTCCCCACGAAGGTGGATAGTCTTCATGGTGTTGCTACGATCGACTTGCACAAACAAGATCTGGGTACGTTAGCATCTGGAAGCGAGAGCAAGTCGGGTTATGGATGCTCACCTTCTCGGGTGATTCTCTACCGCGATCATCTGTAAATAAACTCTGAAAGACCTTGGTCACCAAGTATTGTTGAAATGCCTTAGGTTTGTGAGGTGCCTACTAGCAGACTTAGCAGGCATTCCATTCGAACCTATCCACACCTACGTACAGGCGCTAAAGTTGCACTGATCTCCTTGACTGACTGTGTAGCAGCAATCTCTGCAGCTTCAAAATCAAAATCACCACCAAAATCATCCCCAAATGCGTCGTCATCAAGCTCCCACAACTTAGTTCCTGGAACAATTTGTGGCTTCACGAGTTCCTGCCGCGTGGCAGAACCGGAATCGACACGAGACGCATAGCTCGATTCGATCTGCGCCACCATGTCCTCTGCAGCAGCAAACACATCGTCATCGTCCAAGTCCGCAAACTCATCGTCCTCTAAGGTGTGCTCAGAAGTGGGCGACGGAGCGCGTTTCACCGATCTCGTCGGCCCCATGTCTACTGGCGCTGGTAAAGGCGCCTCGTCTTCACATGCAGCGACGAGTGTTGCGTCCAGCTCCATCAGGGCATCATCGTCAAAGTCATCATCTTCATAGTCAGATCCGTCTTCTGTCGTCTCCTTGGATACATCTTCCTTCGTCAGATTTGTCCGCGCGTGGAAGAGTGGCGGCGGTGGCTTCGATGATGCGGGCTGTGTCTTGGTTGGTGGGTTGTCCTCTCCGGTCCGTAGACGCTTCTTCTTTGGCGATGGAGACTTCAGGGCTGCTTGACGAACTTTGAGTGCCTTCGATCGATTGATTTCGCCTGTCACACTCTGCAACAAGGCATTGACCATGGAAGACTTTGAGCCCTCGCATGGACTGTCCTCAGATATGGCGTCACTGACGGCAGAAGATTCGCTGCGCTCGACCCGTCTCCTTTTCGGCCAGTGAACTCCGCAGCTAATTGCCCTTCGAAGTCCACCTTCGGAAGGAGCCCCGACCATTCCGGCTGACGCCTTGGACGGTTTTGGAGAAGAAGAGAACATAATTTGAGCCAGAGCCGGATTGGTGGTTCCGAGGGGTGTTTTCGCCATGGATCCGTTGACGGAGAAGCGGTCCCACAACTCCATAGCCGGGTCGGCATGCGGCGATTTCAGCGCCTGAGACAGCTTCTGTACATTGACTGCAGGTGTATTCGATTTGGAGCCAGAGGCCGGTGAGGAGGTGGGCGAGGAGCTCCGTGCCCTCTTCTTGCCTCTCCTGCGAGGCACCATTGGCGACAGCCTGTACGCATCTGGTCTCGTGTTCCATCCGATACGTTCATTTGGACTGATACGTTCCTCCTCGTCTTTGGGTTGCGACACGCCAATAAGGTCCTGCCATGCCAGGCGACCGATAGGTGTGATGGCGCTCTTAGTATTTGTCGCATCTAGAGATTGTGTATGCTCGCTCTGGTTCTCCGAATGTTTTGCAGTCGCGGTCGAACGCGTGTTTCCATCTGCCAAGGCATCCTCCAGAGTTCGGCCATCGCCTGTATCTAGTGCTGGTGGCTGGAACTTGAAGGCATGCAATTTGTTTTTAGTGATTTCGGACACTGGCTCAAGGGGCCGCTTCGATACGGGTCGTGTACTTGAGGTCGACGACGTATTCATGCCGGTGTGGGTTTTGGACCTTTGCCATAATTGTCGAGGTTTGGGGCCATTCTGCTCAGAGAACGACTTCTGGAGGGGCATATTGAAGATGATGAGTGAGAGAGTTGAACCATGACTTCTTCCCAGCAGACCGAGTTACTCCAAGAAATGAAAGCGCCGGTATGATTGAATAATAATCAGCTGGGGATTCTGATATGATAATGAGTGAGGACAAGCTACAGGAACGTGTGGTTGTCAATTGTGGCTAATTGGCAGGGTGCAATGGAAACGTTCAAGACGTTGAAGACGCGTCGAGGGGCAGCCGAGCGCGTCTTGGTCACTCCTTGGCAACGCGACGCAACGGTCAAAGGAAGAAGCAATGAGTACTTCGTACTTCATACTCGGCAAAGTATGATGCCATTTGACTTTGCTTCAGGACATTTCTTTTACCACCTGTGGATTATGTATGTCTCGCATCACTATTGCAGAACTGAATCAACACGACGTACAATTGTTAAATTGTCGTTAGTTAAGCCACAGCCATGCTTGTGTTACTGAAGTGGCCCAAGCTTCCTTCGGGAACGTCATTCTCATGATGGGTCGACGTCACGGCTTCTTCGACTGATTGCGCCGCGACGTCCGTAATTGCCAATCAAGGTAGAAACAAATGTACATGACGATCTTTCACAAACACACAAAACTGGCCATAGGCTAAGAAATCCGCTTCCATCAAAATGGCTTCGGACGATTCTTTCGGGACCAGATACCCTGGCGACCCATGGCCGGGCGTTGCGCCGTCGCAACAGGTCCAGATCGAGGACCGCTTCTTTGTGGAAGGTGCCAGTATTCACTTTTCAAGACTCAAGCCTCTCCAGTTCTGGGCACCTTTCATGGGAGTTTCAGAAACAGCTCGATCTGCGTTTGTCGTCAAACATGTTGTCGCCGCTTCTACTACGGTCAATCGGAAGCTTCAGCAAAGCGAAATCGACTCATTAAGCGAGAGGGCTGCCCAAAACGCCCGATATATCAGCTTGATTAGGCCTACAGGGCTAGCATGCGCCGTTGCCGCCGCGGCGAATGGCAGGAAAGAATTCAGGTTTCCCTTCTACACTCCCAAGGCTTCTTGGTTCGATCCCATGTTGTTTCCTAGCAAGAGGCTTCAGTTCTTGCGCGGGACAAGTGCTGTATGGATGTGGCACGCAGTCAGAACATTTGCATATTATCCAGGCACTATGATTGCCACTGCCATCATAATTGGTTCCATTTCAGAGTCTACGCTCAGAGCCAACATACTCAGGGACCCCAGACTGTCAGACTTACGGCAGGCCACCGAACGTGAAGGTCAAGCAGCCATGGAGAAACAAAGGGCGTTGCAGCGCCGGAGACTTGGGCTTCCTGACCCTGCCGATCGAACCCAGCAATCAGACCAAGGGGGGGCGATGCCTACGCCGACTCCCGAAAATTATCAGGGGCAGCCCCAGAGCAGGACGTACCCGCTGCTTCCCTCCGAGACTACTACCAGCGGATGGCAAGACCAAGATAACCAGGGTTCTTCAGAACCTGCTGCTCCTCAACCACAGTCAACGCCAGCTCCTTCAACATCGAAAAGTTGGGGCAGTTGGGGTAGAAAGCCGTCACAGCAGCCAGCGCGGCCACAAGAGTCCAGTTACCAACAGGGGAGCAGCGAGCAGTCACCGTGGGAAGGCTCTGGTCTGTTTGAAGATGACGACGCATCACCTGTCGCACCATCTGCCCGACGAACTGAGAAGGCACAACCAAGCGGCGGATCCAGCTGGGACCGCGTGAGACAGGACGCCAAGTCTAAAGTAGATGCGAGGAGGCAGGCAAGTTCTCCCGGAAATCTCTGGGAGAGAGGGGATCGCTCGGATCAGGATACCACATGGGGTCGATTGAGGCAAGACGCAGCACCTGAGGACCGGGATACCAAGCTCGTGGGCTCGTCAGAGAAGGAGAAATACTCGTACAACACGGAAGAAGAGGACAAGGCGTATGCGAAAAGCCAGGCGCAAAAAGAGTTTGATAAAATGCTGGAAGCTGAGAGGCAGGGCCGACAAGCAGAAAGCGGGGGCTGGCGACGGTCCAAGTAACACTGGTCAAGCATTCCCGATACTTTTTACGTCCATTGGACTGTTGAGCGTGTGTATGTAGCCGACAGTGTACGATATTTATAGGAATTCATCCAAAAGGGGTGCCAGTTTTCTAAAAATTTCATGTATGCCAATCCACACCCTGGTGGAATCTGGTCGACATCATTGGTGCTAACGACCATTTATGGTTGGTAGATCAAGACAACCGATGTTACACATAAATTATTGATCAACCTATGCGATGCTGACTTCTAATTCACTGACGTCGCGCGACGGGGAAAAGCGACCAGATACCGAAGTCACATTAACTTTGTTTCAAGTTTTCTACTGACAAAGTACGTTGATGACAAGCTTGTATCGGCCCACTTAATAAGCCGAGTTATTATGTTCCTATTCGCGATAAATATTCAAAGAGAGAAATGAATAAATTTTACGGAAAAAGGCCATATGTGCTATCATCATAGCGACTGCCATGGAAAACGTGAGACACTTGTTATTCAAAGATCGATGATGAAAGGATCCTGTATTCAACAAGCACGGGAGAGACGGTCACTGGATGCTGGGAGAAGACCGTTTGCTACATTGATATTGCGAAGGTGCCTGGTGATGAAGACGTACCATCGTGCTTGTTATTTCAATCTCTGGTCATCTCAGTAGCCATGCGCTGTTTCTGAGAGGAAGAGCTAACTTAGTGCTGCAGGTTCAGGAGCCATTTACCTTCATCGCAGACGTCTTCCAAAAGTAGCCGCGAACCTCCTATCCTGCAAGTCAAAATTTGACAGAGTACTGCAACGCGATTGGATCTACATCGAATCTTCCGGAGATCCCCCACTCTGCATTGATGTCAATTGCATCCGACCAATTAATAAAGCCATTCTCAGATCCATCATTCGCATCCAGAATCATTTCCTCAGATACTTCCTAGTCCTCTTCGGGCTCAACACCGGCGAACAACATGAAAACCCGCGCCACTATACTCGGAACCGGGCCGCCCTCAACTTTCAGCTCCGCAGCCTTTAACAAGGCTGCTTGGGGAACGAACATAAAATTTATGTGCTGGCCTCGGTCGCGAATATACCGTAATGAGAGAAGCCAGTAGACCATGAACTCGATTCGCATGGCTGGTGTGAGACCGAGTGTCGGGAGTATGGCTCCCGGGTACGGAAGAGTAATCGAAGGAAAAGGTGATGGTGTAGCTCTCTTCGATGCAGGCGAGGGGGTTAGCTGGGGCGAATATGAATTGGTATCCATGGCGAGAGACACTTATGGGATAGATCGGAGGGCCTCGGCCTCCCAGAAGATGTAGGAGCATAGAATTTGCGACATATTGTCGAGCATGATGCCGTTTGAGAGAAAGTTGACTGACCAGGAGGCCGTGGACGTGTTATTGATCTCATTTGTGGCTTGACAGACAATAGGATAGACGACCGTGAAATCCCACTCCTCTCGAAGGGTGATCGAAACCGTGATATCATCCGAAGAGTTTGGCGCCAGCAGGTATAGGTTGACCCGGTCGATAGTGTGAGACGAATTCGCAGCGAGATTGATGGTAATACAAGTAAGAGCAATGAAACATAAATGCTAGGACGATACAACACATACCCAGATCAGGTAAGCTTTCACTTGATATGGACTTGAAGTCCTTCGGCTGATGGGATTGACTTGCTCCATCAGCTTGCCTTGCAGAAGGCATGGCGCCATGTCGTCTAGGGCGCTTCCTCACCACAGCAACTTCGAGTCCGCCTTCTAAGTCACAATAATCATTGCGCAATTTGATCTCAGAGTTACGTTGGCTGTTTGTTATAATGCGGCTTCATCCGCTTTGGCAACGCCTTGGTGGCCTCAAAGAGGACACTTCAGTTAGTCTGAATGCCTGGCATGTGCTCGGTTCTGGCTTCCAGGAATGTGAAAACCCGGCTAATTATGGTCGAAACGAGACACGAAGAGAGTTGACCTCATCGGCTGGAAGCTCGAGGCGCTGGGACACGAGCTCAGTGAGCCCTGCCCACGTTGCGGGCTTCTAAATGTAGATGTTACGCCCTGCGTGCGAGATGTCAGTGAAAGACATCGTGAGAATGATGAAATAGTGATGCAGAAGTACTACATGAAAAGTTAATTTATATGGTCCTCTGAAGGGATGAGTGATTGCATACCTTATTTATGTATTGCAATGGGGATTGGCAGAGAGATGGACGGGTGTGAGAGCCAAGGGCGAAGGTTTGGGAAAGAGCATCTGCCGTCACCTCGAAGTCTGTTCAAAATACAATTATGCTAAGGAAGAAACATTCCACTAGCTTCGTGTCAATAGGGAATTTAATCAAGAGATTACATGGGATCCCAATGATTCTTCATTTGTGACCAGTTCGTTGTTGCTGCCAGTATTTTCTTTATTGCTCCCAAACGATCATGGATGGGGATAAGGACGAAGTTGCTTGGTCTAAATTGAGATGTCACAACGTATTCAACATGATAGCTAACTCTGAATGGTCTCACCCCCTTACAGAAAATATGGAAAGGTCTATTGCAGTGTCAGCGGTATTCATCGTCGAGAAGCACGCCTGCGAATGTTACCGCAGCTATGCTTAGAGGACAATATACGTGCCTCCGCAGTAATGTCTGATCAAGTCATATGGGATGAAACGGAAAAAGCAAGATATATGCTGTGGAAAACTGCCTCCCCCTTGCCAAAGGTTATGAATAAGCACCCGATGTTGCCGCATGCAGAGGAATCTGGAATTACTTTTCATCTCCGATCCATAGTATACACACCTCTTCGTACTTTGCCTTTCATTCTGGGACATCATTGCTCGGGATTTCTATCTGAGAACCACCCACTACCGAAAATCTAAGCTTATTGTATATTTGAACACCCTCAAGGATGCTCTCTAGGTATACAGGAAGTTTCTATAATCTCACTCTTGTGAGCAATACGCTGGCTAGCAGCGATCCTACACCTCGACCTCTCCAACCTGGATTCGCGCAAAGGAAAGACGTGTATATGGTCCTGTCAACTCCTCAACCCCCCCACAACGGCGTGGCAACTGCCAAGACCCCTAATAAAATTCGGGAAGAAGAAGGTATACGTACGAATGCAGCGCATATCCCCAGTGGCTTCCATTTCAACAGCCCTGACAAGCTTGTTGTACTCATCAACGTAGTCTTTGTGAAAGTCATCTGGCAAAATGACTTCGCCCTCTTCACCGAGCGGGGAGTCCAAGGGGAGTTTCCATGTGACAAAACCGACGATATCCTCTGGGCCGAAGACGGAGAACATGATGAAACTCAAGGTAAGATCAAAGCCGGGATTGATAGAAGCTCATCTGGCCAATCTCCTTGACGTTATGAGAATCCAAAAAATTGGTGGCTGTAGGGTGATTGAAGTCGCTGCCAACATTGGTACCCCAGTGTCATTGGAGTTGACCTGCAGCTACCCTGTAGCACGTCAACAGAGACTAATGAACTTGAGGGTATGTTTCAAGGTTCAGGGGTAGTTCGAGGTCAAATTGAGAGTTGCTGAAGCTTTACTGCCCAATTCTGATCCATGAAATTTCTAGTCAGCGAGATGTTTGTCTGTCTGTGTGTGTTCATCAGCTGGATAATGTGTCTTCACCTCATTGACTTTCCTGGAGAAAACACTCACTTGACGGGACTTTGGAAGTCGCAATCCTGACGGGGTCAAGACCTGTAACGGTTTCATGCTCGTAATTTCCGGAAGGAAGGGCAGTTGCAATTCGCCGCAATTCACCGCAATACTCTGGCCAAGTGTCTGGTAATACCATACTAATGCTGTGAAACATCGGCAGTCGGATTGCTACTTTCGCTAGTGGGCTGGTGCACCTTGTACAAGACTGGTCAGTTGGGCATTTAGTGTCTGTATAACCAAGCGGCGGAGCCCGGTGCAGGCGCTCTTACAGCCAGTGTTCGACGACATAATTATCTTTTCCCATTTTTTAATCTGATTTGTGTTCCGTACTAATCGCCCTTTCTCGGCATCACGAACTTTACTGCATCGTCAATTTCAATAGACCTTCGGGGAGATGATTATCAAAGTTGCTTTTCTAGACAGAACCCAGCTCCTTTGATGCTTACTACAGCGCAACGGGCCGAAGCCACAATGCGGCTTGTCCAGTAATAGCCCGTTGTCATCCAATGTCATAAGATCTATTGAATTGGATCAAGCCTTTTGATTAGAAGGCCCCCAGTCGAGCATCTATCCGGCTTGGGCATCTCGATGCCACCCACCCCCCAATCCTGGGCTTGGAACTTCTCCTAGAACGTAAGATAAACGAGTTACATTGCCACTAGGTCCTGCATCCAATTCGGAGCAAGATCACGAGACTATCAACGTCTGTCTGGCATTGGCATCAAAGGGATGCAACGACTAGGTCAGAATTACTGGATTTGGTCTCCCACACGAAGATCGTAGCATACCCCGCGTCCAAAGGCGCCAAGCTTTTGCTTGGAGCTGACGTGACGTGGGGACGATGGATCGTGGGGGCTCTCAAGCGCAAAGGCCATTAAACTCCGCGAGCTTGCTGGTGAATAGTCTATTCGCAGAATTCGATATGTGTCTTTAATATGCTGCGACAAAAAATTTCAGTAACATCACAACTCACGAATTGTGCAGCTGTGTCCAACGTGTGATTGCAAAACTTTGCACGACGGTATGACGGTTTCGTTGCCCCTTGCCTGCCAATTCAATTGATCTAATCTAACACTCGATTCGGCCGTGGATCGGATGTTCTAGGGAGCCTATCAACGATATCGCAGGCTCACTAACGTGCAGTCAGGCTTAAGTGATTTCGTACGCCGCAACCGCAATTGATAACCTGGCGTGGAACATGGATCGGCTCAAGATCGTTGCTTCCGCTGTGTCGGAATTTCGACTTCTTGGGACCACCGTCCGGGAATAACAAGAGGACTGCATGTCATGGCTGTGTATAGAGGGTCCTGAAAGATATCCGATAACCCCCAAGTCAAAAATATGACGGCATCACAACACTCACTCATACCCACAGTCAGGCCCTGATTCTTTTATTCTTTTTGGGAGATAAACTATCTTGTGTCAAATCAACAACTTGGAATCTCATGCGCGCCTGGGCGCCTGTATTGCGATCCATTTCTGCCGTCGGCACCAGCCCTGCCTGTACCCTGCATGACTCGGCTCGGTTGAGCCATTACGTTAGAAATACTGCCAGTCTAGGCCGGATCCGACAGCTGGTGTTTTCTATTTGGTAATGGCAGCGTTGTCCCAAACCTCTTCGCAACCTTCTCTCCACAAACTTTCGGGCCTAAATGCGTACCCGGTACGACGTCTGTACCAAGACCCTTCCTTTGGTGCGCTGTTCACTACAGTCGGGTAGATGAAGCCGTGCTCCTATCTCTGCCATTATGTCACGTCCGGTGCTCGCAATTGGATTAGGAACGTTCGTAGGTCGGTAACCACCCGTGGCAAGTCAGCAGGCGCGCCCCGCGTCGCTATGAGGCTGTCAGCACTCCCACGTCGCTTCCAGGTACCGAGGACTTTGGGGGGGAGCCTCTCGCATATAACTGCTAGAGTTGCATCCAAATTGTGTCCGAATCATCATCCAAGGTTTTTCTGTGTCGACTCTTTGGCCTATCCATGGAACTTTTACATTTATTTATTGTCATTCTCCAAAGATAAGGCCCAACCTACGTTATCAATTGCCTGGCCGCCATTCGCCAGTCTGGCTTGTTTTCGCGACTGCTGGCATGGTCCCTGGCAGTTTGGCATCACCGCCTGTCATCTTCCAGTCACCATTTCAGATGCAGCAAAGTATGACATTGACGAACTGCTCGCCAACGCCCTCTACGGGGGCTCTAGTTCAACGTTTGATAGAGTCGCATGGCTTGGCGATGCCATTCTCCAGAAACCGGCTTCCCGCTCCGTTGAAGCGGTAAACCAGAGTCCCGGCGAGGTGCGAATCAGGACCCCAAGGCGTCAGTGAACCCGAGGAAGAATCCGAGCCACGCTGCCACCATGGAGCGCTTTTTTACCCCAGTATCATCTTCCGTTCTTGACTCTTGCCATAGTACCACCCCCTCAGTGCCAGCCTCGAATGGCCTCGACTCTGCCTTAGCCTTCCGCTTATTATCTCACATGCAAATGTTTACTTCTCTGAACCCTTTCCGCACCTAGGTCTTATACGACCGGCCACATTCTCATTCTCATCTCTTTCCTCCTACTTACTCCTCCTGCAACGCTAGTTGATATTGAACACACGATCGAGTAACGGCGCCTCAATGACGTTGATAAGCCTAGCTTATCTTATCCTCGTCTCGATCATAACCTAGCTTCACCTTGGGTCATTGGCCAATTCCAAATACAGATTCGGGCACCGTGCAGACGGCTTTCGAACAAAACGGTCTTGTCCTGCGTCTCTTACCCCCCGCGCGACAGATGCGTGCCAACTTGGTTGCAAGCTACATCTGGTATCTCTTAGATCGCTAGACGGCATAGCGAAGTTCCCAGAGACGACACACTATAACCACACCTACACCGGTCCAACTCGATAAGACGACCCGCCTGTGCCTTGATAGGGCACGCGACGAACTAGTCAACTGGGCTGCCGTCTTACCTATATAGCGCTTGTCAACTCCCACCACTCACAACCTTATCTCCGGAGCTGTCTTATCAACGTGTCTCCTTGAGCAGCCCAGAGTTGATCAGATCAGCGCGTTTTTGGTATAGCAGCAATCGCAGTTCAGTGGACCCTCCCTGCCTTGTCAACCTGGGTCGTGCTGTTCCCTCCAGCCGCCAAGGAGTGGCCATTACATCACCCTGCTCGTGGGGATACCTCTGAGACGCACGGCGAACTCTCAGCGCTTCGGACTTGAGATACGGGAGCACGCGCTTTGCCTCCCAAACCAAGGAGCCAAGTAGGGTATTGCGAACCCAATACCCACTCTTTTCTGTCTGCCAGCCATGTCCGGCTCGAGTGTCGTCTCAAGGACGGCTCCAATTGCCATTGCTCCCAAACCTTCCAAACCCACCCTCAGCCCCAGCCGTCAACATAGCACACTCGGAACAAATGACCATCTCTCTAATAGCATGAATGGCCATGACTCCGCCGACTCAGAAGATTCGCCTTTGAGTGGAAGCTTAATATGTAAATCTTGCTTGCGTCGAAGGATCAAGTGTATTTTGAGTGAGGACGAGGACAGCAGCAGCAGTTGTCTCTCGTGTCAGGTGAACGGCATTGAGTGCTCCTTGAATCGAAGCCCGCAACCTCGAAAAAGGAAGTTACCGCGTGATTGTACAGACGACATCAGCCAGAGTTGGAAAAGAGCGTAAGTCTCACCAATATTTCATTGTTGACCCCCGCGGCTTTGTTATCTAGCCACTGCAGGTTTGGGCTTGTCGCAACGCTACGATGGCTGACGGCTGACGTATCATTGGTCCGCGCAGTTCACCTGGCCGGTCTGATAACAGAAGGCGGCGGCAGAACCACTCACCCAGTCTTTCCAGCACAGCTGCCAGCAACTCATTAATTGAGGAGATGGCCAACTTTGGTGGTCCTACTTTGCTCAAGCGCACTCTTGGCCTTCAAGATGACAGATACAGTCAATATATTGGTCCCACGACCGACTTTGAACCTTCCCTGATCAATCTTTCCCCCTTCGACCCCCAGGATGAGAGTCTTCTCGCTCGAGGGACTCTCCGGAAAGTCAGTGATGATGACACCTTTTTGATGCTGCCCGACTATGCCACCCCAGGATATGAACACCAATTGGAGGACGTCGAAGCGATTGAAAGACTCGTGGCGCCCAACGGTCGCAAACTGATCGACCTATATTTTCAAGTCGTTCACCCTAGCTTTCCCATTATCCAGCGGAATGTCTTCTATGAACAGTATGAGCGAGATTATCGGGAGTTCTCACCGGCGCTTCTGGCGGCCGTCTACATCCTCGCAATCAACTGGTGGGATCAGTCCGAGGAGCTCTCCAATCTCCCACGCCCAGATGTCAAAGAAATAGAGAGGATCATGCGCTCGGCTCTTACCGGCGCCTCGTGGCGACCGAAGCTCTCCACGGTTCAAGCCGGTCTTTTACTCTCGCAGAAGCCCGAAGGAGATCAGTGGGCACCAACAGCGCAGTTGGTGGCAACTGCGCAAGAACTTGGTCTGCATCTTGACTGTACCCATTGGAAGATACCACCGTGGGAGAAGGGCCTGAGAAAGAGACTTGCCTGGGCGTTGTACATGCAGGATAAGTGGGGAGCCCTCGTTCACGGCCGACCATCTCACATATTTACGACGAATTGGGTCGTACAGCCTTTGACCCCGAACGACTTTCCCGAATTGGAGTGCGATGAAAATGACACGGAAGAGAAGCTGGAGATTGAACGAGGCCGGACGCTGTTCACGCAGATGGTGTACCTGTCTCAAGTCCTTTCAGAGATTCTGGACACCTTCTACACGCTACAGGCCATGCAGAACGTTGCCAACGCGGGGCCTCAGGGTACCCATCTGGTGCTATCGCTCGCGAAGCCGATACAGTTGAAGTTGAAGGAGTGGTACGCCGCGATTCCGGCAAATATCCGTATGGACTCGTCATTTCAGACGAACAACGTATCATCCACGCGACTTTCCAGCATCGGTTACCTTCATTTGGCGTACTTCGCGACTGAAATCACGTTGCACCGCCGTATCATCCGTTCTCTGGCTGCCGACTCCCAAGCTGTGGATGCTTATGTTCAGCATATCTGTCGGAGTGCTGCGAAGGCTCGTCTCATATCCGCCATGGACTTTGTCAACCGTCTGACACATCAGCATCTCCGAGCGTTTTGGTTCTTTGCCTCAAAAACCAACTTTGCGCTGATTGGCACATTTGGTTCCTTGCTGTGGGCCACTTCCCCGGGCCGAGAGGAGGCAGATTGGTATCGTCGTAGGCTGGGAGAGTACCGCTGGACTCTTAGCGTGAGCAGCAAGCCTGGAGAACGTAAGGGTTTGGCCGAGTTCGCAATGGGAATGCTAGATATCTCGACGGGACTTCTCAAGGTGAGTGCGACTCCACGATCGACCCTTTGCGCCGCCCCACGTATGGTGGCGATCAGTGAAGTCGGCCCATATGCTGACATATCCAGCAGAAACTCCCTGAGAAACCAGAGCTTTCTCGCAGCGGAAGTACCGCCGAAATGGACCTTGGCCGAAGACACAGCCTACTCTCGATGGGACTCGGTGGCGGCCCAATGGAGTTTCAGAGTATGGGCAGTGCTGATGTCAGTGGTGGCCAAAGCCCCGAGAGTTATGACAGCAGCGAGGAGATGTACGACAATTTTGCGCCGACGGGCGGTATTGCATCGCGCAGTTAGGGGACGTGGCAATCTGGCGACGAGGGAAATGGGATATGAGAAATGAAGTCAAGAGTTTCCTAATTTCTCTGAGATGCGGTGGCATGCCGAGGATTCAAAGGAATAGGCTGAAGGGAGTGAGACGAGGTCACGCCATCGCCCCCGACATTGATGATTGATGACGAGCTGAGGGTGCCTTCTTTCACCATGCATGCCACCCACCATTGGCAACTTCGGCTAGTCAAGGATATCGTGTTGTTGCTTTGCTTTTCATTTGCTTGTGCTCTTCCTTTCGCTTTTCTTTCTCTGTATACCCCCAACTAGACGAGTGTTTGTCTCGCATGTTAGACTCTCGGCCGCTGTCGCTACGTTCCCCCATTCGTGGTGTTAGTGGTTGGTTCGCTTCTCCGGGTCGGCATTCTCGAATCGCACAACAGAAAGCATCGAAGATTTAGGACATAGCTACAGGTGTGGAAAGATCGAAAGACTCGTAAATAAAGCAAACTTGCATATTTACACTCCCCAGTCACTGACTCACCGCTGCTGTTGGGCGGGAAAGACAGGGAAAGCCATTTTCTTTACCTGAGTTACCCAAGTGCCCAAGAAAGACCCACTGGTGCCGCGTCACTGGCCGCTTGCTGGCTGGTCGTTTTATTGACCGCCTGAGTGTGTCGATTCGTTGACTTAGCTTTTCACATTGGTGCATGAACTTACTTCGTGGTGTACCTAGGTACATTGCTGGCTGGTCGCATTGGTAGCTGTCAAGAAATCTTCTAGCATCGCATGGCACTTACACACCCTGAAGAACATGGTTTCCATCCAAGAGGCAGTAGATGGCTGTACCTCGAGTGTGGGCTCTTGTATCGGTGCGTTCTTTGCGCACAACCACAATTAGAGCTCGGGGCTGTTACAAAAGTTGAGTGGATGCCGTTCCTGACCGCTCAACAACGCCAGCTAACCCACACCTGCCGCGGTATGGCTCCTCCGGTAATTGGTGAATTTATGTTGTATATTTCAGTAGTGACGCTACGATAGGTCATGGAGCGTCCAGGGTTCCGACTGGATTGGTCTGGGTCTGGGAATAGTCGGCCTACCATGTAATTCACAGCGGTGCAAGTTAGTGACAACTCCTATATGAGCTAGCTGTCTTGCCTGCTGTATGGATCTGCAGGCCGGTGAATGCTGTAACATACCGCGGCCATGTACGTGCATTGGTCACATCTCCCTCATGTGTAGGTGTTGTCGTGTCTACAAATTCTCAAGTCAGGATAATGGCAAGTCTGGGGAGGAATAAGTGCATTTGAATTCAGCTCAATACTACAACTTCTAGTTCCCTAAGCATGTCACGATTTAGACACGCAGCTCTGTCGAAGCTCTATTTTTGAAGATGAGCCCTACATTGTATTCGCCCCGGTGCTGTTTTCTGGTGCATACTATCCCCCCATAATCTCCTTATACGGCACGACCGAGAAAAGCGGACAGGAATACGGTGAAAACAGATATGAACATCGACTTCCGGTTGCGTAGTATTGGTAAGATGAAGAGGTGCCCCAGGGACGGACAAGGAGGCAGGGGTTGTAGTCTGGAAAACTATACGAACGTTTCAACGGCATTCCCCATCGGCCGCCCACATGGCCAAACTGCTCAGTTCGAACAAGAAATAGTTGCGCCCGTTAGGGTACGTCAAGCGTTTTCTTTATTATCCTGCGGAAGTGGAGCATCCATCCGTACTTTAGGTGCACGTGAGCGCGTTCCCGGCTAGCTGGAACCACGGGTAGGGCGGGCGCTAGCGAATATTGTATTGGAAGGCGTCCTAGCCTCTTTGGAACAGTTACAAACAAACTGTTGGGAGAGTAAACAGAGGATAACTTAAGTGCCTCGATCTGAAGCGCAATGTAGTCCAAGGGCTCCGTAGAACGGCAGTCTTTTTGGCTTGGGGACACAGGTCTTCTTGCATTTCCCTGCAACATATTACTCACCGGGACCTTAATTTAGAAAGGCGACCTAGGATATTACATACGTTGATTAGTAGACAATATGTTTGATCACTAGAGAAACGACAGAATCAATACTAAGCTTTGCTATATCACTATCTAGAATACATAACTGCTAAGAATATTCTTTAAGGTTCTCTACAATAATTTATTTATCGACCGGTAAAATCCTAATAGATAGCTTAACCAAGGTACTTAGGCGATAGTCGTCCAAGCGGTGTATATTATACTTCAATCTATAAATTGGAGGCAGGGCGATTGTTAGGTGATATGCATTTCTGTTTATATTTGTTTCGTTAACTCTCAGTAATCTACTTATATATATTGTGACTTACACGCTCTCCTATACCTACTTCTTACGTAACTCAATGCCATTTAGAATCTGCCTCTTTTCAAGCATCGCTAGTTGCAAATACTTTTGGTGGACAAGTATTCAAGATGGGTCATATGCGAATTTGAAATGTCTATTGTTGAGTGTCGAGTAAAATCCTGTGCTCACGATATCACCTATATCTTTCTCAATCCGCTAAATAGACTTTTATTACAAGTGCGCACTAAGCTGTCCGTGATCGGAGATTTTCGTGTTTGTCGACCATCAAACAATGGCCGCGGTTGATATTCTTAGGCTTCGTTCCTTGTGATCGGGTGTTGGGATTTGATAACCAGGCGTTCTCGAAGGTGAAGTATTGTTGGGCATGCTAGGCCGCTTGAGAATAGCAGACATATACGGAAGCCCCCAGAATATATAGTCTGCTGGGCCTTTATGGGTTTAACTCGTAGTAGGTGTCGGCTTGTCGTGTATAGCTGTTGTGCTTCACTCAACCGATGACAGGCATGGTCATGTCTTACGCAGCCATCCTGCTCAACCTTTTGATTATCTTTGGCTTGTCATTGTGTATTCGAGTGTCACCCCAATAGTCCGTGAAGTTTGCCTCGAAGTGTGAGACATTTTGGGCTTCGCATGCTAATATCAAGCAATATGGCCACGCACTGCTGGATGACTCTTAGCGGAGGCTGACTGTTGGAAAGTTCGGCACCCGTAGTCTTACTAGGAATTGAATCAGCGATTGGTAAGGTCTCATAGAGTATGACGGTTGACGGTAGATTCTCGTTGACGGGGAGGCTGCGGAATAGTGCTAATCTGGATTGGTCGACTATATTGTAGTAAGATAAGAATGCTTACACTGACAAGGTTGGAAACGAGTTGCCTTAAATGCACGTATGGTAGCTTTGCTCCAACCCGACAAGAGTTGTTCTAAGATCTTATGCCAAGCCATCCTGCCTCGCCAGTGAGCAAGATATCATAGTCAGCAACCAAAGCGATCGTCAAGGCTTTATATTCTCATTCGCCTTTGACGGGACAGCTCAGAACGCCAACTTTGCCAGTATATTGGCCGCGCCCCAAAAGCCACGTCAATTTGCCAAAGTCGGTAGCGTAGCCTTACACCACAGACGTCAGAGCAAGCAGGCTTGCCCGTAATGAGAAAAGCTGCTGCAGTCAGGCGTAGGACGCTCGTCAGTTTGCCCCGATCAACACAGGCGGCCAAGGGTTAATTAGAAGATGTGTTTTCTTACATATTGACTGTTGTTATTTCTGTGTTTTGATTCCAACTTCCTGCGAGCTCTGGAAATATAAGTAGCTCCTATTCACCATGGCAGCCTCACGATCCACTATGTTCTCGTTTCTATGCCTTGCGGCCGTGGCCAGGTCGCATCTTCTGATCACGTACCCAGGATCGAAAGGATACAACCTAGCGGTCAACGGCTCCGTAGTGGACACTAACGGTCTCAGTATCGGGACTGACCCCGACACCGATGATCCCATATATCCCTATGGCGAGCAATGGCTTTTCCCATGTAGGTATGTCCTCTCACATTCAGAGGCATGCAAGGCTGACGCCAGCCCGCAGGCGGCGGTCTCCCCGTCTCCCAAAACCGCACAACCTGGCCCGTAACCGGCAACGGCGCCCTCAGCTTCCAACCCGGCCTACAAGCCGGGCACTCCACCGCCATGCTCTCCATCAACCTCGGGCTCGGCACCATCCCAATCAACTACAGCCTGCCCATGGTCCCCATCTTCTCCATCACTGGCCCTACGAACGAACAGTACTTCGACGCTCTCTGCCTGCCTTCGGTTCCTTTCCCCTCAGGTGTGAGTCCTCGCCCGGGCGACAACGCCACGATTCAGATTGTCGAGGCCGATAAAAACGGCGCGGCGCTGTACAGCTGCGTGGACGTGACATTCGTCGAGGCGGGGGAGGTTACCGCGCCGGGGGACGGGACATGTGCTAATTCGAGTAGTATCAGTTTCCATACTGTGTCGACGAGTGGGGGACACAAATGGGGGTATAGTTCTGGTCAGATGATTGGTTTGGGGCTCGGGGTCGGTTTGCCGTTGTTGATTGCTGTGGCTGCGTTGAGCTTTTTTTTGTGGAAGGCAAGGAGGCAGCTGGCGCAGAGGCAAACGGGTTGATTCGGTCGTTACTGGAGGAACATCAGGCACTCAAGGTGTGGAGCGTGTTAAAATAGGGTGTCGAGAGATGGGCTGAACAGATCGGGCCACTGTGCCAACATGGCCTCTGCGGATGGCCATGCCGACATTATGTGTGTATGCAGTACGTACGTCCATTTCTTCATTTAGGTTACGAAGTAGACAGTTGATAATAACCTGCAATGGCGTTGTCTCATATATCATTATCTCGAAGTTATGTTATTGATACATGTGCCATCGTTGGAAGAGTTGTTCAAGCATCATCCGTTGATTAAGATTGTTTGCCGCCTTTCTGCTATAATACGAACGTTATAATTATGAGCATTGCTTCTCAAGCCCGAAGTGGTGTTTTTACCGGTCCCAACAACCATACCCACCTTGTAAACATCGACCTTGTAGTCTAGGCTTACAGGCAACGCCGCCCTATCGCTGTAATGCAAATGCTATAATAACCATGCCTCTAAAGGGCTCAACCAGAGTCAACTGGATCCATTTCGCAGTCTCGGTCCGTCTAGTCCTGACTTGCAGACAAATCCAGGTTCTTATCCCACAGGTTTCTCAGGAGCGCAGCGACGGTGTTATCGTCTCCGTCCACAAAGCCCGATCCACTAAGACGATCTTGTATCCTGTCCTCTTCAGCCTCGAAACTCGAATTTGCGCCATTCGTTCGAACCGATTCTGTTCGTCGGGGCGTGGGTGGGCGCGATCTTTGGGACGGCACCAGGCTTTCATTCAAGCCGTAGCCCCGAGAGTCATTCGATGTTTTCTTGTTGTGTGTTGACCCATTGCTTCGGTGGCCGTTCTGCTTGGGTATGAGTTGTCGCTTATCGGCGTTAGGAAGCTGATGGAGACGTGCTATTGATCTCGCAATGGGGTTCTGATATCTGCGTACCACAAGATACTCCGACCCTGTGCGGTCGAGCATCTTGCCGATACGAGGATCTCTTGTGTCGTAAACGCCGCCGCCGACCAGTGGACTCGCCCCGACCGCCCCCACACTGCCGCTGCCTTGCGTAGGTTCCATGCTAGAGCTTGCACGTTGGAGGTTCAACTTCTGCTGCGTGCGTGATGTCTCTGCCGGTGGAGCCCTGTAACCAGATCTTCTGGTTCGCGGGGCTAGGGCGCTGCCATTCTCCTCTTCTGGCTCGTCGGTCGCAGAGTCTCGGTGCTCTTGCTGAAGGTCGGCCAGCGATCGTGGACGTCTGACGCGGTCGCGGTCATTTTGCCGGGCGGTGGCTCTTGTACGTGAGTAAAAGGAGCCAGCATCAGGGTTTGCCACAGAACTCGGTCCATCGACAAATCGCGACGTGAGTTCATCCTTGGAGCCCACGAGGGTTGTGCCAGTAAGACCGGTTCCAGCCCGAGTCGTCTTCGGAGTCCCATAGAGTGTAGAAGACGCTCGGCTCAAACCAGAGTCTGGGGAGGGTGAATGAGGATGTACTCGCACCGTTTCAATGGACATTTGTGGCGGCGCGCCGTGAGACGGCGTTCTTTGCAGTAGTCTCGATGTCAACGATATCTTACGATGGGCGGTATCGCGCTCGGGAGTTTCGCACTCCTCATTAGGTACGGTCGGAGGTGTATGACGTTGCGGGCTCACCTCCAGGCTTGCTGGCACCTTCCCCGAGGAAGGTACACTGCCAGCGACCGAGCCGCGTCGCGAAAGGTAAGGTGAGGCTGAACCACTGGCGTCCACCCACTCGCCTTCGTCGTCCTCCTGGCCGTCGTTGCCTAAATCAAAATGCACTTGGCTCTTAGCACCACCCTTGAGCTTGCTGATTTCCTTTTGGGATGAGGTCCGTTTGATGTTCGTGCCAGACTTGGCTCGTTTGCCCACTTCCACGTGCGAACGGTTGCGCTTGAGACTCGTGTGCGATGAGTTTTTCTTCAGGTTTGTGGCCGAGTTGTCGCGCGACAGCCTCACGTCGGACGTAGTTCGGCGATGAGCAGCGAGCAGCATGGGGGGTCGTTCTGGGCGTTCGGGCGAGGGGGATACGTGTCGTCGAGTTTGATTGAATTTCGTAGTTGAAGTCGCGTGGTTCTTGGGTAAAGCCTTGGACGACGGGACGCGTGTATGTAAACGGCCGCTGCTCACGACGTGCTTGTGGTACTTGGGCCGTTGTAGCGGTTGCGACGTAGACGTATGATCGCTCACCTGCGAGTCACTGTCATGGGAGACATGGTGGTTCAGCGGCGGGCGCTTTGATTGGTTTGGCAGCCCCGACTCGTTGTCTCTGTCCTTGGCCATGGTTGCTTATTGCTGCCACGGGCACGGGTGGTCGCCCCAAAGCAAACTTGTCTTCCGCGGGGTGGCTTCGGCCAGACCAAATCATAGAACCAAAATGTCGCCTTTGAGATTGGAAGTCCCGAGGTCGGGTTGTCGAACGTTTCGGGAGGGTTGCAGAGCCTGAGTGAAGCAGTCGGATGCGGTATGGTGTTCAATGTTCAGGGGCCTGCGAACCACTGAAACGGTCGGCCAGTGACGTTGTATCTCCGTAGACGCATAAGAGTAGAATGACAATTTCCCTACGACATGCACATGAACAACGAACAGGATCGTCACAGGTATCCCACAGGCTTGACTGGAGTTTCTGCCTGCAGGATGGGATTGGCAAGGTTGAGGAAAGGACGAAGAATTGATACGATCCGGTGGCCCCATAAATGTGACAAACGAGCCTATCTGACTTTGTTCCTTCCAGCTTCATGTGTTTTCGTTCCGGGGAAGACACGGAGTCTTTTTCGTGGAGTAGCGGTGACCGACTTTCTCAGAGCCGTAATTGGCTAGGTTTCCAATGGCAGCGCAAAAGAAGCGCAAGGGAAGGTTCAATGAGGTTCAATGTTCGAAGCTTGGGGGCCTGCACGTGGAAATCATATCCCGAAAGTGGGGTAGATGCAGCGCTGAATCAGCTGAAAACTATCGCCCTATCGCGGCCTGTGACAGTGGTAGCCGTCGGGGCCCGCCCACAACCCCTTATTTGCGGGGGTGTGAGATAGACATAGGACTTGTTCAGATTCCATTGACTTTCCAGATTTCGACGCTTGCGCTGCATCATGGTGATACCATCCCAGCGTATCCTAGCCTGCTCAATTGACTTCCCCGTAAATCCATTGCGACTGCCGGTTCTCGTCGCGATCATTGCTCTTAGATTGCTCAAAGCGCTTCTACAATATGGAACGTGTATCGTCGCAGTACATTACGCTCGACCCCTTAGAACCGGGTAATTGTAGACGAAAGGTGTTCAATTCCATTCAGCCTGCGTTCTCGCATCCTGTGTCCTGGAACAAAAGTTGGGGCCAGTCCCTCAATTGGACTTGGAATATGCATTTGAGATGAACCTCAGTTGCCTCACTCCTCCTCTTCAGGCTCGGGATTTGCATCCTCGTCGTTCGAGATAGCATCATAATGGACCCATATCAGACAAATTTCGCAGCTCTCGGAGCACTATGCGCATTGCTTCTTGCGTGCCAGCCAACTCGAATGGAAAAATCGAAGCCAGAATCAGGTTCACCGAAGCGGGCAAAACCAAAGACATTCAAGAATCCTCAAGCAGACTACTATTATGTTTATGCACTTGTGATGGGTGCGGACTGGCTTCAGGTAATCGAGTTCGCCTCTCGAAAGGTTACAGTCATGTTAATGTGAATCAGGGGCCTTATTTGTACTCGCTCTACAAAGACGAGCATGGGGTCTCATCGAGCGTTGTGTTCGCTCTCTTCACGACGGGATTCTTGTCAGGCGGCCTGAGTGCTTACTTCGTCGGGTCGTTGGCCGATAAATATGGCCGGAAAAAGACATGCCTCGCCTTCTGTCTCCTGAACTCGGCGTCCTGCTTGTTGACCATGGTCCCGATGGTGCCGCTGTTATTCGCCGGACGTGTACTCGGCGGCATCAGCACTAGCATTCTCTTCAGCGTGTTTGATAGTTGGCTAGTCTCCAATTTTCGGGAGCGGAGATTGGTTGAGAAGGGGTGTGACCTTTCTCAGACGTATGGGACCATGAGCACGATCAACAGTGTCACGGCAATTGCTAGTGGTGTCATGAGTGATGTTGTTGTTTGGATGACTGGCACGAAAAAAGCGCCGTTTCTCGTCAGCGCTATTCTCTTGTGGTTGGCGACGCCGACAATAAAATCAAGATGGGTACGACAGCCACCCGCCTCAGGTTGGGTCGAAACTAACAATAATGCAGGCTGAGAACTATGGTAGTGCAGCTACTAAAGGAAAGAAAAACAACGAGACGACGAGTATGTGGTCCATCATCAAACGCCCTGTGATCATGGCCCTCGCTCTGGCAATGACGATGTTTGAAGGGTCGATGTATCTATTTGTATTTTTCTGGGTCCCGGCCCTGAAGTCGGTTCAACAGTCAGCCGGAGAGCTGCCCTATGGCTTCATTTTCGCCAGTTTCATGGCTTCTGTCATGGCGGCCTCGCTCGCCTTCAACCTCGTCATGCAGAGGCGACTGATGAGGTATTCGCGGCTCTTAGTTCTTCTTCTGGTTGTAGCCAACTTCGTCTTCGTCAAGCTCTCCAGTCCCAAGACGGAACAGTCCACCTTTTGGTTTTTCTGCCTGTTCGAGGCTTGCGTGGGGCTTTACTTCCCTTGCATCGGATATCTGAAAGGTCGAATGATTGAAGATGGGATCCGAGCCAAGGTTTACAGTCTGATGCGCGTGCCGCTCAACATTTTTGTGGTTGTTTCGTTGATATTTGCGAGGGAAAGCGGGGATTTCGGCAGGGTGTTTTCGGTTTGCTCCATGTTCCTCACTGCGGCATTTGGTGCTGTCTGGGCGGTAACGTTGAATGAAGACATTCCCTGATTGAGGTCCGTGGAGCTAGTCCTGAGTTGCCCGGATTGTCGAGAATCATTAGAGCTTTGAGGCGGGTAGGCCCCCGGAGGCAGTATCGAAGTATCTCGTGGCATGCAATTATTTCCATCTTCCTCACTAAATTTGCTCCAGGTAGACGTACGTTAAGTGGCGTGGAAGCACTGTCAAGTTGAGGTTAGCAAGTCTTCAAGCTGATGGAGACATGATTCGGTGCTTCTAGATGGATTGGCCCATGCACCTAAATGTCGTAACTGTGCACTCCCACACTCGAACCCAGCTAGGACACAACAACGACGGGTCTATTTGTGGTGACGAATTTGGACGTTAGCCAATGATGGAACCAAGTTGAAAAGATGCCTACAAGACGCAACACCTAAGCTCCTAACAGCCTGAGACAACTCATAATCACGCTATCAAGGTCACCACCAGAGCCTCGTATTCATAGATCCGCATGGTCAGAGTCCTTCGATTTCGACTTCTCGGATAGATAGCATATATTTCTGGTGCACCCGTCAGGAAGTTTGTCAGCGGCCAATCTATAGTGATGCCGGAAGACAGTCCTTCTGATAAGGCAATCGTCCCACAGAGTAATTAGGAATTATCTGTGGATGTTAAGTTGTTATCCCAGTATAAATTTGCAAGAATGCATTCATGATAACGTGAAACCCCATTGACTATTCCACTTTCTAGTTACCCATTGTGGTTTGGGGGGTACACATAAGGCACCTATGAGCAGTCCTATCTTTATGAAAACATGCATTTATGAAGAAGCCTGCATGTAATAAAAACTCTCTTGTCATTCTTGGTTTGAAGTAGGCTTGCCTACTACTTTGACGGCCACAGGTGCACAGGTTTCTGTTAAAGCCCGACTCAGCTATCGCAGATAACTTTAGCCAACCTTTAAATGAACTCCAAATTCCCATTGGATCATCCCAGGCTTATTAAGAGTGCTGATAATCACGAGGTGAGGGTTAAGTAAAGACAAACCAAGAATGTAGCTCTGAGGTCCCTCAATAGTGGAGTTTCTTGTCATTATTCGGTTTTAGTTGAATTTATTTGTCAATGAGATATCTACGTGAGATAAATAGGTTCATTTTTGATTGCCACATCAACTGGTGGGCAGTTTCAAAAGATAAGCTTGTTTCTTAATGTGGCCTATCATGGTGAGAATCCTAAAGAGGACAAACCGTCTATTAGTCATTGTAGCATATCGTGTGTTGATACAACAAGACACGAAACGATTGTCCGCGCCTTTTCTACCCCATAAGTATACGGGCTTGAGGGTTGGAATGGTAGAACCATGACGAGCTTAACCTTTGGCGAAGTCCATTCGGGATTAATTACATATTTCAAGACGGCTTAGCATTGGCAAAGGCAGCAACGAAACAAATGTCCGTCCGTCCTCAGTCATTCGCAGACGCCATCCCCAGGCCTTCACTCGTTGGGCTGCCAATCTGCGGACGGCAGGCATGGTATAGGATATTGATTTATCGTCTCCCAGTCTCATATGGGGGCAAAGGCATTGCTGTTTCTCGGTTTTGCACCACTTTCTCACCCCATCAAGACTTATTTCGAACCCTTCTTCATGCTCCGTGTTTCATGGACCCCAGCTGTCGTCGATATCACTCTGACTGGAGGCATGGATGGTTGTGAAAATGAGCCCCAGTGAACTCCAGCGAACAACCTCTCGGAGGTGCATTCAATACAACGTTCGGTGTATTGAGTGTCCCTGTGCCTCCGGAGAGACTGCCTGGTGTATTTCCTGTGAGAGCACACACGCACAGATCCTGTAGCCCCTATACTGCAGTTACAGTTGCCATAATCGCCAAGTCTTGGCCGAAGGGGAACAGGATGGCAGCATGCAAGCTTCGACATACGTAGGAACAGACCTGCCAGCTCAACTCTCGCAGATCCTCCTGGTGTGCTCCCCAGTAATAATAGCCATTTTCACAGAATGAAACTTGGCGTAGCAAGGCCACTAATTGTTGCGTGTCTGAGCCAAGTTGTTCTGGCGAACTGGACAAGTCTCTGAGATATGATCGGTATTTTGTGTATGATGGATGATGTACTCGTAAATGGTTTCTTTGCTGCTCGAAATGTTGGAATTCCGTGTCGAAGGAAATACGCCTCAACGCTCGGAGCATTACCCGAGGCATAACAGAGTAGAAAATGGGAGATGGCGGTTTGTTTTTAGTAGTAGCTCCTCTGGTCAGGTCTCCAAGGGATCTTTCTTTCCCACTGCCTGCAAAGCAACCGTCCCACGATAGACTGTAGCCCTCGGAAGAACACTGACCTAACTGTGTTCTGTTGTCCATTTTCCCGCCAGGGTATGCCTGTAAATTATACTAGTCAGTATATTTAGTTGAGTGATAAATTAGCTGTGAAGTGACTTGCGTGCGAAAATGGTCAAATTTGGGATCGTAGTGTTCTCTATGGATGGTCAATTTTCCTGCTTTTGGTGAACGTTGAAATGACAAATCTGTTCTCAGAGCCCAAGTTTGGTGACGATCAAATCAATGTCTCAAGACCTGTGATCAGCCGGGATGTGGGATACTGTAACGTTCCTCTGTCCATCTGTCCAAGGGAAGTGAGAATCCAAGTATTATTACCACAATTGAGACTATAAACCAGTCCTTCCTATTCATTCAATAATCTTTCGATACTGATGAACTTGACATGGGGGTGATGAGTTACCCCCAAGACAGTCCGGTGCGATCGACACAAGGTATGTGCAAGATGACGGCTGCAGCCCATTGTCTGGAATAAGAAAATAAAATAATATTAAATACGCCGTAGGTGTTAACCCTCGGTACCTCTACAAGTACTCCCTTAAGGGGCTATAGATGATATAGCGGGCCCTTAAGCCGCGTCGGGCGGTTATACAGGTAAACTTGTAGCCAAACGACTACTAAACCTCCTGTCCCTCCCTAAGTCTGTGCTACAACCCCTGCCTGAACTACCGATAAGTGTGGTAATGTGGCACTTAAATTCGTCCTCAGGGGTGGGATGCTGCTGATGTGCAGAAGATGCTCGACTATTTTTTTTTGTCGCGACAAGTCGTAGTATCTGCTAATTGGGGTTCTCGTCGAGCGTATACATCTCAACCATACGCTCAAGTGGATAGACCGTAACGTGGTCTAGACGCTCGCAAGAATCGCGGCGAGAGGGCGTGCTGCGCGCCTTCTATCGTGAGGGGACGGGTTCGCCGACGAGCGTTATCGGATAGGCGAGGTCCGATAAGGGGCCGGATTAACGATTCGAATTCTGGACCGGCTGTCGAGTTATATTCCGCCGACGTAGTGCTTGACGGTCGACTGGCTAGGATGCTCGTAATCCTAAACTGCACCAATCTCCCTATTATCGCTAGGTAGGCGAAGTCAACAAGGTGGGCAGCGCGCCATAAGGGTTGACTAAACCCCCTTGTGTGTCAGCTGCAGGATTCGAACCCGCGACTCGTCACCGACCCAAGTGGGCGAGGCTGAAATCGGGACTTATCTACCAGCGAAGTGACCAACTACACCAGCCGACAATAAGAAAATAAGTCTATCCCAACACGTTTCGTCTTTCTAGGACGAAAAGGCCCAGTACAGTTTGGCAGTTTGATCGATGAACGGAGACAGCTTTGGATAGCAACCTGGATTCTTGTGGTTGAAACATTGCGTTGACGTACATCGAACCCGGTATTGTCGTGATATTGACATGTTGGTTGTTCATGAACCTTCTCAATTTCTTTTTGACGGCTACCTCGAGTGATGTCGTCAAGTATACTGCCATGCTGCCCATCTGAACCAGGTTGAGGTACCTTATTCCGCAAGTGGCCGATCGGATGACGTGCCTGCAAGCTATATTCCAGATGCCCCACCCCCACCATTGCAACATCAATCCCACAAGGCGGCTCCACTTCTCATCGGTCACCTTTCGGCGCCCAACGCATGAAAATACTCGACGTCCTGTCCGTCTCTCAAAGTACTTTGACACAATAGACCAAACTTTCATTCCGGGTGTACGCTTAACAACTACACAACGCCTCCCCTCACGACCCAATCCTCTACCAAAAGTATACCTACACAAAACCATCCCGCCAAGATGCATATCCTCGTAACCAACGACGATGGGCCTCCCTCGCCCACGTCCTCTCCGTACGTTCACAGCCTGGTTCGCGCCCTCCAATCCGCGGGCCACACCGTCTCCGTCTGCCTCCCGCACATGCAACGGTCCTGGATCGGCAAAGCTCACATGATCGGCGAAACGGTCAAGCCTTCTTACTACCGTCCATCCGCCACCTTCGACCCCTCACCGACGGCCCCCTCTCCGCAAGGCAGCACACACGCCCGACCAGCCCGCTCCGACGACGGGCCCGTGGAGGAATGGATCCTCGTCGACGGCACGCCAGCCAGCGCGGCGCAGATCGGGCTCTCGCACTTCTTCGAGGACCGGGGGCCCATCGACCTTGTGGTCTCAGGCCCCAACTACGGACGCAACACGACGGCCGTCTTTGCGCTGTCGAGCGGGACGCTAGGTGGGGCCCTCGAGGCGGCGGTTTGTAGGCGGAAAGCCATCGCGCTGAGCTATGCTTTCTTCAGCCGAAACCACGACGCCGAGATCATCGAGGGGGCGAGTCGGCATAGTGTGAAGGTGATTGAGAAGCTGTACGCACAATGGCCGACCGACAGGAGCGTAGATTTGTATAGTGTCAACGTACCGCTGATTGAGGGCGTGGACAGGAAGAAGACAGTGTGGGCGGGGATGTTGCAGAATTACTGGAGCGAGGGCGGCTCGTGTTTTGAGGAGGTGGAAGGGAGTGTTGCTGGGGAGGATGAAGAGGAGAGTAGGATACGGGAGGGGGAGGGAGAGTCTGAGGTCCAGGGGAACGGGGAGAAGGTGGTTCAGAATGGGAGTCGGTTCACGCATCGGCATTTCAAATGGGCTCCCAGATTTACGGATGTGTATAAGAGTGTGGAAGATGCTCCGCCAGGGAACGACGGCTGGGCGGTTAAGGAGGGCTTCACCAGGTTGGTTCTACTCCTTTTCAGTCATCTCCAGCATCAGTGACTAACTATCAACGACAGCGTCACCCCGCTGAAAGCGAATTTCTGGCATACTGCAACGCAATTGCATGGCGAGGAGTTAAAACTGTGAGTGCTATTATTGCATTTGACTTTGAGTCGTCAACCGATTTTGGCTACCGACGCTATCATGATGATACCAGAGGCGGACGCCGGGGCTTAGGTCATTTAGAGAAAAACACGGCATCTAGATTTATAGACCTAGACAATCCATGTCAGAACCCCGTTTTTGGGGTGTCGAATGTTCTCCACGGACTTGAGTGTGCATCCGTCCCAGAATCGTCGTCCTTCCATCACCTCCTCTATGTTATAAATGTCCCGCATCTTTCCAACTCTCCGTAGAGACGCAGAAGACTCGCCAGAGGTTAAAAAGACAAAGTCGGAGGAAGCGACCTTAAAGTCATCGACTAGGACTTAGTGAAAGGGCATCCGTAAACCTATTTCGCCAACAGCTACATGCTCCGCAAAGCGTTGATCCGGAAACACTACCTGAGTGCCAAGGTGAAGAACCGGGCAGCTAAGCGGTCTGAAACGGTGCTCAAGGACGACGTCAAGCGGAGCAAGGTCTCGAGCTGGGTTATGCCGAGTTTTGGGATGATGCTCTCGTTTAGACGTTTGGATTATGGGCTAGTTCGGAGAGGAATAATGAACGATGGGATCGCTCACCCCTGGGAGTTGACGCTCGGATCGCCGTAACCCACTCCCGATTGCCTTGCTGTGCCATTTTAGGTCCTCCACGTCTTTTGGCACTTGTGACTACTATCCCTATTACAGAGATTACGCCCATCATAAAGCCCGCCTTATCAAAGTTCCAGCTATCCTCCTCCGCGATACCGTACTTCGCGATTGTATTCTGTGGGCCGAAACCACGCCGAAAAAGAAGCTAGTAAAGTAGAGTATAGATAATCTTTACCTCAATGATTAATTCAAATATCAATCTAGTCTATTACTAAGGTATAACGGACCCCACGGTCCAACTAAACAATTTCCCGCATTGCCGTATAACCTAGGTTTCGTCCCTTATTTTCCACCTTTTACTATAGTAGATAACTAGGAAGAAAGTGACATTCAATTAGAATATTCAGTGAAGTACTTCTTAGCTCACAAGTAGGTAACGCTTCTAGTCAATTGGACCTCAGTGCCTTAACCGGCACGGTATCACGTACACACTGCCCATGCTGCCTCAGTTTCCAGAATAGAGGATTATTTCGTATATAAGCTAGAGAAGGCTTACAGCCTTAGGAGTAGTTTAACGGTCAGTTATAGGATAAATCGCGCTGGAAAAGTAGTCGTGCGAGGAGGCCTAGGACGTGCTAGCGACGCTATAGGACGTACGGAGAGCCCGTTTATAATACGCGTACTTGTTAGAATAGTAAAGAAATATCTTAAGATAGTGCCGAGTAGTTCTTATTGTTTTTAACGTGGCCATCGCTATAGCCGTACCACCTCCCTCTTTCCCATCCTTCTTGTCGGCCAGCTTGGCGCCCCAGGAGGATGCTAGTGCGCACAGAAACGAACGCCGAACAACGCGATGGCCATGGTCCAGCTGCCACGCAGGCCGTTCAGGTATGCCTTACCCGCGTCGCAGAGCATATCGCCCATATACGCGGACTGAAGGTCTGCGGCATCCACGCCAAGCACGACGTGTCCGTCCGCACTTCCTATGTACTCCGGTGCCTTCACGAGGATAATGTTGTTCAGGATGACGTCAGTAGAGCCGACTAAGTAGGTTGCCGAGATGAGCTGGAAGACTACCGAGTAGGAATATGTGGGATCAGTAGAGAATTATGTAGCCAACATGCTGAATCTGGGAAGATTGATGGCAAGCTGTCAGGTGGGTGCAAGGGTTTTCACTTCTATTTCCAACAGTCAGGTTTGGCCTACTGCCCCCGCCTGCTATGCTGGGTCCAACATATTGATAATTTCCTCTAGGTCCAATTCTTCTGGTAATATCAGGAACCTGAATATTAGGCTTTAAGATAGCAATCAAGATTTCGGGCAAGAAATGACATTGCCTTAAGGCTTGTATCCATTAAACCCCGTGCGATCTACTTGTTTCGTTGTGATCATTGTGAGAGTAGGTACATCACCTGAACGGAAAGCACGAGCGCCATCTCATCAGCCGTTCTATGTTTTGGCCCCCGCGCTGGCCAACCCGTGCACTAGGTTTTGCCGCAATGGGATTCCATCTCCAGCATTGATTGGCTGTGCCGCACTGCCTGGGCTTGCTTCATGGATCCTACAGCCAAGTATGGTGAGAAGATCTTCAGCTGATCTGTGGTGTGCTGAGCACAAGGACATTGAAGTTGCATGAAATGTCCGTGAGATGATTCGGTAAATACGATTGATTCCAAGCATAATTTAATGATTCAGATTGCTTGCTGTAATGCTGGGGTGCTTGGTTGATCCAACATAGTGAGGAGATCTTCGCGACCAGCGTGAGCACAAGGGTATGGAAGTTCCAGTGGACATAAAACGACGCCTCGAAATGGTTCGGTAAATATAATTCGGATTCCATCTCCGGCGTTGCTGCATAGTGGGAATATCTCTACTACGTATTTATCTAACTTTTAATCATGAAATATGAGATTCTAATCATCAGAATAGTGCATTTGAGAGGATTATCCAATCAAAGCTAACGCGATCCACAAGTCAGTGACCCACCCAAGTCAGTGACTCAGTTTTCGCGACATTTCAACCTCCAACTTGACTTATACAACTTTCCACGATTCAAAATGCCACGTATCTCAAACGAAGCCAATATTCAGTTGGCTATCCAGGCTAAACGTCGAAACCCAGAATTAAGCTGGAACCAGCTCGAATTGATCTACAAAGCTGCCGCCAGTACCATCAAAGAAGATACAACGGAATTCAACCACAGCACATTGCCAACGCTACAAAGCGGAATTTGACCACGATGGAAGAAGAGACGATTGTTCGACGTATACTTGAGCTAGATTCGCGAGCATTTCCTCCCCACCTTCAAAACGTGACCGATATGGCCAATATACTCCGACGCGCACGCGACGCGCCACCCGTGGGCAAGAATTGGGTTTCAAATTTCGTTAACCGACAACCACTCCTCCGAACGCGTTTAAATCGTCGAATTGACTACCAGAGGGCATTTAACGAAGATCCCATCGCATATCGCGCGTGGTTTAAGCTTGTTGCCGACACAATAGCGAAATACGGGATCACGCGGGAAGATATATATAACTTTGACGAGACAGGGTTTTTAATAGGCATGATCATGACTGGAATGGTCGTTACAAGTGCCAAACGAAAGGGCAGGCCTAGACAAGCCCAGCATGGTGATAGGGAATGGGTTACCGTTATCCAAGCCATCAATTCTCAAGGCTGGGCAGTACCTCCATTTATCATCTTCGCGGGGAAAATCCACCTTGCCTCCTGGTACCGCGACGCTGCCTTACCACGCGACTGGAAGGTTTCTCTGTCCAGTAATAGCTGGACAACCAATGAATTGGGTGTAGAGTGGGTAAATCATTTTGATCTACATACCCGGAGCCGTACAAAGGGTACGAAACGTCTTTTGATTCTCGACGGCCACGAAAGCCATCACTCAATGGATTTCGAGGAATCCTGCAAAAAACTGGGAATTGTTCCTCTTTGTATGCCTGCCCATTCATCACATCGGCTCCAGCCTCTCGATATAGTACCTTTTAGTGTGTTAAAACGCGCATATAGTGGCTATATTGAGGAGCGAATGCGAAAGCACCAAACCCACGTTGCGAAGGAGGATTTCCTATCTGGGTTTCTAGAGGCATCTAACAAGGCAATGACCGAATCTAATATTCGGTCTGGCTTCGAAGCGGCTGGACTTGTCCCATTGGATCCAGAAAGGGTCATTTCCTCGTTAGATGTTGCTCTAAAAGCCCGTACACCGTCGCCCGACCCTCAATTGCCGGCTGCTACTTGGACTTCCAAGACTCCAACTACCACCCTGGAGGCTACTTATCAATCAACTCTTATTAAGACTAGTGTCCAGAGGCATTAAAATAGCTCCCCAACCCATATTTTGAGCTCTGTAGACTCAATTGCAAAGGCTACTCACCTAATAATGCATGAGGTTGCCCTTCTGCGACAAGAGAACAAGGAGCTCCATGAGACCAACCACCTGTTAAGCAAACGTCGCAGAACCAAAAATAAGCAAATACAGCATGGAGGTACAATTACTGTAGCTGATTCACAAGAGCTACGGGAAGCCAAGGGTGATATCGAGGCAGTAGAGGGTGAGGAAGACAAAAGTAATGGTCCAAGGAAAAGGATCGCAACTAGTGCAAGACGTTGTGGTGTCTGCGGGGGGACTGGGCATAATGCGCGGACTTGTCAAGTAGAATTAGAAACATCTAATGAATAAGATTCTGCTTAGTTGAATTGATCTGATGTGTTGTGGTGAAGTTATCTTGATTAATATTGAATTGATGGTTGAAAGGGAGTCACTGACTTGGGTCAGTCACCAACTTGTGGATCACGTTATTGCTAATCCTATAAATAAGTAAGGAAATATTATAGCTTTCTTCCCCCGCGTTTCGGGGCCGAGAGTAGCTACAATAGGGCCAGGATACTAGTAACAGCAAATACAGTACCCAACAGATTTCAACAATTGCTAGTACGCCATTGTTACACGCAAAGGTGGTCAAAGATTTGTGAGGTTGTAAAAGCATGACATTCTATCTAGTCCTATGGAGCACGAAGGTTGGACTTAGCCAATAATAATAATAATAATAATTATTATTATTAAATACGCCGTAGGCTCGAAGCCCCCGGTACCTCTACTAGTACTCCCGTATGTCAAACCGTGCCCTAATGGCTGGACTAAATACATACGCTGCGTCGTCGGTTCGCCCTATTGGCGACTGCGTTGCGTTCACTACCATACTACGTTGGTTCTCAACCTACCAACAAAGTCCCCCCTGAGAAGATCGATGCTATCTGGGCCTTGAAGCTGTCCGACCCGTCCCTAGCAGCCATCTTACAATAGTCCCACTAACTACTGGTTCTCCTGTTGCCGAATAATAAAAAAAAATATTAAATACGCCGTAGGTGTTAACCCTCGGTACCTCTACAAGTACTCCCTTAAGGGGCTATAGATGATATAGCGGGCCCTTAAGCCGCGTCGGGCGGTTATACAGGTAAACTTGTAGCCAAATGACTACTAAACCTCCTGTCCCTCCCTAAGTCTGTGCTACAACCCCTGCCTGAACTACCGATAAGTGTGGTAATGTGGCACTTAAATTCGTCCTCAGGGGTGGGATGCTGCTGATGTGCAGAAGATGCTCGACTATTTTTTTTGTCGCGACAAGTCGTAGTATCTGCTAATTGGGGTTCTCGTCGAGCGTATACATCTCAACCATACGCTCAAGTGGATAGACCGTAACGTGGTCAGACGCTCGCAAGAATCGCGGCGAGAGGGCGTGCTGCGCGCCTTCTATCGTGAGGGGACGGGTTCGCCGACGAGCGTTATCGGAAAGGCGAGGTCCGATAAGGGGTCGGATTAACGATTCGAATTCTGGACCGGCTGTCGAGTTATATTCCGCCGACGTAGTGCTTGACGGTCGACTGGCTAGGATGCTCGTAATCCTAAACTGCACCAATCTCCCTATTATCGCTAGGTAGGCGAAGTCAACAAGGTGGGCAGCGCGCCGTAAGGGTTGACTAAACCCCCTTGTGTGTCAGCTGCGGGATTCGAACCCGCGACTCGTCACCGACCCAAGTCCGAATAATAATAATAATAATAATAATAATAATAATAATAATAATAATAATAATAATTATTGCTTCCTAAGCAATAACGTATCGAGCGAGCTTCCGCTATATTAATTATGATTTCTAGCTAAAATTCAGTTAACCGATCTATATTAAGATATCTTCTCTAATCCTGTAGCTTTAGTTTACGATAATTACACTAACGAATATAACCCGTATAACCCCATATGTTAGGCAACCTTGGTGGGCTTTGCCAAGACCACCAAGGTTACCACGTGACTTAGCCCTTCGGGACTAAGTCCAACCTTCGTGCTCCATAGGACTAGATAGAATGTCATGCTTTTACAACCTCACAAATCTTTGACCACCTTTGCGTGTAACACCATAAGTGCCATAGTGCTTGGGGATGATAGAGCCACATAGTACTGTATATAGCAGTCAGCCAGATCAAATGTCGGTACACTCACCGAGAGCCTATACATAGAATCAGCTACTGAAGCCGTCGCGTTAGGACTCGTGATGCGAGTGCATATGGGGTGTGAATTGTTGTATTGGGAAAGGATGTCCAGGTCAGCTATTCTGGCCTGGCAGAGCTCTTTGATAGCTCTAATCTATAGCTATAGGGTAACCCCCTATAGGGTCACGTATCAACTCGGGATCGTGATCTATAATAATGGTATATTTCCATATCACAATAGTCGGCTTACTGTAATAGGTACACTGTTTATTCATCATAGCGCTTATTTGGTAACTGTTCAACAGCAACGTATAATGAATAAAAACCACTCTAAATCCTCTTCATTAGACACATCTACATCGATTTCACAAGTACTTGCATTATGTGAAACCCAGGGGGCAGGGCAGGGCAGCTAGGTCTCGACTCGTATCGGAGGATGTCGGCGTATGAAGTCTGTTATCCAGCGGGGAGATAATACTTTCTTGATAGGAATAATTTCAGCCCCGCGGAGGCCTTCTCGAATATTCTCCTACATTGCTGGTCTTTTCAACGCCTCGTAAAACGCTGGGAGGAAGTCGACCTTTTCAATATGCGTAAGATGTTTACGGATTCTATCCTCAACTTGCCGACGGTACACTTGTTCCAGAGGGCCGGAACAACAACATCAAGGGATAAAGCTTGTGAGACGAATGTGCAGGCATACAGAAGGTGTTCATTAATGTCACCTTACAATAGAGCTCGAATTCGGTCAAATGGTGGCTCTCGTGGCCGTCCAGATTGAGCATCCAGCATACCCCGATCTCTAAGTTTTTCGTGTGCTTATTAGGAGTGCTATATTCATTCGAGGCCTCTCTCGTTCGTTCGTCGTCCAACCATTATCGCGACAGCAAGACCCCGTCTTTTGTTTGTGTAAAATTCCTGATGAGTTAGGGGAAGCCGACGGCGAGACTGGTATTGTCATCAACAGATTGCCAACAGGTCAAGGCCGAAAAGCGCATGTATACGGTCTCATCTCCGGGATAAGTGGATAGGGCTATCGTATACGGATTTACAGCTTCAGCACCATGGAGGCGCCACAAAGCATCTTCACCGAGTGGGACGACGACTTGTCAAACATTGAAGACGATGGATTCCGGTGACCAAACAAGGCAAAGGTTCGACTGATTCCGATGACGGCCACGACCGCATCAGGAGGCCCAACTTTCGTCACTTCATGGCTAGGAGAATTTTATTCAACCGCCACTTCTCGCTTACAATGATCGACGTTAATATCAGCACGTGCATCGTCTGGTTCGGAAATTTGGGTTCTACAACTACAGCGACTTGCTGGCCGTCTGGGCTAAGTACAGACTCGGGCCGTGGAAAGAATGAGGCGATGATTTCGAGGCGCAGCTCACAATCTGTAGCGGAAAGCTAGTGTTGGATCGAGATCAAAAGACGAGGATGGGACCTGGCCCTTTCCGCTCCTTATACTCCATCCGCAGTGCCGAAAGGCATCTTCGACCAGATCTACGACATCACCGGACATGTCTCCGAACCTAGGTGTAATCATGCATTTCCAACCCTTACGAAACATCAACAGCTTCGGGCTTACTTTTCAGTTTGATATTGCTAGGACAGCTTGGTTGCTAGAGTTCAATACTTTCCCGGACTTCAGGAAGACGGGGGATGTGCTGCAGGGCTTGGTAGCGGAGTTGTGGGAGGGGGTGCTAAGCCTCGCTGTGCCGAGATCCTTTGCATCAAAGTTACTGCTGCGGTACGACCTAAGACTGGTACTGAGATTTGAAATGGGAAGCCGGAGGCGAATGATGAGAGTATGATTCATGTTTGGCATGTAGAATGGAGAGCCTACTGGGGATCGTGAGGTTGGGAGGCTGAGGCATTGGAATTGTCGAGGGAGGGAGGCAACGGTGGTGGTCTGCAGATGCCGGTCGACAGGTGTTGAGGAAACTCTTTTGAGATCAGGTGAATCACCACAAACTGTCATCTCTGATATCGAGATGGAGTAGAGTTTTCAAAGTGTGGTCACCCACCAAGGGGAATTTGAACGCTGTGTGGTTGAGCCTTCGCATCACATAGAGTTCTAGACACATCAAGCTCATCAGGTAATGCAATATCTTTAAGGTTACCGAAGCGCCGCTGTCCACGTCTACTTCCCTCAGTACTTGCTAGTTTGTTCAAAACTCAGATCCGCCCAGACTTCCGAGATCGACTTCCCGGGCGCCGAACCATGAGGGCGAGCTCATGCCTGCAGGCAGCCTCGTTGTGAGTTATTTTCATCCCAAGTCATCGAACCCGTATTTCGCACCGAGCATCTGAATCTCGCTTGAAGTCTTGCCAAGCTTGTCTGAAATTCTTTTCTCAGCCCCAAAGCCAATTTTGGACGGCGCAGCGTGTATTCCTGAACTGGCTTCCTTCCTATTGTCGCCTCTGATTGCGCGAAATGAAGATTCTGGTTGTGGGTTGTGCCAATTATCAAAAACCCGCTCGCTATCGAACACAGCCTTGCTCGTGGGCCAACAGGATGTGACATTCCTTCCGCATGACATAAGTGGGTGCCATCTGTGTCATGTTAGAGCTGAACAAAGGAGGGTTTGGAATATCGGAGGTGAAAGTTGATGAAGTTTTCGGTTAATGATTAACTATTGATACTGAGGAGGTAGCCGCCTTATGATAGATGAAACGTGCAATAAGATGGTTGAACATAAGTCCATTCATGACGTGCTAGTCGGACATATGAGAATGTTAAATTCCTGGTATCGAATTTTGGTACCGAATTTGTTGTAGATAATTCAGGCACAATTGGATACAAAGTAGCCTTTTGTGACCGACATGTTCAAATGAGGCATCTAAACTCACAATGCCCCATGCATGATATGTTTTAATACGGTAAGGTCATAGACATAAACGTTACTCAGTGTCCGACATGTGGCCATCAGGAAAAAAGTTCCCAGGTTACATCCAGTGGACCGATCGTGTTGTTGCCCCTTTGAAACTCACCTCACATCACTTCCTGATAGCCGCTAGGGTGGCTAGCATCCTAGGCCTTGACAGACACTCCGCAAAAGACTTATTCCTGTAGTTACAGGTAACAGTCGAGATTCTGTACCAAGATGCAGAAGACCTGTGGATAGCCCTGAGCCTGTCGTCTATTCACTTCATACCCAGCAGTCAGCTTCGATAAGTTCTAAATCGGGACACGAACTCTCCTGATGAACTCTCATTCCCAGACGAAGGATGAGCTTGAAGTGACCTGTGCATCTATTCGTCTTAGTCCCGCGGTCAACTGTCGACTTTCTCGTTTCGCGGCTCCAAACCCTGCTTGATAACCCAAGGATATGTGCAGTATACTGCTATCATTGAGCTTTTTCACAAGCTTCACGCCCAGGCTTACAATCAAACAAATCAAGGTTTGTACGTAGTATGTATCTTTAGCGTGGATGAGCTGTTTTAGCAAAAGTCCATGTCGTCTTCGAAGGACTCATTCAAGGCCAGGACAGACAAGTGTAATACCTTTGGCACTTGAAAAGGAGAGAAGATGGATTCCAACTGATAAAGGCACAGGGGAAACCTCTGAATAGAACAGCTTTCCACCTCCATGTCCGTGCAGCGAGTGCACAGGGGAGCTTTGGGGTTTCCACCAATCTTGTTTGGCATACCAGTTGTTGAGCCAAGATGTCGCAGTGCGATGCTATTTCGTAACCGAGAACAAGCAGATTTTGGACGGTCTGGCAAAGATTTGGGACTGTCTTCCGGACGGATCCCAAAGAATACCATCGAACAAATCCTTTCAATTCAATAGTCGATCATGTCTAACAATAGTTGATGAGTTGGGTGACTGACCGCTAAAACGTGATGATTGCCATTGTGACGTTGGCAAGAGGTAGTGTCTATTTTTGGTAAAATACTGCTCAGAACTGCATGTCTTTGGGACGCCACGTAGAGACGTGACAAATTGGAGCTGATACTATGTATGCTTCATTTATGTAATAGGAACCCGCAGGACTGTGCCGCTTCGTTGCATATGTCATGGAGAGGAACCAATGAGAGACAAAAATTCAACAAGTAATTGGCTTAAAAAAGCGATTCCTACCCCTTTACCATGCGGACCATCAAATGACGTGTAGAACGCCAGCCCGTGTTGCATTAGACAAAGCAAGGCTTGACAGTTGACCACCCCGCATAACATTAATAGTTGAGAAAGCATGTGAGCTTGGAAGTTTGAGCTTCTAGAATTCTATATGCGAGCCGTGCAGCAAAGCTCCAGATGAAAGATCGGCACAGCTGTGTCGCACCAGGATCTCGCATGCGCGTAAGATGCACGACTTGCCCGACCTATACTTGGAACCGAAGTCAGAGTCGGGTCAACCTGAACCCACTTGGCCTAGTGAGTACCGTTTGGATGTTTCGTAAAACTCCCGAAATTGATGGAACACGGGACTTCATCTCCGAAGCGTACGAATGTCGCTATGATACACATAACAACAGCCTCTGTGATAAGGGTCGCGCGAGTTATTGCGGATTGTTTTGCGGGTTGTTGGCTGGCTGGTGTGTTCTGTGGGTAAATTGGATCTCTTGTCGTCTTCAACAGCCGGACTCGTCGAACTCCTGATTCCTACTCGTACAAATTGAACAGATTGTCCTGATCGGAAAGGTCTCCGATAACCAACTAGTATTATCGGTTCCCGAGATGAGAGGTGGGGTTGCCGGGGTGCGAGCTTCGCAAGCCACTTGGATGTTCGGAAATCTCACCTCATGCGTTCTTGACAGGCGGGTCTGCAAAACAAATCAACGAGTAAGTTGTGACTGCTCAAGAGGCTGGCGTTGGCCCAACTGGTAAGGGGAGGGCTCTGATCCTCAAGACATGTCCTCCGTCTTGATTCAATGATTGGTAGCGCTCCGTGAGGCAGGCAATACTTGGGCGTTTCGCCAGGCGTACGAACCACGAGGCGCGATGGATGCATGGAAATCGCGCAGGACCGACTGCTTGGCAAACATGATTTGTTGAACCGACGCGGGTTCGGGCCTGTTGAAATCTCAACATGTGTTTGAAGTGCCGGTTCGGGATAGTGGAGAACGGCAAACCACACCGGAGGCACCAACAGGCGACAACGACGACGCCCAGCAACGTGAGCGGATGATCTGCCTCGGGTTGCTTATTCCTGAAATTTGCAAAAGCTGGGCCATCTTGGCTCACATGCGATTCGACGTCAAGCTTGGCTTGCCAAGCAGCCCAAATTTTGGAAAAATTGTAACTTCGGACCGTGAAGGGCGGACGTTTTTGTAAGGTCTTTTAGGGTGACCTTAATATCCAGCGTGGGCATCGACTAGCCTCTGACGAGAGCGCACCGAGCGGAATACGCTTCGTCCTTGCCACTGGTTGGACTTGTCCGCCTTTTGAAGTCGTAAGAGGAAATAGGCTACAAGCCACTGATGCACCATCATTTGCATGGTTCGGGTGGAGATCAACTGATATCTGATTTCTGGGTTCTTCATGTTCACAGCGGGTGTTCTTCTTGTTTTAGGTTATGTCTGACGAGAAGATGACCCATCTGTGTATTGGCACAAGCTAGCAACACTTCAATCTGTCGATTGCCGAGCCAGTTGGCGAGTTCAGTGATTCTGAAGCTATTCACTTGGGCCGTTTGACACTAGTGGTTTTGACTGTCTTGAAGCATCGGAATGGCATAAACGCTAGGGCATCATGAAAATAAAAAATGGAGTAACCATGTAATAACCATGAGATAATACCAGTGTCGAAGAAAGAGCTCGGAGAGTAAAATTCAAGTCTCCAAGTCGTCTTGATCTGGTCTATCTCACAACATCATGTCGTATCAAGGCCCTCGCGCATGACTGCATCAAGCCACGGGATTCTGCAGATAGGAACATATAATTCATCTCTTGGTCAGATCCAAATGAGTATCTTTATTTCAATGTGCAAGCACTTTCCCTGTTACCGCTGGCCGAGTTGTCGAGTCCACTTGCGCTCGTCACCTCGCAGCTCCCAGAGTTCCAATCTGAAAAGCCCCAAGACGGGTTGGGACCCGCCCCCCTTGTCCCCGCCTGGCGCTGCGCTAGCGTGGTTTGCGCTCTTGCACAGCCTCGCTTGGCCCTTGGCAACGTCTCTCCAATTCGCCCCATGCCAGCCAATGCCTTGTAAGTGTCCATTGAAATGCCAGGGAGCTTGTGCCAGTAGACGAGTTTTTGGCTGTTGTATTTGCTGGGAACTGGGCAGTTGCTGGGAGGTGCCACTTGGGCAGATGAGGACGAAATATGCTCGCCAGGATCAGACCAAAAGTATCCTGTATCAATTATGGTAGACACTCATGTGGCACCTGCCCGTAAAATGCTGAGGTTCACTCCATCGGGGTACGAGTAGGGGATGAGAGATACATCCGTGGCCAAGACACTTTTGTTTTCCCTTTGCATTGTTTCATTTGACCCAGCAGCCTCTTACCTTGTACTGCGTCGTTGATCGCTCATTCATTACTCGCCGCGAGTTTACAGTCTCTCATTTTGTTGCTTTCCTCCTCACCTTCTTCCACTACAGCTCCTTTTGAGCATTTCTTCCCACCCCGTCGCGTTGGCTCCTACCGCTTTTGTGTGGTTGCCCTTTTTTTTCCGGTGCCCCAGGTAATAATTGCCGACGTCAAGCTGCGCGCTCAACCGTTTAGCAAGCACGCACTTTGACGCATTGCATCACATTCTGGAAAGCCTCATATTCGAGACACCACCACAACCCACAACACACACAACAGGCCTTTCTCTCCTTGCGACACAACTGGTGCATATCATTTATTCGCAGCCGCTCCTTGATCTTCCCCCGGCATTCCTAATCATAATTGGCTCCCGTCATTCGCAAGTCGCCATCGAACACCGCCGCATCAACACCGCCACATCCTGTTACTTGCCGAGCTGGACACGCGTTGAAGTGGGCAGCAAAGTTGTGCAACGCAGTACTCACGAGAGGCCTCAGCTCGCGGCTTTAATCTGCACGATCCAAATTCTCGACAAAGGTTGACTGTCTGACCAAAGTGGGTTGTGAAATTCATAATCCGTTGCGGTCGCGGTACGGCATGTTCTAAGAGTGGACAAGTGATTCGTGTGCTTGCCGCAAGAGGATTAGACTTCAAGACTTACCTGGTTTATATCCTGTATTTGCCACCTCGTTCTTGTGCTCAACCTCGTTGAAATAGTATCGTCCAGGACATACTGTATGGCCAAGTCAACGCCCATTCGTATATAATTCCTACAAGACTCGCATCAGCTGCATTCCAGTCCGGTCCCAGCTCCCCGTTGGCCCCCTTGCGTCAATCACGACAATGGCCAACCCTAGCAAGGACGCAACCGAATTCTCTACCAGGAGACCAAGAGCGTACGTTGACTCCGTGGGTGAGCCAAGTATATACAATGCTCAAGCTAACGTTGCGTGTCCCAGTCCCACCATCACCATCGACACTACGGCTGTGAACCCCGGCGCGATTCAGGAAACAACCAACCTTGAGGCTGCGTCGGCATCCCGACAGTCCCCAATTTCGCCTGCCGACGATACCATAAGTCCTACGACTCTGGACCCCTTGACACAGAGCTGGACTGGTTCGGACAGGACCAACATGCACTCGATTAGCTCGAGACCCGACTTGCAGACGGTGCCGTCGTTTGACAGTAGGGACAGTCGCCCCACGAGCCCTCACAATGTCTCCAGCCCGGTTACCTCACGAGGCAATGATCGCAACCAAAATTTCCTCTCTGTGCCACCAAACCATCGGTCGAGGCAGAATTCAGTTGATAGCGAAGATGGCACCCGTTCAGTCGCGTCTTCCCAGGGTGAAACTGTCGCGGCCTCGTGGCAAGGAGACAAGGGCTCCCCTTTCCACGACAACGAAAACATCATGAAGGACCCGGATGCGCTAAAGCCTGACGCCGGTAAAGAGGTCGACTTCGTAGTGGAAAACAACCCTTTCGCTTTCAGCCCTGGACAGCTCACCAAGATGTTTAACCCCAAGAGTCTCTCTGCTTTCTACGCCATGGGAGGGCTTCGTGGTATTGAGAAGGGACTTCGCACCAACCGGGAAACTGGTCTGAGCATAGACGAGAAACACATGGACGGTGCGGTTTCATTCGAAGAAGCCACCAAGAAACACTCGAAACTTGCGAACGAAGGGGTAGACAGCCCGCAAACGCCAGTCCACCGGTCAAACACGGGGGGCGGTAGTCGAGATGCCTCCTTCAGTGATCGGAAGCGTGTCTTCGCAGACAACACACTGCCAGAGAAAAAGGGCAAAAGCTTCCTGCAGCTAGTCTGGATCACCTACAACGACAAAGTGTTGATTTTGTTGTCCATTGCCGCGGTCGTTTCGCTTGCCATTGGTCTGTATCAGACATTAGGTACTCAGCATGACTCCGAACATCCAGGTGTCGAATGGGTCGAAGGTGTGGCTATTATTGTGGCTATTGTCATCGTTGTGCTCGTTGGATCTCTGAATGATTGGCAGAAGGAACGCCAATTTGCCAGACTAAACAAGAAGAAACAAGATCGGGTCGTGAAAGCAATTCGCTCGGGCAAAACTGTCGAAATTTCTGTTTTCGATATTCTTGCTGGCGATGTCATTCACCTCGACCCTGGTGATCTAATTCCCGTCGATGGTATACTCATCCAAGGTTTCAACGTCAAATGCGACGAGTCGCAGGCTACCGGAGAATCGGACATCATTCGCAAGCGACCTGGAGATGAAGTACTTGCCGCTATCGAAGCGGGTGAGGACTTGAAGAAGGCCGACCCATTCATCCAGTCAGGTGCGCGAGTGATGGAAGGTGTAGGTACATTCATGGTTACATCGACAGGAATCTACTCGAGCTACGGCAAAACGATGATGGCTTTGAATGAAGATCCCGAGATCACGCCCCTTCAGTCCAAGCTTAACGTTATTGCCGAATACATCGCCAAACTTGGAGGTGCCGCCGGTCTTCTACTTTTCATCGTCCTATTTATCAAATTCCTCGCCGCACTGCCGAAAAGTACCTTAACCCCCACAGAAAAGGGCCAGCAGTTCCTAAACATCTTCATCGTTGTCGTTACCATCATTGTTGTGGCTGTCCCAGAAGGTCTGCCTCTAGCTGTCACTTTGGCACTCGCGTTCGCAACGAATCGAATGCTCCGCGACAACAACTTGGTTCGTCATTTGAAAGCTTGCGAGGTCATGGGCAACGCAACCACGATTTGCTCTGACAAAACCGGCACTCTGACACAGAACAAGATGCAAGTCGTGGCTGGTACCATTGGGACCAACCATCGATTTGGGAGCTCCGACACTAGTTCGGAAGCCACCCCTAATTCCACTGTCTCCCCGCAAAGCGACTTGTCTACCAAGGAATTCGCCACGCGTCTCTGCAAGGACGTGCAAGACCTGATGCTCAAGTCCATTTCTCTCAACTCAACAGCATTTGAAGGCGAGGTCGAAGGTGTGATGACCTTTATTGGCTCCAAAACTGAGACAGCGCTACTCATATTCGCCAAGGACTTCCTGGGCATGGGACCGGTCAGCGAGGAACGATCAAACGCTAAGATCCTGCAGCTTATTCCGTTCGACTCCGGCCGAAAGTGCATGGGGGTGGTAGTCCAGCTCGAGAACGGCAAGGCACGACTATATGTCAAGGGCGCGTCCGAGATTTTGTTGGGCAAGTGCACCGAGATACTTCGCGATCCGGTTCAGGACGCATCAAGCGTTCCGTTGACGGATGCGAATGACGAGACCATCAAAGGCCTCATCGAGAGCTATGCCAACCGATCGCTCAGAACCATCGGTATCATCTACCGCGACTTTGAGAGATGGCCTCCCAGAAACGCGCGCCGTGCCGAAGGCGACCGTAACGAAGTTGTCTTTGAAGATGTGTTCAAGAATATGACATTTGTTGGCATGGTTGGTATTCAAGACCCTCTCCGAGACGGTGTTCCCGGTGCTGTCAAAGACTGCCAAAGAGCCGGTGTTGTTGTCCGCATGGTCACCGGCGACAATAAGCTCACCGCTCAAGCCATTGCTAAGGAATGCGGTATTCTGCAACCAGACGGTCTAGTCATGGAAGGGCCTGAATTTCGTAATCTGAGCAGAGCCCAGCAGGAGTCAGTCATTCCCCGTCTCCAGGTCCTTGCCCGTTCCAGTCCGGAAGACAAGAGGATTCTGGTGCGCCGCTTGAAGGACATGGGAAACACTGTTGCAGTCACTGGTGATGGCACCAACGATGCGCCGGCTCTGAAACTCGCTGACGTGGGTTTCTCTATGGGTATTGCTGGTACCGAAGTAGCAAAGGAGGCGTCCGCCATCATCCTTATGGACGATAACTTCAACAGCATCGTCAAGGCTCTGAGGTGGGGCCGTGCTGTGAACGATGCAGTCAAGCGATTCTTGCAGTTCCAACTCACTGTCAACGTCACAGCTGTCGTCCTTACTTTTGTCACGGCTGTTAGCAGTGACACAGAGGCGTCCGTGTTGACCGCTGTCCAGCTTTTGTGGGTCAACTTGATCATGGATACGCTCGCCGCCCTCGCACTTGCCACCGATCCCCCTCAAGAGAGTGTGTTGGACAGAAAGCCCGAACCAAGAGGGTCTAGCATTATTTCTCCCACGATGTGGAAGATGATCATTGGGCAGTCAATCTATCAGTTGGCCATCACTTTCTTGCTTTACTACGGAGCGGTTTCTATCCTCGATATCAGTGAGAGCGTCCGCGACACCCTCGTCTTCAACACCTTCGTGTGGATGCAAATTTTCAACCAATGGAAGTAAGTACAGACACTGTAACAAGCGCTAGGTAACCGCGTGCTAACATGTATCTAGCAACCGTCGTTTGGATAATAAGTTCAATATATTCGAGGGTCTAACGAAGAATTGGTACTTCATTGCCATCAACGTCGCTATGTGCGGTGCGCAAGTACTGATCATTTTCTTCGGTGGTGATGCGTTCAGTATTGTCGGCCAAAAACCCCCACAAACCGGTGCCCAGTGGGCGATCGCCCTGGTCATTGGCTTTATCTCCATCCCCATCGGCTCAGCGATCCGCTGCATCCCAGACAGTCTGGTGGTGAAGCTAGTCCCTGAATTTATCAAGCGCAGATCCTCCAGACTTCCCGGGGTTACTGTCTCGGACGAAGAACGGTTCGACTACTATCCGACAGCGCTCGCTGACGTTAGGGACGAGCTTGCATGGCTCAAGAAAATCAAGGGGGGTCGAGTCAACAACCTTACATTTGCCATGAAGCACCCGCGCGAATTCATGGCTGCGCAATCAAAGAGCCCCTCGCATTCCCGATCAAACTCAATCAGACCACCCCAAACTCCAACGCGCGAAGATAGTTTTGGCTCCCCTGCACCAACTCCGGATTCCAGAAAGCGGTCCAGATCTATGAGATCTCGATCAAACTCCGCTCTTGGAGCACCAACCGTCATGGCAGGTATCATCGCAGGCAGTGTGGCAGCGGGTTGGTCTCCAGTTGACAGAAGCGGGGGTGATAGTACATTCGGTCAATTCCCTCGCCCCTCGCCATCGCCTTTGTCAAATCAAGATGGCGGGCTCCAACCTGCACCAGCATTCACAGAGGAGCCTGAGGATATGGCAAGCCCCTCGGATGTATCAGACGTGCCACGGCTCAGTGTGCCCAAACCCCCTTCAGAAAAGCCGCCTAAATCAGTTTCTTAGAAAGTATGAGCGGGTTTGTAGTTTTGTTTAGTGCGTCGCAACTTGCACGAGGACGGTTCAGCCAATGAAATACACTTGGAGTTCAGCTTAGAGATACTTGTACACATTACTAAACATCACTTTGTGGCTTTCCAGAGCAATCGGATCATCACTCGATGGATTAACAAAGACCGGAGTTGTGCCGTCATGGTCTGGGTGTGTGATCGTTAATGACACAAATGTACAGGATGCTCTACCAATATGTTACCATTCCATCGCGACAGCTCTGGAATGGACCCCTTCTCGTTTCATATGTAACAGGTCGGGAAGAAAGGAAGATCAATGCATGCCAAAGACTGTATGGGTGGCGAACGGAGTCCTGAGTTCCAAATTGTATTGCTTGCGTTAAGCAAGTGGTCAGCGGAAATGTCAGACAACCCTCGTATCTCATTCTTGGATTTGTAGGGTAGTAGGCTGCATAGTGTACGCAGGTAATATACTGTAAAATTTGGTATTCACAATATATCAAGAAACAAACTCATTCTCGGCCCGCTAAATGCGTATAACATAAGTTGGGAACACGTTAACTGTGAAAATGGATAGGATTCCTAGGACAGTCGTAGAAGGTGATAATTATTAAGGGATCGTGCGAGACCACCTCAAGGTTGTGGGAGTGTGTTATACTGTGTAGATGATACTGTGTGGTACATGCAAATGCGCGTAGCAGAGGGCCGGCCATTGAGATTGGATTTGTTACTTTGCCCACTCTATGCAGGCGATATTTTATCGCATTTGCCAAATGTCGGCTCAACCAAAGTTCTGGCAAACCCAACAGCAACAGGCATCCATGACGCCATGGCCCGGCTAAGCAATTCCTCAAAGGTAATTGTTGGACTGACTCAATGCCCCCGTTGACTTAGATGCTGAGGGGATTACTGAGGGGCAAGAGACAAGTGCTGTTGAGCTCCTAATTTGTTCCGAGGTAATCTCAAATATTGATAAGGGATGACCATTGTCGTGATAAATCAGGCAGGCGTTGTTGACTGCATCTCATCATCATCATCACATGCCTTTGGTTTAGGCGACGAGTATTTGCCTGGCTAAGTAGTTGGTAGATGACAATTGAAACGAGCGAATGGCAGCATGACTTGACAACATGGGCCTTGCATCCGGGGAGACTACGTTTTGGGACATTTGGGGCCGGCCCAGTGACAAAGATGCTGTAAAGGGGAGAGGAGTTGAATCTCAGATGGGATGAGTTCCATCATCTCGGACAATCAATCTACGGGAGGGAAGCCTCATCGGCTAATTGACTTTATGCGCAGTCTATAATACAGACACCATGGAGGAAACGGTTCTTTCTACTTCTAGTTATCTGGGGAGGAGACGCGATAATCCAGAATAGCCCGCCCCACCTTAAACGTGGCAACCTCGTGAGTAGTAGGAGACAGCAGGATATGGCATATTCTCGAACCCATCTTGGGAGATAGATAGGTGTTCTCAAGGGCAGTTGATGGGTGGATCAAGGAGGTGTGTAATAGGAGCATGCCGAAGTATGAATAGATGGGGTGGTTCTGGACTGGCTAGGCTAAGCTATTTATCGGGATCTCGCTTAGTCGGCGAGCGACGCTTGTTGAGTTTCAAAACTCTTTTCCCCTTGCCTTCGTTCCGTTGATTATTATTCCCTTTCCCTTCTGGAATCCCAAAAACCCACCCACACGTCAGCAGAATTGCAACGCGTTGACAACTCCTGCCAAATTTGGGACAGTCGCCATGTGAAATAACCTGGCATAAAACATTCACAACACACGTCTACAATCACTTCATCAACTTTCCGGCTTGAAACAAATAAATCTGTCCGGTCTAAAGAAACTGGCTGCAACAAGCCGGCCACAATTCCGCCGGGTCCAAGAGATCTCATCCAACAAGCGGCATAATTGTCTGAGGCATCCATCCATCCATCCATCCTTAAGTGGTTCATTTCTGCGATTCCCATCTTAGAATCACAGGCTCGTCAATAATTGCAATTTTAACACGCCAAACAAACAACCGCGTCAGTCTCTGAGCAGGTGGACTTGCGAGATACCTAGTCCGAGATACCTAGTCAACCGCACCATTTCCCTTCTTCACTTCTTCACACCTTAGAAACAAGCTCGCAACACATTGGTAATTACCTCGTCCCTCGCCACCTGCCAAGCGATTCCTGTCGACTGTCGACAAATGAAGCAACTGTCAAGGCTTCATTCGCATTTGGCTTCTTTCACATCATCACATCCCACCTGCGCCTTACCTCTTTATCAATTCTTTCGTGGACCCGTCGACATCCACTCCGTAGATACCGTCTATGCCTGAGCCTTCACTTCAAGACTTGCGTCAACTTAAGTGCTCGTTCATTCGCTCATCCTTGGCACTTCATTTTCTTCCACCCCCACCCATCACACCACCTGACCATGAACGCCAAAAGAGGTCGTGGGCGTCCCAAGGGCTCAGGTGCTAAGAGAGGTCCCAAGCCAAAGGTCGAGGTCCAAGCTGTGGCGATGCCCGTATCTGACGATGAGCAAGATGTCCATCTTAATTTGAAGCCAGCGGCTGTCGACCCGCAACCAAGTGGCCACAATCCAGTACATATCTCGGAACTCGAGGAGCGACTCAACGACATGGGCGACTCGTGGGAGACGGAGTCACTCTTTGAGGACATCATTGAGGATTTGACGGAAAACAAACCTTTCGAGGATCGTAAGTCTTGGCTTCACTACCGTTTTTTTTCTCTTCCACCTTTTTGGTCATTTATAACTTTCTAACCCGCTTTCAGTCGAGGATGCCTGTACGCGGGAGGAATCAGTGAAATACCGTCTTCAGTTGCAGCAGATCGGCCCCGAGAACTTCTGTAAAGTGCATGTTGACTCCGGCGCCGTTACTGCCAAGAAGCTACTCACTGCCTTTGGGGTTCGCCCTCCGGCATTTCTTGAGGGCCAAGAGGATCATCGTTATTACAGCCTGCTTGTTTTAGCCCTTACTAGGGAGCTCTCCAAGCGTGCAAAACTGCCACACTTCAACACAGTTGACGATGCCGCTACACTGCTCAACAGATCCAAGAACATTGTCGTCATCACCGGCGCTGGAATCTCTACGTCGCTTGGAATTCCAGACTTCCGGTCTAAGGAAACGGGTCTCTACTCTAAGCTGGCCAACTCTGGGTTGGCCATAAATGATCCTCAAGAGGTCTTCAATATTGAGGTTTTCCGCGAAGATCCCACCATATTTTTCTCAGTTGCCAAGGACATTCTGCCGGAGTCCAAGAAGTTCTCTCCCACCCATGCATTTATCGCGATGCTCCAGAACCAGGGCAAACTTCTGACTAACTACTCGCAAAACATTGACAACATCGAGGCGAACGCGGGTATCCGCCCCGATAAGCTGGTACAGTGCCACGGATCCTTCGCAACTGCCTCGTGTCAGAAATGCGGATACAAGGTACCTGGCGACGCCATCTTCGTCGATATCCGAAACGAAGTGATCCCTCGGTGCACCAAATGCATTGCGGCTCTCCGCAGCAAGGGTAACATGAAGCGCAAGAGATCTAACATGAGCAAGCGCTCTTCTTCGGGGCGACGGCCACGCCACGAATTGGATGATACCGATGATGAGGAGTACGACTTCCCGTCCGCTGGCGTCATGAAGCCCGACATCACCTTCTTTGGCGAGAACCTACCGGATGAGTTCCACGATCGTCTGGTGAAGCACGACCGCGACTTGGTGGACCTCGTCATCGTTATCGGTACCTCGCTGAAGGTCGCGCCGGTTTCTGAAGTCGTGCCCTACCTCCCGCCGCATATCCCGCAGATCTACATCTCCAAGACGCCCATCAGCCACATCAATTTCGACATCGATCTCATTGGAGACTGCGACGTCGTGGTCGCGGAGCTGTGCCGTCGTGCTGGCTGGGCTCTTTCGCATGAGATGATTCCCCAGGATCAGCAGGTCAAGATTGATCTCGAGGAAGGATACGAGAGCCGTCACCTTTTCAGCACCGTCGAGCCCGGTTCCTCCATATCCGGCCCCGTCAGCAACAAGGTCGCGAAGTCTCTACCCTAGTGCGACTTTACTGACGGATAGGCCGAGACCAAAGTTCGGACCCGTGTTGTTGGTTGATGACGCCTCCACCAAGCAGTAGCACCTTGATTCATGCACTTTTGTTCGACCATTCGAGTACATTTCTTGTTTCGACCCATGCATAAGCCGAGGCGTTCCGGAATTTTTGAAGAACTTAGCATCAACACTGCCGGCCCATTTTCAGACAATGCGTTTAATTTTCGTTTTGGGGCGGTTTTTCTTTCTTTCTTTGTTCCTTTTTCCCTTTTTCCCTTTTTTTTCTTTGTCCTTTCAATTAATTCGACACAAGGTCGAAGAGTCCCTTGGTGGTGAGGGGACAAATCCAGACAGGCAAACGTTTCCAGATGGCGGGGCTCACAGCACTGAATCACGAAATCAGAAAGATTGTTGAGGTAGACAAGGCTCGGACTTTGGTTTTTGTTTCCTACTAGACCTCGCAGTATTTGTTTTCCGAGGGAGGGAAACAGGAGTACAAGCGGCTTTGCGATGTAATCCTGTTTGGTATTGTGGTATTTCGCGGCTGATGGTTGAAGGACGATACACCATGTTTTGCACAGACACACATAGCGTGGGTTTCTTTTGCCATACTGCTATTGTATTGAGAGATGCGGCACGCATAGATAGACCCGAGCAACAATTGTCGCAACTGAATGGATACATCCACGCTGCTAGACACGCAATTTGGCTCTTGCTTGGATGTTGTATTAGGGCGTGCGTACTTACAAACCCCTCTCCTCAATTAGTTGCTGGAGACGAGAACCTGCCATGATGGCAAACAAGTATGGAAGAAGCCCCATTGTATGATAGTGACGTGGTCAACGATCCAAGAATTGGCCAGTATTATTAGTACGTAAAGCCAGATAGGCTAGCCGGCACTATCATTAGTATCGCACCCCTTATCGTTCCTTCCTCGAGTCATCCCCTCGAAACTGTCTGGATGTGATTCGTTTATTAAGATTCTGCCTGGAAAGAGTTGAAAAGACTTGACGCGTGATAACGTGTCGCGTCGTACATGCGGGCTATTCCAACCTAACTATCTTGGCGCTTGTGGTGTCTGTCGTATGGCGTAATAATACATTAGTCTCATGCTGATACACTCCAAAGATGATACTTTACACCGATGATTATTCTTCTTGTCGACGACACTTGAACAGCGCTGGGAGATCGTGGCGTCACGACTTCCTCATGGTGCAAATGAAGTTGCGTGATTGTAAAAGTGACTGGTCCGGGTTTCGAGTTACCACTTCAAGTCTACCTGAAAGAGAAACAGTGAGATCCAGTCAGCACAGCTTCCACGGGGTTTCGGATTGAATAGTCGAGTCTTTTATACATAACGTTGCTCTACTAGATGCATTGCACGAATGAAGCCCCTGATTCACCAGCGTCGTGGAGAAATAAGCAGCAGCTCTAATACCAGCTCAACATTTTCCTCCTCGGGCTGAAAAAAAGGTAAACCGAGTGCTTTAATAAACAAGCCGTTGAACTACCGGCCAACGAACCCAGCGATTGTCAACTCATACGAGATCGTCAAAAACACAGCCTGTATACCCTTGCCCAGCTACCCAACCAGCGGGCGCATCTATCCGCTTGCGGAGTGCGTGCATACGGCGCCCCGGAGTAAATGCTCATGCACTGTGCAAGCGAGTGGTCAAGGAGGAAAAGGATGGGAATGCGGTGCCGACCCAACAGCCTCCAACACGGCAGCGTTGCCCATGACAGACTGTTGATCGAGGCAGGTTATGATGTAACTTGATGTGCATGCTGGTTGGTCCTGGAGAAGAAGGATTTGTATTCGCAGCAGGGTATTTTGGGGCTGGGAGGCAAGTAACCGTCCGAGGTATGCATGCTGTGCTGAGTGCTACGTGCGGTATGAGATGATGACTTACAGTCGGTTGAGACACTGATCCGGATTGCGGGCCACATTGGCCTTGCCGTAGTCATGCATGGTGAACACTTAGGACTAGAGCCAGCATAAGAACGGGCTGGTCCGCTTGGGCATGAGAGGCTCCAGGGATATGGGAGAAACAATCATCACATCTCGATGGTCCATTAGATGGGGAGTCGAATCTTGATTCACAGACTGCACCGCGGACATCGGTCTGGGCCCAGCCGGTCCCAGGCTCGATATCCTTTTTCCTAAGACACACATGAAGACCGACCTCATCATGGCTGCCAAACATGTCTAGTCCTAGTGAGAAAACGTCTAGTACACCCGTTCTCAGGAAGTAGCAACTGCCCCATCCAAAATTGCAAATGGAGAAGATTTATCCGCCATCATTCATAACCCGACATCTCACAACCTCACCGTAACTACTTAGGTACCGTATCTGCCCGTCCATCGTGCATCTATCTACCCACCCAGAAATATTGCCCTTTGTCATTCTCCGTGTGCTGCCTATCATATTAAACTCTCATACTTGTCCAGGCCCGACTTGCTGTTCGCGGCAGGCTTTTGTGGCTGTTGCTGTTGGCCGGTCATAGTCATGCCCATACCCATGCCAGTGGTATTTGAGCTGCCCATCATACTGTTCATACCGGCCATTTTGTTCATCGAATTCATCGAGTTCATACCCATGCCACTGTTCATTGGTCTCATGGCCGCCATGCCTGTTCCAGCTGTAGAACCCATCATGCTGCCTATACTGCTGAGGCTGCTAGTGCTGGCTGTCCCAAAAGCAGAAGGCTGACCAAATCCTGAGGAGCCACCAAATGATGAAGAGGATGCATTCCTTTGAGGTCCACCTGGCGGCGGTGGTAGGCTGAAGCCAGTCGGCGTGCTGCTACTGGCTGAGGGTGGAGGCGCCAGAGAGAAAGATGACGGCCCACTTGTCATTTGTGGTCGTTGCTGATCCATGCCAATGCTCATGCTCGAGATCGACGACGTAGGCGGTGGCATAGGAGCGGCTGCACTTGCCCAAGGATTGGCAGTAGGGATTTGTGGGCTTGTGATGGTGGACGAGGTGCTGTTGGCAGGTTGAAGTGGCTGCGAAAACTGTGTGGCGGAGGGTGTTAGGCTCTCAAAGCGCCCGAGGTCTGGTGTCACGGTCCTAAAAGTGGATTGTGCCTTGATTACACCGACGCTTCCCCCTCCCGAGTTTGCGGCAGCCGTTGTAGGGCTGGGAGTCGACCATGAGAAGGCTGGTGCCGTTGACGACTTCACTGGCGGCGAAGAAGCTCGGGCACCTGCTGGTGCTGCATCCCACCCAGCATCCATTGGGTCACTAGAGTGAACAGAAGGCTTGCCTTTCACAAGTGATTCGAAGTCGTCTTCTGCGGCTCCGTTGGCTGTTTCAAAGGCAGTCCCCGTCACGCCGCCAAACGCCATAAAATCTTCATTCTCCAGAGCTCGGCCGTTGCCAGAAGCACCAGCCGACAGCTCTTGCAGCTTCTTTGTCTGCTCCTCTTCAACTCTCCTGGAAAGCGTCTTGATCAACTCCATAAAGGATTGAAACTGTTTCAGGTCAAGCAACGGCCCCAAACTCATGTGCCACATCACCGGGAGAATGTCCATTGCTACGAAATCCGCATCAGCGACATCTCCCACCACCCGAAGCACGCTCAGTGCTGCCATTGCCACAGCAGGTTCCTTCGTCTTGATAGCTTTGATCAGAGGGACGATCTTCTCCTGCATCGTGTACTTATCGAGGGCGCTCGAAGACGACGTCTTCTTTTTCTCAACGCCGAAGCCATCAAGCCCGTCGTCGCCCCCTGATGGGTCATTGGTCCCGCCGCAGAGGATCACGAAGGCTTGTAGACCTCGGACCTTGATTGCCAAGCTGTTCGTTTTGCTGAACACAGCTGCAACGACTGGGAACAGCTCGTTCTTGATGGTGCTGAAATCAAGAACGGGTAGAATGACGGGAAGTCCACGCATAGCCACGTCGACCAGCGCCGGGGTGGGTGACTCAAAAGCAACCACCAGGATTGGCAAGATGTCTAAAGAGTGAAGTCAGTGATGGCCTAGTATACACGGTGGAAGTGCATCATCTTACCATCTTTAAACTCCTTGCCATTGCAATTGTTAGCAATTGCATTGGTGTTCTCAAGCACAACCATGAGGCCGGCATCCCGAGCTGGATCCTTTTCTTGAGCCTGCTGCGGTTTCGCCAACAGCACAAATACTTCCTTCAGTCGTGGTCGCACCTTCTCACTGAAAGCACGCTTCGAAGACGGTAGTAGCTCGATAATTTTAAAGATGTTTTGTAAAATCAACGACAACAGATCTCTCTCCTTCAGTTCTTCTAGCAATGCGGGTAAGATCTTCCTCTCCATAACAGATTTGGGGAAGGAAGGCAGCACTTTGTTCAAACCCTTCATGAACGACGCCTTCTCGTTGGGCGTCTTAGCTGGGAAACCATCGAGGAAGCGGATCGTGGATACGAGTATGTTGTCGAAATACTCGCTTTCCTGGAATTCTTTGGCCGTCATACGTTGGGCCGCTCTCCGTGTAATGAGACGCGGCAAAACATGCGCCGATAGATCTCTGGGTAAAGGCCTGGACGCGAGGAAGTCGTTTTGTAGATTTGGTACAGTGGATGACGAGTTGAACAACCTCTTGTAAGCAGAGACGCTAGCATTTGCTTCGATGGGGGACCGGTGAGGCGAGTTATATAAAGCAACACACAGGAGACCCAGGGAGAACATATCGGCCGATGGGTTGAGATTATTGTCCAAGACGAAGTCGGGAGATGTGTAGTTGAGATTCAGCTGGACGAACTTAGGTAAACGGGAATCAAGATTGAGCACCTCTGATAGGCTAATGGGTTGCACCGAGGTAGGCTTGGTTGAGTTCTCTGGAGGACTGCAGAAACCAAGACCACTGATTTTCCAATCGGACTTTGGATTAAAGTCAGCAACTGTCCTGAACTATACTTGAGGCCAAGGCTCAACATGAGACTCACCTTAGAGTTGACCAGAATAGCCTCGGGAGTGAGATTTCCATGGACGAGGCCGGCGGTTTCGTGTAGAAACTCCAATGCCTTGCTGACTTGGAGTAAGCCTTTCTGTATCTCCAACTCGTCTATCTCCAGATCTCTCCTCCGTCGCGTACCATCTGCTTCTTCAGTGACATAGCGACTGGACCTGCCACCAACACCGCCAGACCGTTCCTGGTCATCTTTCTGTGCCAGTAAATCCGCTAGTGAAGCAGTGACAGGCTCTGTTGCAAATTGTAGACCACCTCCACGAGTATCCTCGACCGGTTCGACCAACTCCAAAACACTTGGATGGCGCAGTCGGGCGAGAGATGACGCTTCCTTCTTCAACCGCTCAACGACCTCTTCCGTGGTGCGCTTGAACGCTGCGGCGCTGGATCGACTAAGGGAACTCCCGTGGGCGTCTAGACTCTTCTTCTCGAATACGAAGACCGAGCAAGGCTTCTTCGTCTTCTTATTGGTCGCATCGTAGATCTTCCATGGTCCTGCTGTAGACGTCGTATGCTGGGCGACAGTGTAGTTGCTGTTGATGTTGGAGGTGAACCCCTTCAGGGACGAAAACATGGTTTACGAGTGTGTTTCTTGCCGCCCTTCATGTCCTCATTTCTTGGGGTCGCAGTTGGGGACGCCGTAGCAGGCGATGGTTCCAGCACGATTCCCGAGTATTGCGGCAATTCCCAGATATGTCTCCCGTGTACGTCCCGGGTCGATTCTCGATACGCAATCTATGCGGCAATCATATACGCGTACTTTGGATATGGTTCGGGGACGTTATTCAGCGACCACGCTGCGCAATCCTCTAGGTAATTGTTGCGACCAGGGGCCTGAAAGCTTCAATATTCCCACTCGATTCGATGGTGGCAGTCGGAATCGTAGGGTTTCAGCCCAAATGAACAGTACACGATCCTTAATAGTCTCTGCAGCTTCAGGCGCTCTAAGAGGCTTTGTTTCTTGAAGATGACAGGTTGGTGATGGAATTACTCGCCAAGACGCAACTGTCCATTATCTTCCAGCATCGTTGTCTGCCAGCCGCGTTCAAGCCACTGTACCGCTCCAGCAATCAGCCACGCAAGCGCGGACCCCACAATACAGTGCACCACACTTTGACACTTCAAAGTGACTTACCACCACACCCAGAGGCCAAGTGGCTAATAGGACGACGGCCTGCTCCGAAACCGCTATACGCTGATCATACAGTAGCTACTATTTTCTTAGAGTCGGTGTCGTACGTTGGTATCAGTCACCCGTGCCGTGACCCCCAGCTTGTTGCACTTCTCAGCCACGCAATTGATTGCGACCTTCGTCCTTCTCTTGATTTATTGAATTGTGCCTCTTCGCTCTCTTGTACGCTCTCCCGTAATATTTGAGCATTCCCGGTTTCCAATTGGGGTGGTATAAACAAATCATGTTGCGCCAACTACTTCCCCGTTGCGGGAGGGCATTCAGAGCTCCCACAGCTCGCCAATTATTGCCTCTCCGTGCGGTTCAAGCGGCAAGATGCTACAGCATTAAACCTGAGGCGGCTTCTACCTCAAAGCCCGTCGGGATTGACCCCTCGAGGCTCACCATCACCAAGACGACGACCCCGAAGACGCCCAGCGATCCCGCAACTCTTGTGTTTGGCAGAGAGTTCACAGGTACAATAACACTCGTAGCGAGCTGATCGCACACCAAGCATGCTAATACTTAATCTAGACCACATGCTCACCATCGAATGGACACGACAAGATGGCTGGCTCCCACCCCAAATAGCACCGTATCAGAACCTCTCCCTCGACCCGGCAACCTGCGTATTCCACTACGCCTTCGAGTGCTTCGAGGGCCTGAAAGCCTACAAGGACAAATCCGGCAACGTGCGCCTCTTCCGGCCTGACAAGAATATGCAGCGCTTCAACAAGTCCGCGGCGCGCATCGCGCTGCCCACCTTCGAGCCCACTGCCCTCATTGACCTCATGTCCAAGTTCACCAAGCTCGAGGAGCGCTTCATCCCCAACCAGCGCGGCTACTCGCTCTACCTGCGCCCGACCATGATCGGCACCCAAAAGACGATTGGCGTGGGCGCCCCGGGATCCGCCCTGCTGTACATCATTGCGAGTCCCGTCGGCCCTTACTACCCGACGGGCTTCAAGGCCGTGTCGCTCGAGGCGACCAACTACGCCGTGCGTGCGTGGCCCGGTGGTGTTGGGGACAAGAAGTTGGGGGCCAACTATGCGCCATGCATTGTGCCGCAGCTCGAGGCCGGGAGTCGCGGATTCCAGCAGAATTTGTGGTTGTTTGGCGAGGAGGAGTACGTCACCGAAGTCGGTACGATGAACATGTTCGTGGCTATCAAGAACAAGGAGACGGGGCAGAAGGAGCTGATCACCGCCCCGCTTGACGGCACCATTCTGGCCGGCATTACCAGGGACTCGATATTGAGCCTTGCGCGGGAGAAGCTCGCGCCTGAGGGCTGGGCCGTTGTGGAGCGCAAGTACACGATGAAGGAGCTGGATGAGGCATCGCAAGAAGGCCGTCTAATGGAGGCATTTGGCTCTGGCACTGCCGCTATTGTGAGCCCCGTGAGGAAGATCAGCTGGAAGGGCAAGCTGGTGGACTGCGGGCTGAACGAGCTCGAGGAGTCGGGCGAAATTGCATTGAGGATGAAGGGCTGGATGGAGGCGAGGCAGTATGGTGATGAGGAGCATGCCTGGAGTTATGTCTGCTAGAAAGCGAGTAATGTGAGGGTTCGATTGGTCTGTCGCATTGATTATTATAGAGGTTGCAAACATGGTAGATATGGGCCATTGGCTTACCTGCCTATTCCCGGGCAAGGTTTCACGGCGAATCTAAAGGCTTGGCTCATGTATGAATAGTTACGACCAAGAACAGCACCGTGGCGATGTGATGGAATGCAAGGAAATCAGATTTGCCCCATAAACCTGGTTATTGGAGCGGTGCGTCTATGATGCTTCTTACACCGTACGTCCGTTCCTCGACAGCGGAGGTCGAGAAAACTAAAGAGTAAAACGAAAACGAGGTCATGTACAGAGATAGATGTGCAGTTCCAAGAGGGTTTCCCATCTTTCAACTCATCATCCATCCATCCATCCATCCACTTAACCGCCACCAATGCTCATTCTTCAACATCGTGATATGTGCGACTCCTTCATGCCTTCTTCTCCGGATCCTCCAAGATACCCTCGGCTTCTAATCTCCTTCGCGCCTCTTCGAGAGCCCAGGTTTGTATCCTGTGATGGTGTTAGTTGGAATAGCTCATTCGCATCTTCGGCCCCTTCATATCCGTAGTCGTTCTAGAGCAGTCACCCCTCTTCTTCCTTATTTCTAAACCAACATTCTCCCCAGCCAATCTGGCACACTTCCAATTCCCGCCACTTCCTCCCTCCCCCCCTACTCCATCCTCCCAATACCCCAAGAGATCCAAGCGTGGAATTAGCCAACTCACGATGTATCAGGCTTAAACCCGTATGCAACAGCCGCCACGATAAAACTACCGAAGAACCCCCAGTAGAGAGGGGTCTCCCACCCTTCCTTCTGGTACTTCTCGCCGGGCTTGACGCCAAACAGCCAGCCACTCGGCGGATCGTACTGCGGGCCGTGGCTCGAGGGCCGCGCTGTCGTCGCAGAGAAGCAGCGCGTCATCGTCCCTGTGGCTGTGGTGCTATGTGTGATGGCGCGGCTGGCCCGCACGGCGGTTTGCGGGCGGACGGAGGGCATGGCTTTGTTGTGTGCGTTTGTCGAATGGACGTTTTGCTAATTGCCCCGCGTGGTTCGTGATGTGGGATGATGAGGGGAGAGTGGAGATGGAGGGTCGACGATGCGAGAGCAGGTTAGTTGGACAGCTCTGGACTTGGTCTTTAGATGAGCCGATGTCGAATTAGATGGCGGTCGAGCGGCAAAGCGAGGAACGGAGTGGATCAGGATATCACGTGGTCAGTGGGGAATTACATCAGGGTCTTGGCGATTGGATTTTCCTCGGCTGTCCATAAAAGAGAACTTTGCTTTTCACTACAAATTGTATTCTTTTTGCAACTAACAACTTCATGCCACACGTCCGTCACACAATCGAATTGTCTCTGACGGGAATTGATATGCCAATATGGTAAATGTAAGTATCTACTTTATCCTATGTTTGGCACGACTCTCGCGAGTTGTGCTTGCACCTTTGATGATGACAAAACACTTCCATTAAGAACGGCCAACTGAACTTTTGTGTTGATTCTCTTAAATATATCAAGCTCAACAGTCTGATCACATCCCTCATTCATTATCTGCATCAGTATCATACGTCGTGTTCCGCTGCTGACATGAACAAGATATAGGGATTTCGATCAAGCTTCCACTGTCATTACCAATAAGGTCCTCGCCAGTGTGGCCGGAAGCCATGCAGATGCGTCTTCTTTACGTTGATGAACCAAGTATAGTGAGTGCTGCCAAAGGTTGAGGTTCAAGCAGGTCCTTGGGATGGCTGGCTTAGTTACGTAGACGGCTCGTAGTGGTGGTAAGTAGGAACAATCAAATTGATTTGTACAGACATGGCCTTGGTGGGGTTCAAAATTGCAGTGAAAGAATCCGACCACTATGTGATGGCATCGGTTTGCAGTGTAAGGCTGAGAGATCAGTCAAGCAGAAATTTACCCGACTCAGCTTGAACCGTTTTCTGGCCCAACCTCCCCGTCCGGGCTCTTGCCTACATAGGTTAAATGGGGCACGAGCACTCAGCATTATATGGTCCAGACAGTCCGTTGAATACCCCGTATAACTTCGTTTTCAGGATAACTCTAGCCCATACATTTATTTCCCTATGGCGTTAATATATAAGTTGCATCGACCGAAGACCATGTCCCTCACGCGTATACGCGGCTTTCGTCACGGATGGACTGCAAGTAAATTCAGTTCGAATGTGACACTTGGTCAAGTAGCCGATGTACTGCCAAAGGCCAAGGGGTCGGTATGCGAACAGGCAAAGGTTGAAATGGCCACTACTATGCAGCTTCAGATTTACTCGGCCTATCCGCAGATTTGACATACTACCTTTTTGTTGTTTCAGTTGATTTTCTCAAACTCGATAACCCCCTCACTCCCCTCCTCCATGAACTCGATCATCAGTTGCTCTGGTCTGCCCGTCGCTCCAACCCTGAACTCGGCCTTAGCAGCTTCCTCGTTGAGACCATTCGGCACTTTCAACATATTGATGAAGACGACCCAGAACTCGCCTGAGACATGCTCGAAGTCGAATGTATTTTGCCATACGACGTCCTCCCGCACAGCTCTGAGCCTCGGCTTGGTATTATGGCGGTGTATATCAGTCTCCGACCCGTTGGCCAGGTTGATGGTGAGGTTTTGATATGCCGGGTGGAAATACGTTCCTGTATACGCTTCGAGCGCCAACAAATGGGGCAATGGCGGATCTGCGCGGTCGGGATATAACCTTTCGACTGCGTTGTCGATGCTCGACACTATATCCTCAAGCTGCTGCTTCGCTCTGTATCCATAATTCAGCACAGGAGTTGAAACACAGGCGATATCAGCTTACGTCGCAGCCCAGTCAAATCTATCAGATTCCGGGATCCCAAGCTTGTCGTTAATCAGCTTCCACACAAGGATATTTCCGACATAGTTGCTCGTCAAGGCAGTATTGCCCAATGTCACGACCCCATACCCGAGATCAGGCAAGAAATACACCTCGGCACCATAGGCCTCCATCCCTCCACTATGAGTATAGACTCTGTGGCCCTTATACGTGCTCGTCTGCCAGGCAAGCGCATACAACATAGGCGAATCATACCCCTTCCCATTCCCACTCATCGCCATCCTCGGCGTCTTAATAGCCTCATGTCCCGCCTTAGACAGCGGCGTCGCCTCGTTCAGCAAACATCGAATCCACTTGGTGTAATCCAACACATTACTCACCACACCCCCTGCTCCGCTCGCCTCATCCAGGCCAGAGAAAGACACCGTCTCGAACACCTCCGCGTCGTAATCCCAATAGTAACCCCCAGCCAAGTGCTCCGGCCCCGCCAGCGCATCCTCAAGCGACAGATACGTGCTATTCATCCCCAGCGGCGCCCAAATCCGCTCCCGGAACGTGGTTCCAAGCCACTGCCCCGTCAGCGTCTGCATCGCGTGCGAAACAACCATGAACATGAGGTTGCAGTACCGCCACTTCGTCCGCGGCTCGCTCACCATTGGCAACCAGCGCAAGCTGCGCGTCAAGTCCCGAACAGTGGCCTTGTGGTGGTCGGGCCCGTAGAAGGTGCCGAGCGATTTGTCGTGCCGCGGGAAACCAGTGCGATGGCTCAGGGCGTCTTCGAGGGTGAGGTGGTTTTGTTCCCAGGTGTAGGGGTCCATGAGGACGAAGTCGTCGCGGATGAGGGTGGAGATGGGAGTTTGCCAGGAGAGAGAGGGGTAAATGCCCGAGTCGATCATGAGGGAGAGGGTGGCGGCAGTAAAGGCTTTGGTGGTGCTGCCGCAGTAGAAGAGGGTGGATGGTGTGACGGGAATGGGATCGCCGTTTTGACTGCTGGGCAGGGTTGCATTGCCGTAGCCCTAGGCGGCGTTATAATGTGCGAGATCACAATAACAGGACGTATTGTTATCGTCTAGAGGGTTCAAGAAAGGGGGCCTGATAATATCGCGTCGACGCCCATGGCATTACTCTTTGGACGTGACAGCCACTTGACTTTCCAGGGCACTCAAAGCCACTCGCACTAAGTCCAACCGGCTTGAGTGTAGACCAACTGATTCTTTCTCAATCATGATCCCAGCCTCCAGCAATTATGCTCTCCTTGTTCTCAACCCAACAAGACGCCAATGTAGATCATTCCCGTCATGACAGAGAAATCTAACTCACTGCAGCCCAGCTCTCCATCCCATCAACAACGGCGATTGCTATGCCCGTAACATGAAATTCGCCCAATGCATCAATCGCAAACTTGTTGAAGTCATCGTCAAGAGGGTTGCCTTTGCCGCCAACGCCGAGCACCTTCTGGGTTGCCAAGACGGCAGGCACTCCGAGACCCAAGCTACAGATCGGGGGCAACCTCATGACGGCGAAATGGCTTCTCTCTATGTGCGTCTCGATTATTGTGTATGAGAAAAGTTGGCAAGATGGGAAGAACACGATGTTGAGGTTGAGAGGATTCAAGATAGGGTACCTAAGCCGGGGCCGATTCTACCCCACATCTCCGCCGAGTATCCCTGTTTATCGCCTGTTGGGAGCCGACTCGGGGGACTGAAGCCCATCACGCTCGGTAAAGGTCGTCCTTGGAGGTTACAGATTTGGTATGCACGACTTCACGAAAACAGCTAGGAAATCCACAGGGCAAGTTGGAGGTATGGTTCGAATGAAAGTGAATCGGTGCAACGAATTCGACCTCATCCGTCAAATCAGAGCTAGAACCGTCACCTGGCCACATGGGCAGTCCTCAAATTGCCTCATGACTTTCAGTTGACTCAATACTCTGAATATCCTGAAGCAATCCCTAACGTCTCCAGAAGCCTTCTGGCTGGATCCCATGGATGAACGAGGAGCTCCTCGCCTTGCCAGAATCCGGTGTGCTGGCACTTGGTGGGCTTACCGCCAAAGGGAGAGCAGTTTTCGTCAGGCACGATGGCACACTCTGTGCCAGGCGGGGATAAGGCTTTCGGTGATGCAGAAGGGTATTGAAGGCTATAAACTTTGAGCACTATGTATCTCAAGGAGACTGGATATCGCGAGGCGGCCAAGTAGAATACCTCCGGCCCTTGAATTCTGGCAATGGATGACAAAATTGGACATGAGGGATCACATGAAAGGCATGCGACAAAAAAGCCTATTGTCAAGTTGTACACTTTTCTTTAGGCGCACATAAATTGCTGCGTGAATCGCAATTTTGTTTTCGTTGGTTTTGCTGGATGACGTGAAAGTGCTGACACAATGCAACGATTGCCAACTTCCTCGTCTGGCGAAAGATTCTAAGGAGAAAGGAGTTTCTTAGCAGCCGTTTCGGTGTCTTATAGATGCTGAAGTTCATCTAGCAATCGTGGCATACCAATTGCTGCTTTGTCTACGCGTATTGTGAAAATCCCAGTAAGTTGTGACCTTCGATAGGGATCTGTCGTGGTGTAAATCAAAGCATTCCTTGATCTGGGACGGGAATCATTCCCTTATCCTTGTTTGTTTCTATGCCATCAGAACATGGATCCCGGAGGATGGAATTGTATATTTGAATCCACATATACATACCACGTCCTAATGCTTTCGCATCACCTACACATAAAGCACCATAATATTAGCTGGAGGCATATATTTCGGTGTATGCAGCATACGGTATTTCACAGCTTCTAAAGATATGAAGACTCCTTGTTTGATCTGTCATAGTAAGATATTGCTGGGACCCAAACTTCTACTCACTTTGAAGTTGTTTAGCCATATAGTAGTTACCGCTTTAACCCCAATCTCGCGAGTTCACTTAAGAAATTCGCTTGAACAAGACGGAAATGATCCCAATTCACAGTATCTCAGAAGCTTCTAGACATTTACCATCCTCAGAGCCCGTATATCCGGAGTTTTTCAACTAGACTTTGGACTGGATGTGGCAAAGTCCTTTTCACGCCATGTTTCTAGTGTGTGGGCCACATTGCGACAGGGCATAAGTCACCCTGTGTACATGTCTCCTGTATATCCTCTGGGAGAGAGAATATTCAAGTGTATGTATAGTTATGGGATGAAATAAAACACCTTAGAAGGTAGAGTTCGAGGATATCGCGGTGGTAAAAGTATGCGATAGACCGTATTGCCTATCACCTCCGTGAACAACCATAAATCACAACCAAGATTATGCATTATGTGATTTATGACTTACACGGGCCCACGTCTTCTCCATAGCGTTGATTGAGACTGTTCAATGCGTTATCGAAAAGTTAATTCCTCCAAGAGGTCAAGGGTTTTACAAAGAAAGCGCTAAGTATATCTGGTGAGTCACAAGTTGGATTGGAAGGCTTTCCCCATCTGGAGCTAGCACATGAGCAGAGAGCTTTCAAGTATCTACAGATGGCACTGGTGGTCCATTAGCGGAGACACCCAGTTCCTAAATCGATAGTGTACTGAAAACAGAAACGGCCAATATGAGGAAAAAGCTGGACAGAGGTTTTCCAACCAGTAATTCAGGCAAGTGATCATATAATAAAGTATTGGAAGCCTCTGTTTCTCATGCCGTGATTATAGCTAATACACGTACTCCTCAAACAGAGCTGTACTCTGAGAAGTTCAAGACCATCCTGTCATCACTGTAAGCAGGTTCTTCGTTGGTTGATGTCAAGCAAAGACTGTGCTAGACCTTGTGCTAGACCTGAGCTGGAGGGTTTCACAACATCTTGACATGCCTTAGACCTACGTTATGGCCACGTCAGACTGAAGATTTCATTTCTATTGACCAACTACTAGAACGTACTTGCCAGGTTTGCTTCATCTGGCAGCATGTTTGGACATGCTTCATGGGACCCTGAAGAGATACGCACCCCGCATGTAATTGACATGCCACCTAACCATTCTGTCGAAAAAAATCAGCTACCCATGCAAGAAACCATGCTTTCAGGAGAAGGTTACGGTGCCAATGGGGCGGTACCCTGTATTTGAAGTCCATATTGGAAAACTCTATAAATGTCAGCGAGCCGCAGAGCATCTTGAGTAAGTTGATCAAAGTAATGAGCTATCTATTATGCTCCTTGGCAGTCTACAAGCCAAAAGCCACTGACGACTCCCAGAAACTTTGGATTCACTCTCGACACGAAATCACGCTTCGCCACAAACCTACGAACTCTGGGCAGACTTCTGATCGTCAAGCAGGATGGATTTATAGACTTCGTCGAGTGAACTGCGATATTATGCGGAACTTTGATCCACTCGGAAAATATACTCTTACCATTTTACCCCTAACACAAGATCGAGCCAACTCTCCGTACTTTGGTGTTATGCTGTTCTCGAACCACAATGTTAAAACTACCAGCATACCAAACATATATTCTATTAATACAACATATATGTTTCTCGACTGGGAGCCATAAGATTGAATACGGGGTAAAGGAAAGGGAAAGAAAGTGCAGTGTTACTAATAGTTTGAGATGTATGTTAACTTCGGGTTCGCAGTCACTCGCTTGGTTCGTCTTTTCCTCCAAGTGGCTTGGAGGATGGACTGGTTTGGTCAGGGGCATTAGGTCTCACTTCAACGATTTGCAGTCTTGGATATAGCTCATTGCAGTCACTCACTTATCTGTCTCATTAAAACTCTACATGATTTCATGATGGTTTATTCAATCCAAAACACGATCAAGTGGAGAGAGATTGAGCATGCGCCTAAGCCATATCGATGCTTCTGGTTAACGCAGCCAGCGAGACACCATGGCGCGTTGGGGACTGTCACAAAAAGAGTTTCTCGCAGCTGAATTGTGGATAACTCAATGCCAATCCCGCCCTTCTCTTTCAACATGGCTTAGGATTTCCTAGATCTTGTTTCTTGATTTAAACTCACGGATATCCCAGATGACTTAGCCAGAATAAACGAAGCGGCGTGCGTCGCTATCCCTCCTTACAGCGCACTCTACCAGCTCACTGCCTGTCGAGCAATATATACACCTGCCTCTCTCCCCTTTGTCGACGATGGGGCCCAGTCCACCCGGCCGCCCGGCTTTGGCATGGGAGAATAAGCTCTGATGCAATAAGCAAAGGAACTACTTCCGTAACCGCTGTAGACCACAAAAACACCCAAGAAGAAAGACACTGTCATGAATCCCGAGTTATGATACCTCTAAGTTACGTAGTGGTACAGTTGTTTGAAAGCGTGAGGTCGAGCCCAACGGACATTCCAGTCGCCCATACAAACAACCGCCACCCGATCATATTGGTGTAGTTACTAGTATTATCCTCGTGTTTCCGGGGGCATGCGCCAGGGCAGTGCCAAATGCGGGAAACTCAAGACGTGCACATTATTCAGGCACTTCCTGTTCTGCTGTCAAGAAGCTACGCAATACGCTCTGTTACGAATCTACAGTTGAGTTTGTGAGTCTTTCCCGGAACTGAAAGCCGTCAATACATGGTTGTTCTATCACGAGTACCGTGCTTCGTTGTTTGCTGCTTGGAGATGCCTTCCTGACATTGAACCGGCCAGCCGATTCAAAAAGCTCCATGGTTAACGTGTATGCAGGGCTCAATTAAACCCCGACGTGAATGAAGTATTTCAAGGCACGAGAACTCAATCATAAAAATCACTTCGTTGGGCGACCAATAAATCACACGCAGGGGCTGAATATGGTATGCCATCATCTGTATCAATTCGCTAAAATCTTATGATACGATCCTCCACCCCATATCCACTGGGTATTCCAACATGTTTACTAGAAAAATCGGAATAGCCGTTGTGTCACTGGCTGTCATTCCACACCGCAGCATGCACTCAGCCACCTCGTAGACCCCGTGTGCCATCTCATGACTCAAGCGTGGAAAACGAGAATAGCCTGACGTGGGCTGCTCACAGTGGGCTTGATCCCACTACTTCAGTGCCTTCTCTTAAGGCGCCTCCGTCGCCTCCTTCAGCTAGTTGATTTCCTTTTGCTTTTTCGGGGTTTGCCTACAGCTCCTCGTCATCCTCATCCTTCGGCCCAAGAACAGTAGGGCCCATGGTTGACGTAGTGGCCGCCTGACTTGTTGCTCGACCGAGCACATCGCCAATATTTGACGGGAATCCTGCGGAACGGTCCGGGGTCTCATCACTCGAATTAGCTCGTTGCTTCTTGAGTGGGCTTCCCACGGCCGAGGCTTCCATTGTCGCTTGTGCAAGCAAGTTCGTAACACCGCCAGCAGGGAGGGCGTTGCTACTCGTCGAGTCCGTGGGTGTGGCCTCCCCACCATTGGGGCCAGTGCTCGGTGACTTCCTTTCATAGGCCAACCCTGCCAGGGTTTCTGGTTCCGCAGAATGTTGCCTCTTGAGCTGTGGATTTGTTAATAAGTTGCTACAAGTAAAAGTAAAACGAAGATGAGGAAGTACTTACTCGAATTCGGTCAATTCTTGAGTTCAGTTCTGCCGTGACTTGCGCGTCCTCGGGAGCCAAGCTCGTCTTGATGACTTTCTCGTCCGAGTCTTCCATCTTGACTAGCGGGTCAGCGTCGTCGTCGTCGTCGTCGTCTTCGCTGTCTTCGTCCATGGCACCGCCCACGCTACCATTGCTCTTCTTTCGTGCCCTTCGGCGTTGGGCTGCCTCTGTGCCTTGGTCTCGGAAGGCAGAGAAGCCAACTGTGCCTGTGGTCTTGAGTGGGCCCAGGCCCGAAAAGTCGAGCTGGGTGCTGCGTCGCTTAGTGCCGGGTGTTGTCTTGGGATCCTTAGCCGACGGTAACATGCCCATCTTGGCCAGTTGACCTATGCGCCATGTCAGTTATTGCAGCGAGTGAAGGGCAAGGCCACACGAGGTAGACTTACGTTGACCACGGTAGAAGAAGGTGAAGACAGCGTAGGGCTTGTCAGGACCGTCGATACCGGTCACTGTCTGGGTGCTGATTGTCTTGGGGTCCAAAGATTTGGGCTTAGCAAAACTGGTGGTGTGCTCGACATCAGCATCGATAGCGCCATTGCTGCCTCCCTTGCCTTCGCCTTCGTCGTCATCGTCATGTGCGTCAAACTGCGGTGAATATTCGCCCTTCTTAATTTCGCCCGATGCGATCACGCGAAACATGGCGACCTTGATCTGACCTGTGGCCTCGGGCGGTTCGTCGTCGTCGTCTGATAGCGAATCGGATTCCGAGCCTTCCATGGCGCCTAGTACGAAGGCCATATCATCCCCATCCCGCAGTCGGCCCGTCTTCTCCGTGTCCATTTCACCAGCCCCCGAGGGCTTTTGGCGACGATGACGTCTCTCGAACTTCTGCCTTCTCTTCTCCACCTTCTCCTTCGCATCGTGGCCTTGTAGATCAAGCCCATTAAGCCATCTCTCCAGGCCCACCTCCTTGAACAAGAACTCGCGCTCAGCGAGACCACCGCCCTCGCTCTCGGGAACCTGCACCCATCGACTGTTGACCCAGGTCTCCTCACCAGGTCGAAGGAGAGTAGCTACCTCTTCCTTGGCTCGACCATCGAAGTATATGTACGCAGCAATGGTCTCGTTGTCCGAACTCGTAATGGGGATATACGGGGGCTCGACGCCGGCATATTTGGACAGATCCGAGTGGTCGATGGATGCAGGACCAGCATACCTGGGGCTGGGGTGGGGGTCTGCTTCCGTGGGCTTCGGCGACGAGTACGGGATCGGGTGGCCCGGGGTGAGGAGAGTGATGGAAATGGCAAAACGTGCAGCCTCATGTTGGCCGGTCTCGCTGTTCAACTGGGGCGACGGCACGGGTATGTAAGAGCTCATGCGGGAGAGCCGTGAGTTCCGTTGGACGCCATGGTCCTTGAGCGGGGCTCCATTTGCATGGATGCTCACGGCGATGCCCTTGAAACAGGGCATCGTGAATGTCGACTATAATATAGAGAGTGACAAAACCGAAACGAGAAAAGGCGGAGCGAATGCGTTAGAGGCAGGTATGAGGGTTGGGCGTCTGTCCAATATTCGTCAAATTGCTCGTCGAAATGAGGGTGCTTGGGTCGGGGCCGATTGATGGATTGTGACTGATGTCGAACATCAGTAGTAGTGCTGCGGTGAAGGTACCAAAACGGCGTAACCTGAGGACGTTCGTTGTTGGCAGCTGAGGTAGCTGACGCTGTGGTGATTGTTCGTTCCACTATTTTTTACCGGCGAAATTAATGGAACTCTGTATCGAATCGTCGGGTTGCTGAGATGAGGAAGTTGTCGAAACTGCTTGCACTCGAATTTTCGCGTGGACGGGACCTGAGCCTCGATCGGCGGGCGTGGGCGCTGGGTGGAGCGAACAGCAGTGAGGCTCTAGCTGATTGGGACGTTTCCAGTTGTCGTCTCGTGTACACAAAAGTAGTAGTCGCGTGAAGCCCACCACTAGCCGTCCTCCAGGATGCAACGAGAACCGACAAGAAACGGCGGAGCTATCGGCAACGCTGTAGTTAGCTGCGAGAAGCTGCGAGGTGCTCCAGGCGGTTTGAGGGAACAAATGGGTTTCTACAGTTCCCGGGATCACAGCGTGTAAACAGCAAGCACATTCGCACGTTTCTAATAATCACTAGGTCTGCTGCAGGTGCCGGTCACATCGAACACGCCAAAGCAGCTACCAAAATTTGGGGAAGTAGAAACAACCAGTTGCCAGACCAAACGCTGCAAGGGTCGGGTACTCGTGTTGGCAAGCACGTGCGAGACGTACAGTGCATGAATTTATATGCACTGTATGGAATGTTGAATTCATTGTTGAAAAGCTTGGAACCTTCAACACACTTTGACCTGAAACATTGATATAAAGTATGCTCAAGTTTGACGGCGCTAGGGACGGGGATTCGAGGACAAAAACAAATATTGTCCATTGTGCAGGGGACCAGACTTGCTGCGAACGGATACTAGGTATTATTTGCTGTCAGGGCTGAATGCCAATGAGGTAAGAAGGAGCGAAGTACTAAATTAGGCAGTTTGTCACTTACAGCACAAGAACAATGCTGTCATGTATCAACCGGTGCAATTAAACATTATTCGAAGTAAAAAACTGGGTATCTTGAACCTGACTTCACCGAGATGGTTAAAACAATATAACGTGTCTCTCAATCCGAAGGTAGCTTCCCGTACGTTACGAGATGGACTTTTGAGAAAGTCGCCTGCGTAGTAGACCCCTATTTTCATCATGGTTGTATGCGGAGAGGTCGCGCACACCCGCGCTCTCCTCATTGTCCGCATCACTAGTCCGGCGTGGCGAGTCCAACGCTCTGGTATTCCTCTCTACACTCTCTTCCTTGATCCTCGCTTTGCCCGTGACGTCTTCGCCCGCCTCACGTTTAACTTCTGGCTTGCCTCCACCTGTCACCTCGGCCTCTCGCCTCACGGCAGCAGCGGTATGATCGCTCCCGTCGCCAGCTCCAGCATTAGTGTTCTGTTGCACGGCTGCCTTGGTCTTCCCTCGCCCTGAGAGACAATACGACAGTAGAAGCCAGGCAAAGCCCATGGATGTCATCTCGGCAATCCAGAAACAGGCCGTACACACAAAGAAGGATATTATCCGGTGATTGTACATAGCCCACCTTATACCGCGCAGTCGAGCCACCAGCTCGATCCTCGCCGAGTAGACCTGCAGCGACTGTCCTGCTTGCACGTCCAGCAGCATGCTCAGTGGCAGCTGATCCCTGAACTCCACCAATTCGCCCATGGGGATGGTCAGCGTGGCCTGCTCGGACTCTGGCACGAAGATGTGGTACGGTAGGAACAGTAAGCGTGACGAGGCTGACACCAGCGGGTCTGCATATGGAATCAGAGCAGGGCGCCGCGACGAGAATATGACGCTGTCGGCATTGACATGTTTGTACGGGTCGTCGGGTACGGCCCACAAATGCGCTGGGTTATTAGGTGCCGACTTCATGGCGAAAAGGGCTACCATGAAGTTTCCGCGATCCAGGTTTGGAGGCGAACGCGGCAGTATGAGTTCGACGGCGACATCGTACGATGTCTCGAGCATGAGGTCTTTGGAGACAGAAGTCAGTCCGTAGGGATTGACGCCGGCACTGCGACGGTCTTGGTTAGGTTTGGGGGCATGTTTTTAGGGCTGGACCGAGATATACTTGTACTGCAGGTGAACAGGTACGGAGACCACCTTCTTTGGGACGTAGCTGTAATAGAAGACGGGGTATGCGAGGGTGGCAATGCCGAGCAGCGTCAGAGACGTCGCAACGAGAAAGAAGGTCGTGAGGTAGGCTCTTTGAGCGGACGGTGCTGTCGCTACTCGAATCGGACGCTTCACGTACTCCTGCCCGCATGATAGGTTAGCATGTGAAGATTGAAGTATGCACGGTAACGTCATTAGCTTGCATTCATCCAATGTTGCTTCACTTACCATATCAGCAGATACGCCCTTCGGCGCGCCAGCTTCAATGCCTCACCCTGTATCTCCAGACGATGGCGAAGGTGGAGGAGTGAAAGCGATAGATTGGAAGTTGGGTGGTGGTGGGAGGAAGAGCCGGTGCTAGACGATCTCGGGGGCCCTTGTCGTTGGAGCGCGGCTGCCCCGCGATGGCAGCTGCTGCAAACCGCCCACGTCATAGCGAATTGGCTTGCTCGCCCACGGATCCCGGTCTGGATCCATCAATCACCACTTTTCAGGGGTAAATGAGCCTAGGGAAATCGTCCTCGCTAGTTCACATTGAAGTCATTCCAATAACTTGACAGCTTCAAGCCATGGACCAAACTGGCTGAACAAACAGGATATTGAAGGGCAGATAATCATCGCCCGAGAACCGCTTCATCGTCTTCAGTTCAACGCTTTATAACATCATAAATACATTCCTATTGACTCCATCCTTTGACCGACCCTGAACCCAATGTGACTTACATGCGTTGCGGTTCTTCCACAGAAAAACGCAAAGAATCAAAAACAGTCCGCTTGCTCTCTCCATGGTCTAGTTGACTGCATGTCATCTTTTCATATCTGACACAGGCAACAAGGCTGCCCCAGTATATCGCAACCGTCGTAAAATCATTTAGCAAGGCTGCAGGTAGTTGCTGGGAACAAGACCGTTTCTCCCAACACCGTTGCCCGCGTGTATCTCGGCTTCCCACCACCCATCATCTTGATGTCGGAGCACAGCTAACGTGTCTCCCTTGTTGAAACCTAGCTCCTCGGGAATGGCAGCCTGGTACATGTACAGGGCGCGTGCTAAGGTGGTTGTTAGTTCTTATTCACTCGTCTTGAGAAAGTGTCCGAATTGCTTACCATAATGCAGAATAGCCCGTCCATCAGGGGTATATTGCCGGCTAGGGTCTGCAACGCTTTTGCTTCGCTGCCGGCTCGAGACGGACATTTGTCTACCATCATAAAGGCCCATCGCCCCTCCTTGGCTTGTGCCTGGTCTGCCATTACGGCTACGCATTGATCCGTAGCCACGATCATCGCCTACAGGTGCCAGCTGCATTGCCATTTCGTTGATCGTATGACTGCTTCCTGGACGTTCATATTCGTTTCTAAAAGGTGACGGCGAAGCTGCCCTGGCCGCGTCATTCGGCGAGTTCTGCCTGTAGGAACCTCGGTCCGAGCCACGCTGCGGCGGAGTCCTTCCCATTTGAGACTCACTACGTTGATGGCCGCCTGCGTACGGATTGGGAGATACCGAACGGTGGCTCTGTGGAGGCTCAGCTCTGCCGGCATACGGGTTGGGCGATGGCGCACGGTGATTCTGCGCCGGCTCAGCTCTGCCAGCGTACGGGTTGGGCGATGGCGCACGGTGATTTTGCGCCGGCTCAGCTCTGCCAGCGTACGGGTTGGGCGATGGCGCACGGTGATTTTGCGCCGGCTCAGCTCTGCCAGCGTACGGGTTAGGCGATGGCGCACGATGATTTTGCGCAGGCTCAGCTCTACCAGCGTACGGGTTGGGCGATGGCGCACGATGATTCTGCGCAGGCTCGGCTCTGCCAACGTATGGATTGGGCGATGGCGCACGGGAATTCTGCGCCGGCTCAATTCTGCCAGCGTACGGATTGGGCGATGGTGCACGATGATTTTGCGCCGGCTCAGCTCTGCCGGCATACGGATTTGGTGATGCCGAACGACAATTCTGCACCGGCTCAGCTCTGCCTACATACGGGTTGGGCGATGCAGACCGGTGATTCTGGTGCGGGTCGGCATTCTTTGTAGGCAATGGTGAAGCACTACGTGGCGGCGCTGGAGACGCGGCTCGAGGCATGTCACTGCCTCTCGTTCCGGGACGAACCTGACTGCTAGCGTATGCACCCGAGCCGGGTCGGTTGGCATTATGACTACCAGTGTAGGCGCTTGAGCCGGGACGAGGCGTGATTTGATTGCCAGCAAAGGCACTTGAGCCAGGACGAGGCGAGTTTTGGTTGCCAGCGAAGGCACTTGAGCCGGGACGAGGCGAGTTTTGACTGCCAGCGAAGGCACTTGAACCAGGACGGGTAGGGGTTTGATTACCAGCATAAGCACTTGAACCGGGGCGAGTAGAATGCTGACTGCTAGCGTAGACACTTGACGGACGAGTAGAATGCTGACTGCCAGCATAACCACCCGAGTTGGGACGATTAGGGTTGAACATATCACGAGTTTGTTCGGCGTATTTTCGTGAAGTCTCTTTCATGGCCTTGGAAGTGACGGCAGCAGCCGGCACCCCTAAGCGTTGAACCGGCTGGGCCGGCTGTACTGGCTGAATGGGCTGTAACGCCTGTATCTGTTGATCGTAGGATGGTGGCGGCGTACCACGCTTTGCTGCTACCAAGTCGCCATTGGCCCGTGCAGCTGCCACCGATCGAGAAAACTGGGAGCGGTCCTGACCAGGTGCCGGTGTTGCAATGCCATGATAGTGATCGGCTGACATTCGCGACGTTGCCTGCTTGTTGCCGGCTACCCCCTTAAGCTCCGCAAGTGCCAATGCAATCGGATCCAGGTCTTCTTGCGGTGTTTCATCCTGGCCATTCGCCTGTTTTTGTCTGTCCGGATTCGACACTGGGAAGACGTTCTGTCCAACGTTGAGAGCTAAACTGGCGTTTGCGTCGATGGGCTCGGGGCTGCCGGTCGTTCGATCAGGCAACATCTTCTGCTCTGGAGGCCGATAGATTTGTGGCCGACGTGAACCAGACCCTCCACTTTGGCCTCCACCTTGGGAGGTTTTCGAAGTGACCGGGCCCCAAGTGTTTCGATTAGAGGCCTGGATCTCTTTGGTGCTTTTGCGGCGGAAGGGGCTGTGGTTTTGAAAGAAGCCACTCTTCTTCTTAAAAACACGCTTGTCAGACTGGGCCTCAATTACGGGCTGCTGATGTTTGATCGGAGACACTTTGCCGCTTGCTGGCTCCACACTAGAGAGCGAGGTCGCATATTCGCTGATGTTGTCCTCACGGCTCGATGGTCGCGCTGACAAATTGGAGCTTGTTGCCGAGTTCATGCCCGAATTCATGCCCAAGGTCATGCCAGAGTTGAGGTCAGAGACCATGGCATCTTTCATACCAGAGTGCATGCCGCCGTTCATGCTCGAGTTCATGCCTGAGTTCCTAGCAGAGGGCATGTCCGAGTTCCTGGTAAGGGACATGCCCGCGTTCCTACCAGAACTCGCACTCGGGGGTTTACTAGAATTCATCCCGGACGGCAAACCAGAGTTCACGCCAGGTGGCATGGCATCGGTACGACACAGCATAGTCATTCCGTCCAGCGGATATGGGTCATGCGGGACGGCTGCGAACTGGGTGGCATCGTACTGCTGTTGTTGCAATCCATTTCCACTGCGACTACCAGACGGTGGTATGACGGCTCCTGGCCCCTTCTGTGGAGTCACAGTAGCATCTCTGCTCGCTAAGGGTTCCGGCTCTTGGTGGGCCTGGTGGGCCAAATCGCGGGCGAGCGTCGAGTTGGGGTCGTGGTGAGACTCGTAAGTGGAAGGTTGGGGTGAAGAGCTTCGAAATGCTGGATTTATGCTGCGCGGAAATTGTGCGACAGAATAGCTCTCATCGTCCACGGACGCTATCGATTCGTGGTCCTCCACGTCGCCCCGGCAGAAATTGATATACTTGGGTGGGTCCGGAATTTCCTGGCCGGTTCCCCTCTCCTTGATGAAGGTGAGAATGTCCTTTTCCACCTCCAACTTTTCGAGGGATAGGCGAATTTTCTCACATGACGAGTCGTCGCTAACGCACACGGTCGACGCAATGTTGGCAAATGTCCAGAGAGAGCTCTTGCTGAAGTCCAGTCTCTCCTCTTCCAAGTCCTGGAACTTGTCGGCTGCTGCTTTCCATTCGCGATTCCATCGTGCTGTCGTGTCTTCTAGAGCCTTGACGGCATTCTCGTACTCGGCATTGGATGTGGCTAAGCTGATTTGTGTCTTCTCAAGCTTGGCCTTGTTCTTCCGTTCTTCTTGGCCCATAACCATGTGTCCTTGTGCAAGATAACCCTTGATCTTCAGACATTCTTGCTCGTAGCGATCGCGTGTCTTGTTGACGACCTGTGTCTGTTGGACTTTGGTCTTGAGCAGTTTCTCAACGGTGTTCTGGACGATCTTACGTCGCTCCTTCATGCCGCCAGCGAAAGCAGCCAATGGTTCCTCGAGCTCCGTCTTCATCTGCGCCGCTATGCTGGCGTGCTGTTTGGCCATGGACTCCACTTCGCCTCGTACAGTATCCAGTGATGTCTTCAATGTGCCCATCTCTTGCGACCCCAGCGACTTCCGACTCAACGACAAAAGCTTGCGCGCATATTCATCTTCGATAGATGCTCGAGCGTTGTAGAAAGATCGTAGTTCGTCGCTTGTCTGCTTTGCCGCAAGCATGCGATCGAGGAGGGGGCTGACGCCCGCATCCTCTTTACCCCAGAAGTTGTTGGCGACTGTCTTGTTAGCATCCAAATGGACATATAGACAAGAATCACCGTATATACATACAGGACAGCGCAACTGTCGGTCCATCCGTGGCGGCAGGCATGCTGCCGACACTTGGAAGCCACTTCTATGATCTGAGAGCGGTGGTTTGATTTCGTGCCTCGAATTGGCGGAGTGTATGAAATTTCCCCCGTTTTGATGCGGCGGCGCTGTGAGGAAGTCTTGAAAGAAAAGGACCGTCAGCCAAAAGGGCGTCTTTTTTTTCTCTCGAAAACACCGAGTAGAGAATAATAGATTAAGTTAGCTGGTGTCGATTTGAGCGTCTCTGAAATGTTGGTCGGAATTGACATGGGCAGGGTCTGTTAGAGAAGCAGTTGTTCCAAGTACGGGAGTTCGATTGTTGACCTGCGACTTAATAGCGTTGCGCTGAGCAACCGCAAGGCGCTAGAAGTGGGGGCACAACTGGCAGAATGAGAACCAAGGACCATTCGTTGATCGCTAGTAAAAATACATGAGTAAAGTGGACCAGCAAAATGCATTGCCTAGGGATCCCTGGGCTGATTTCTTGGAAAAGGAGCTCACATCGACCTCGATTTGGACTTGGCAGGGCGGTGATCATTGCTTCACGAAACCAAGCTCCAACTCGCCCTTCGCAAAGACTCGCGACGACTGCCCAGGCCCATTCAGCCTTCGCTGTCTCCCGTAGTATTAGCTTCACGGCGATGAAGCCGTAACAGCCATATCGGTTCGAAGTCGTGACCTCGGACTTCTGTCAGAGCTCAGCTGGGTCCGACTGGGTGATGACCAGTACTTCTCTTTTCAAACAGCGTCAAGTTTAGCAACTTCTACGAGTGGTGGTCCACTGTATCGTGGCCTCAGGCTGGACTCTTTACGGAGACCCTTATTTCATTATGTGAGAATGGCCCAGCAGGTTGCTCACCTCATCCCATGACAGGTCCTGCCAGCGGAAAGGCGTTGTTGAACCAGATGTCACCATCCAAATGTGCATCTTATAATGGTCTAAATGACTAGCAAAAACAGCCAAAGTGCACTCAACAACACTGCGATGGTAGTTGGTATGTTCTCGAGTGCCGACAAGCAGAAGAGATTTGTTAAGTTCATATTTTCAAGACAACTTGATGTATCCCCAAGAATGCCGAATTTCACGGCATCTTATCTATACCGAGATTGAGTTTGGATTGATGTGGTGCGTTCAGAGGCAGGCAGGTTGAGTTAGACTTTGCATTCACCAGGTCATCCTTCCGACTTCCCCGTCTCCGCAATTCCTGTCTTCACACACATAAAAATGGGGGTTCATCTCGCAGGCTGTTTGGAAGCACAACTGGCGTCATGCAACAGCCAACATGCAACAGCCGACCACAGCCATGGCTATGAAAATGATGCAAGACGCTTCCTGGGGTCTGCTTGAAAGTCTACCGTTTCAGTCAATTCTTGCGTGCAAAATCCAGGAGCCGGACGAATTACTGGGGTTATTGGATTGTCGATTGTGATAATCATGGCCTGTTTCCCTTTTACCATCCTGCTGGATCCTCGTCTCTTCCAACTCTCACAGTTCCCAGGCGTGTCGACAACGGATGTCAAGGCGATGGTCCGGCTTTCCGTCGTACTAGTCAAGGGTACCCTCAAAGCGATTCAACTACTCAGCGGCGTGATGAGCTGGTCAACTCTCGAGATCAGTCTACTCATGGGCAAAGCGCGTTATACCTTCGGGATCCACGTTGGCCTCCTGGTGCATTCCACACGGGCTCTTTAGGTGCGTGGCAGCGGCCCTTATCGGTACAGTTGCAGGTAACCTTGACCAACTTTCATATATACTCACGACCCTTGTGGTGATATCCCTTGCGGTTTGTGTGTGACAGCAGTTTTATATCGCATGCAAGTCCTAGTCATGGGGTAACACGTATTTGACGTCTTGTGTCCCCGATATCCAAGGAGAGCCGGTATGTCTACAAGCTCACATGGCTATCATACACGTTTTGCGACTCTCCTACGACTAGCCATCGAAAGGTTAGCATTCCTCTTGAATAGCGCCGTCTTCGAAATGATGGTCCTACTGTGGGAGGTACTTCAAACTCAAGTGGAGGATGACAATACGCATTTCTGTGAGAATTCCTGTAGTTATGCCCGACTAGTCCGTTGGCTCTCTGCATTTGCTCAGAGGATTAATTCAAGAACCGCTGGCTACGTGTCCAAAATGGGTTGAAGCGATCCAATTATGATACACATTCAATCACAAGCAGATCAAATATGTTCAACAAACAACAGCAATGACACCTCCAATGCGCAAAGTAATGAAGAGGCGGTTAGGCCAACGAATTGTTGACTGGACTGGTGAAAGGGAGTGGTCATAGAGCAAGGATCTCACGGGCAAATTGGTTGAAGTCGCCCTGGCTATACTGAGCTATTCTACGAAACTGTGGGGTAGAGGAGACTGTCAGTGCTCGGTAACTAGACTTGAATACAATTTTCATTGAACATAAATACAGAGCTAATACTCTCAAGAAATGGGCTACAAGTGAAAGCGGACCTGATTGCTTGTAAGTCTACGCCGGCATGCGAATAACTCTTTATGTGACAAGATAATCTTCTCAGGAAAAGAGAAACGGAAAAGAATATGCCGTCTGATCCCACTTCCAGATTGTCTGATTAAGCCTTTCCAGCACGGCAATGTTTTGGTTTATGAGCAGTGATGATGTAACCCAGAAGTGCTATGGTATGTACGCCTTTGGTAATTTTAAGAGCATCATGCACTCCAGAATCCAAGTCTTCTTGGTGTCCACCCATAACAGCAGAACGAACGCACCCCTACAGTAAGCCATTAAGATCAGTAACAGACTGCAGAAGCGAGAAGGGTTCCGACTGCGTCAGTGACAGCGATGGAATCAGTGCTACTTCCATGCTTTGGCCCGGTATCATCAGCTGCACAACATTGAACTAATCCAACTGTAGCCAAAACATCACCATAGTCTTGCTCTCGATACAGTCTTCAGCAGAGAGCCAGCCTACGACGACTACACGACCACTGCATAACAATACACGTCATCAGCGTTTATCTTCCTGAGCAATCTGGACTGACTCCTCACTGCGACACCAAAGACGCTCATTGTGCATCGTCTCCGACGTTCGCAGACGACTGAACGCTCAAGGCCATTGTAACTCAATACCAACCCACAAATCGGAACCACTTCCTGTGGAAATTAGGCAAGTACTTAGACCAATAAGTCCAGAAGCTTCAAGGAAACTTGCGGTGCTATCACGTGTGAGCTAACGCTTGCGAGAGTTCACACCAGGAACGATGACTGAGTTACCGGTAGACGGGTGAAGACCTGGAAGCATATGAAGCAATTACTCAAACAACTAACATTGCCTACGGGTGCACAGAAAGCAACGACACGTGGGTTTTAGGCTGTCGGCAAAGTTTCACATGAGAGTGTCAGGCCCCGTTGAGACAACCCTTGGATTATCCTGTGTTCACACATCGTATTTCACAAGGTATTATACCGAGTATTGACCGTAAATTACATAGTGACAACCACTAGGGTGTTCGTAATTCTTCCTACTCAGTATTGGGACTCATGGAATCCCTCCCAATATAATGTTCCGTGCACGCAGGTCGACTCAAAATACCCCGGGCGAGAATGATTTCTATTGGCACTATTGCGATATGTTTGTTCGCACCCAAAATTGAGCTGCGGCGCCGACGAACCGCACGCTCGGATCGGGGCGAACAACGTTATCCTCCAGCAAATAGCTCGTAAGCAGATAGGTCCACACTAGAAAGTCCCAGCAAAAAATATTTTTGATCTAAAGCCGATTTAAAAGGGTAATTGACTTCAAAGTTCCGGGGATCCTCGAGGTCCGGATGCCTGGTGTTGAGTTTGCTGGGAGGATAAAACCTTATAGCGACGACAATAAACTTACTTTTCCTTCATAGACATCACACCTTTTTTTTCGCGCTATAAACATAAACATATGTGCGGGCACACACAACGTGTTTGTCAATGCGATGGGGTTTCGCAAATATTTCAATTCCCAACAATCACTGTGAGCATATTGAACGTCGCTCTTCTCTTTTCTCAGTTGATCATGTCCACAACCACAACGATGGCTCTTGTTCCAAGTCCAACCCTCGCCCGGGACTCCCTCCAGGAGCTCACCTCCCAAGCCCTCGACCTGGAAACGCACATGGGCAAAATAAGTCACAAGCGGCTCAGCAACACGATTCCCACCGCGCTTATCCGGATGTCCCGAGCTTCCCTGGCCTACGGTTGGACACTCACACTCATCACTCTCTGGCGCTTCATCACCGTGGCCGTCATTCTTCCACTATCAATGCGAATGGTATCATATACACTATACCATGTCCTGCTGAAGCCATACGGCCCCGTGGCTTTCGTAGTACGACTATTCGTACCTGCTGTGCTGCTGTCCCTCCAGGCGACTATTGTGGGCAAGACTTGCTGGGCCACTGTCCGTCCATTGACGCCGTGGTTGAAGTCGGATTCCATGTCATGGGATTTGATCTTGGTTCATGTCGTGGCTGGGGTGGTGCGTATTGTCTTGGAACTGGTGGTGCTTGTGGTATCTGGCGGATACTTAGCCATCATGACACTCGGCTAGGGCGTCTTCAACGCATGGAAAGCGTACAATCTTCGCTTTGCCGGGATGTCTCCCAGGCGCAATTGATCGGGGGTGGCAGAAGCAGCCGGCAGAGTTTCCACATTGGGGTGCCATAATGAGACGGCTTTTTTTTCTCCCCTAGGAAACGAAAGCGATGCGCAGTACGGCGTACGGTGTACCACGAAACCAAAAAGGAGGCTGTAATATTGTACGAGGATGATTCAATTAGTTTTGGGCTCTATTCTTCAAACTGCGAGTGGACAAGGCTGTGGCGAATATGAGATTTCTAAGATAATCAGAACTGGAGGGTGGCTAATTTCAACCCCTAAGCTCGATGTCACCTTTATTATGGCCTTCAAGCAGACCCAATCAAAATTTTGACGGAAAAGTCTCAGATCAACCGTTTATTTTCACCAGGCACGCAGGAAACAATGGCTATCACTCCCACTATCGGCAAAACATACATAATTTGTAAAAGGCGCCAAATGTGTTTTTTAATGTGATTGGATGTGGAATATTCAGTTCAATTGAAGCAGATCTACGAGTTGATGAATGTGAGATCGCTAACTATTAATAAAGAATGTCCGCTTATGCTCCCACAGGATTCGTGAGATGGAGCTTTTATACAGGACCAAGACGAGGCGGACACTTACATAATCCTTCCATAGAGACTGATTCTATACACAACAAGACCGTATGCCGGCATTTAGTGGATCAAAGATTGGTTGAATTCGACCTTTTCCGTCTAGATTTGCAGGTACTGTTATTTTGCTGCTCCACGTACGGAGTCGCCCCTATTGATAGCTTGAAATATGTAGACGGCTTCATACACATAGGTACCGAGTTTTACTTGCGTTGGAAATCTGTAAAGGGTTCATTCGAACCATTTGACTTGCTTGCATAGATTTTCGAGCAATATGGTTTATCAATGTTTGGTTCTGTGTGGCTTATTTGGTTGGCCATAAACTCAGGTGCTGCACGAAAAATTCATTTGAGAAATTCGTATTCCATTTCTAGGACAATAGACTCTAAGAAAAGTCCGAAATATCATATAAATAGTCATAATTGCTCTCAATATCTCCCAATATCGTGACAGGCACGGCCATGGGCTCTAGCCCCGCCCATCACAAGACACCTGACCCCAATATCTCAACCCATCGACTTCTCATCCCACACCTCAGCCTCTCCATTGAATAATCATGGACTCCTCCAATCCCATTCCACTCTCCCTAATCCCAGCTTTCGTCTGAGAATCCATCCTCCAACCCCCTGGTCATTCTATTCATCCCTCTCATCCTCCTCTGGATTTACTCCAACTTGCCTTCTCCCGCATCCTCCTCTGCACCCACTGCCCCTGCGCCAGCCTCTCTATCTACGTACTTCTATCCGCCGCTACATTCTGCTTTCAGCTCGTCAACTTCGCCAGGAGCGTCCGCGCCCAATTGTTGCCCTTCCATGACTACCCCGTCTCGATAACATCGAGTGGATTTTTTCGGGTCATTTCATCTCGACTTCCTCGCCAATCATCCAATCAACGTCACTAGCCTCCTGTGCGAGTCTGCTCAGCGCGTACCTGCTGTATTTGGATGTTCTACGACGAGATCTGATTCATGACCGACTGTCAAGAGTATTCACTTGACTGGGCTGGTTAACCTGGGTGACTTTTTGGTAGCGAGGTCAATGTTCTTGCTCGAGTGAGGCGGATCTACTGGCGGTATGACAGAGGATCGAGCAGATGGCAGGGATGGCGATAGGTCAGCGGCGGGTGGAGAAGTGGCTTCTAGGGCCGAGGTAGGCATGAGGAATCAATGAAGGTAGACGTCACGAATGGTGAGAGAAGACTCGATATTATTGCCATCCAGGGCTTGCGATCCGTGAGGCGAAGATGAAAAGCTTCATAGATGCTACTTTGACAAAGAAAGAAAACATCGCTAGTTGGTGAAGAGAGCGTACTTTGATTTTGGGAAATAGGTTATTTACCTCGGAACTTCTAAGTGGAGGAACTCGAGCGTAGAAAGGCACCATCTCTGAATGGTTCTAATGTAGTTAGATCACATATTTGCCTAATCTATGCTTGACTTCGTGGTCGTGGACTAAGCTCAGGAGACGAGCAGTTGGAAGCAACTGCATATCTGACTCTAAATACTCTAGCAGTCGTAATAACGTGAAATAAGAGCAATATCCCTAACACCATCATGTAATCTCATCCTAGTCTGCCCGCGTCTCAGTAGGCAAGATACACTTGGGCAACGAGTGAAGCTGCAGGGGTACGAAGCCGGTGCTGTGATATGGGGGTGAGTGAAGTAAGTGAAAGCTGGTGCGTCTTCCAGGAATGTAGGACATAGCACGGCCAAACTCAGGAGAGTGGAAACAATAATGATCATAACAATACGCCCCTGTAGGGAATGACTAGCTTGTTACGATGGCAATACTTGATTACTGATTCTACAACTCATTATGCTAATATGCATTTCGCATTAGATAGCTGAGTTGCTGATGATCTTTAATGTGATGTACGACGCCACTACGTTCCGGGGTCCAGACAAGTCCTGATTTACCATCAACCCTCGTTCACGGCGAACTCATATTGTACTACAAGAATCAATTATCTATCTGATACCTAGCTGTCTCACGAGTAGTACGATAGTTTGGTTATGCCAAACTCCAGTCTCAATTTTTCGACTCGATGACCAGCTGTGAACAAGGCCTGCTAAGAGAGCCATAATATATCCACCAACGCCGTGCTGTGTCGCGATAACCTGGCCTGACCTCAATGGTTCCTTTCTTTACCTAAAAATGCAACAAAAGAAAAACACAGAAACCCTAGTTAAACGTGCCCTTGCCCTGTCTCAAGAATCACTTGAGGCGCTCACAACTCGCAGGCGATAGGCCAACTGAAGTGATGCCTGATCCAAGTGGTCGTCCAAGTCCATAGGTGCCGCCTAGGCACGCTGGCGTTTCGATGAGCTCTCATTGGGCGTGGCCTCCGCTTCTCTCTTCTGTCCGTGGGCGGCGCCATGGCTGGCGGAGCTCTTAGATCGACGCCACCCGTCGAAGGGGCTGCGCTTGCCGGTACGCTTGATGGGAGTGTCGTCTGTGGGCAGCTTCTTGCTCACGCGACTCGCTCGACCAGTTGTCGGGGGAGATGCAGGTGCAAAGCGGGGTGCTGCGGGCGTACCAGGTTTCACGATATCGTCGGGTGTCTTCTCGGGCTCCGTTTCCTCCTCAAGGTCGGCATTGTCGGCATTCTCAACTGTGACATGGTCTTCGATGTCCGTAACAGCTTCCTCATCCTCAGTCTCGATGTTGACATCGGGAACGCCCTTGCCCTTGGTCTTCTCCCCGGTCTGGAATAGAAGGCGAGGCTTGAAGGAAGAACGCGTGACACGCCGAGGTACATCTTCTTCGTCAGATGCGCCAAGCGTGAAACGCTCGCCTCCACCGTCGACCTCTAGCATATCAGCTAGGTTTACAGCATCGCGGGGCTTCCACAGCTTCTTTCCTCGGCTGTTGAATAAATCAGTCAGGTCACTTGCAAGTAAAATGAAGGTAAGCGATACTCACAAGACGTAAACCACACCGTCGTCGCGCTTGACAGCTTCTTCAACATCGACACGACCCTCGCCAGGAATAAGGACGGTAGTACGCCTAGTACTGCGTCGCTTAGTAGGATCAGGTACAGGCTCGATAGTCAAGGTCTCGCCATAGAAAGGATTCTCCTCGCTCGTGTCGAGCTCAGGAAGACGGTCGCGTGAATCAGTGAAAATAGCAATAGGCTCATCGACTTCATCGGCCTTGAAGCTATCCAGAGTCAGGCCCGAGTACTTCTTGGTCTTCTTCTTTCTGGAGCTGATAGCATCAGACTCGTTGGAGAAGAGGTTGCGGGCAATCGCGCGGATGCCAGCCTCAGTCTTCTCGTCCGGCTGCTTGCGTGGGGTCTTGGCTGGGGTAGGAAGCATGCCGGCGACGCTGCGAGTGACGGCCGTGGTGCTGGTTGGTTTCTGTTGCGACTTGGAGGAGCCAATTCCGAGTAGATCGGCCGCATTAGCAGCACTCTCAGTGGTCAGGCTGCCAGATACGGCACGTCGAACGGAATCCATAGCGGGCGCTCGCTTCTTCTGGGGCGACACAGAGGGGGTGCTGAAGGTTGTGGATGACTTCCGCGTGTTGGTGCTGGTACGGTTGGTGGCGCGCGGGGATGGAGTGCGGTTGTGGTTGGCCCTTTGTTGGGTTTGTTGGGATGAAATGCGAGCTGACTTTCGTGGTGAAAAAGGCTCCCAAGAATCAGCGTAGCCATGTTTTGGAGTGGGAGGAGTCCGGATGGTACCCGGCGGAGGAGGAGTTGAAGGGGCTGCCATCTTATTTGGGCTGACTTAGGCTGCGACAGAATCGCCGTTCGATTTCAACTATTCGTGACAATTCAGTCCAATATTAATAACAAAAATAGATAGTTGTCTCTTCGGTCGCCAGTTGAACCCGTTATAGTTGAGGATGACGAGTGTATAATGACGGAGTGTTATGTAGATTCTAGGATTGAATGCAAATGCACAAGAGGAGCAGACGGTCAAAGTGGAAATAACCGCAACGGCTCACAAAAAGTGGCTGGGGACAGTCCTAAGCCCCTTCAATGGTGCACAGACCTCTCCCATGCCAGTTGATGCCAGGGTCAATTAAAAAGACAGACGCGTCTCCACCACTCGAAAACTGGCTTGACGCGTCTACGAGTCGCATAACATCACCCCGCTTCGTGACCCCCAACTTCAAGTTTTAATCGCGAACATCGAAGCCTCAAGGGACAAAAGGGCCCTTGAGCCCCTTGATAAAGTGTAAAAATCGGATTAAGCTTAATACTTTTCAAGATTTTTTTCTCTTTATCTAGCATTATCTAGCATTAAATCTATGACAATTATAAAGAATGAAACTCTCCCAATGTTGACTTTGATGTTGCTGTGCTGTAATATCCCATGGCGCCCTATCGATTGGCCATTTTCAAGGCCAACGCAGCGTCGGCCCCACATTGTCGTGTTGCAGAACATCAACAGTCAACACACACTTCGACAAACAGAGAAAAGAGACCCTGGACCTACGTCATTGAGGCCACGGCCACCAGTCCAATTGCTTTAATCTCTCCAACGGCTTTGATCAATTGAAAATACCCAGAAGCAAACTAATTCAATCCTACTGGCGATTCCGGCACTGCGATATCGCATCGCAAATTGAGCTCACCTGTAATCCGACTCAATCTATCGCAGCACACCACACCTTCACCAAAACCACCATGGCCGACTCCGACACCGAGGACCTCTTCGCCTCGCCTTCAGCTGAAGCAGCAGCAACCAAGGAATCCAAACAACCACAAACCCTCCCCGAACGCCCCAAAACCCCCAAGACGCCCACGGGCCCTCCCCCCACAGGCGACCCCTTCTCCAACACCTCCGACACGCGCATCGCGGCCCTAGAGCGCGAGCTCCAAGGCGTGCGCAACATCAACGAGCTAATCGAAGGCGTAGTCGGCACGCTGGAGCGCGCCAAGGGCAACATGTCGACCGTGTCGCAGACCGTGAACACGGCGTCGACGCTGCTCAACACATGGACGCGCATCCTGTCGCAGACGGAGCACAACCAGCGCTTGCTCTTGAACCCAGGGTGGAAAGGGGCCGGGCAGGATCTGCAGGATATGGAGAATGAGGCTTTGCATAGGCAGATGATGGCGGAGCGGAGGGCAGCGGAGGAGGAGAGGAGACGGCATGAGGCGACGAGGAGACGGGAGGTGGAGGAGAGGCAGAGGGAGGTGGTGGCGCCTGCGGCTTCGGCTCGGGGCGCGAGGGGGACGCTAAGGGCTTCGAGGAGTGGTAGGGGTAGGGCGGCGAGAGGCACAACAAGGGGGACTACAAGGGGGGCGGTGAAGGCGGCGAGTGTGTCGTCGGTTGGAGCGGACCAGAGCTCGTCTAGCATTGCCACTTCCAGGAGTGCGTCGGGGATTGGACGAGGGTTCTTGAGAGCAGGATCGAGAGGCACTCGAGGGTCCTAGGCTGGCTTGCCTGGCCAGAGCTCGATTATTTTGACACTTCATGTACATTCATGACATGTATGATTCCCAAGGCTCGTATCCTGCATACAGCCAGTCTGATATTATACAAGACCTGATGATACCCAAACACGCCCATGATCCAGATGCTATGCCATACGAATGCGAATCTAGTGACCTATAACTTTTTCTTGAAGAAATCGCTCATCTTCTTCATTCCCGTCGTATTCACCTTCTTAAGATTCTTCACTCCCCTCGATTGCCCAGCCTTCTTTCGTTTATCCTCCTCCTCCACCTTGCGCTTCTTCTCCGCCCGCGCCATCATTTCTTCCTCGTCCAACACGCGCTTCCGGGAATAGTCACCCGTCGATCGCGCGGCCACGGCCTCCTGGCGCAGCTTGGATACCTCCGCCAGATAATCGTCCAATGGCGCGAAATCGACTAAGTCCTTTTTCTCAGAAAGCAGCTTTTTGAGCTGTGCGGTTTGCGGCGGGGCAATGTAGCTCGAACAGATGAAGGAAAATGCCGTTCGCAGGCGCTGGAGTTTCGTTACTTCGGGCGAGGCTTGGATAGCTGCTGCGAGCTCCTCACTGGGCGCAATGGTTTCCCCCGCTACTGACGTAGCCGCCGTTGACGGTTCGGGTGTGAGGCTGTTGGTTGTCTCTGTTGACGCGGCCGATGCCTGGCTTTCGCCCGACTCGGGCATGGGGGTGGATGATACGGGTTCGGCGGCTGCTGGCTCTGTTACGACTGCAGTAGCTGCCGTCCCTGCTCTCTTCACGCTGAGAACAGGGGCTTCCAGCGCCTTAGTCACGAACTTCTCCTCCATGCTAGGCGGCAACGGGGTCTCGCTCATGCGCTTCGCTTTGGACAGTACTTCTTTCAACAGGTTCTCCTCGTTGAGCCGGAACATGGATTCATCGCCCGCCTCTATTGTATCGCAGATGGCCGCCATCCTTGCCTCAAACAACGTCCGTACGTTTCCCCAGTGAAGAATTTCTGACAGGTGAGGCGACAATTCTTTGGATACCGATTCCAAGTGGTCGTAGCCGGACAGAAAGAGGCGCTTTTCTGATTTGGAGGTTGTCTGAGCTAACGCCGGTAGGACGAGGAACAGGGGGTCAACTGGTGTCGCGATGTACAGCTCAGCGCCCTTTGTGGTATAGGCAACAAAGTCCGGCTCGGCTCCATTTACGCTTTTCTGTCCCTCCAAGTTTCCCGAACTGCTCTCGATCAGCCAGCTGTGTGGCGTAGACTTTGGTGCTGCGATGCGTGTGAATTCGTAGATGCCGGATTCGGGGCAGACCAGATACCGTGTCGGCTTTGCATATCTGGGATTCAGGAGCGAGACTATTCGCGCCTTGGGTGTGGCTTTCTTGGGGAGGATGAAGACTCGAGGCGGGTCTGACGACTCGGGCTGTAGGGTGTATCTTGACTTGGACGGGTTGGTTGGATTTGAGGATGCGGGTGCCGTCGATGTCGCCCCGCCTTTTGAGCGTGTTTTAGCCATTTTTAATAGGTTCCAAAAGCCTCCAAAAAGTCCAAACCTGTTGAAATGATGTTGGTATCTATTTCAGCAACGCATTGATCGAATTGACTTCCAGAGATGTTGCTATTGTTGTTTCCGGCTTAAGTTCCCCCCTGCTTCAAGGTGAGTTTGCCGAACCCTGTAAACACGTCAACGCGTCGCGTTAAAAGATACACGCGATTCTCATCAGATTGGCGTCGATCCTCCACCCACACACTCTAGCACTTATCGCTGTCTGCCGTGACACCACTGTTTGCGATAAGAGAGCTGTCGCGACAATTCGGGACACTGCTCCAGCAAGTTACGAGTTACGAGATACATTGATACATCCATCACAGGTCACCTGTTTGGTTGCTGGGTCTTACCTGAATATTTCCCACCGCCTAGCGATTCAACAGCCGGCACTACTCTGATACCTACCCCGGGAATCCTGTCATGCCTGTCCCATATTAATTTGCGAATATAGTACGGGACCCTGCCTGACTTCGGATGCGACAGAAAACCCCATGGCCAACAACAATTTTTGCCCAGATGGTAGTTGAGAGTAGCATGTTTTGGCAAAGATGCCTCCTTGTATGTTGAAACAGTACTTACACACACATGAATATCACTAACAAGATGAAAGACTACGACACCAGCCCGCAAGCCCAATGGCCACCACAATCTCCCCACGATGTGCTAGCTAGTACCCCCGGCGGGCGCGAACGCTTGCGCCGCCTGGCAGAGCGCACCTCACCGTCGCCTTCTCCGCTCAAGAAGTCTCGCCCTGCTTCTGCGCTCGTGTCTCGCTCTAGAAATTCGCAGGGAATAGACCTAGACGACGACGATGTGGACATGGACGAGGAGGACGACGAGGAGACGCTGCAGTTGAAATTGCAGGCAATTGAGGCCAAGCTCAAACTCAAAAGTCTGCAAAAGAAGCAGAAGAAAGTGGCCCATTCCGCGTCCGATGTGGAAAATGGTTATACACGGTCGAGTATAAGGCCTGATATGAGGCCGAATATAAGATCGAGATCTATACCGGATGTTCTGGCTGCGAGCAGAGCCCAGTCGCGCGCCGCAATCCTGAGGGAAGGACCAGACTTGCGGCCGCAGTCGCAGGCTGAAGTCCAAGTGCCAGCATCACCAGTACGGAGGCACACAACAGCACATGAGCAGAGATCGCCCAGCAGAGTATTATTGGGCATTGACAAGGGATTGAGGGCCAAGGATGTGTCTCTGAAGCGAGCTTCGAGTATGCGCAAGCCGCACGAGACCCAAAACGGCCAAGGGGGCTATCTCCGACGAGCTCATACGCCTGGTTCCAGCCAGGAAAGCCAAGAGCGGCCCATGAGCTTCAGTGAGAAGTTGGCGGCAGCAAGATCGGAAGAGACAAGTCGCAGGGATAGGCAGGCGAGAATTAATCAGATTCGAAGCAAGACTTTCGACGTCAAGCAGGACGACGTTGAGCGATTTAAGGCCCGAGCGACAGAATTACCCGATATTCCCTCACAATCAGACCCATTCAGCCGCGACGAGGTCATGGCAGGCGGCGCACTACAACGAAACAACACAGTACCCAGCATACGAGTCAGAGCAACGCAGCTCCCAGAGTCGGCTTCGATGACGACGCCGACAGAAGCAGAAACGATACCAAAACCAGTTCGCAAGCAGCAGGTGGCACCGGCAGATGTGCCAGAGGATGAAGCAACCTCCTTTGAGCCCTTCTCGACCACTCATCTCGCAAAACGCATACTCCCACATAGTGTTTTGACCCGCACATTTTCTGGAAAGAAAACATACATAATCAAGGACCTACTCTCGTCTGTCAAAGCTCCTAATTTCGAACTTCCGGAGGTCGAACAAGACATTGTCGTGCTCGGCATCCTTGCGTCGAAATCCGAACCCAAGTCCCACCAACCCGTAACAAATCCCAAGCTGCGCGAGAAGAAAGGCCGCTTCGACAATGACGATGACCAAAGGGGAAAGTACATGGTGCTCAAGATCGTGGATTTGCAGTACGAGCTCGAGCTCTTCCTCTTCAATACTGCTTTCGACCGGTACTGGAAGCTCACACCAGGGACACTGATCGCTATCTTGAACCCAACCGTCATGCCGCCGCCAAAAGGCCGCGAGCACACGGGCCGCTTCAGTCTCGTGCTCAACTCAGACGGCGACTCGGTCCTCGAAATCGGCACAGCACGCGATCTCGGCTTTTGCAAGAGCATCAAGAAAGATGGCGCCCTGTGCAATTCCTGGGTAAACAAGAAGCGCACCGAATTCTGCGAATTCCATATGAACACCGCCCTCGACCGGAAACGTCTGGCCCGGCAAGAGATCAACTCGGGTAGCGGCATCGGTCCCCGCGACAAGAACTCGCGCGAGAGGTGGATCCCAGATAAGAAGAAGGAAGAAGAGCACAAGAAAAGAGGCAACTACGACGCCTACACGCACAGCCACTTCTTCGTCTCCCAAGCCAGCACCGCCAGCCTGCTCGACTCCCATACGCTCCCGGGCCAGATGAGCGAGCGCGTTGAGCGCAAGGACGCGCTGAGGCGGCGGCTCGCCACCGAGGAGAAGGAGCGCGATATCATGAAGCAGCTCGGCAATACGGGAAGGGGCGCGGGGCGTGACTATATGCGGCAGAAACTAGGATCTAGCATGTCCTCAGCCGCGGACAGCTCGGCCACTACCGTCGACGAACGGCCGCAGCCCGACGCCAAAAGTCTGGGGCTGCTCCAGGGGAGGGGGACTAAGATCCACCTCAGTCCCGTGAAGAGGAAGCGGGTCAACTCGGCCTTTAACTCGGTGTCGAGTAATGCTTCTTCGTCGTTCCCGGGAGCGAATAATGCAAACAACAATGACAACAATAAAAACAACAACAAGTCCGGCTTCGGATGGGGCAACCCGCTCAAAGACAAGCTGACGAGGATGAAGGAGGGCGAAAAATTGGATGGATCTGCTGCTCCTTCTACTATGCAGACCTCGTTCAGGGATAAAACGAAAGACAAAGTGGAACAACCGGCGCGGAAGAAGACGCGGTTCGTGACGGCGAAGGGGATTCGCGAGGCGGGGAGGGAGAGTTTGGGTGGAGAGCTGTGCAAGGGGGATCGCATGGTCGATTTGGATGATGATGATGAGCTTGTCATTTTGAGGTAATCTCTGCCTAGGCCTCTAAGATTCAGACGACGGTTGGTCCATCAAGGCGCGTGGTCGTCTTTTTTGGCGGTTTTTATGACGCATTACGAATTTTGCTGGTGGGGAGTTGAAGGGAAATCAACTCTCGGCTGAGCCCCGACTTTGTTTGTATTACGGTATGGAAGGCAAGGGAGGGGCATTGTGACGACGCAGAATCGGAATAGCATGCATGTATCGAACTTCATTTGTTTAAAGACTTGTTGTATCGTACTGGGCTCGTGTGCAGTATTGCTTCCACCGAGGATGTTTCTGCTCGTAAACATGCTCAACTCTCTGGATGATACGTACGGAGTTAACCACTTTTAAGTATTCGATTATTTCCAGGCAGTATCAATGAGCTATACGATATGGACCGCCGTATTACGTTCCCTTGAGGAATTTCCCTTAAACCCTTTTTCACTTTCCAGGTTAGATCCGGACTGGGTAGTAGGCCTGGGGAATTGCATGCGAGATCCGCACAAGAGCAAGAGCTTACGGATGTGCTTGTCGCGATCCCGCACACATGTAGATTAGGGACAGATTATTCCAGGGGGCGCTCCAGGGTAGGTTGCTTCGCTCACGTAGTTCCATTGCTTACTGCCTGTCGAGTTCCTACAATTACCTTCAAACTCAGTCTGTATTCACTTATGTGGAATCACAAGAGACTACTAACTAATGCCGAGATACATTTTCTCCGTACCCTGTAAAACGCGGCACAGATCTTGATATACTATTGCTGCTACTATAAGCAATTTAGATAATACAGTCTTTATGTGAAGCTGTGACCTCAGATGTGGATAGGTATGAAGCAGACAGGCAGGCAAGGATTGTAGTATTTGAAGACCCCTCAGAGCTAACTTGGGATTGGCCTTTCACGCACCTTCGTAGTACTGATACAGCCCCCGGTGGTTGGAATCCGACAGTCTTCCACAAAAGACAGCGAGAGAATATAGCAACAACCCCACTCTAACAGGCATTTAATCTTCTTGGGCATCAAGAAAGTGTCTACTATCTGCAAAATTCCCGATCCTATCACTGCCTCTGTATAAAAATAAATACCAACCTACGTTCCAGATTGAGCTTATATAATCGCAACCTGCACTATGAGGTTGAATTCATTACCTCGTCCACTAGATGATTCCTGCTATTCGTGTTTTATTATTGGTAATTGCATAAGTGAGAAGTTGATAGTAGAAGGGCGAGCTGCCATGCTGGCCGCAGCGAAGACGAGTTTGAAGGGTTTGTGGATAATCGTCAAGGACAAACAACAGGCAAAGGAGTGCGTGTCATCGCAATTAAGAGCTATGCACCATGACAATTTCAAGCTCTCAAAATGTGGTGAATGGTAACTTTACTTACTCATAGAGATTCTAGTCTAGACTCTTGGTCTTAAAACAACCTAAGGTTACGGTCCAGCTTCTAGAGTGCAGGACGCCCGTCAGCTAAGAGCCGTGTTTGAGACCATGCTGTATGTTTTCGTTCAAGGGGGGTTTTTGCCCTACATAGGGTCATACTTGCCGTGAGATTCCTTGGGGTCACAAGTGAAATGTTTTAACCGATTGATTGCTTATAATTGTACTTGATGTTGCAATGCAAAGAACCGTCAAGATTCGAAATGAATGACAAGTCCGCCATTCATCCTGGGGGCACCAGAAAACAGCTTGCCTGCTTCGTATGGTTCCACAGCATCCGGGGTTTCTTGGTCGTAAGGCGTCTCGTCTCGGTCTGCATGTGATCGAGTTAGCTCTTCAATCACTAAGATTGTTCCAATTCTATAAACTTTTGGAAGTCTGCTGGATTAGATCTCTTGCCGAAGTATATCAGCTAACTAAGAAACAGGTTATATTGATAATGATGGGATTTTCAATGGAGAGAATTACCTCGAAGTCAATGCCTAGCCGTGTCTGTAGTTGTGATATGTCTTCGTGCTCCAGAAGGATGCTGCGGCTTGAGTAAGGAAGACACCCTGAAGTTGTGACAAGTACATCAAAGATGGGAGTTCTTATTTTTGGAACTGTAGGTGACCAAAAAATAGTGAAAATATCTAGACTTACGTAGTGATATCGACGTCTCGAATTATCGAACGAAGAACGCACTGCGGAAACCATAATATTCACAAGTCGGAGTGTTGGTAAAACAGGACACCGCAGATTGAGCCGAGGGTACACCTGTCTGATAATAGCATACCTAGATATGCACTTAACGCGACTTTGTCAGTGCTTGGGCGACCCCGCGCTGGGAGCCTGACGGACTATCTGAGCCTTATCGGTTGGCCAGGAAATGACATCAGCAGCTCCAAGTAAACATCAGATTTGTGCACTGCAAGTTTCACGCCACTTGAGTATACACAGTCAATGAACAAACAACGGAGGAGCATATTCGCAGCAGTCTCAGATCTAAACTGAACAGTACCGTGATCGAACCCACAAGTCTACTGTACTTTGGCCCATGAGGTTCGTTTAGCGTGTCCCGCTGTTAACCGAACCATATGAGGCGGGCTGACCGATGCAACAAATAGAAAGCCAGGTGCCGAAATCAAGTTCCAGTGCCATAACACGCTCACTTCGCCCTAGAAACCTAGATTCGTCGAGCTGGCGGAAGAAAAGAGCCACCACAAGGGGTTTAGGGAGAATTTGAAGGAGGGGCTGAAGGACACGTTCAAGGAGGGGTTGAGAGAGCTCCTACATCGGTCGCCGAGTCCAGAGCCCAACATGGTCAAAGAACAAGCGCCCCCGAAGTTGCCGTTGCGCCCGTCGAGTAATCACGGTAATGCCAGTACATCTTCGAGCGAATCCGGCCAAGAAAGCATCAAACCTCGACCACTGGGGAGAACCGATGGATTTGGAGGGGTCAAACCCAGCTCGAGTCCAACCACAGCAACACAACGGCCTGTAAAGGCGGGTACCATGTCCATGGATGATAAATATGCGCATTTGTTCGTCCAACCCAAGAACCGTCCCGAGCACCACCGACCGCATCGGATTAGTGGCCCGTTGCAGCCCGTTGTTAAGGACAGGAAGCCGCCGCCTCAGCCAATGTTCGCCGCTCTCCCCGGCCCTGAGGGATCCGCTAGCAACCCTATCTCTGTTACGGAAGGTCTAGTTTCCATCTATAGCCAACCGGGTATCTACTCCGAGTACGTCGACCCGAAGAAAGCTGCTGCCGACTTGAAAGCTCTAATTGAGGGTTCGGTCGAAGACGAGGAGGACAAACTGTCCGATGACGGAGTGGACCGATCAAAAATCCCAGGCCTCAAAGTCAGCCTGCTACGACATCAGATTGAAGGTGTTGAATGGATGAAAGGGCGCGAGCTTGGACCCGTCAAGAAAGGCAAGGTGCCTAAAGGCGGTATTCTCGCAGATGATATGGGTTTAGGCAAGACTTTGCAGTCCATTTCTCTGATCCTTACCAACCCCAAGCCCGACGATTCTTCCAAATTTGTTGGAGTCGACAAAACGACATTGGTTGTTGCACCACTTGCCTTGATCCGTCAATGGGAAGCGGAGCTTAAGGAGAAGGTCAGCAATACCCACAGGCTGAAAGTCCTCGTTCATCACGGCCCCCAGCGGACTAAGCGCTTCGAGGAGCTGCGCCTCTACGATGTTGTCATCACTACATATCAGATTCTGGTGTCTGAGCACGGCCATTCCCAAGGAAACTTGAAGACAGGCTGCTTCGGTCTTCACTGGTACCGTGTCATTCTCGATGAAGCTCACACAATCAAGAATCGCAACGCCAAGTCCACCAAGGCGTGTTACGACCTGCGAAGCGTATATCGTTGGTGTCTCAGCGGAACACCCATGCAAAACAACCTTGACGAGCTGCAAAGCCTCATCAAGTTCCTGCGCATCAGGCCCTATGACGATCTACGGGAGTGGAAAGAGCACATCGAGCTTCCGATGAAGAACGGGAAAGGCGAAGTTGCTATTCGGCGTCTTCACAGTATCCTCCGTTGCTTCATGAAACGCCGGACGAAAGATATTCTCAAAGAGCCGGGTGCTTTAGATGCAGGCAGCAGCAAGGAGGCGAAAGAAGGCGAGAAAAGCGCCACATCCGATTTTAAGATCACTGAGCGCAAAGTGGTAACAGTGGAGACCGTGTTCTCTCCTGCCGAGCGTCGTTTCTACGATCGCCTTGAGGCGCGTACAGACAAGAGCCTTGAGAGCATGATGAAATCCAAGGGGAAGGTCAACTACGCCAACGCATTGGTTCTTTTGCTGCGTTTACGTCAAGTCTGCAACCATCCCAAGTTGGTGGAGGGTAAGCTCGAGAAAGACAAAGACGCTCTTTCTACGGATGCCAAGCCGAAAAAGGATGATGGCGATGTCGATGATTTAGCAGACCTGCTTGGTGGCTTAGGCGTCGAAGCCAAACACTGTGACATCTGTGGTTGGGAGTTGAGTTCTGACAATCGTGCACCCGGTAAGGATATGTGCAAGACTTGTCATGAAGACTTGGAGTACTTCAACAACCACGAAGATGCTGAAGGCGATGCTCCGATCAAGAAGAAGACAAAGACAAAGAGCAAGGTGAAGAAAGTGGTAAAAGAGAAGGTCAAGATTGAGGCCAAGAGGCCACCGCGGAAGCCTAGGAACCGACGTGCTGTCATCGACAGCGACGATGAGGAGGCTGATGCCAGCTGGATCTCGGGGGCCGAGGAGGGCCCCTTGAGACTTGGTAAAGCGGGTGGGACCGATGATGAGAACGCGGAAGGTGGAGGAGACTCTATTCACTCGGATGACTCGGAGAGCGAGGGCGATGTTGATGCTGATGGCAGCCAACTGGACAGCTTCGTTTCTCACTCCGAATCGGTCAAATTGGGGAAGGTCCAGCGAGCTTCGGAAAATTCAGAATCCGAGGACGAATTTGAGTCCCTTTCCGTCATTGAGTCGAAAGTAATCGCCTCCAAGAAAGGAAAAGCCTCCGACGAGTTCTCAGAAGAGGAATACACCGACTCTGAAAGTGACGACGGTGTCTCCGTCACTGATTCCGACTCGTGCGACTCCGAGGATGGCCCATCCTTCTTCAGCTCATCCCGGCGCAATCGCAACAAAGAAAAGACACCTATGGTCCTCGCCTCGGCCAAGATCCGCCAGCTGCTCCTACTGCTGCATAAGGAGGTGGCTGACCATAAGTTCATCGTGTTCAGCCAATTCACCTCGATGCTCGACATCGTGGAGCGCTTCTTCCGCAAGGACGGGATCCGGTACGTGCGCTACGACGGTAGCATGAAGAATGATGCGCGCGAGGCGGCGCTGGACAGCTTGCGGAACGACCCTCAAACCCGCGTGCTGCTGTGCTCGCTGCGGTGCGGCGCTTTGGGGCTCAACCTCACAGCTGCCAGCCGCGTCATCATCCTCGAACCCTTCTGGAACCCGTTTGTGGAGGAACAGGCTATTGACCGCGTTCACCGCCTCACACAGAAGGTTGACGTCGTCGTCTATAAACTCACGGTCCAGGCCACGGTCGAGGAGCGCATCCTCGAGCTCCAGGACAAGAAGCGTTTGCTGGCTGAACAGGCCATTGAGGGAGGCATGCGCAAGGAGTCGCTCAAGTTGGGTGTCAAGGAGATGATGGAGCTGTTCCGTCCTGGCGCCAGGCACGGTGGGGGTGGTGGAGACGAGTATAGTGATACTGGTACAGTAGCGAGGCAGGATGTCTCTGTGATGATGTCGAACAATAAGCCGCGTCGGCAGGATCACGCTGTCTATGGACGGAGATGGTAGAGGTTAATGAGAAAAGGAGGTTTGTGTTGGACTAGGAGAGGAGGACATGATATGACGCTCTGTATACGCCCGGTGTGGGATAGGGTTGATGAATGATGCTGAGCTACGTAGGGTACGACGGTTCTTGTGTTATGAGGTGATCAGGGGACCGCACATACCCCAAGAAGAGAGGCACGTCTATATTGTGCCGTCTTAGAGTCCTTTGCAGAATTACAGCAATTTCATATTTTCTCGGGAATCGAACTATGGTTTTCTATTGGTCTTTGCCTGCTGTGGATGCCCCTGTCAATGCGAGTCACCAAAAGCCATGTATCATCGAAGCGTATCTTAGTCTTTCTGCTATGTCTAACTTATAGCCGTTCTATACTAGCGCCAAGTATGATCTACCTCTCACCCACATCTATTCCATTCAATCCAGCCAGCCTACATGGCCGCATCAGCATAGGGATCAAATCCAACCTTCCTCGCCGCCTCCGCCCGCGCGGCCCACCGTTCCTGGCCGTGCAACCCGCTGCTTGAGGCCGACTCGTCGAGGTAAAACTTGAGCACATGGTCCGGGATGGCGAGATGCGTCATCTGCTCGAACTCCTGCAGGCTCGTGAGCCGGAGGAGCATCTCGAGGATGGAGAGTGATGTCTTGATCGCGGCGAAGGGGGAGCGTTCGACGAGAGAGGGGCTCAGTGGCGCGCTGAGGTGCTGGGATTGGGTCAAGTGGGGGTTGCTTATGATGACGGATGATGAGGTTTGCTCGGGGTGTTGAGGACGTTGGTTGTTGGGAGTGGGTGAACAACCCCTGGATGAAGGGCGAGAGGAGGGGAGGGAGCTTGGGTGGGTGGAGGCTAGGCTCATGCGTTGGAGTTGGGTTACTAGGTTGTTGTCAACCGATGAACGGAAGCTAGGTCGTGGCTTTGGGGGCCTGGTGGAAGATGGGTGATCTTCCTTTTCGGAAGTAGGGTCATCCTCGTCTTCCGATGACTCAGTGTCATCCTCTATATCGAATACCTCTAGAGCCATCCATTCAGGATCCAAATTTGGGGGTATTGTCCACTGTTTGCTTGGCTGGGCCAAGGTTGGAGCTCTTTGCGCCACCTCCCGGGCTTGGCTCTCCGTTTGCTGTGTTTGCTGTGTTGTCTCCGGTAATTGGCTCTCTTCTCGCAGCTGACGGTCGATGTCGTCTTGAGGGTCCGACTCTGATAAGGTAGCATCCGAAACAATGCTATGCCCATCCACATCCTCCACTAAACCAATCTCATGTCGTTGGTTCGCCCGTTCTGCTGTATCTCCGTAGATACTAGTTGGCGGGACACTTTGGACGTCTCGTTTAAGCAGGAGCACCGGGTTGCTTGAAGCGCCATCTTCGTTATTGATGTTCAAGATCCTCCCGACGTCTGCATAAAACATTTTCGATATTTGCCCCACTGGTAGCTGTTCTCGGATGCCTGCCAGTGGCACACTATCGTAAGATCCAATTTCTACGTTGCCATCTTCAAGCGTGTGGACGCGCCCGTCGTCAAGGTCCTCCACGATCTGAAGTCGATAGGTATAGGCGACCTGAGAGTTTTGATGCTCGAGTCTTTGATTTGATGGATAGTCGATGTCTGGCGGGACACGGTACAACCTCACGCGGGCTTTGTGTATTACCTCCTGCCAGGTTGGTTTCCGTTGACCATCCTCGATACCGTAGGGTCCTGCATCCTGAGAAGCGTGCCCGCGGAAGAGCATGTACAGGGACAGTGTAAAATCAGGACCAATTTGCATGGGTTGGGTGGGGTTGAGGATGTACTGGCTATCCCCAACGTTGACAAGCATGCTTGCCTGAAGCAGCCGCGACGGGGAGAACGAGGATGCCTGCGTTTGCACGCTCCCGACCGCGGAAACCCAAAGGTTGATCAGGGGGATAGCATCGTCGATATTGACTATTAGCTCCTTGATGTCTGCCACTATATCCTGTAGTTCAGCATGGCGTCGGGCAGAACGGCTCTCATTTTCGTGTCGGGAAGGCTCTAGGACGGTGGCGGCTTCAAGCCGCTTTGCAAGAGCGTCGATGTCTTCTCGTAGCTCCCGGGAGATTCGTACAACCGCTTCAAGCGCCGAGTCGCCTCGGGTGTAGCGGAACTCGATATTCTCCAGAATGGGGGTGACGAACTCGATTTTTCGGGCCAAGCGCTTTTGGAGAGCAATCAACTCTATCCGCAGGGGATCATCATCGACTGTCTTTAGCAGTTTTGAGCCTTTTTGGATAACATAAGAAGATGTAAGAGCGATGCATGACCTGATGGCATAACTTGTGGCTTGATGAGACAGTTTGGTAAGGAATGCATCCATAGTAGCGACTATTGGAAGTGATCATGTCTGACAGAATGCTCATGTATAGTATGCTGGGGTAGTCACTGTTGAGAATATGCAAATAAATGGGGCATAGACACGGCCGTTGCACTCGACAACCGTGGAATGACCATTACAGTCATGTAAAGCTGATCGGGTCGATCCCTCAAGATTGATTGCTCTCGTCTTGCCTTGACTGGTTTTTAGTTTGATCCTCGCTGGAAGAATGTCAGTGGGATCCAAGACTCGAAATATTTCATGCGACTCCATGGCCATATGTCGTTTTTAGGTACAGGGTCCGACCTACCTTGCGTAGTGTGGTATCAAGTCTGCAAACAACAAGCATTGAACGTGTCACTGTGCAAATACAGTGCGGCAGCTGTCTTGTTCACTAAGTGAAAAAACTGCTCCTTTCGTGATGCTGCAATAAACAATACGGAACGGTTTAAATTAGAGGAGAAGTTGACACAGACTGCTCCAAGGCGGCTCCGATGTCATTGGAGGGGCAGAGTAGCTTTGGGACAACCCCGCTACCCGATAACTTCAGCTGGCTTTGGTTGTGAGATGTACACCAAAGATTTCGAGCGGTACTCTTAGGCTTGAATGAAGGGCCACCCGACTCATAAGTTCTGCCCAATTCCTGAGTGAAATTCTCGTTTGCCAATTGTACTGACTTTTTTTTGGGGCATTTTCTTAGACATCGTCATTCACTCAGGGATTGCTGCCCGAATCTAAGGTCGTACCTGTGCTCGTTTTTTAGTTTCCTTCTTTGCCCCGCTTAGCCCCGCCACCGCTGACCGTCGCGCACCTGCGAAACCTTCTGCTTGCGAACTACTTTTTCGAACAACTTCTCTCTGCCGACGACATTTCGCGCCTCGCTATTCAAGACAGACAACTTCAGAGACACAAGCAATGGCCGACTTAAACTCCTGGGAAGATGACCCTGCTGCTGCGCAGGAAGACAACCTGTCTCGGCAGGCGCAGCAGATGAACCTTAACAACCAAGCTCAACAGCAACATCAGCAACATCAGGGCGGATTCAGGCCAGCTGTTTCATCCTTCCAGCCTGGAGCCCAATCCTTCCAACCCGGTGGTCAAGGCTTTGGAGCTTATGGTGCTAGCCAGTACAACCAGCAATACTATGGCGGCCAAGGCTACTACCCCCAGTATGGAGGTCAGCAGCCAGTGCTGGACCAGTATGGCCAACCCCAGGGCGGCTATGGAGCTGTATATGGACAGCAGCCTGGCGGCTATAACCAAGGATATGGTATTCGTCACCAGAAGCGTCCATTTCTCATAAGAAACTGACATACTAAAGGTCAACAATACCCCCAATACCAGCAGCAACAGCCAGGGTCTCAGAGTCAGAAGCCAAAGCAGCAAGCTCAACCTGTTCCCACGATTGCAAAGCGACCAACCGATGCCCCTTCTGCGCCGGCCGCCGATCTAAACAAGCCAGTTACGACGAAGGAGGGGGGCGCAAAGGTCTTGAGTATTGGCGGAGACCCACCCAAACCTAAGGCCGCAAAGGTCCTGTCGATCGGCGTTCCAGCGCCACCCAAGGATGATCCTAAGAAGGAAACTCCTGCTGCCGCTGCAGATGCCGGCGCCAAAGCGACGGCTGCCAAGGCTATCGAAAAGACGGGTGAGACCACCAAGGCCAGTAGCGGCAAAACGTCCCCGACTCCGTCCTCTGGTCGTTCAAGTCCATCTCGCGCCATCAAGGCCGCCGCTGAGAAGCGAGCTGCCGACGCCGTCGCGGCGGAGCAAGCTGCTGATGTTGATGACGAAACCCTGAACGAAATCTACGGCAAGGAGCACATAAACATCATCTTTATCGGCCACGTCGATGCCGGCAAGTCTACACTCGGTGGTTCCATCTTGTACGCCACCGGCATGGTCGACCAACGTACAATGGACAAATACAAGCGAGAAGCCAAAGAAATGGGTCGCGAAACTTGGTATTTGTCCTGGGCTTTAGATCTCACTAATGAGGAGCGCAGCAAGGGCAAGACCGTCGAGGTTGGTCGTGGTTACTTTGAGACCGAGAAGCGACGTTACAGTATCTTGGATGCGCCAGGCCACAAGACCTACGTGCCACACATGATCGGAGGCGCCTCCCAAGCAGATGTGGGCATCCTCGTCATTTCAGCCCGAAAAGGTGAATACGAGACCGGTTTCGAAAAGGGTGGGCAGACCCGAGAACATGCTATGCTGGCCAAGACGCAAGGTGTCAATAAGCTCGTGGTTGTCATCAACAAGATGGATGATTCGACTGTCGAGTGGAGCCAAGAAAGATACAAGGAGTGCAGCACCAAGCTCGCTCAATTCTTGAAGGGGACTGGCTACAACTTGAAAACCGATGTCTTCTTCATGCCTATTGCTGCACAACAAGCCATGGGAATCAAGGACCGCGTGCCCAAAGAAAAATGCCCGTGGTATGATGGGCCCTCGTTGCTTGAGTACCTCGACGGCATGAAGGCACTCGAACGCAAGATCAATGCTCCCTTCATGATGGCTGTCAGTGGTAAATACCGAGACATGGGTACCATGATCGAGGGCAAGATCGAGGCTGGTGTCGTCAAGAAGGGCATGTCATTGGTCATGATGCCAAACAAGGACAAAGTCGATGTCGCAGCTTTGTATGGAGAGACGGAAGAAGAAGTCCAAATTGCCCAATGTGGTGACCAGTGTCGAATGCGACTCCGAGGTATTGAAGAAGAAGACATTCTTCCTGGATTCGTCATTTGCTCTCCCAAGCGACTGGTCCACAACGTCTCGCAGTTCGAAGCACAAATCAGGATCCTGGAGCTGAAGAGTATTCTGAGTGCCGGGTTCAACTGTGTCATGCACGTGCATTCTGCGGTCGAAGAGGTTACCTTTGCTGCTTTGCTACACAAATTGCAGAAGGGCACCGGTAGGAAGAGCAAGTTGCCTCCTACCCACGCGAAGAAGGGCGACAGCATCATTGCACGGATGCAAGTCGCCGGAGGTGCCAACGCAATCTGCATGGAGAAATTCGAAGACTACCCGCAAATGGGCCGCTTTACCCTGAGAGATCAGGTGAGTCCCTACCAGACACACTCAAACTGCTGTGATACTGACTATACACATCTAGGGACAAACCATTGCCATCGGAAAGATTACACGGCTCATCGTGGACGATGAATGAGCAAAAGAATTGCGGGGAAGAGCGCGTGCGCCCGGCTGAGGAATGATTTTGATGCCCTCATGAATCAAATGAAGGGATGTTAGGAATTGCAGAAGGTCGATTCACTGAGTGCTCTCATCGAGGAGGAAGGATTACAGGTTGATTGGCATGGCGCAGGCCCAGCCATGGGAAAGCGGTCCAGGGTGACTAGGTGACTATCCGCCTTGTCCTAGAGATAGATCAGCTGAATCCCCACTTCAGGGCACAGCGCAGATAAAGTAGGACTTAAGGTCTTTCAGGCTCAACTCAGTCGTTTTCTCCCTGCAATGTAGAGCTCACTGCGACTTCTTCCGATTTCCCCAGGTGACCCCGTGAAATATCGGAATTTTTAGGAGGACATGTAACAAATCATGCGGGGTATTGGGGAAGCCTGCTTTCCCTATTCGGATGTGTGCATGCTCAAGACTACTCTTGTCTACAGGGAAAAGTCCAGCTAGCCAGTCGTCGGTAGGTATTTGCCAATTATCAAAACATCGGCGCGGATCGGAAACCCCTTGTTAGGAAGGATCGACGTCGGATTCGAGGGCCGGGAGGCTTCGGGTCTCCAGGTCGCTTCCGGTCTAGCGGATGCTATAGGAGTTTCGGAGCCAGATCTGGAGGCCGCCATTGTTAATTGTTAGAACGTGAAGTCTAGGCCAGGCTTGGATACATGAATTCGAATTTGGCCAGTTCGACTGTAAACTGCGAAACCGTCCATGGTGTGATCGCTACACAGTGACTTGCACAGTGTGTCGCTAGGTGACTTTCGAGGTAAGGTACTGGAGGTGTAGTTACGTAAATGTAGGGTAACACTCAATCAGTGACACGAACTCTTTTAGAGGCTCGGCCGCCAAGCACCTGGAAAGCTGACATCGTGACAAACCTCCTCTTCAGCTGGTATCTGCGTAATGGATGATGACGGGGCCACAACATGTATTCATTCAGATGTAAGTGCATGTGATCAGACGCATTTTCAATTACTGATTGACGATCTTGGGCGGCAAAGGACGACGAAAAATCTTAACTACATGAATCACATCTTCGTCAATCAATAAGAATTGATACGAGGAATATGGTTATCTCAGTCAATTACACCGAAGAAACTTTAGACAAAATTTGCTTTGTTCCGGAGCTGAGGCTTATCACGATGGGAAATCCAAGATTCTCCGCGAATGCGGAGATATTCGGAACCTAGCCCAATGGCGGCACGAAGTCGGTTCCCAATGCTGGGGCTAGGGAGCCCAAACGTGGAATCTCAGTCGGATCCTGTGCTCTGCTTTGCGCAGGTAGTACAAGCCTCAACGCAGTCAAAAAATTGTAGTCTAACATAGGACCTCAGCTGGGTTTACATAAGGACAGGAGGGCATGTCAGTCCAGGGATGTCCTCATAGGTGCTGAGAGTATCCCAAAGGTCCTTAACGATGCATTCCCTGACCAAGTAATCCTTTCATGCTATAATTTTTACTGGGGCTGCCTTTCCAGGCTGCGTCATGCGGGGACACTCTGAAATTTTGACATGAGTTTCGCATACATCACAACCAGAGTTGCAGTTCTGGGGCAAGGTAGTCCACTCAAGGCGGGCCCCATGGCAATCGTCGGGTCCAATCGTCACAGCCATTATTGTGATCATGGCCCCTCATTCGAGTTGACATTGACTTGGCAAGCCACGAAAAATGCCCCTCCTTCTCTTCCTGATCTTGTAAGTCGGGCGGCCGATCGTCACTCTCGCACGGTGTTGCGTGTAAGTGACTGAACGCGAAATTGAGTTCAACGAGATGCATGAAGAATACTACGCGTATAAACCCGAGAGATATTCTAAATAAGTGAAGATCTTTATCATTACGAAAATGACCCGAGCAGGTATTCGGTAATTGATGTGGTTTCGGCAGGACGTTCATCTGGAAATGCCTCGAGAAGAACAAAACGGTAAAACTTGGGAAAACTGGAGTGGTCAGAACCCATGTTCCTGGTCACATGGATAATCAAGGACCGGCATCCACCACCCACCACGTTCACGCTTGCCAATCTCGATTACCGATTTCATATTCCACCCGGCAAGGGCAACTTCTGCCAAAACACTCGGGTCTAGCTCTCGGTATCATGTCATTGACAAGGCATATACTCCAAGGCAGATACTTCGCGCCGCCCAGTTCCCGGCAATGCAGGGGTTAGCAGGCGTGGTCTTCCGGTTTGAATTCGTGCCCCAGTGCCCAATCATGGCGAGAAAGCACTGTCGGCCAGTGGAATTCGTCCATCAAGCTTCACGGGCTCCACAGCCGTTCCCCTTCTTATATCCTCGGTCTCGGCCCATGACTAGAAGCCCCATGAACGACCTGGGTAGTATCATTATCGTTGCTTTATCTCGCCCGTGTATCACCGACAGGTGGATATCTTCCACCATTCGAAGCCACCGCCTTCAACATCCTTATAAGACCTACGAAACCTTAAGAACGATGAAGGACCCCGTCCCAAGAACTGCCTCTCCCTATATCGATCCATCAGTCAAAGGGCCCAAATCACAACAACTCTCAGCCTCCCTCGCCCATTCTCTCCTCCAAGACCGCAAGAGTAAGCAACAAGCAAGCCAAGCTCGAATCCCTCGGCATCAGAAGCAACAGAAGACTAATGATTACCCGTGTTAGTGATTGCTAACAACAAAGTCAACAAGACGGCCCTGCACCCTGGCGGCATTGAGCCTCAGCAGGAGCCCGAACACACAGAACTCGGTATGACCACTCCGCGAACCGACACGGGTTTCTTCGAGTCGAGGTGGTTGAGACCACCACTAACATACATATACAGAGATCGAGCTTCACGACAAGGCACACATTGACTATGACAGAGTCGCCATCGTGAGTAACTCTGTTATACACTACATTGCAAGAAACGAGGCTGAACAACATCCAAGGTCCCCAATCCGTCCGTCGCTGCCATGTACGAAGATGCTCTTGTAAGTTGAACACCGAATGCGGCAAGCGAACCTCTTTCCGTACCATACTGACGTCTTGTAAAGGTATACGAAGTTGGCTCAGCCATTTCAGCCAGCGGTGCGTTGACAGCATACTCGGGAGCCAAGACGGGTCGATCACCGTCGGACAAGAGAATTGTCAAGGAGCCATCCTCAGAGAACGACATCTGGTAAGATATTCGTTTGTGAGCCCGTATACCGAATGTGTTGCTGACCCAGATCGCAGGTGGGGACCCGTCAATAAGCCCATGACCCCGGAGGTAATAATTCTTGCTTGCAACCATTGCGCTCAATGTTGTTTCCTTGTCTGTTCCCTTTGCTTCAGTGGTGCATCGGCCGAGGCCCAATATCTCGATCACACGAGTCACGAGGAAGCTTAGGCTTTGCATCCATCACGAACCCCTCATTCACGAAGTCAATCCTCCCAATTCTCGATTTGCTTCGGGCACTAGAGACAAAATATCTCACTGCGTGACTCGACGCCTTGACTCCCCAACTCTATCCATTTGACGCATACATTCAATGGTGGTCCTGGGCCCATTTCTCGCTCTGCGCTGGAATTGGTTGTCGCAGGTGCTCACATGTTTCACCCGAGAACCCCTGCACCCTTAGCGTCATTATGTGATCGCTCATCCCAATCCGGCAAATGCACCCCGCCTTATAAGATGGTTTTGACTCCATAACCGAGCTAGCCCACAGCCCCACTATGCTCCATGGTTACATCTCATTAACGACATGTGAGCGACAAGCGGCTAACATGAGGCATGGTATAGGTCTGGAAAATCAACCGAGAGCGTGCAATTGACTACTTGAACACCCGGACGAGAATTTATGTTATCGATGGCTACGCTGGATGGGACCCCAAGTATCGCATCAAGGTACGAGTTATCTGCGCCCGAGCCTACCATGCGCTCTTCATGCGCAACATGCTCATTCGCCCTGCTCGCGAAGAGCTCGAGCACTTTCACCCGGATTACACAATCTACAACGCCGGCTCTTTCCCTGCCAACAGATATACTGAGGGCATGACCTCTGGCACTTCGGTTGCCATCAACTTCGCTGACAAGGAGATGGTCATCCTCGGTACCGAGTACGCCGGTGAGATGAAGAAGGGTGTGTTTACCGTTCTGTTCTACGAGATGCCTATTAAGCATCACGTCTTGACACTGCACTCTTCTGCAAATGAGGGTAAGAACGGCGATGTCACTCTTTTCTTTGGTCTCTCCGGAACTGGCAAGACTACTTTATCTGCCGACCCTAACCGATCCTTGATTGGCGACGATGAGCACTGCTGGAGTGATCGCGGCGTCTTCAATATCGAGGGTGGCTGCTACGCCAAGTGCATTGGTCTGTCGGCTGAGAAGGAGCCGGATATCCACGGTGCTATCCGCTTCGGCTCTATCCTAGAGAACGTCGTGTTTAACGGAGAAACACGTGAAGTTGATTATGACGATGCGACGCTCACCGAGAACACTCGATGGTAAGACTACAAAGACCTGCCTTGCTCGATCTCCAAAACATGGCGCTAACAGTGTCCTTCAGCGCATACCCCATCGAGTACATCAGTAATGCGAAGATCCCTTGCATGTCTGAAAGCCACCCGACCAACATCATTCTGTTGACGTGTGATGCTCGCGGCGTGCTGCCACCCATTTCGAAATTGAGCAGTGCTCAGACCATGTTCCACTTCATCTCTGGCTACACTTCCAAGATGGCGGGCACTGAGGACGGTGTGACGGAGCCACAAGCTACTTTCTCGTCGTGCTTCGCTCAACCCTTCTTGGCCCTCCACCCCATGCGCTACGCCAAGATGTTGGCAGAGAAGATTGAGCAACACTCGGCCAATGCATGGCTGCTCAACACCGGTTGGGTCGGTGCTGGTTACACCCACGGTGGCAAGCGTTGCCCGCTTAAATATACACGTGCCATCCTCGATGCTATCCACTCGGGAGAGCTCGCCAAGGTCCAGTACGAGAACTACGAGGTGTTCAACTTGCAGGTCCCCACGACCTGTCCTGGCGTCCCGTCTGAGCTGCTGAACCCTGCTACGGCCTGGACTGCTGGGGCTGACAGTTTCAACGAAGAGGTCAAGAAGCTCGGCGCTCTGTTCACTGAGAACTTCAAGCGATACGACTCGGAAGCTACCGATGAGGTAAAGGCAGCGGGGCCTGTTGTTTAGATTAACAACACTGCACAGTGTCGTGTGGATTTGCGTGTTTTATTTTCCAGTTTCTGCGAAGGCAAACATTATCAGATGTAGATGATATTCGTTCTGGATGGTGCATATGATTACGGTTAGTATGACTTTGAACAGTTTACTTTGGATGAGGGTTAAGCAGAAACAAGGGCTTGGACGTAGTTCGCTCTAGTGCAGAGCGTGCTTGGCATCAGTATTTGACACTTCGGTAGTGGCAGTTGAACAAAAGAGGACCTAGAATGATATGTCTATAACGTGGGAGTTCAGATTTTCGAAATCCTTAACGGATAAAGTCCGTTTCTTATGCACACGTGACATGCTGGGAGAATAGTTCCTCAGGGTGGACTTGAAACCGTGGCACATTTGATTTATATTTCGCTGGGCACAAAACGCACTGCGATAACAATCAAGTAGTCGCCAGGTGAGGAAGATGTAACTGAGGTCTCCAGATTTCTCATTGGATGAAGTTAGTACTTCCAGAGTTCTAATGTATGCCTGAAAGATCAACGGTTTTCGTGGCAGAACTTCGGGTAATACTATACTGACTCCCCACTCTCTGCGGATTAGACCCCTGTCCCCCTCCCAATTGACGTGAGAAATGCATCGTGATTGGATTCTACTCAACCAAGACGCGCATACCTACCTCGACAAGGCTGATGTGGGTGGGACGATAGGCCTTGAAACGACTTTCTTTCAACTCCGAATGCCTGACTTAAGATGACCGGCGTTCGAGTTGGCCATGGATTCAGATTGGGACGAGGTAAGACTTGCCTCTACGAAAGACGCGACTGCGGTGGCAACTTCAATCATTCACCCCACCAATATTCCTACCAGGCGCATCCAACGCATCGCTCTCTGACTTGCTGTTGAAATAGACTTGATGCTCACTTTGTTAGGTCTGCCGCGTACCTCTCCCTCCTCCAGGCATTCGAGGCCATCCGACACCTGTATCGACCTTGTCCTTTGATACCAGCCAGGAGCTCTTGTGGGCTGGCAACGAGTATGGCCGGGTCTCTTCATTCTATGGCGCTGAGCTGCAGCAATACACCAGCTTCAAGGCGCATAAACAAGGAGATGGAAAGGTACACCAGCTTCTCTTCAACGACAAGGGTGTCATTGCCCTCGGGTCACGCAGTGTACATATGGCCATGAGAAGAGGCCCCCCTCTCTGGCATATAAAACATGAGGACATGAAAGAGTTACGATGTATGGCTTTTACTTCACGAGGAACGGCCGAGATCCTGGTGGCTGGCGAACAAGACAAGATGTTCGTTATCGACGTCAACAAGGGAGAAGTGGTCAAAATATTACCTACCGAACATCACTACAAGATCATGAGGAGGAGCCGCCATATTTGCGCGGCAACGACTGGGTCCGCTGTCCATATTCTAGACTCTGTCACCTTCAAAGTTAGCAAAGTCTGGACCGCCCACGCCGCAGCTATACACGACATGGACGCTCAGCACGACTTTATCGTAGCCTGCGGCGTTACTCCCCGTCAACAAGGATACAGCATGTTTAGTACTCTGGTCCACGTCTTCGACCTCAAGAACATGGTATCTATGAACCCAGTTCCATTCCCAGCTGGTGCTGCGTATGTGCGGATGCACCCTCGCATGTCTACAACGAGCATCGTGGTTAGCCAGAATGGTCAAATACATGTAGTGGACCTAATGAACCCGAATACTAGCAACGTCCGGCAAGCAAATAGCTTCACTTTCACGACCATAGATATAGCACCCTCTGGCGAAGCTGTGGCTTTGGCAGACGGCGAGTTCAACATACACCTGTGGGGTTCTGTGAGCAAAATTCACTTTGCCGAGTTGGCAAACCCGGTAGAGTTTGCTCAGTCGGGAGGCCCTATGCCGTCTCTAGACTGGAACGATAATACGTAAGTTCTCTGGCCATCAATGACATACTTGTGGATTCTGACTTGTACATAGGCCCTTGAGCTCAGTTGGCATGCCGTACTATAGAGAGGTACTGCTGTCAGCGTGGCCACGAGATTCCGTCTACGAGGTTGGCGCCCCCCCTACGAAAGAAGACACCCAATTCCTGGCGACGCTTCAGCGTAGGGACTGGGGCTTGTTCGGAAAGAACACGAGAGGGGTGCAGAGGAACCAAATAGAGGACACCCGAAGTCTCGACAAAGAGCAATCCTTACTCAAAGCGCCCAAGTTCCTGAGCGAGAAGGCGAGATCGATTGCGCATACACCGGCGGGTACGCCAGCGCCCGAAGAAGTCGTCCCTGAGATGTCGCAGGCCCTTGTCACCAAAGAACTTGAAAGCCACAAGGTTGACGTCCCTGAATCATACGGGAACATTGAGATCATGTTCAGTAAATACGGCATTGACGATTTTGACTTCGGGTAAGTCATCGGGATATTCTTTGGCATCACTGCATTGCTAACAGATGCAGGTTCTACAACCCGACACAGTATGCAGGCTTGCAAAACCACATTGTCAATTGTTATGCAAACGCTTTGCTGCAAGTAATGCATTTTACACCCCTAATTCGGAATATTGCCCTGCAGCATGCTGCGACGGATTGTTCCGATGAGCTGTGCTTGCTTTGCGAGCTTGGTTTCCTCTTCGATATGCTTCACAAAGCCGAGGGAGCCCCTTGTCATGCGTCAAATCTGCTGAAAATTGTCAGCTACCACCCCCAAGCTACTAACATGGGGTTACTAGAGGACATGCCTCATACTGCACCGCGGACTGCCATGCTTCAGAACATTTCCCGGTTCATATTAGATAAGATTGCCGTCGACTATAAGCGGATGGACTCGCGGTCGTCAGCAATGGAGGACCTTCTTGAGACTTCTGCGACTAGTTCCATTAAATGCAACAACTGTGCGAGCGAGACATCCAGAGCAGGCTCCAGCTTTGTACATGAGCTCATGTATACGACGAGCAAATCTAGTCACAGAAACTCCAAGGGGCCCAAGACCACATTCTCCCAAGTTCTGAAGAAGAGCGTTGAACGGGATATGAATAGCAAGGGCTGGTGCCAGACCTGCCACAAGTACCAGACTCTGGGTACCAAGAAGAATATCCAGAAGATCCCCGCGGTGTTAACGCTGCTCGCCGCGGTTCAAAACGATGATCATCGTAGAATATGGGCGACGCCTGGTTGGTTGCCGGAAGAAATTGGCGTGATTGTTAACAACGGCCAATTCTTCTGCTATGAAGGCGATGAGCTGAAATACCAACTGCAACGCGGATATTACGAGATTGCGGTATATTCCCTGACTGGTGTCGCTGTCAACATTGAAACCGGCCACTCTGCTTCTAAGGGAAGCCATCTTGTAGCCATGGCAAATGGTGAGTTTCAGCTTTCTGGTAGTAATCACGGCAGCCCGAAGCTAATTTATATCAACAGTCGCGCACTCAGCGCCTGAGGCTCCAGGAAGAAGTCAATGGTACCTGTTCAATGATTTCCATGTCAAGCCACTCGCGACTGAAGAGGCTTTGGCGTTCAACACATCGTGGAAAACGCCGTCGGTCATCATATACCAGCGAAAAGAGGCCAACAACGACGTGGATACGAGTTGGCAACAGAACATTGACACCACTCTGCTTTACAATGATTGGAGGCCTGCGTTGGCCGACAAGACATATCGTACCCTAAATGCAGAGACGGAGAAAGTAGGCCCCAACACCATCATCGCCATCGATACCGAATTCGTATCAATCTCAAAACCGGAAGTCGAGATAAGTTCCGACGGGGATCCGAGAACGATAAGGCCAACCGTGCATGCTCTTGCGAGGACCTCGGTCCTACGTGGTAGCGGAATAGATGAAGGGGTCCCTTTTATCGACGACTACGTGCATATCCGGGAGAACGTTGTCGACTACCTTACAGCTTTCTCAGGCATCACGCCAGAGGATCTTGATCCTAATCGGACAAGACATAACCTCGTGCCTCTCAAAGTGGCGTACAAGAAAATGTGGATTCTGCTGAACCTTGGCTGCAAGTTCCTCGGTCACGGCCTGAAACAGGACTTTCGTGTAATAAACATGCACGTTCCGCGCTCGCAGATCATCGACACCAGCGACAAGTTCTTCCTGCCCGAACGGCGCCGCAAGTTCAGCTTGCAGTTCTTGGCCTGGTGTCTATTGAAGGAGGACATCCAGCAGGATACGCACGACTCCATCGAGGATTCTAGGACCGCGCTTCGGCTCTACAGGAAATACGAGGAGTTTGTGGACGCGGGCATTCTCGAGGCCATGTTGCAGGACATCTGGATGAGGGGTACAGCCATGAACTTCAAGCCTCCTGCGAAGCAAGGCTCGACTTTGCCCCGGACCGACACGCCGCCCGTTGCCGATGGCGCCGGGCCTAGCACGCCTGTCAAGAGGGGCACACCTGCGATTAGTGGATTGGGTTCTAGTCCCGGCTGGACGCCGAGTAGGGGATCGAACTTGGGTTGGCGATAGGCGGCTTTGGTCGAAGGCAGTGTCCCCATAAAGGCAGATGGTTGAGTATATGGACAGGGGGCGGATATGGTCGATATCCTCGTGATCAATTTTTTTTGTCGTCCAATTGGAAACAGCGAATCATGTGTATAGACACAGCAATTACAGCGCATAGAGTGAGAGACTTAGGCTCTTGGAGTAGTCTGGTGGTACTATCTACGACAGACAAGTCATACCTACTTTTATACATTGGAGATGGTGTCAGTGAGTATGCCACGCCTTCAACTATAATAATAACTTGAGGCCGGCTCTGTACTAACGAATATGGACGCTCGTCTATTCCCGAATCTTCACTTCGGCCCCCATATTCAATGGCCCCATCCCTGAACCACGTTTATAATCGATTAGCTGCCAAGGAAAGGTCATCATGAAAACTGCGAATCTCTTCCCACAAGCCGTCTGGTTTCGCTAACATAACGCTTCCGCGGATCCCCAATGCCCTTGCCTGGGCAAGGGCTAGTCTGGCAAGCGGGAAGGCCATTGTGGTCAATCGTATATTAACTACACAACGGTAACTGGTTTCTTATACAGGATAAAGCCTCGACGGATGCTGATACTTTCGACTATGTGAGCTATTTCTCATTTCTGTTATATTCAGACCTACCAGCTGACACTTATGCACACAGACTGCTTCAATTTATGGTTTTATCAATCAGACGTACTCAACGGATAAGATGTCTGCTTCCGCAGGGAACCAGACCCAATCGCAGCGTATCGAGTACTACGTTAACACGCTGAACAAGGGGCGGACAAGAACACGCAGGACAAGGTACTGTTCATGGGTCGATGTGGGGAGGGGTATTATATTGCCGCGGAGTTGTGTTGTGGAACGCTTGCTTGGAATGTGAGTTTTTTGCCACCTCCTTGTCCATGTTGTGTTTTTCATGTCTTTCCAGTTTCAGCATATCAGTTCTAATACAATTTCCCAGCACTACTGGAGCGCACTGAACGGCAATGGCACTGTAGCTTGGTACGACACCTTTGTTACCCGCGCCGGCCCAGCCTAAGCCACCAAAGCAAACACCTCTGGGAATCCCAACTAGCAAACCAGAAGACGCCCGCGTCCCAGAGCTACTACGCCGGCTCCCTATCCCGCTGCCTCATCACCTCAAACCTAACCTTCAACGGCCTGGACCTCCCCACCTCACGCCCCTTTATTCCTACAGTGAAAGAGAAATCCCGCGAGCGGATAAGTATGCATATGTGTAATCCGCGGCGTAGCCGAAGGTACACACATGAGCTATTCCTATCCTAGAAGTTGTTGAAGGGCTTTGCGGAGCACGATGAGCTATCGCGGGGGCACCGAGACCGAAACGAGTGAGGCGCAATAAGAGGCCTAAGGAGGTGCTGAATGCGGGATTTTCTCGGGCACACAGAGACATAGTTGTAGTGTGTTGTGCATTGGAAATCTTGTCTAGTGGTGGTGGGCTGGAACCAAGGTATGGTGGCAACGCACGGACTACCTCTTGACATTTTTAGGGGGGATAAGGCGGCTTGGGTTAGTGTTACAAGCCATTCGGGGAGATTAAGAGTTCATTAGGGAGGTTGGGGCACAGGGTTTTGTGTTGGGCACTGGTTAAGCTGGTGAGTAATTCGACAATTGCGAGTGAGATCAGTGCGGCCATTTGTACGAATCCGCCGATTCCGAGTTTGAGTGAGGGTAGTTGTGTCATGCTACTGGGACGGGGGAGTGGGGAGTGTAGCAGCTACGGCTTAGATTGAGAGGCAAATAGGAGATGATATGGTTCGCTATTCCTTTAATATGTGTCTATAATAGCAACATTCAAGATTGCACAGACATCATGATATTTCGAGCTTGATATACTCAAGCTTCGAGCCCAAAGTAGAAGTGTGGGCAGATGCATTCATGTGTAGCGTGGAAAAAATCTCAACTAGCTAGCATGGTATGTTGACAATAGAATAACTATGTGAGACGAACGAGCAGGCGGTTTTCGCTGCAGTATTTCCGAGTTGCTTTTGGAAACGGATCTGGTAAGCAGTGGGACAGTAATGGAAGACGACAGGGGCAAGATTGGCCGCGCTTGTAAAATATGATAATAATTGCTGAAGTTATGGACTTAGGAAGTTCCGGAGTCATTTGTTAGGAACTAATTAGTCCATTACGCGCTTGAGGGGAGTGGGGACGGGGGAACAACTCGAATTACTGCTAATTGCTGCTTTGGGATATCAAATGATAGAGGGGAGAACGAATCTAACGACTGGCACGAGAAATTCTTTGGGTTCCGGGAAGCAATATTACTCGATGAAACTGTTGCGTATTTTGGCTACTACAAAGCACGACAAGACACATTAGACTGGCCCTTGACTCAACACTTACCTGAAGGGAATTGAACACATAGAGGGTAGATGAAATACTAGGATGATGTCTCTCTGAAAGAAACATAACTTTCTTCCATATCAAATATACAACTCGTTGAAGCCAACAGTATATCATGGAGGAAGTTTCTAGCAACCCCATGGTGTGAACGAGACACAGGGTATAGAGGAGGAAGGCATCGAGACGCCACCTGAATAGCGCCCTGAAAAGCAAACAGAAGCAGCATAAGTGAGACAGATTCTGCATTATCCACTACAAGATAAGAAATCAGATAGCATAAGTTAAGTGAGATGTGATCCGTAGGAAGATTTAGGGGTGGCCGGAAGAGTGGAATCGACTCGAGATCTCCAGGGTATGCTTTTTGTCTTAGGCCACCAAATTTTGAGGTTCTGAGCGAATCGCACTGTTTGAAATGGCATTCGGAGTTTTCCAAGACCAAACACCGAAAGTACTTGCGAGATTGTAATGGAATTTCCGATGAATTGTATTGTCTGGACTCCCTAGAATCTGCACTAGCAGCAGCTACTTATTTCGGCCATGTTGTGCCTATCCGGCAATTGGCATGCAAGTGGCTTTAAATGTTGAGGCTGACTTTTTACTTGTAGACAACGCACGAGCCATATAACGGTGCCTGCCTTGATTGGCTCCTCAGGAAGTCAAATCGCGGACAAGTGGAAGACAGAACTGCGATTTGGCTTTCGGGTTGAGTCTATCGTCAAAACTCAGTGAACTCCAAATCGACCCGGACAATCCAGAATTCATCCATCATCCCCACTCGACCATATCGACATCGAATCTAACGACCGCATCTACAGTCTTTTGTGCATCCTTGTACCACCTCGCGAATACACCACACTGAATAGCTTATCGACAAGCACGACGAGCACGGGCCGCCCGCGAAATCGACGGGACCTCAACTGCATGGTACAGATTCTTCGAAACCTCAGCGCGTCTCGACCTGTATCTCGTCACCCCGTCTATATCCTTCCTACCCATCAACACCGACGGACAGGAGGGGTCTCGGCGACCACAATAGCGATTCGAGCTCCCAGTCTCATGATCCTCATGACTACCCATCTGTGGAGCATGCGCCTAGACCTCGAATCAACACCTGCCTACCACCACCGCAACTGAAGCCAGCGGCCGTGGAAGCTCTCTACCCAAGACCTCCCGAAACGGCTTCCAACAACCACGCGAGAGGGCAACCCCGAGGGCCCACAACGCCTTCCTCTACCATACTACTTCTCTTGTCCTTCTCCCCGACCTCGCCATCACGACCCTCATGGTACCCCCGCCGCATTCGTCCCAGTCACAGCTAAGATCAGGAACATTCTCGCCTGTGCCAGCTCAGACGCTGCAGACGGGAGGGCTCAACCACTCTCCACACCCGTCCCAAGCTGGTGCCCTTAGTGCTGGTGCCAGCTCCAGTACCAACAGCCCGACCACGGGAAATAGTAGCATTATCAAAATCACCGTTGCCCAGGTCTTTCTGCTCTTGAGCACGCTCAAGGACGATAAGGATCGTGCCAAGTGGGAGTTGCAAGCAGATCAGCTGAAGAAGGTGCGGCAACCACGATCCACAACTCCCCCAGCGCTTGCTTCCTTCCTCGGCGTTTGGCACTGACATGTTGCAGCTCATCGATGAAAACGGCATGGAAGTCTTCTCAAAATACTTCGCCCGGTTGGTGACGCAAAATGCGCCTACGATCTTCCCCGCTCTCAACCGGCCGGTCAACGGCAACGGCAGCTACAGCTTTCTGGCCGCCGAGATAAAAAAGATATCTCACGATGTCGATCAAGCACCTAAGATAGCGGAGTCGATCGAGCAAGGGACCGAGGATATCTTTCGGGATTTCGACCTGTCAACCTTTATGGAGCATTTCAAATTAGATGCCCTCGAGAAGACGATACTTGCGTTGGCGTTTAAGTTCGGTTCCAGATCCGATCTCAAGACCAAAGGTAAGTTGTCATCGCTGTCGACGGCGGCTCGATTCCTCTGCTTGGCCACACCGTACTAACTTCCTGGCCGCTGACAGCTGACGCGATCCTGTCAACCAACTTCCCAACCTTCGTCAACATCATCTCTCGTCCTGACTACGGCGCTCACGATGACCTCACGCCCAGCTTCATTGCCACCATTGTCGACCGCTACATACAAGGCCACCCCCCCAATTTCAACGCCGTCGCTAAATCGGAGCTCAGTCACAAGGTCAAGTCACGCTGGTCCCAGCCTGACCAGGCGCCGCCAATGGATGTTCTTTCTGCCTTGGACCTGGTCCGGGTACTGGGCGAGAAGCCTCCCAATGCCCTTACCTTGTACATTCAAAGGACAGGCGCCGATTTTACGCGCGACGACGAAACGTGCCTAGCATACCTTCAGAATCGGCCGACGAATATCCAGCTCAGCGAGGAACAGGTCTCTTCAGCCTTGACGTACACAACTATCAGCTTGACGCCAAGACACAACCCCTCCGTACTGGTTGCTGCCTTGAAGCGCGTGTTGCCCGAAACTTTCAGTTGGCAGGATGTGGTGGGATTTTTCGACCAGCGAGATGTGCGTGTGTCTTCAGAACAGTTCTTGCGTCTGTATAATGCGCTGCTCCCGATTGCCCAGACCCAAGATGCGAATGCGCCCGCGTTCCAAATCGAGCGTCTCTGGGGAGGATCTCATTGGGAAAATCCGGAGACCCAGCTATCCTTCATCTGCGCATTTGCCTCATTGACACCTGACGAGCTCAACGCAAGCACCATTCCCGATCTTGAACCGACCTTTACCCTAGATGAATATGACCAGGCTCCCGGCGAAGCCATTCGGGCACGGGCTTCCGTGGCAGTAAAGCACCCACTCGTCTCGGTGGCCGCCCTCTCGGCCATTTTCCAAGTCGCATTGCACTCCCTGCATGCTTCACAGACCCTCGAGGCCAAGCGTCTATTCCAGGAAGTTGTCGTTCCCAATCTAGACATCTTCATCGTGTCGGCCTTTGGTGTGCCCAAGCCCTGGCCCCTCATGGCTGTGGAAACCTTGGTCTCCCTCTTTGACAATTTTCTCCACGAACGAACAGCGCACCACGATTTCGTGCTGGACAGTCTCTGGAGGAAGGACAAGGAATGGGTCGTGCAGAGACTGGTAGACGCTCATGCCATGAAGCCCATGGACTTGGAACTCATCTACAATCACATTATGAAACATCAGTGGCTCGATGACCTCGTGTATCTGCCAAGTGGCTTTGGTTATGATCTAGCAGCCTTTGCTCATGCACGGGGCGATTTGGACCTTGCCGACTGGGCGCGCAATGTAGCAGAGAGAGGGGGTGTCGAGATTTCTGGGTCTCTCACACGATTCCTCATGATCAAGGCCAATATGGAGTTGCAAAACCAAAGACAACCCGACGGCCAGCTTCAACCGACTAGTACAACTTTGCAAGTTAAGACAGTACATGCTATGCTGCAAATTATTGAAGATTTCATGGAAAATAAGCCTTTCCAGGATCTGATTCTGCTGCAGCGGCATTGCATTGTTGTCTACGCGCGGCTCATCAACTATGGTCAAGGTTATGATGATATCATCGACGCCAACAGCCGACAAGGGAATTCTCTCCCGCCGGCTGCAAATGTCCGGATGGAGGAGCATTACAAGACCATGTACGGCAATGAGATACAGGTCAAGGACATAGTGGACACTTTGAAGCGCTACAAGCATTCCCGGGATGGTCTCGATCAAGATGTTTTCGCGTCAATGATTCAAGGGCTCTTCGACGAATATACTCACTACGTGGACTATCCCCTCGAGGCTTTGGCGACAACTGCTGTGCTTTTTGGTGGCATAATATCTCACAACTTGATTACGGATCTTCCTCTCAAGATCGCTCTAGGTATGATTCTGGAAGCTGTCAGGGATCATCCTCCCGAGCAACCCATGTACAAGTTTGGTCTTCAGGCTTTGATGCAACTTTTCCCTCGGTTCAGAGAATGGCCAACATTCTGCAGGGAGCTCGTCCAGATCCCTGGGCTACAGAACACAGAGGCCTGGAAAAAGGCTGAGGAGGTGGTTCGAGACCAAGCTGACGATTTTCCACCGGTCGAGAACGGCAATCCTGGCGCTCCTCACGCGCAGAGTCAGACATTAGTCAATGGCAACATGGACGACTCGCACGGTATCGAGCCTCGCGCTGCTCCGTTCGCCTCGATCAATCTTGACCCCCCTCCTCCCAATGCTGTTTTCGAGGAACCCACTGTTGAGCATCAGGATACAATCCAGTTTAAACTCAACAACTTGACTGCCGCGAGACTCCAGTCCACCTTTGGGGAAATCAAGGCAATCTTCGATCAACGATACCATCAATGGTTTGCGAGCCATCTGGTCGAGGAGCGAGCAAAGATGCAACCCAACTACCATCAAGTCTACCTTGATTTTGTGAAACTCTTCCAAGACAAGGCACTGTTGGCCGAGGTACTGCGACAAACGTACATCAGTACGGCTCGCATGCTCAATGCTGAAAGCACCATGCAAAACTCCACGGAACGGACCCATCTCAAGCACCTTGGTGCCTGGCTTGGTCTTCTGACAATCGCCAGAGACCAACCCATCAAGCATCGGAACATTGCCTTCAAGCAGCTTCTCATCGAGGGGCATGATACCAAGCGGTTAATTGTTGTAATTCCGTTCGTCTGCAAGGTTCTCCTTCAAGGTGTTAGGTCTACCGTGTACCGGCCTCCCAACCCGTGGCTTATGGACATTGTTCGACTTCTTGTCGAGCTTTACAAGAGTGCTGACTTGAAGCTTAACTTGAAATTCGAGATTGAAGTGCTTTGCAAGGACTTGAATCTGGACCAGCAGACCATTGAACCGTCACAGGAGCTTCTGAATCGAGCACCAGTTGACGATGTTGGCGAGCTAGCCGCACCCGACACGCTGGAGCCATATGAGAATCTATCGCTTAACGGTATGGCCGGGGGCATTCCAACCGGCCTTCCACCTAATCCAATGCCTGTGTCCATCCCGGACTTTTCAGGTGCCCTTCAGATTCCCCCAACCAACGAGATGGTTGTCGGCAAGGATCAACTGCAACAAATCGTGCGCCAGGCCCTTACCCGGGCACTTTCGGATATCATTCAACCCGTAGTCGATAGGTCCGTCACGATTGCTGCGATATCAACCCAGCAGATGATCCATAAAGACTTTGCGACAGAGCCGGATGAGAACAAGATTCGCACGTGTGCAATTAACATGGTGAAGGCGACAGCCGGCAGCCTGGCCTTGGTGACTTCCAAAGAGCCTCTCCGAGCCAATTTCACCAACCACATGCGGAATCTCTCGAATGAGCTACCACAAGCTCTGCCAGAAGGCACTATCATCATGTGTGTCAACATGAACATCGATATTGCATGCAAATACATCGAGGACAAGGCCGCGGAAAGAGCCATTCCCGAGATAGACGAACTCATTGAACCAGAACTGGATAATCGCCGCCGCCACCGTGCACAGCGCCCAAATGAGCCTTATGTCGATCCATCCCTGACACGATGGGCTATGACTATACCCCATCCATACAAGCTTTCACCTAGCATGAGTGGTCTCAACGGAGAGCAAATGGCAATTTACGAGGATTTTGCCCGACAGCCTCGAGCTGTGCTGCCGACCAGTGCCCAGGCGCATGCCTCTTCTGCTTCTGATACCACAAGGAATATTGCAAACGAGGTTCTACAAGAAACGTACAGTGCAGTGCCGAATGTGCCTACGCCGGCCGAAACGCCTTCCCTTCCGCACTTGCCAACTCAGCTACCTTACCCTCATGTCCACCAAGGCATGACCAATGGTCGTCCAGCCGCCCATCCTACCCAGGTTGATGCTAGAGGTCTTGCCGACAGGGTCACTAAGTTCTTGGTCGAACTCCAACGTGCGGCCACAGAATCACACGAGGAACACTTCAGCGAGCTCCCGAGACCCCACCCAGTCTTGGACGCTGTGGATGCTCTCACCCAGCTCATCATCAGAACATCTCAGAGCTCCGAAGACTTTGCCTTCTTCGCTGCGGAGAAGATATGCCAACTCATGTTCAACCAGGTCGATCACACACTCTTTCTGGAGAGTCTTGTCCACGTCCTTGAACTTTTGTTAAAGATTGCTGCCGGCTCCGGCACGGCCCTCCACGAACGCGTGCAAGCCATTTTCTACCAACAACCACCCCAGGTCTTCCTCAATCTTCCGCTTGTTACTGCTCTTCTGAGAACAGATTTGTTGAACTTACAAGTCGTCGACATCGCCATGTCCAAGTCACTGGCTCATAAGGAGGAAAACTCACTCGAGTTTTTCGAGCGGCTTCTGGACCTGACCTTGTTCAATGATAGGCCTGTCGCACTCTTCGCCGATTTTGTCCGAAGCTTAGAAAATGCGTGGACTTGGATTTCTGAGGAGCCTGAACTAGAAGTCAGTCAGCGCTTGAAGGCCAAGATTCAAGGCTCGGGTCTTCCCCCGCCGCCAAATCAGGTATCCGACGCTTCTAGCCAGCGCCAGGACCAGTTTGACTATATTTTTGAGGAATGGATGCGTCTAGTCAGCAACTACCATGCCCCTGACAAAGCTCTTGTCGCGTTTGTTAAGCAACTGCGAAGCAACAATCTCATCGCCAACAAAGATGATTTCATGACCTTCATACGGGGTGCTCTCGATATGTCTATTGCTCATTATGAGCAGCTTATTCTTGCGGGCGGTATTGGTACCGATGCCTTTGCCTGTGTAGATGCCTTGGTCAAGTTGATTGCCTTGTTCGCCAAGGAAAACATCACGGAGCCCGGTGGAGCCGTCGCGATCCTCGAGGGTGCCCTGCTTGTTGCCATCATCGTACTCAATCACCACCACGTGACAAGAGGCGAACTTTTCAACCAGCGCGTGTTCTTGCGCTTCTTCTCGATGTTAATGCATCAGTCGGACTCCATCTTTGACCTATCCGCACAAGGCGCAATCGTCGGTCAAGAGGGCATTGAAGTGCATCAACGAGAGTTCCTTCTGAAACTCGCCGACACATTCCTGCAGCTTGCACCCACGCGCTTCCCGGGCTTTGCCTTTGGCTGGCTCGTTCTCATCCAGCATCGGCAATTCTTGCCTGATTTGATGAACCTCGACGGCAGGCGTGGATGGTTGCCATTTACTAAGATCATGGTGGCACTTCTCTCCTTTGCGAGCGAGCACATGAAGACGATCGACGTACACGACGTTGCCAAGGATTTCGTCCGCAGCACCACCAAGTTCTTGGTGGTTGTCCAGCATGACTACCCCGATTTCATCGTGGCAAACTACGCACGGCTCTGCGCCAGCATCCCGCCGCACATTACGCAATTGCGGAACATCGTCCTCATGGCTAGCCCTCGCACGGAAGCCCTCGATTCCATTGATGCAATTGCTAGCGAGGTGGACAATGCCAGGGAATATCTCAGAGACAACGGTCTGCTAGAACTTCTGGATCAGCTCCTGCAAGATGGCCCATCAGAGGACGCCATCGCCCACGTGACCCATGCCATCAATAGGAACGATTCGGGCACCACTGTGTTCGGCAACGTGTCACTCGGCACGAACAGGGCGTTGATCGATGCTGTAGTGGCATATGTCGGTAATTTTGCCGTGAAAAGGGCCCACCAGGATGGAAATCTCTTCGTCCCTGGCGCCACCGATGTTTCCACCCTCTCGCTCCTGGTTCACGAACTGGGTCCAGAGCAGCGATACTTCCTTCTTTCGAGAATCATGGACGAATTGCGGTATCCGAACCACCCTAACACCAATTATTTCAGCCACGTCTTGTTGGAGCAATGGGGCCACGACATCAATGATCCAGAGGAAGTTGACATTCGACAGCAGCTTGTGCGCATTATTCTCGAGCGTTTCTCCGGATTCTGGCCGCAGCCATGGGGTTTGATGTACATGGTCATAGAACTTACAAAGAACGACAAGTACATGTTCTTCGACCAGCCCTTCATCAAAGCCGCGCCCGAGGTGGGAGACAAATTTCAGGCCATCTACCGGACCGTCGCTGATCTTGCCTAGATTCGAGAGCAGTTTGCGCAAATTTTAAATGCGCCCATGTAATTTAGGAGCCGCCTGGAAACGAAACCTGGACTACCATAAACCCCTCGAACTCGGTGCCTTTCCTTCCCATCAAATGGTCACGGAAGCTTCTGCGCACCATGCGACACTTGAGTATGCGCTTGGGTATCTCCCGAGTCATACTCCCTCTACCAAGACATGTACCCCACGTGCACTCTTTCTACATATTATCGATATGCATCGCTATCGACTCACCCACACTCTATCTTCATTCCCATTACCCCCGAGTGAGGAGCCGTCAACGAGTAACGACGGAAATCTTCACATCTGGAAGTTCGGAATTTGGCATTGGGCGCGGGAGACGACGAGAAAGGATTACTTTCAGAGATACGATACCACCTTTTGGCGCCACCTTTGCAGGTGGCTGGTCAATTGGAACGACGAATGGCATACTAGGCGTCAATCAAAGGAGAGGGGGGCGGGCGGATGGTGAATTTAACTTTGCTTGTACTTTGTTGACTGGAATCAAGGCAGAGAGGGTTATTGGGCAGTAGCTACCTCTGCCTGTTTCCTATATTATTGTATTAATACTATATAGAGACGGTGGATTACGCCTTTGTTCTATGTGCCAACGTGAAGACCCTTCAGTGATTTCTTGTCAATCGCCAATGTTACGCTGCAGTATCAATGGCAGTATGCCAAGGATCCTTGCTTGCTAGCAATTGGTATGATTCAAGTTGGTCCAAAGAATAGAACGACAAGTAGTATTTGTGATGTCGATCTCCACAAGCCAGGGCCGACTGCCGCACGAGATATCCCATTGGTTGGCTCCAGGCGAGGCAGTGTAATAGTGAAATTAAGTACACGGCGAACATCGATGTCCATTACAAGCTGGGATCAGGCAGGTTGTGTGGAACATAGCTAGTTAGTCTTCGCAGCGGCATAGAAAAAGACGACATAGGCTATATTGGGTTTGCTTTCTTCTCTTCGTGCTTTTGACATTGGCAGTAAAAGCAAGAATAAACCGAACCGGCTATTCTCGACCATTTTTCATTGTATTGTCCTTCCTATTTTCCCCAAGTCTTCACACCGGGGGAAAAGGGGTAAAATAAACCCTCTTGGCTGTCTGGGGTCCATGGCAGGTGTGATTTGCTATGTCAAGCTACTTGCTATCGCAACATCACGCCTGGAGTAGGCTACCAGATATGGAATTTTGGAACACTACTTTATTTAGTATGTTTCCGAAGGAATTGCGCGAGTCTCAGTAAAGACAAGTTTCTCCAGGTGGACTTCTGTATTATGTGGTTTCTGATTCCGTGAGTTTGTCTACTGCGGCATGGGCACTCGTTAGTTAGTCGTTTTGCACCAGGCATTCCTGAAGTCTTCTATTTGACCTCCGGGGAACAGAAAAGAAAAGAAGAAAAAGAAGACGGAAATTCAAGTCTTTATATCCCTGAAAGGCACGGAGTGTGTCTTGGTTTCACGCCAACAAGCCTTCGGCTTTTGGAAGCTACTCGTTATCAGCACTAGGTGAAGTTGCGAACCCATCACTTATGGCGTTTTGCCTACTTTTCCATCTGGTGAACGTCAACGGGTTGCCTTCCGAAGTCAGTTTGAAAGCGGCTGGGGGCTCGCAAACAGTCCGAGAATGAGAGTCCCACGCCCGCCCGCCCGCAAAACGTACATACCGGGAAGTGCTTTCGGGACAGGCGGCTCATAGGCTTGCGTATGCGAAGCCGTATGCACTTCCGAATTGTGAAGCTGGACTGGAGGCCAGAATGATAAAATTGATCCATCTCGAAAATCATTGTGTAATTGAAGGGATTGTCTTGAAAGAGGCGCATCGTCTATCCACCCCAATGCAGATATGGCCCCCCTCGAAACCTGCCCATCCGAGCTTGTGCGTGTCTTGGTGTTGGTCCAGCCGTATTACTTATTACCAGACGGCCCGGCGTCTTGCGGCATATGTGGACATGATGAAGGCGGACCCTTACGGGACCATCAGTCAAACCTTTTCGAATATTTGCCAGGACGTGTATTCGCCCGTGTGGTTGAGGACGGGGTTATTAATGCGGCCAGATCGGATGCCGGAGTGAGTTCTGAGTGAGGCCATGATGCAGATTAATGTTGTTAAGGGCGCTGTAGGGAAGTGGGAAGTTTGTCGGGACCATTTTGTGATACGCAAGTGTCGTTACTCGGTGGTCTTGAAGGATGAGGTGAATGAGAAGGAGAGGAAGTTAGGGATGGGTAAGGATGATGAGATTCGGATCATTCGAGCTGAGCACTGGTTGCATATCCTGGCCGAGAAGTTTAATGATGCAGTTGGGTTGGTAGGTGCCTGAAGCAAATCGGCTGAGCACCATGGTGGTGTAGCTCTGGTTATGAATGATTCAGATGTATGGCTTTGACCATGGGTCTTCGTCGTACATCAGCACCCTGTATCAACATAAAAATAGAAATGGGCCATCGAAGTATGAGAACTTGACTCCATTGTAAGTATGTAGTTTGAAAACGGTCTATACTAAACAAATTGTTGCAAGTTAGTGACACAACAACACCAAGTAGGACGATCCCAGCGCAGCTCCTTCACCGTTGCCAAGTTGTTCATCAATCTTGGTAACTCAGTTCAAGCAGATACGGCTTCCTGTCCTTCAAATCCAGCAGCATCTCACCAAACAACCCGTTGGCCCACGAAAACCACTGGCGCGACCAGTTAGAAGCATTGAAGGTGTCGATGGATTCGTGTATCAACCCCAGCTGCGCTGTTGACGAGACGAGCATCCTCAAGCCTTTCATGATCTCGTCGTCATCATCGGAGCTCAGTAGCGCAACAATTATGGACATGGGCCACGCCTTTCCCGGATGGGTGTGAGGGCTGCCAACGCTGATAGGAACTTTAGCATTTAAAAACATCATGAGCGGTGTTGTGCCAGGGGGTCTAACCCGTTGATAACTGTCCCGCGCATATAATAGGGGTTCTCTGCGCTGAGAACGAACTTTCTCGTGTTCTGGTACGTGGTATCGTTCGCGTCTAGATAGTCCAAGATAGGGGCACTCAAGAGAGACGGAACATTGGCGTCGTCCATCATATTCCTCGAGCCGTAACCGTCGACTTCGTATGCACTGCGGAAATAGGTTTAGTGGCCTTACCCAGGGTGAAGATCTTGCTGTAGTAATAGATTTGGAATTGCTCACTAGATCTCTCCAAAAGCTTCATGTCGTACTTTCCCTTGCTGCTCTATCCCATTGCGCACTGAAAAAAGCTAGATTAGTGGTTCATGCTTCTCAAGTATTCTTGGGTGGCGGAGGCTGTTCCCTCGGTGAGGTCGATAACCTGTCTGTCCATGCTAGAAAGACAACCAGCAATATTTGGAAATATGCATACCAGATGTCGAGAAGTCGCTCATCTGCTTAGCTAAACCACTGTTTTGATTCTCCATGATCTCGGCGCATCTTCCCAGGTAACTCGAGAACATCATATTGGCAGGAATGAAGAGCTGGTAGATGGTTGAGTCATCGGAAGGCCTGAAAGCGCTCCGGACGAGCCCCGTTCCTCCTTTTATGGGTGAGCCCGCCCCTACGTTTAGCAGTGTTTCCGATGCGCTATTGGTGGTTCGTTGAAAGGTATAGGACAATTCGTTCACATGCCCGTCGTCGGCATACGTCCCAATGAGAAGCGTTTTGGTAACATTCAGTATGGTCTCCACAGTGTTGACCCAGTTGTATTTGCCAAAGAAGTTGGAATCGCCAGTCTTGTCGTAATAATCGTACGAAAGTTGCAGAAACGCCGACAGGCTGTCTAGCTCATACTTGCACTCGAAGACGAAACTTGGGTCGTAATCTGGAGTCACTTCATCCGTGTCTGCTGCGTTGTTGTGCTCTGGAGGCAGACCAGACTCGGCAGGAGCCTGGAAGGCATTGCAGAAGGGGCTGGCGAAGATGTAGCGTGATTGGAGGTTTATGGCACCCCGGAAGAGCGAGGCCAGTGAATCAGTTGAGCTGTTCGCTTTCAGAAGTGTCTTGTAGCTCCGCATCTGATTCGCGCTATCGCGAAGCCACATGGCCACGATGTCGCCTGTAGTGATGAAAGTAAGCTACCGGGAGGGTTAGCTCTTTACTATATATAAGAGAAAACTACAAATACCTCTTCATCGGAGCCGCTTGCCACTCCCTTCCAGGAGACGGTGGTGTCGAGAGTATTCGGATACCTGCAAATATGGGAGTCAATAGCAAATACTTTCGAGTCTTTCGAGTGAAATCTCGGGTTTTATGTGTTCTATCGAGAGAAAGCCCTTTAGAATAGGCTTCCTCTCGGGGGACACTATCTCAGTAAGAGCGGAGTGCTGAAAATAGGAATCAAATACGTGTTCTCGAAAAGACGTGCCAAGTCTGGATCTTTGACGGCATGCTCCATATCCAAAATGGCCTCCTTAACTTCGGCGAGGGTAAAAGTCCTGCACGCTGGATCCGGTCTCTGGTAAGACAGTTGATATTTCCCTTGCGACAAAGGCTCATGGATCTGAGTAGAGTGTGTTACATAATCTGGACACTGAGCCACCGCCGCGCCTAATCCAGCTAGTAGACCGAGGAGTAGTTTTGAGACCATCGTAACCAATATAATCTCTGCAGGGAACCCAAAAAGAAGTTCGAGGATACCCTATCTTGATGTTCAAGACGGCGATGTCCCAAGATTAGAAAACGAAATAAACATGTCAGCACGAAGAAAATGGGTACCTGGGACTTCCCACAACATCTTCACGAGACGTAATAATCACGAGGGGTAGCAGCTTCCAGTTCCATATGTGCAGATACACGACAAGGTGCATGTCGTGTTATCGCTCTAATGCACGCGCCAAGGTGCGCAGATGACGTTCTTTTTGGGGTACCTGTCGTAAAGTCCAGTTTCTAGGACAACGGGAGGTCTTGGGAATGCGGGGGAAGCAAGGGTCTCCCCACTACGAGTAGTTACACGGCATTGCGTCTGACTAGCACGATAATTGCTGACGGGTGTGGCCTGGGGAGCTGCTATTCTGATGGCGAGAGCGTAGGATGAGTGGGGATTCAAGACTGGTGAATATCGGGAACCTTCACTGCAAACTTAGGAGTTGAGTCGGCTTATCAATTAACGAGTTTACCTCTTATTTCATTGTCCCAGCTTAAAGTCCAAAAAGACCGTTATTGAAGTACGAAAGTAACTGCAAATAGGAAAACGAGATACTTCGCCTCTGGCAACCCAAGCCAATCCATCCCCCATCCCCATTAATAACTATGCCTACTTCTTATATAACCAGTTGGAGCAGCTGTTGAAGCCTATTGTTGGCCCTGACCTGCTGCTGTTCCTATCGTACCTCCCTCAGACAAATTTCGTAAACCTTCTGCGGCGAAGGAAGCTGTACCCTATACTTCGCACCACATCTCAAAACAAGTCTTGTTAGATCTACATAAATTTACGCTCGGCAGGACTGCTGTCTGCGTGTAACAGATCAGTTCTCTGGATAGCCTATTTGTGATCCGGGTATCAGTGCCGTCCTGGAGAGACATCTCTGCCCTCATACGTCAGCTTGGAAAATATGCGTTATCGGAACGAGTTATTGTGATACTCTCCGTGGTCTAGGAAACTTATTAGTGCAGTATCAAGACCAGTCTGTCAGATTTGGGGTTCGCAACCTATACGTGCGATACCGTAAAGATTCTGCTCAACTCCGTTTACCCTTCCGGCTTAGGTGAAACTATGGTTGCACGGCCGAAGTCGATCATCTAAACCTCGTCAGTCTGTTTGTTCCGGTATTCAGGCCGGAAAAGGATAAAAATACCTTGGACATAGGAGCAACAGGGTTGTGCTCGTTATCGCCTCCTCTCAGACCCCAACAATGACCTTCTCAACTTGGCAAGCAAGACCCCTGAAATAGTCCACTCGGCCGGCTCCCGACCCTGCGGTTTCTCCTCTAGTCTTCCGGTGGCTCAGAATAATCCTGCTAGTATGCCATTGCAATACACTTGCGCGATACTTAATATATATCTAAGTAAGCACGCCATTTGATGACGGGCTCTGCTCCGCGAAGCCGTGGAAACCACAGGATCACGTTTCTCTTGTGTTTATCATGTTCCTCTTCAAGCCCGAGGGAGAACTTGGCAATGAAAACACGTTATAGAAAGCACAAATCAACCACCATCGACCCATAAAAAGAAATAATACTACTGGGATCTAGATGAGTACGCAAGTTCCGGTCGAGAACATACCTTTCGGATCAGCCAATCGAGATACTCGAACGTGGACTCCTATGAAAAGTTGTTCGACGGGATTGAAGATCATATTACAGCAGACAATGGCAGAATTTGGAACAAAGGCTTAGCGTCCGTATTTGGTAAGACAAAAGCTGTAACAGACCAGGTGCAGTCGGCAGTATACATTCCAGGCTTTGCAAAGACATTCTACTTATACAGAACTGGTCAACTGTACAACCCACCTGAGGCTAGAGTTCAATATATCAGACTTGACCATCCGATAGAATAGTGACGTGGGTCTAGATATGCCTGAATACCAAGCAACGTAAATATCCAGATTCTCTTAGACGTATTCGAATTGGTTGAGTCAATTATCCATTGCTTGTGTGTTACTAGTCACTATAGTACAGTCTTATCAGCTTACCATGCTCATTTTGATCGAAGAGGGCTAGCTGTGGTCATGTGTCACTATGTTGATAGCACCAAAAAGGGAAGACACCTTTAGAAGATGATATCTGGTGAAGCTGGATCGATTGGAAAGCATTCGCATTTGGTATGACCTATGAGAATGTCCGCAATGAGTGGTCTTCGAGGCATTGAATTGAGGAGGTATTTAGCCTCGCACTGCAGGAGTTGGTGACCTGTCACGAACGCTATAGATTCTCAAGTTCGATTCACAGACCGACTGAGAGTGGAGCGAATTGTGGACTCTGGCATCATAGTCTTGCGCAACAAGAACTTGTGCTATGCACGTGAATCTGCTCTTGAAGTAGAAGACCCCTCAAGTAGTTCCAAGGTCGAATACTCAAATTAATTCACCTTACACCACCTACTTGGATCCCGGCGACGGTAGTGGTGTGTTTGGTTTCATCCGGAGCGATGGGCTGAACGCTAACGCACAATTATTACCGCCCTAGATGTTCAGACTCACAAACTGCGAGTACTACGGCGTAGGTATGCTGTATAATGTCCAAGATGGCAAGTGCCTGCGGCAGTTTAGACTCGATGCGAGCCGGGCTCCTCCGTTCTTCTATCAGGGGCTTATTGGCACTCCCAGGATTAATCATAGAGTGGGCACCATTGCAAACTCAACGGTGACAAGAATCTCCCAGTCGCCCCGCGGTAGAAGTCATCATAGAAATGACGGAGCGATTTGAAACCCTCGAGTGAGTGTCGTACGACGACCCGACAAATGGACAAAGTGACGAGTCGAGTACCAGCGAGATTGTCGAGACTCCGCTCATCTTCGAGTCCCGATGGTGGGAATGGCTCGACAGCACCTTGCCATTGGATAACAACTAAGCTGATATCCGGTTGCGGCGGAGACTCAACACACGGCTGGCACTTCAAAAGCTGTATCGCGACCGTGACTGGGGGGCGCAGTTTGATGGGGATGAGTGTGAGCGCAAGAGACTCGAGCTTATTGCTACCTTAGCGGAACTGGAAAGCGATGAGACAAAGATGATGAAAGAAGCAGAACAGGCGCTGCAAGCTTTCTGGGCAACCAAAGCTGGAGGCGAGGCTGGCTGTCTGGGTCAGACGTTTGTAGACTTCTCAGGTGCTAACTTACGGGGGCGGCAACTTTATATGGAGCCCCATCGGATAAAGAGGAAGGTCCACGATAAGAATCTGCCAACTCGCAGATGCCAAGTCATACTTGTGCTCTTAATCTGCTGTTTATACCTTATCGCCTAAGGTGTACACTTCCCCGGAACTTGAGAGCTGTGGATGTGGGATTTATTGGCTGTGGATTCCCTAGCGCCCCCCGACATTGCGTCGTCCCTCACCAGAGTCACAACTAGGGCTGAGCCAATGAGGAAGCTCGGGGTGTGTTGGCACCCTGCAGTGAGCACTGAGCACGGGCAGTTACAAGCAACAACTCTGGAGCAACGCAACCAAAAGCAAAGCGGCAGCCAGTCGTGGACCTTGAGGAAAGAGAGATTCACACGGATCAGGATCATTGGGTCATTGATGCAGAAGCTCCCCTTTTTGCCCGTTGGCCCTGTTGTGCAGCATCTTCGATCCTCTTGCCTCTGTCAACCCTCTGTTTCGCCGTTTCTTGTCTGTTGGTTGTCTGTCTTACTTCTATCTGCACGGGTCAATCCATTGTTTCGTTATCGCAATTGAACTATGTCATCATAGCTTATTGTTAGCCTCTGAGCTTTGCAGTATTATCGGTCGCTTGCCATCCGTCTGGACTGATGACGGATGCCCTTGAGCGTCGAGATCACGAGGAGTCCCCCGAATGACCGCGCCTTGCGCATCAGCGTGAGCAAACCCACCTGGACCCCTTCCCAATCACATCATCCACCGCCTTATCGCGAGTGCCTTTCGGGCCATCATTGACTGGCCTTGACTCTCTCTGGCTCAACTTTTTTTTCCGACAAGACTTCGAGCGCATTGTTTGCACCTCCAGGCCACCACCTTCAAAATGGTCGGATCTGCCTAGCTTAGGTCGGACCCTGCAGCCATCCGCGTCCAGTAGCAGAGCCGTTTGCTGGACCCGTCCCCCATAACCGCCTGCTGCCTGTCTGCCTATGTGAAGGACCACCTGTGATGCAGACGACCCTGCGCAGCTGATTGGGATTATTCCAGAAAACGGATCGCGAATCAACAAACCTGCTTTAACACAGACGACGTGACGAACAATGGATGCCGAAGTCCGTTGGAACCGAATCAAAACCGTCCCCTTCACGAATTAGACCTTCCTTCCTAGAGCCCTTGCCCTATAACACCACTGCTGTGCCGGGCCAACTTGGGCTGTCTATAGCCGATGAAACTCGAGCCCACTGGGACATCCCGATCACACCGAATAATCCTACGAATTCCGTCTTTTGGCGACAGTATTATCGTCAGTCTGCCTGAAGACCGAAGGAACCCGAGATGCATCAAACACCCCGCGTCGGGCCCCACTCGGCCTCACCCGCCTCGTCGCCCACGACAAACCCAATGAGAACGAACAACCCGAGAGAAAATGTCAAACCTGGGGGACATTCGAGGGTCGGTTCCGATGCGACACCTCAAGAACCCCCGTCACCAATGGGGACGAGCGGCGAGCGTGGCGAAAGAGGACCTAGCAAAGACTCTGTGAAGAAGTTGGACCAGATAATACAGGTTGGTCGCTTGGTCGCTTGGTCGTGTCGCGTCACGTCGACTGTTGGCTTACACAATGCTATACGTAGAACATTTACTCGAAAGCGGGCACCGTTATCTTACAAGAACGCATGATAGTAACCCCAATCCTCGTAGGCAAAACTCAAGAACGCAGGATGAGCCGATGGGTAAATTGCATGACTTCTCCTATTTTCACGAGAAGAGACGGCTGACCTCGAACGTCTTGTAGTTCCAACTTGACACCGACGATATCGAGGACTTTCGAGACGAATTTCGAACATGGAAGCAATGTGGAGGCTTTGAGAACAGGCCGACGCCGCTGGTGATTGAAACTTATCTAGACACGTCGCGACTAAAAAGTGGGCAAAGCATGGTCATACACGACGAGAATGGGAAGCGATGGGACGTGGTGGAGGCCCTAAACTCATCGGACCAGTCCAGTGACAGCAGCTCTGGACGCCCAGGCAAACCAAATACCCAAGTAACGCTGGAACGATGGCGGGTTGAGTTGAAAGGATCGCCACCTGATGATCCAGAAGAATTTGGGCCCGTCCTTCCAACCGTGTACAAGAAGGCCATTGTACTGTTTCGCTCTATATACACGACAACGGGTATCCTGCCGGCTTGGAGGCTAAGCAGGAACTCGAAATCGAAATCCACACATCCGGCTCTTCAGGTGAGATGTCGAGTTATCTCAGGCGACTCGCGCTCACCCGGATCTGACACGTTGCGAACTCCGCTCTTTGAAGGCAGAGGAGACGTCTCGACCGACTACATGTTTGGTAATCTGGAAGTGCCCGTGGGGCGGTTCTACGTTTCCGTATCCTACCGGAATAACTGCAACTTCCAAGTTGTGGAGACGGAATCGTTGCTAAGCTCACGGATCGGTCTTGCCATAACCGATGACTTCTTCAAGCCATCATTATCAAACCGAGGGGACGGCCGCCGAGAATCTACGACCGAAATCGGCTCTCTGCCATATCACCGCAATGCCCGGGACGTCACCGAGAACCATCAAAGATACGGAAGCTTGTCGACTTTCCACGGCGAGGGGCCCCTGGGTACGAGCCCTATCACTGCGTTGAGGCAGGTCCAGGCTCCGGGTTCGGACACCACGTCACCTCCCGAGTCGAGACCGGCAAGTGTCGAAATGCCTCCTCATTCTGTGCTGATAGGTCCGGCTCGACCTCCGCTCAGGGGTCAGGATGGAACAGACCGGAGGCCCTCGGTGTCGTTCCAGCCCTTCAAGCAGGGCTCGCTGTCAGGTTCGCCAGTGCCTAGGATGCACGACCTGGACGTCCCCGCATCTCCACATTCATACAGTCGTGGCTCAGGATTGAGCGCTTTGACGCACACAAGGAATCGATCCTCCCTGACCGCTGGAATGCCGGCGTCGTTGCGAGGCGGTCCGCCTCCCGCACCCGATACGCCTGTTGCGGGCTCCCCGAAACCTTCAGCTGCGAATCGATTCAGCAGTAGTTTCACTCATCGCCGTAGCAGAACATATTTTGGTGGGACCAGTCGGGCGGGAGATGATGATCAAAACAGCAGCGGGAAGCAAAGCCTGTCATCCTCCGTCGTGCAGCCCGGCTCTGGCCTACTCAACGAGGGTGGTACGGGAGGAAGCTCGGGTTCTTTCCAGACAGACGACGACAACATCCAGGAGTTTTTAAAGGCTCTAGACAGCAAGAGGACACTGCAGAGCTTCGAGCCTTCCAAGAAAGGCGAATCGGCTACCAAGAGGACTACCGCCCAGCTGTCCAAATTTCACCTGATGCGCGAGTCCAATAATGCCCTGACCGAATCAATGAACTCGTCGATGCAACTGCAACGTTCCTCGAGTTCTTCCAGCCGACAGCTGGCTAATGTTCCTGGCATGTCGACATCTTCATCACCCGGAAAGCCGCTCTCCCCCCATACACCACACACGCCGGCTATACCGTCTCGGCTGAGCGAAAACTCTAGTGTGGAGTACGCAATACCCGCAAGGGCTGCTTCGCGATCGCGAATTGACGGAGACAACGAAGTGTCAGAGATACCAGCGAATGCTCCTGTCACTCAAGATGGAACGATAGCCATCGACATACCCCTGTCGCCAAGACCATATCCTCACGTGAGACGGTCCAGCTCTGTAGCACAACAGAACCGTGTACTAGTAGATGACGATGACGTTGATGCTCACCGAAGTATGAGCCTGGGGACTGATGACCGCGACGATCGGGAACCGCCCAGCCTAAGTGCGCTGCTGGGCCGGCATGAAGCCTTGACGGATGGTGCAGCAGATTCGCCAGCTTTGCAGGTTCCTACCGATATTCGAGCGGCGGAATCATCGGAAATGTTGCAACAAGGGTCTTCGTCGTCGGCTGAACGGGAGATACGGCCGCCCGGTGGCCTCTTCACCGGGCCCTCGGGCTCGTCACACGGAAGACGCTACGGCTCAAGTGCTGGCCGAGGCATTACTCCCCCGCAGTCTGGGAACAGCAGTGTCACCGGACCAAGCAGCAGATATGGGAGAGCCTATGCTCGTGGTGGTGCCACCGGACTCGGCGTCAGCGGTGGTCCTGCAGAGGAGATGGAGGAAGAACCCTTACTCTTCGACATGTCGGAGATTGGGCGTGAACTAAGTCGCCGGAGCCTTGAGGAAGGTCGGGGTGGTGGAAGCATGGGGTCCGGCGATAGGGGTGGCTATGAATCTTCTCATAGAAGCCGCCGTTGGTAGATGGCCTACATGGCTCCGCTTCGACACTTGCGGATTCACAGGTTGTTGTGCGACCTCAACGATCTTATTTCATGATACGATGGTCACTCCAGGACACGGTAGGTACACGGGGAATACTCCTGCGGGGAACTATAGCTTCCTGGCGGACGTGGATAGACACATGTATATGCATACATATTAGCACCGTTTGGATGATGCACGATCAACGGTCACGGATGGATGATTGGTTGGTGTTTTTCTTTTTTATCTTATTTTATTGAAGACAGCGGTCCGGAGTCTAGAGCGTTCAGGAAATTGGGATGCGCTCGAGGAAGACTGCTTGGCATTTCTTCCGGCATATGGATCCTCCTCTCTGCCCTCTGACCCATGGTCTTGGAGTTTGAGGAATGGCGTTGTAAGTATGTCTTGGGTCATTCCTGACCAATGCAGGCTCTATAAAGAGAAGATGCGGGATCACATAGAACAAATGCGAGTCTACAAGACTACGCGACACACAAATTTGGTCTATTTGCACACCCTTTGACTTGAACAAGTGGCTCTATCCAAAACGCCGCACCATACTATCCTCCCTAAGCCAGCTGCACTGTGTCGAGCAAAATAAAATATAAAAAAAAGAAAAGAGGCCAAGAACGTGGACTAACCCAAGATTGCACCAGTGATGAGCACAACCTTATCGGGAAGGCAGTGACGGAGACCGTCAAGACACAAGACTCGACAAGGATTACGTCGTGGCGCAGGCTGTTGAATGACATGACGCCCCATTACGCGTAGGCCAACTAAGTTTATCCAATTTTCGGTCTTGATGGATTGCTGGGGTGCGGTGCTTTATTTTAGGGAACGAAATACGCGGTTCCCCTCACTTAGATCAGAGGCGAATCAACTGTCATTGGTCTAGAGTTTCGTCTGGTGTGTCTTGAGTCGCACAGGCGTAGTGGTGTTTTCAACGCGAACGGTTGAAGCGCAGTGAACTGGGGCTGGTGCAAGTGCGGGCCAGTTGAGGCGGAGTTTGGGTGAGCAACTGTTGCTTTGAAGGAATCGACTATCCCGCCTAGGCTGCAAGCTTAATGGACCCGACCTCTTGATCATTAACGAGCTCGACTGCATCCTTCTCACGAACCAAATTCCTGACGGCGACCCATCGATCACAAGCTGAAAATCATCAAACGAACCATTCATTATTGGGCCTTTTCTAATAACGAGATCAGGAAGCGTATCGCATCGTAGTCCTTCAAGTTCAGCCGTCACGCGCCCAGCATGTTCCGAGCAGCAGCTCCAGGGCCGTTTGATGCGGCCATCGGTAAGACGTCATCGCCAACCCCAATATACGGACGGCCACACAGAGATGTGCAGATGGGCATTGGCTAACCATACTACGCTGCAGCTAAAGCGACGGACGAGAACCTCACTGCTGAGGACTGGGGAGCAATTATCGAGGTGTGCGACAAGGTGTCGTCAGACCCGAATGGCCCTAAGGAAGCGGTGCAGAGCCTGATCAAACGGATGGCGCATCGCAATGCCAACGTCCAACTGTACACTTTGGAGGTGAGTAATTGCATGACCATCTGTTTTACGCACCAGTCGGTCCAGCAAGGTCTAACATGTCTCCTAACCGGTAGCTCGGCAATGCGCTGTCGCAAAATTGCGGCAAGAACATGCACCGCGAACTCGCCAGCCGCGCCTTCACCGATGCCCTGCTCAAGCTTGCCAACGATCGCAACACACACCAACAGGTCAAATCCAAAATTCTAGAGCGTATGAAGGAGTGGTCAGACATGTTTAGCAAGGATGCCGACCTGGGCATCATGTATGATGCTTACTTCCGCCTCAAGCAGAACAACCCCACACTTCAGCCTCCGTCGGCACCGCAAAAGGCCAGGCTGACCGATGTGGATCGCCAGAAGGAGGAGGAGGAGCTTCAGATGGCTCTTCAACTGTCCCTACAAGAGGAAGAGAGAAAGAAGAAGGTAGCTGAGAGCAGCTCGGCCGCCGCGGGGCCAAGTTCAGGGGTCAGGCCTGGTGCGCCTGGTGCAGCTGGTGCGGGGCCGAGCCAGACGGAACCGGTGCTTTCTCATCCCACGGGCACAACAGCTGCGACTGTCTCTCGCGTGCGTGCGCTTTACGACTTTGTTCCTAGTGAACCTGGTGAGCTGGAATTTAAGAAGGGCGATGTCATCGCGGTCTTGGAGTCCGTCTTTAAGGACTGGTGGCGTGGGTCGTTGAAGGGCAACACGGGCATTTTCCCGCTCAACTACGTCGAGAAGCTTACTGATCCGACCCCGGACGAGCTGCAACGCGAGGCCCAAATGGAAGCTGAAGTGTTTGCCGAAATCAAGAATGTCGAGAAGCTGCTCACGCTACTGAGTACTTCGAATATGGCGCCCAGGGAGGAAGACAACGAGGAGATCTCGGTATGTTGAAACCATGTTGAGCGATCCGCGCATGCTGACCTCTCTTCCCTTTTAGAAACTCTACCACCAGACGCTGGCCATCCGGCCAAAACTGATCAAGTTGATTGAGAAGTATTCTCAGAAAAAGGATGACTTCACACAGTTGAACGAGAAGTTTATCAAGGCTAGGAGAGATTACGAAGCCCTCTTGGAATCTTCCATGTCTCACCCGCCTGGGCCCAGTTACCACCAATATGCACCTCGCCCCCCTATGGCAGGCCAGGTGTACCCGAGTGCGGGACCGGCCTATGCGTCTCAAGGGCCGCCCCCTCAAGCGCAGCAAGATCCGCAGAGATACTACGCTGCGGGCCCTCAAGGGCCTCCTCAAGGTTTGTAGAGATGTTACGTTCTCAAATGGACTGTATTGACAGGTTACAGAGCAGGCCCCTTACCAGGCTTCCTCGCCAGCTCCTAATTTCCAAAGGACCACTCCAGGCCCTGCTCCATTTTATCTTCAAGGCGCAGAGATTCCCCCACACGCCCAAGGCCCTCCGTCTCAACCCCAGCACCAGCAACAATATCCTCAAGGCGGCCCCACCCCCACTCAGCACCAACAGCAGTACTCCCAAGGCGGCCCAGCCCATGCGCCTCAGCCACAGCAATACGCCCAGGCGGCTGGCCAAAATCATGCTCAACCGCAATATCCTCCCGGCGACCAGCCGTCGCGTGTTGAAAATGCTTCCAAGCAACCAGCACCTATTCAGACCTCATCTCCTCCGCCACAACAAACATATCAGGCCTATTCGCAACCTCCTCCTCAAGCAGGTCAGCGGCCACAAAGCACATATGGCAATCCGCAAGAACTGGCAACATCTGCTTATGACTCTCCCGTGGCTACTCAAAACCCCGGGCCTGATCCGTACTCAGCCTCGGTCTACTCGACAGAGGACCCGTACAGCGCGAGCCCAACGGGCAACGCTCCTTCTGCACCTCCACCTTCAGTGCCTTCGGGCCCCCCTCAAGGCGTTCCAACACCGTTGGCTTTCGCCGGTGGTCCGTCAGCCTCACCGCAGCCACAGTATACGGCCTACAACCCCCTGCAGCAGACTCAACATCAAAACGGCCCGTCTTACGATGCGCCCAGTGCACCTAATAATGCCCCGCCTCCTGTGCCCACAGGCTCCGCTCCTCCTAATGCGTTGACACCCCCTCCTATTCAACCAGGCGGGCGGGCTTTTGATGCTCGACAGAATCTTCCCAGCAGGGCATCGCACAACACAGCCTCAGGTGGACAGCCTCAATACAAAGCATACGTTCCGCCCGCAGCGGCTGCAGGGAATGAACCGAGTGCACCTCAAGACTTTTACAGGCAAAGTGCGTACTAAGTGATTGGACCAGGCGGCGAGAAAGGGGATGGACGGATACATCAGGGTTATGGTACGAACGAAGCTGGGTTCGACTTCATTTTTGGGTTTCACAGGACACACATTGCGCGAGGTATACCACCACCCGGGCGTAGGGTGACCGTTGGAGTTACTCAAACTCCGGGTCTTTTTCTCTCTTCTTTCTTTTTTGAATCCGTGGGCCTACTTTGCTTGTATGAGGTGTCGATCAGAGTGCCGGCGATCCAGGGAGCGGCCGGCTGTTAGTAGATAATTCTGTGTATTTTATCCATAAGATGTGCAGTCTATATGTTGACTTGGGTGTTGGTGATCATTTTTCGATTTGCTGCGAGTTGCTATGATTGAGTGTTTGCCCATTGTTCTGCTGGTGTACGTAGGCCCACGCTTGCAGGTGGTAAAATTAGTTAATAATTACTGGATTCGAAGTTTTCCGTGTCGAAGTAGGGATAGCGGTAGTTACTCAGTATCTCTACATATCATGACTTTAGGGACCAAGTTCAAGTAGCAAACTGCAAATCGGTCTTCCATGGCCAAAGTAAAACCCTATGCACCGTCTCGTCAATGTTAGCAGTATGCCGCCAGCATTTATTACGCATCTTGACGCAACAGCGCAATGAGAAGCGAAGCACCAAAGAAAGGATTCCAGCCAATCCGATCGGCCAGGATCACTTCAATATCATCGAAATGCAACCATTAAGTTACAAGCATATGTGCAGCTGGGTTTCGTGGTTGAATATTTGCGTCAGTTTGCACGTCCCGCATATCGTTTTCCGTAAGCTCACGTCATATACAACATTGCACAGCATGGACACCATCCGAACCCGGAGTACCGTCATACGTATGATGACCAGACCTCTTCAGTCGAGAACATGTAATAAAGCCGCAGCCATGGCGATAAGTTGGGCTCAGGAACTCGCGCACTCATCCATTCAACCGCCATCCTCCGAGTCTCCCTAAACATCCCACAACCGCACTCTACCACCAGGATGGAGAGCCCTCCTCTCTCAGACAGCGTCGGTTACAGAATGCGCTGAATCCACAGTGAGCGGCGGCCGTACTTACACGATGAGGGAAAGTGTACTGCGAAGAGTGACAGTTGTCACGCAATCTCCACGTCGATCTTGTTCACCATCTGGACCCACTCCGACGGCAGGACCGACATGTTTGCAGGGTGGCTTACGTACAGTGACGGGGCTCCAATGACAATAGTTTGGGAAAGTCCAGTCCTTGATCTCGAAAGCAAGACCACGCTTGCCGCGACTGCGAGCCCTGGGGACTCGGATGGTCCAGCAATGACGGGCCCCGCGGTGTTGGGGCTGGCATATGGGACCTTGGATTCATCATCTTGGGAGGCTTCTACGGTGGCCGTCGACACAAGGTCAACTTTGTCCCGATCCCATCGTTGGAATGTCAATCTTGAGCGAGGGTTCGACTTCTGGTGCCAGGGTAGGAATCAACACTTCCATTGCGTAAAGTCAGTATTTGCTCAGACTCGGCTCGGGCTCCGGGTGACAGCCTGCTTTGATGAGATGGAGATTGAAGCCTCCTGAAGCGTCGTCTGAGAACCCCTATTCCGAAGTTGAGATGGCTTTGTGACGACAAGGAGGGATGAGCACAGCCGCTTGTGATAACGGGATGCAGTCGTGATGCAGCACTCTTATTTATATAATCTGCACTACTGGATCTGCCAAACAGGCCAGGCTCCCTGGATAAGTCGCTACCGTGTATCATTACTGTGTCATTTCGCGAGGGAGCGGCTGAGAGTTGACAGTTTGTGGTAGCCCTCACCGAGATAAACAATCGCCATACCCCAAACACCGAAAGCTAGGGCCCAGAGACTAGACCTCGAAGTTGTTCTGCTAGACTACTAACCTGAAGAAGCATGAATTTTCGCGATTATTACGGAACGGCCTATGTAAGCACTTCCGGGTTAACCCCAAACGGCAGTCCTTTCGCTTAGCAGGCGGCAATCACGGGTAAACGACATCGTTCTCTCCTTGCCCTGACTGATTTTATGGATACATCATGACACGTATCTGGGCGCCCAGTGTAACAACAAGCAACAGCTTCCTGTTGTAGTAATTTGACGCTTGCGATTACCTTTTGCTTCCTTCCCGTCATGTCCGTCTTTACGAACCCCGTCTCACGTTTCCCGCACCCCCCGGCCCTTTTCCGTTTGGATTCCCATCGGAGTCCAAGAAGGACTTTTCAGCAGAACCCAACCCGTCTTAATCCACCAGGAACCTGACGAACGAGCTCCAGGCTGCCGATGCCAGCCCGATTCGAATTTCGGAACACCGGTGCCGCCCCGGGGAGTTGCAATGCGCGCGTTTGGCGGGGTAGAATTGGTCGGGTCAAGCGGGAGAAGGGATTCAAGTCAGGATCAATGGACAGACACAGCTGGATTTGAGATGCTACTTTCAGCTAGTAAGATTCCCCGGACGTCCAATGCGACCCTGGTAGGTGCCATTTAGCCAAAAAGCCGCCCTACTGCCCATCCTCGGCCAAGATGTTTTAAGCTTAATCCGTCTCGTGTGTCATGGAGCGAGGGCCATTGGGTGGCTCTGCCTTCACCACGTATGCCACTCCTGGGACGGTACGCACCCTCCTTCTTTCGTTAATAGCCGCGGTGCTCAACTGGGTGCCGCAAAGTGTTCACATCAATCATCATGATAGACGGCCCCAAGCCAACATTGAACCTACGTAGATCCAATACGGAAAAGTCGCGGCACTTGTCGTCGATTTTAGCTTTTGCTGGGCCTGATCCATGCTTTCGTCTCCTCCTTGGCCCCATTTTCAATGGCTGTCAAGAGTTGGTATGTGCCGTTGCATGAAATAAGCCAAGGTCGGATGAATTCCAACGAGTCACGTCTCCAGTTGTTTGTGGGAATATTAAACAGAGCCCCAATGAAACAAATGCCAGCACAAGCCCGTCTGTGAGGGTCTCATCTGAGAACTTTTCTTAGTTCCCGGCACAATGGTGCCTTTCCATCTGACTGGTTTCCCGCGCAAGACGCGGGTTTTGGTGATTGTTCTGGCACTGTGCTTTGTATGGGCGCTTCTTCCGACTGAGAGCTTCATTTCGCCCCGGCGTTTGCTGGCTTCTTTCGCTGGAATCTCGACGGCAGCGGATGTGGAAGTGGATATCCTTCGCTATGTTGATCCCCTCATCGGCGCTGTTAATGGAGGTCAGTCGTCTCGCATCCAATCCCACACGTGCCCATGCTTCCAACGATACTCAAAGCCATTACATACTGACACGAGGGATAGGCCATGTGTTCCCCGGCGCAACGCTCCCCTACGGCATGGCCAAGCCCGTCGCCGACGCCAGCACCCCCGGGTGGGAGCTGGCCGCTGGTTTTGTCTTCGATGAGTCCAAAATCACGGGCTTTTCGAACCTGCACGATTCGGGAACGGGTGGGTCGCCGTCCCTGGGGAACTTCCCCTTATTTGCGCACCCCGGCTGTCCAGAGGATGACTACCGCAACTGCGCCTTCGCTCCAACGGAGAGAGCCGCCGGTAGGGTGGTGGGCTCGACGGCAGCCCGGCCCGGCTACTTTGCGATCGGGCTGAATAACTCGGTCCATGTGGAGATGACGGCAACGGCGCACACGGCGCTGTACAGGTTCAATTTTGCCCGGGGAGATCGAGTCGAATCCGCAAGTGGTGTCGGTGTCACGCTAGAGAACAGCCCGTTGATCACAGTTGACCTCAATGACCTTGGCAACACCCGGACCGGGGGCAACATCCAAGTCGACCCCGAGACGGGCAGAATGTCAGGCAACGGGACCTTCATGCCTTCGTTTGGGAGGGGCTCGTACAAGGCACACTTCTGTGCCGACTTTGCCGGCGCCGCGATCCGCAAGACGGGCACATTCGCTGGGGCCACACCCAACGAAACGGTCAAGGCCATGGGGAGTGATGTGAAGGCCGTTCCCATATCCTACGGATCCACCGGCGCGTTTGTCCACTTCAACCGCGCCCCTGGAGATCAAGTACTCGCCCGCGTTGGCCTCTCGTTCATATCTGTCGACAAGGCCTGCCGAAACGCCGAGAATGAGATCCCTGGTTTCGCGTTTGAGGAGGTTGTGAAAGCCGCCGAAGATGTATGGCGGGACAAACTCCGCGTTGTGCATGCCGACCACCACGGAATGCACGACGATTTGCTGAAAACGTTCTGGTCTGGCTTGTACCGCGCGTTCCTCTCGCCGCAGGATTACACGGGCGAGAACCCGCTTTGGGAGTCGGACGAGCCCTACTTTGACTCCTTCTATTGCATTTGGGACTCGTTCCGTGCACAACATCCATTGCTGACCATTGTTGACCCCAAGGAGCAGACACGCATGGTGCGTGCCTTAATCGACATCTATAAGAACGAGGGGAAGCTGCCCGATTGCCGCATGAGCTTCTCCAAGGGGTACTCCCAGGGCGGATCTAACGCAGACGTGGTCTTGGCCGACGCCTTTGTCAAGAACCTGACCGAGGGAATCGATTGGGATCTGGGCTACGAGGCCGTAGTTTCAGATGCCGAGGTCGAACCGCCTGACTGGAGCGTCGAGGGACGGGGGGGCCTTGAAAGCTGGAAGACATTCGGGTACATCCCCGAGGATGAGAAGCCCAACACGGAGAACGGCGGGGGCACAGGGCCCAGGACGCGTTCCATTTCGCGGACCGTGGAATATGCCTACGACGACTTCGCCATCGCCCTCATGGCACGGGGCCTCGGAAAACAAGTCGACGAGAAGAAGTACCTCCAGCGAAGCAAGAACTGGGAACACCTCTTCAACCACGACCAGGAAGACGACGACCTCTACACGACCGAAGAATCCGGCGGCCAGGGGTCCTCGTACACCCGCAGCGGCTTCAAAGGCTTCCTACAGCCTCGTCTAATGAACGGCGTCTTCAACCACCAGCCCACGCGCCTCTGCAGCCCCGTCTACGAGCCGCACAAGTGCTACTTCGATACGCAGAAGGCCACGTACGAGGGCAGCCCCTGGCTGTACACCTTCTACGTCCCGCAGGACATGGCCTCGCTCATCACCGCCCTGGGCGGGAAGGAGGCCTTCGTCAGTCGGCTGCATTATTTCCACGATTCGGGAATAGCGTACATGGGTAATGAACAGACTTTCTTGCCTACGTTCCAATTCCACTACGGCGGACGCCCCGGTCTGAGCTCGTATTGGGTGCATCGGTATATACCGGAGCAGTTCAACAGCAGCGTGAACGGGATACCCGGCAATGATGACTGCGCCATGGGCGCTTTCACAGCGTTTGCGTTTATGGGATTTTTTCCCGTGGCGGGACAGGATGTGTACTTGCTTACGCCGCCGCTGTTTAGGGAGGTGAGTCTACAGACGCCGACGGGGAAGTGGGCTACAATTAGGAATACTGGGTTTGACCCCACGTATAAAGCGATTTATATCCAAAGTGCGCGGCTGAATGGGAAGCCCTATGCTAAGAGTTGGATTACACATGATTTCTTTGTCCAAGGGGGTTTGCTTGAATTTACTCTGGGGAAGCGGGAGAGCGATTGGGGGACGGAGGATAGGGATTTACCACCGAGCATGTCTACTGGTTACAAGCAGACGGGCAGGTTTTAAACAGACTGTACAGAGGAATGGAATATCGAAACAAACCGGGATCCAGTCCAGGTATCATATATGCGCTTATGACACTAATGATTCCACCAAGATGGCAGTGGGCTTATTCTTCGGTGGTCCCATCCTGAGTCTCGGCCTCGTCCTCATCTTGATCGTCGGAATCACTTTCTTCATTCGGATCAGGCATGACCACACTGTTCAAGAACGTCACCTATATACCGTTAGTCATCGCTACTTTAGGAGATGAAACCGCGAGCATCATACATATTCCACCATATGATTAATGATAACCATGATTTTGTCCTGTGCATCGTCGCTTGTCAGATCAGAGTCCTTGATCTTGACGCCAACCGTGTAGTTCCTCAACTTGAGGAGCTCAATGTCTCGGTGGTCGGGGTTAAAGCCCTACGCCGATTAGTACCAAGGTCTAACCGAATGATGTCGATTTTCTTACCTGAGGCTTCGTCTTCAGCGCATTCTCCTTATTCGACTCGGCGAACGTTGCCAGAACGGACGTCTCGGTGTTCTTGGCTTTGGGAAGGAAAGTGTTGCGGAACTGCGGGTTCATCAAAACACGCCTTATCCGATGGGGTCTTTCGTCTATGCTGGCTCTCAACTTCGCCAATGCACTTTATGAAGCATGAGTACCGGGTACACAACTAGAATTGGAGGGGGCCTACTCTTTGTCGGGATGCCACAAGCCGCCCCCAACGAAGCAGCTACCAGGCTCGCAGTGGACGTAGTAGCAGGCGTAGGGCCCCTTCCTGCCAGTTCGAGACCTGCCATTGCAGTTGGTGAGAAAAGAAAAATCCATCATCATGGGTTTGGATTCTTACCAAGCAGCCGAATAATGTGGCTAGATAAGAAACTCAAGTCAATATATATGCCTGGCTTCATGGTACGTTGAGGTTCTCTCACCTTGTACGGAGTTGGATCTTTCGAAAACCTGATATCTCGATAGATACGAAAGATGACATCTTTTAATGGTAATTCCGGTATAGTCTCATCAGCTTCGGTGATTTTCTCCGTGAGGGTCTCGACGAAGGTCTCCCAATCTTTCAACGAGCGCCTGTACTCGGGATCGCGCACTACAAAGCCACAATTAGTATACCATTCCTCATATACGACTGCGTCCATCAATTACGTTTCAGCCATAATCGCTTGTTATTCGCCTTAAGCTCCTTTAGAAACAACATTGTGTTGGGGTGGAGCCGGTCATCTTCATAGTCGATGCCACCGGTATCCCTCAACTCAGGCAATTTAGTGAAGGTAACTCTGGGTGCATCATCATCCCAGTCATCCTCATCCTCATCTTCCGACTCAACCTTGGCCCGTTTCTTGGGAGTTTCCTTGGCGGCTTTGGTTACTTTGGCTGCTTTGGCCGGTCGACCCCTTTTACGTGGGGGCGGCTCCACCGAATCTTCGGCATCATCAGATCCCTCTCCCTGGTCATCTTCGGAAACTTCTTCATCGACAAATTGATGCTCTTCGTCCAAGTCATTGTTGGCTCGTTTTTTGGTGTTGGGTTTTGCGGCCTTTCGAGGCGGTAGAGAGGCATCGGATTCATCTACGTCATCCTCGAAGTAGGTGCTCTTCTTGCCCGTGAAGCTCACCCGCTGTGACCGACGCCGACCGCCAGATTGGGGCGTCGGCTTGGCCTGAGCTCGTTTCTTGGGAGGCATTGTCAGAATTCAGTGCTTTGAAAACGAAATGCAGTTGAGAGTTGGACATTGAGCTGTCAGAGCTTTGGGAGACGCGGCTCCAGGATCGCGCCTTCTCTACTAGCGGAAACGCCAGATCACATGACGCCATTAAAGCCCTTCTGTATGCAATTAGGCCGCATCGCTGCCTGCCTACCTAATAAAGACGCATACACACAGTTCAATACAAGATTTAGGCGTAGTTGCCTCGATAGACTCAAGAATAATTCATGCAGCTTCAAAATACCTTGAAATCAAACAAATGGCATCCAATTCCATCTTTGGTCCTTGTCATGCTTCATGCAACCCACCTCGTCTATACTCCTCTTATGATCTGATTGACCAGCAACTCCCACCAACTGCTTCACATGACTATAGTACAACAGACAAGCAGACAGAGATTGCCATAGTACTTCAATTTTCATCAATTGAAACCATTTGGCTCCTAAATCGGCTAGGACAAAATCCCCTTACCCTCATCAAACACCATCACACACCCCTGATCCGCATGACCCCCTAGGGAACATAGGCCTAGTGTCGTCAACTCCGGCGTAGAACTTGATCCATCTCGTTGCCGCAATATTTCTCCGACTGGACCGGCGTCCGGGGTCGCTGGATTCAGGAGTTCTCCGAGCATCTGCAGTGCGCGAGCTGCCTCGGCAAGATCCCCAGTCTGCGGCCCTGACTGCCTACGTCAACGGCGAGGAAGTCAATCCGGGGCTCGAAATAACGGACCGCGCGCGGGCGACACTTTTCCAGCTCCCAGGGTGCGGAGTAAGGGGCGGTGCAAATTCATGGACCTGACCCCGGAACTACTGACGCAAACCCTGGATTACCTGATTCTCTCGGGGTGCGCTCACCCCTTCTTCGTCGGCCTTCGCGGAGGTGAGACAGTGCAAGTCGGTATCGGAACTATGTCGTGAACCGTATTTTATACAGGCGACACAGCTTCCACTTCAACATCGGCGTGCACTCGATCGACGGCATCGGCGACATGGTCATGGAAGTTCGAGTAGGCTCCCATGATTTCCGGCACTATACGTTGTCGCTTATAATTCCGCCGCAGCAGGCCAGGGGCGGTGGATGTCTCGGACCCCTGGGCCAGAGAGTAGCTCAATACCTCGACAACGTTACGCCGGTAACCACAAGTTCCATCTTTACACGTACAAGGATATCCAGAACTTGCAAGTTACCCTTTCTGAAGCGGCAGAAATACTCAGTTCAGACGAATCCCGGCGCATCGCGATCCATCTAAAGGCTGCAGCCTGCTTTCAAACTCCTCCGGAGGTTGACATTAGTGGGTTGGCGACTGTGGAGTTTCTTGAACGTCCCAAAGGTTACTGAAAAGCTCTGAGACGGGATAGTGGCATAAGAACGTATTGATGACGGTGATTTCCGCAAATTTCAAGACATACGTATTTGCTGGCACGTTAATAGACTTGTATAGGTTCATGGAATCTCAAATCTCAATCTATACACTCTAACATTAGCCACTGTGCTTAGCATTAGCACACTAGATGAATCTATGTAACAAACGCAGCAAGATACCCGAGTGAATATCGGCTCAGTGCTGCTTAGCATCCGGTCCGCCCAGCGGCATCGTATGATCTTCGTCCAGTCGACGCCCCCCCCCCCCCCCAAACTCCCCCGGTCCCTTCACTTTCTTCCTCTGTAACGGTTCGATGACGCCTAAGGGAACAGCACAGCTTTGGTGTCTGGCCTACGAAATTTGAGCCTTCCAAGCTGAAGCTTACTAGGAGTTGTGAGCTCCCTTCTGGTACGTGTCTGACAGAAGCGATGGTATACATTATATCCGTCCCGGAGCTCACATTGGTGTCAACCTAGCCCAGAGTTGCGCATTCGGCCAAGTGGTGTCCTATCGCGTGGTCTCTCCAGAAGATCTGCGTAGCCTTCCAGGCCGTTCCCAATAACAATGACAATGTCAAAAATATGAGAGCCTTTGAATGTTTCCGCCCAGAGCCTGATAACAGCGGCGGCCAACTGGCGTAATTTGGTACTGTCGTTCACAGCCATTTCCATGTTTGAAGGATGACCAGGGATGCCGCCACCCGAGAGAGATGGATCGATAGGGACAGCGAATTCGGTCTCATCCAGCATGCGCCGTAACATCCCAAGCAAGTTTCGTTCACTACAATCAAAGTTAGAGAAACCTTGTCCGAGCAGCGAGGGACAAGTATGAATCCTCGGTTCTCTCCCAAGAGCATGAGCTGATGAGTAGGGTTGTTGATATACGACAGACGCGTGTAAAAGGGAGAAAACCAGTCGCTCAAAATAGTAAATACAAAACAAAGATCAAGTACGTACTCAGGCGAGGCAGGAGGATCGTTTGGGCCAATAGAAGATAGAGTCATCAACCATTTAGAGAGTAGAATGGCACATTCCACTAGTAATTATTAGCCAAGAGAAAGTATGGACAGAGTAGCGTCACTGACAGTTGCAAACTAGGAGTATGGTTAGTGACAGAGGTCGTTTATAGTAGTATTTCTGCAACTTACATAGATCCTGCATACTCCTTTCTGTAGATTTTCTTCGCGCCACGTAGTTCACCCCCTGACGAACCAACATGGACAGGGCATGGATGGCTTGAATTACTGCTCGATTGAGTCGCGCACTTCTGATGAGAAATGATGCATCATTGAAGCCCACGGCTATTTGGCCGGAATCGCGGGTTTCGAGGTTTCCGGAAGGAGTCGAATCGGTATACATAGAAGCTAGTCGCCACAGCGCAGTCGAGTTATATTGAACTTGACCGCCAGGGAACACATCGCTACCTTGCTGACTGTTGTCGGTGATGCGTGCCTGATGTGCTTCGAAGCTCATCTGCCACATCCGAAGAGCCCTATCGACGTCCTCCAAATCGTCCGGTCTAAGCCCTCGAGATGAATCGAACGAAGGGCATGTTTGCTTGAGGAGGAAGATGTGCTGGAGTAACGAATGGATTAGGATATAGTTTCCAAGAGAAGACAGTCCGGCCTGCGGTCCTTGTGGCGATCGGGTGAACAACCTTGAGAGCGCATCCTGAAGAGAGATGTCGATGCTAGGAAAAGCGCGACAAGCTTCCGCCCAAGCCCATGCTGTCTCCGCGCGCCATAGTTTCGATGAGTGGGGGAGGAAGACGGGGTTTAGTTCCGAAGTCAAAAGCTGAGGCGGAACATTGTAGGCGACACTGCAAAGATTGAAGAAACAATATGCAGAGAATTTCGTACGGTTCGCCGACTCAATTCTGATCCAAGATTCCCAGTCGGCCGTTTGTGTTGACTCTGTCATGAACCCCTCTTCGCGAACGAGTAAGGCCAATAAACTTTGGAGGGATAGCGCTTCATGTACTGCAACGAGCAAGGTTAGCCATTTATCTGTAATCCGGGACGTTTTAGTGGGAGTCTCAGGTACATATGGCTTTAGCACCCCATATGCCAACAGCGAAAAGTAGAAGTAATGATTGAATGGTCTCCATTCTTGACTGGGGTGTATTTGGCGAGCTATGATACTCGAGGTTAGCGTCCAGAAGCTTGAAGATCAACTACAGCGACCTAAGATGATCAGATGTTCTTTCTTACTATGGCTCTCGATGGGTGTCTTGAGTCATCGGTCGTTCTTGTAGTGAGCTGAAAGAGTGACGGAATCCATGACTTGGAGATGGGCGAGTGCTATGCGGACTGTAAGCTGCAGGAGTTGGCAACAAGCCAGTTAAGTCATGACTGTTCCTTCGTCTGACCTGCTCGAGCGCTACGGCTTTTGCAGCATACCACAACGCATTGGATCGATGGCTTTCAAACCTGTACTGCGCCCTAAAACAATGGAATCAGCATGCGCTTTGAGGAGTACAGCTTCGAGCCAATGCGAGATGTCGATCTGGCCGTCAAGCACCTAATGTGCAAAGGAGCTCGGTGTGGCATATTTTACTCGTGAGATGCATCAAGACAGAAAAAAGACAAGCATGGAAGTTGCTCACCCAACAGCTAGAATCGCCAGGAGCAATTCAGGAGAAAGATCAGCTGTAGAGATTGTCGGAAGATGAAGAATTGGTAAAGTGTCATGGAATCCAGTGACATAGCCTTCGAGAAATCTCACAAGGGTGTGCCGACTTGGAAATACAAAGTCGCTTGGCAGAACCGACGAAAATTCATCGAGCTAATATCTGAAGTCAGTTACCAACTCTGGGGGTGTTTGAGACACAGCACAGGCTCCGCAGCGGGCCTCGCAAGACAGACCATACCACCACAGGTCGACGACCAGTAAGAAAGAACGCCCAAATGACACTCACTCTGTTCTTGATAACTGTATGGTCTGTAGCCGTGACTCTCAGGGGAGGCGCATTTCTCATCGAGTCATCATGTGCGGGATCTCTCAGGTCTGGTTGCAGGGAAGGAAACCTTGAAGGGAATTGCGACGGAGGCTTTGACGGTCCAGCTGCTCTGGGCCAGATGTTCAAGTTATTCTGGTCCTCGAACGCTTGAGGTAAGAAGTGCGAGCCACTGGATCCGAATTCGTCCAGGAACAGGTTATAGTCGTCCACTTGCCCCGGGTAGACCGACACCTCCTGCTCTCTTGGTCTCTCACCATACGACATGGCATCTTGCTCATAGGCCTTGATCCGGGACATCGCCCCAGGGGGTTGACCCATGTCTGCCATCATCGGAACCTGGTTGGCTGCAAGCTGCGTCGCGGCATCAGAAAGTAAATCAAGATTGCAGGCGGCGCTTCGGGCACGCGGATCTGGAGCAAGTGTAGCGACGGAAACCATGGGTTCTGGATGATAGTGGTGTTGGTGGGTGCGCGGCATCGCCATGGCGGTATCAGTGTCGACGACATGGTTGTCTGGTGAGATGTGTTGGCTAACGCTGGCCAAGGACGGCTTCCTCGGCCGGCCGCTATCTTTGTTCGACTCATTCAAGTGTACTAGCTTCTCGTGTCTTACTAGGAGATCCCTGATGTCCATAATGTCAGCCACGGCCTTGACAACACGGACTGGTGTTGGCAAAAGGGCGGGCAAAAGGCTTGCGTGGGGTTTGGGGAATGAGGTGGATTTGGCATGCAACCACTGTGAGTGGTGGAAAACTTAGGTAGGCCAAGGTTGCGCCAGAACATGGAAATTTGAAACGGCAGTATATGGAATGGAATACAAACCGCCTCCCGAAGCTCTTTCCACAATGGGTCCAGTTGCAAGTAAAGGGTTTCTCCTTAGTATGGGTTCGCTCATGCCTTCAAAAACAGTCAGAACAGAGTCGATACCGTGTAAGGTGATGGTGACCTACCGCTGCACATGTTCGACCCTCCGGAACCGCTTACTGCAGTATTTGCAACTATAGCAGAAGCAAGGTTAACAAAGCCAGAGATAAGATAGGACTAGAGGGGGTGGAGAGGGGGAGAGGGGGTTACGAACGGCAGAGTCTTTGGCTTTTGCTGCTTGCCCTCCATATTCTCATCGTTATCATGTACAACGGAACTCTCTATTGACTGCATAATTGGCGGGATTGCGAAGATTGGGGTACAGACCAGTCTCCTGTGTTATGCGTGCAATATACTTAGACAAGAAAGTCACGCAATACACAAAAGTGTGGGGAAACGAAGACGGACGGCCAAGGATCTGGTTTGGATGCCGAATGGAGCAATATGCGGACGACGGATGGATGAATTCATGAGAAGATGGTAGTATTAGTCGAAAGTTGTCCTGGTGTGGCCTCGGCACCTGATTTCGATTCCACCACAGGAGCAGGAGCTGCACCCGTGTCCCGGTAATGGACCCCCTCTCAGCTGTATCCGGCCGCCGCTGATGGGATCCTGAAACCGGCAGGGAACCGTGAGGCGGGATCCTGCCGTAGGATGAATTCACGTTGGATCCGGTATATCTGTCTGTGTGGTAGGTGAACTAAATGTTGATGTTTGCAGGCGTATCTCGAGAAGCCTCGGTGCTGTTGAAGGCCAGGGCAGATGTGGAGCGCCTAATGATGGTAGGCCGGGCTTATTGAGCTTGCCGAGCTATCGTGTTTTGTTGCGCGCGGAGAAAGGCACGCGCGCGACGATCAACGTGGAGGAGGCTGGGGCTCTGGCTCTCAGTAATGTGATAGATGGCTCTGAGGCGCTCAGCGCGTGATTTATGCAGATGCACATAGATGCAGGGCTATGTCCTCATAATCGTCAGCTTGAAATTGCGCGTTACTCCGAGTCGATAGCGACGACAAAGAATTGAGAATTCGGGGTTGGGTAAATTCGATTATCAGTGAGGAGGAGTGTGAGGGGCAGGAGAGAGAATTGATGCGGAGAGAGGGGAGCAAAAGTCCAAAGGTCGTTGAGATGGCTGGCTCGAGAGCCGAGAGGACGTGCCAACAGTGGCGCCAAGTTTGCACTGCAGCAACGACCGTCTTGGACAAGGTTGGACTTGGACTGCAGTCAACAAGTGTCCGAGCTCTGCTACATTTAGTCGCCTCGATGACGGAGAGTTGCAAGTTGCTGCAACAAAAAAGGACAGGTGAGACGAGTGCAGCTGCAAGCAAAGCTGCCCGCTTGCCATGCAAACCCCCAGACTGCACCGTTGCAGCTCCATTTTAGAGTACCATCTCCAATGCGGAGAAGTGGCCGGGGATTGACTCCAGCTTGTGGAGGCGGGGATGCCCAATCATAGAAGCGGAGCCTCCTTTCAGTCTACTCCATTCAATGCTACTTACCGAAATGCTTTCGAACATCTACCCGAGGACATCTCTGGTCACGAACAGGACATGGAGCATACTTCCGGGACCCAAGGTCAAAAGTCGAGGTTCTCGCGCCAATAGATCCGCATCTTCTACATGCACGCAGCACATTCTTAGATTTTAGACTGACGTCAGCGGTGTGTAAACCAGCTGGGGTCCCTCTTTCGGTGTTAGCATGATTAACCCGCAATGACGGACTGGCAGCACGAGAAAGGCAAGGCCAACTACAGAATCTCCGCCGAAAAGTGTGTGATCTAGCTCCACTTTTCTAGTACAATGCTATCAAAAAGTTGACAGTGGCTTAAATCGGATTAAACTGTAATGAATACAGCTAAAATTAAGTATTATTATTATTATTATTATTATTAAATACGCCGTAGGCTCGAAGCCCCCGGTACCTCTACTAGTACTCCCGTATGTCAAACCGTGCCCTAATGGCTGGACTAAATACATACGCTGCGTCGTCGGTTCGCCCTATTGGCGACTGCGTTGCGTTCACTACCATACTACGTTGGTTCTCAACCTACCAACAAAGTCCCCCCTGAGAAGATCGATGCTATCTGGGCCTTGAAGCTGTCCGACCCGTCCCTAGCAGCCATCTTACAATAGTCCCACTAACTACTGGTTCTCCTGTTGCCGTTGCGAGGTCTCTGCGAGAGTATAGTGGCCGTGGTGCGATGGCGGCCCGTAATCGTTCCCTCGGTCCTTCCAACAGCCCGCAAAAGAGGATTACGTGCTCTGCCGTCTCAGGGGCATCGCCACAGCGGCATAGCGGCGAGTACACGCCAAAAGCCCCTGTCTTGAATAAGAAGGCTGCTAGTCCTATTTTTTCCGTCCTGATCTGGCACAGCGTAGACGCCTCCAGTCGGTTCAGGCCGAAATACTTGCCCCCTTTCGGTATCTGCATCGAAGGGCCCTCCGGTTCCTCAGCGATAGCGCGTCGCTGGCGATCGTGATGCTCTGCTCCGGTGAGCCATCTCTTCCTCCAGTGGTCGAGGAGGGCAGCCGGGACCTCCTTTTCCTCACTCATCCACTCCAAATTAAGTATTTGACTAGCTTATATTATCTTGACGTCTATATACATAATAAGGTTACAATAAGGCTATTTCTCAACGCTTTTTACCTATATACTAGCTAGCTTTTAAGTATATTAGTTAATTATAACTATTGTAGATAAGTAGTTAATTGATGTTATCATCTAGATACTGTATTGACGACGGGAGGGAATACCCGCAGGATAAGGTTATGACGTCAGAGACGGACAACAAGATTCTTAACAAGACCTGCTGCCCGGGCGACTCACAACAAGGAAAAATTACGAGCCTGTCGCTCTGATCAAATCAACAGAAGTGCCTCAACAGGCGCGAATCATCATGAACAACGTGAAAATCTCAGAGCTCCTCATAGTCCTCTCTGACCGTCTTCTTCCTTCCTTTCTCTTCTGTCTTCCTTTCTCTTCTGTTATCCTCTGCATCTCTTCTAAGTAAGAGTCCGGCCTTGGACTTCAACAGGTCCTTGTGGATCCTTCCAGAAACCGACTTATAATTTATGTATTATTACTACTAATCGCCCCCGTACTCGTCTTATCTAATCTAGCGACTTAATGCCGGGTACTTTAAAGTCTTAAAACATGTAAAACGGTCGAGAAATTAATGTATTAAGTCTTACATTAACTACATTACCAAGGTCGAGTTCTTTATCGTCTTTAAGGAGGCTTATTTTAAGACAATTGTCACAAGAGGAGGACCAAGCCCCTAGGCCAATAGACCAAAAGATCTAGAAATGTCAGTGTTACTGACATTTGGTCCCACTAACTGCTATATACAGCACTATGTGGCTCTGTAATCGCCAGCGCTGCGACAATTATCCCCCGTCTATAAGGCTCGACCCGGAGACTCTTTAATAGACGTGTTAGCACTACTTGAACTCTGAGCCTCACGGACCCTCTCCGGGCAATCCGGGCTTACGGGAACATCCCTCTACGGGAATCTCCCTTTACTAGTGCAGGGACATCGTATCAGTCATTAAGACCCCCAAGCACAAGGCACACACATAGCAGACTACCGTCACATGTGTATAACCCCGCACTTGTCAGCATACTTTAGGAGGTAGTTGCCGCTGTCGCGCACGGCCACAGTCTATTGGGCCATACCTGGTCATGCCTCGGTATGCCTACTTGTTGACCCTCTCGCATATGGCTGCACAACCACGATTCGAACCCTCTCGTCTATGACGAGGGCCGACACCCGTACACCGTTAACACTGACATAATTGTCACAAGAGGCGGACCAAGCCCCTAGGCTAATAGACCAAAAGATCCAAAAATGTCAGCGTTACTGATATTCGGTCCCACTAGCTGCTATATACAGCACTATGTGGCTCTGTAATCGCCAGCGCTGTGAGAACAATGACCGATAGAAATATTAATGTGCGGTTTCGAGGTGCCGGCTTAATTCCCTACGACCCTGAAGCTGTTATCTCGAAGCTAGATATTACGATTCGGACGCCTACAACCGTTAACCCTCCTTTTCTAGATGCCAACTCTACTTGATATTACTAGCTTTACTAAATTATACTGAGGCGCTAATCTTTGTATCAAAGTCCTGCACTAGCACATCACTATCTTTGTTCTGTATTTCTTTTAGCTGTAATGTAACAAGGATACCACCCGTCTCACAATATAATAGTCAGGTAGTACAAAGAGCAACTAGAATAGGCCAGTGTATGGGTGCGTATATTGCAAGACTGATTCTTGAGGAACCTAAGTTAGGTGAGAGTGCCTCGAGTTCTCCTCTTAAGCTGAGCGGTTCCGGAGTTCTACCGGATCGAGGGCGAAACCCTCCCGACTCAGCTTGTCAGCTGAGACCGGCCCGCCATGACGGCTCTTTCCTTACACTTTAGTAGGTGCTAACGGTTAGTCTTAGAGAGTATTGCTATGCTTTATTCTACTAGTAGTATTATTTATAGAAAATACACTTAAAGTATGAGATTTTTCTATATAGTTATATATAGAACAACCTATACAGGAGCGTCTAGGCGAAAGGCTAATAAGGTTATGCACAATAGTACTGAATACTACGCTAAGGGCTACTTTGCACAGCTCCAATGGCCCCTGTGAGTTTACGCATCTTTGGGCGAGGACTTCGTAGTATATCTACAAAGGTTTCTTACGGCTCATTCATCCGAAAGCAAGACAGTCACTTCAACCAAGTGAGTGCACGGGACGCCTCTCTTGTCCACGAGGATTGTCCACAAGGAGCGCCCCAGGCTAGGCTAAGATTTGCAACACATGCTCCCATTTCCTGGGGAAGAGGGGAAGGTGACAGAGGAATACAATGATCGTGTCGACGTTCAAGGTAAACCCTGGACTTCTTCTGTGATCTCAGAGATGCCTCGGCGGCTAACAACATGGAACGCACGACGCAAACTGTTGAAAAAGAAAAACGACATTGGCTTTCTACGGAGCTTACCAATACATGTCCAGAACAGGCAGTGCCCGAAAACGGAACCGCGGATGTTGCACAGGTCGCCGGGATTGGAGGACTCATGTTGTCTGGTCTGGTTGCCCGCCACAAATGCGACTCTTTGCTTTGGCATAAATTTCCCGAGTGCGGAGGTCGAGTTGGGGAATCGGACGACGGCTGGGTCGCGGCATCTTCTTGAGATGCGGAGAATCGATTGAGCTTGGACATCTAAGCACCCACCCGCGCAACCGCGGATGGAAAGTGATGGAGTACTCCTAGCTGCTACATGCCCCGAAGTGTACTTCCTTATTTCCCGGCATAATGATTGGGCAACCAGGACCTTGGCGCAACTGCATGTCTTCAGCGGTCCTAGGGTGGCAGCTTGGGGTGACAATGGAGTAGCATGCGGGATGCTGCAACATATCTTTTCAGCGAAGATCGCCCGCGGAGCGAGCACACGACAGGTACAAGATACCTCAAGTTTCCAAACAAGCCTCTCGGGGCGTTAGTGGAATCGAATCGTGGTCTTGGTCTTCTGTTGATAAGCGCAATGATTTTGTCAAGAGTTACAATGCCAACCATACCATCCTGAGTCTTCCAGACGGGTAAATATATGAACATGGGTGTCATGAAGGTCAACATTAGAGAAGATGATGCATTGTTGAGACTGCGAAAGACGGGGTGAACGACTGACGATTGACCAAACTACGAAACCCCGCCATGATCAATATAAAATCAATTCCAAGATACTCACCAGACAGCTTGAGTGTGGTAGGACATTGTCCCACTTTAATATTCTACCTATGTCGATGCTGAAGCGCCAAGAAAGATGTGTCGCCAGCGATTGGAAAGCTCAGGATATCGCGGAGGTGTTGTACAACCATGACTGCCGGTAGATTGGGACCCGAGTTCACGGAAGAAAAGCCGGCAAAATAAGTGGCAGGGAGATGGGAAGGTATGGTTGAATAACAGATTTCAAGCTCCATGGCCAAGACTTTTACATAAAGTGTGGTGCACTGAGGAAAGGTCATGCGGGGAGCAAAGGGAACTCCATTACGTCGTGGTCATCCTCTGGCTTAAGGGACAGGTGATAATGGCGAGACTAGCTCTATTAACTACTCCACTAGATATGTAGAGAATTTTGAGAGAAAGGTAGAGAATCAGGCCATTCATTAGTGTTGTAAGTGATGATCCAATACTTCTCGCAGTTTCGCACCTTCTCAAACCGAAGAGCGCTTGAAGCCTCGGCCGGACGAGGTTGCAACACTTCAATGCTATGCCGTGCTTGCGCCTGCGTCTCAATATTTTGTGCACCTGTACGACGCATAGAAAGGATCTTCAAGTCTTCTCGAAACCCATGTGTCCTACGCAATAAAGTATATTGGACGTTGAATTGAAGTCAATCTGGCAACGCCGAGAAGTTTAAATACAGTACCTGGCACCGTCTTTTCTTGTCGCACACTGTACCTTCACGTATGAGTGTGTGTGCTCAAGCGAGGAGGGACTGACCCCAGTCACTCTCCAGAATTCCACCCAGGATCCTCGGTTCGCATCTTCCACCTTCTGTCTACCCCCAGGAATGATGCGACAACCCACAACCCACAACGGACAGCGGACAACGCGGCGCATTCTAAGTCACACCCCGTACTGTTCTGGGACGACACACAAATTCAGTGTTAAGGTTAAGCAGGAATTTAGGTAGGTTGCATTTTTGGATCCACCAAGGCCGAAATCTCCTTGTCCAACGCAACCGTTTTCAAATTGGATTCAGGCACACAAACTCGAAAGCTGTGGACTGAACCTTAAAGATCTGATGTAACACGGCATCACGACGGACACTTCAGAGCCTGGGCCTAAGACTGTCCCTCCCTCCTATCGTCATTTTCCCTTGTTGTGGTGGTCACTAGGACGCGCCGACGACGTTCATTATGTCTCGCGGCTACATCACATGTGACTTACCTAATAATGCCTGCCAACCTCAATAACGAGCTACCCCAGGATCCCCTGCTCTGGCCGGGCCGAGAAGTAATTTCCGGCCATGATCTTGAACCACCTATCAGGACCCAGAGCAACAAATACGACTTACTTCGTGCAGAGCGTGCTCGCTTCCCCAGCGATAGACTATGACTTTCCGTTCTGGTTCCAGAGCCCCCTTGTTCGGTGCTTTTGGGTCGAACTTGGATGGGTTCGCATCACAATTTTGCCCCTGACATTTAATCTCGCCTGTCGACTATAGCATCGTCGTGCAGAGTGATCCCCATTCTTTGCAAGCGAGAACTCTATTGGAACAATTTTCACTCTTTGCGGACGCTACGATGGACCTATCATATACGGCTTCTAAGCAACTAAGACACCTGACCCTCACACTTGAGTGGCGGACCCCACCGGACGGTCCTCGGCGGCCTTGTGAGCGTCTACCGTCGCAGTCGGCCATATTGATCTATATGGCCGGCCGTTTTCGAACTGTCCGGGGGCTTCAGGTGTTGATTCAACGTAGGTGGCTGTCTCTCTAACTCGGGTACAGAATCCTTCTAGAGGCTATTCTTGCCCTCCACACCCCTCTACGCGCGTATGGGACCCTCAGGGACCCTTGGTGGGAGAATGACAGGCCCAGCTGTCACTGGTGTCTTCTGACTTTCTTTTGGTTTGTGATGGTGTGGGTGTCTAGTGTCTTGGTGTGGGCGAGAAAACGAAGCTCTCGTGTCTTATAAGACTTGTCCCTTCCAGTGAAGGGTTGAACGGACCAGCCTGCTCGTTTTCATCATCAGCATCCTTCATTATGCGTTTTCAAACATTCTTGCTGGCTGTGCTCAGCTCTGCTCTCGGTATCAATGCGTACTGGTTAGAGACCATATCCCGTTAGTAAATCCTGATCAATAGGAAGAGGTTGTCTCTTACACAAACCACGCAGATCAGGGTGTTGCGCCTTTTGCTGGCACCGGATACAAGTTCTTTCGCAATGTGAAAGACTATGGAGCCAGGGGAGACGGGGTCACCGATGTATGTCAACTACGGCAGCTCACTCGGTGGTCGGGGAGACAATGCCAACACAGAATAGGATACATCGGCTATTAACGCAGCCATTAACGATCCAGGCAACCGATGCTTGCAGGGTTGTGTAAGTTCATTTTCTCGTCCCTTTCACCATAGAACAAAGGCACTTTTAGAGGCAACTTGTCCAGAAAACCTGACATTTTCAGGCGTCGACCACCACTACCCCAGCCATCCTCTACTTCCCAGCCGGAACGTACATGATATCTTCGTCGATCGTGCCATCCTATTTCACTCAGCTTGTGGGCGACCCGAGTTCCCGCCCAATCTTGAAGGCCACAAGCAACTTTGCGGGGTTCGGTCTCATCGATGGAAACCCATACTATACTTCAGACCCCAACTGGGTCACCACAAATGTGTTCTACAGACAGGTCAGGAACTTCGTCATCGATACCACGAACATCGCCCCTGGCACGGCAGCGACAGGCATGCATTGGCCTACTTCGCAAGCAACCTCGCTCCAGAACATCGAGTTCAACATGCCAACGGCTTCGGGCGTTGTTCACGTAGGGTTGTTCATTGAGAGTGGTATGTAGCGCATTTATAAAATGTATGTCTGCAGTGAACTGATTGTTCAATTAGGTTCCGGTGGATTCATGAGCGTGAGTTCCACCCATGGTGATTTTGGATGAAGCCCTCCACCTCCCCCCCCCGCGAGTTTGCCCCCCAAAACATTTTTATGCTCCATAGCATATGCGAGAGCAATTTCTGCATGGGCAACATGGTAGCTTGTGACAAGCAATGTGTTACAGATCGACCTCTGGGGTTTTCGCTGGAATCAAATTATCATAAGATTTTGGGCTCCAGTGTTAACCCACTCGGTAACCTGCACGGCCACAGCGGTTGTCCTATGTTATTCTACCAGTTGCAGGCGGTCCCAACTTGTCTCCCCCAATATTCAGTATGGCAATTACTAAATATGAGTTTCAAAAAGGACCTGACCTTCAATGGTGGTGCTACGGGTGCCTCAATGGGTAACCAGCAGTACACGATGCGAAACTTCACCTTCAACAACTGCGTAACGGCCATCATCCACCTTTGGGACTGGGGTTGGACGTACATGGGTCTCTCCATCAACAATTGTAGCACGGGCATCGATATTACAGCCGGTGGCTCTTCAGCTTTGACAACAGGAGCTGTGGTCGTGATTGACAGTTCATTTGTGAACGTGCCGGTGGGTATTCTCACTGCTTACACTTCTTCATCTCTGCCCGACACGGCCGGAAATCTCGTCCTAGAGAATGTAGCACTGCAGAATGTACCGGTTGCTGTCAAGGGGCCAAGCGGAACTGTCTTGTCTGGGGCAACTGGATCGACGACAATCACTGGATGGAGTGAGGGGAACCGATGGACCTCGAGTGGACCATCGCGAGTGCAAGGAACCCTCCAAGCGAACAGCAGACCCTCGGCTCTTTTGGAGGGCAACAAGTATTACACGCGATCCAAACCCCAGTATGAGACTCTCTCGGCAGATCAATTTGTTAGTGTAAGGAGTGCTGGTGCCAAGGGTGATGCGGCAGCGGACGACACGGCCGCAATCCAATCAGCCATCAACAATGCCGCATCTGCGGGCAAGGTTGTTTTCATCGATTTCGGTCTGTACAGACTGACATCAACCGTGGTCATCCCAGCCGGCACCAAGATTGTTGGCGAGGGTTACCCCGTCCTCATGGCTGCTGGCACTGGCTTCTTTACCGATGCTTCCAACCCTGTGCCACTGCTTCAGGTCGGTGCCACGTCCGGCACGGTGGGAACTGTCGAGTTTTCCGACTTTGTCGTTGCCACTCAAGGATCTCAACCCGGAGCCATTCTGATCGAATGGAACCTCGCATCGAGCGGAGCGCCGAGCGCCATGTGGGATGTTCACACCAGGGTCGGCGGGTTTACAGGCTCAAATCTCCAGGTCGCCCAATGTCTTAAGAATGCCGGGTCTAGCGAAGTCGTCTCGAGCTGCGTCGCTGCCTATATGTCTATGCATATCACGACGAAGGCCTCGAATCTCTATATGGAAAATTGCTGGCTTTGGACTGCCGACCACGACATTGACGATGCCACGAACACGCAGACCACCATCTACGCCGGCCGAGGTCTCCTCGATGAATCTACCGCCGGGCCGCTCTGGCTGATTGGCACGGCTTCTGAACACCACGTTTTGTACAACTATCAGTTTGTCAACACCAAGAACATCTTTGCCGCCCAGCTGCAAACCGAGACGCCGTAAGTTGGAAACGTTGTCATCAAAATGCAGGTCGCATGCTGACCACCTCGCAGATACTACCAACCAACCCCGAATGCACTGGTCCCCTTTACTGTCAACTCGGCTCTCCATGATCCCGACTTCAGTACTTCGTGCTCTGGTGTCTCTGGAAACTGCGCTGCTTCTTGGGGTCTTCGAATCGTCGACTCGAGTGACATTGTTGTTTACGGTGCGGGCCATTACTCATTTTTCAGCAGCTACGACACTAGTGAGTCCATCCATTCCCCCTTCAGGATATGTTCCTCTTTCTGACTATACCTTGTAGCCTGTTCAACCGTGGATGCTGGAGAGAACTGCCAATCTCGTATGGTTTCTCTGGAGGGCACACTGAGCAACATCAACTTCTATGACCTGCGGACTATCGGGTCCCTGAGTATCGTGAACCGTGACGGGACTAGCTTAGCCAGCTGGGAAGACTATGTCAACGTCTACCCCGCGAGCATCAACGTTCTGAGGATTTGATGTCGGCAAATGAAATACAAGACGCGTATTCGACATATCGGCGGACGGGCAATATTTACTACAACCACTGTATTTGTACATATCGGCTGGCACTGGATTTGAAAGCGGCCTGGAGATGTGAGAATATCCGTTCCAAGTGCATACATTGAGTGACATCGCATATGGATAGCGAGCGGTATGGAGATGAGGGGATTCATTTCTTAAGTACATATAATATTATGTATTTGCCAATTTCACACACGGTCACCAACCATGTCCTTCAGCCCTGCAATGAGTATTCAACGTCACCACTCTCTCTCCCCAGCTTAACCAACCTATCCCTCATCCCTTCCGCCCGATCCCTCTCTTTCTCCCCCAACGAGCTAAAGTCACACTTATCCACCCACCCCCCAATCCCATGCTGCAACACATTCCTTGCCCTCAACCGACTCCCCCCAACATGCCCAACACTCCCGTGCAAACTCATCCTTTCCTTCCCCGAATCGTACATCCCGCGATGCAAGATATTGTTATTATAAAAAACCACATCCCCAGCCTCTAACTTAACAACCATCTCCCCCGGCAGTCCCCGCTCAAAAGGGCCCGCTCTCCTCTCGGCCTCCGTCCGCGTTCGCGCGTGAGACCCGGGAACGACAATCAAACTCGAGTCCTCGTACAGCGCTAGATTCCATTGCGTGTGCCACTCGGGCTCGGCCAACCGCGCCATCTCCTCCTCGACTGAAGCTATGGCGGGTATATCATCCCGATGCCAGCGGAGCTCGAAGTCGGTCTCCGGACGGACCAACATGTTGAATAACTCCATGACTAAGTCCTCATCCCCGCAGTCCATCAAGGCTTTGGCGATGTCCAGAATGGAATCGCTGAAGTAGTTGGCCGCGAAGACGGCGTGGTCGGGTAAGGCGGGGTTCAGGAGTCCCTGCACACCCCAGATACCTGAAGGCCCTGGGGTGGCTGGCCAGGGGGGAAATTGCTTGCCCACTGTGCGGATATGAGGCCAGGCGCCGGAGCGGGCTAGAGTTGTGGTGCGGGAGGCGGCTGCGCGGAGGAGGGAAAGTTCTGAGGAGCTTAGGAGGGAGGGAAAGATGACGAACCCTTGGGTGTGGAGTTTGGCGCGGAGGGTGGATGGGTTCCGAGTTGGTGAGGTCATTGTGTGAATTTCTTGCTGAGTGATGGTCCGATTCGATCACTGGAGAGTTATTTTTACGTCAAAGGACGCTTTCCTGTACTGCCCGAGGCACATATGTGTTGGGTCTGTGACAGTCTAATTGTGTGATAATGTCTCGTGGTTGATGCTTGCTAGTGGTTGAGGGGTCTGGTGATAATGCTAAGTGATGTGGGGTTGTGTCGGAGAGAGAGATAGGTAGCAGACACTACGTTGCTGTTGAAGTTATGGAGCTGTGGGGTAGCTAACGTGCATCCTGAGTAAGTACTCCAGTAGCTAGGTAGTTGTTCCAATGCTGGATTCTGATTCGTCACGTTGTGATCCTCCGCAATCACAGTATAGGGCTCTACCAAAGTCTCTTCTAGTGTTTAAGTCTTTGGAGTTATAACCCATGGATGGGCTATGGCTACTGGGAAACTGACCTGCAGGTCATTGGTTTTTAACTTAGTATCACTTACGGCATTTTACGACAACGAGACAGGGCTTCAGAGTCCGTTTATGGGAGATATTTTACGGATATCAGTGTATAAATATCATTAGTCTCCTATCTGGCTTGTATTCTAAGATGCAGAGAATGCAGCCGTCGTTTGAACACGAAGGAGAAATAGAAACAACTGCTCAAGAAGGTCGAAACGGACTTTCCGGATCAAGTTATCATGACGAACACTATGACGGAAATAAAACCCGACAATATTCTCCAGTATGGGTTTAAGTGGTACCAGTCAGTAACAAACTTTTACTACAGTCCTCCGGGGGAACCAAGTCAGATTACGCTGAGTTGCGACAACAAACCGACAACCCCTGCGTGGTTCTTTGGAAAGGCCCCCCAAAGATACCTCAATGCAAGAAGGTAGTGCTTAAGGATGATCAGGTGGCCAGCTTGGATGCGTACGTGAGCTATCAAGGGCAAGGGTGGTGAATAAGGTTTGGACGAAAGGGGATATGGTTATGCGTAGGCAGCTGTTTTGGTTCATTTTTCAATCACTCCTTTATGCAAATCACTAGGAAAAACTTGGTTTGGTTATGATCTATTATTCTGCTATTGTTTTCGTTCCACCCCGGATATCAATAGATCGCTCCCCTTTGCCATGCGTATTCGTACCCCGTTACTTCTTGGGGATGCCTCTATTTAACAACTACGAGAACTCATACTGATAGAAGCGACAAGACCAGGAACGCAAAACTGCCAATGCATTAGGGTGTTTGCCATTAAACTTAACTTATGCTCCATTCCGTATCCCGTATCCCATACGATCCATGAGGTATCCACAACGCCAGCGCCATTCATTCATAACATGCCTATAATCCACCCCTATCCTTCAAATCCTGTGCCCTTGTCTCGCCTTTGACATACTCACTCAACCGCATCTCATTGCTCTCCCTCGCATGCCCAACCATACAACTCGAGGACTCCCCCGGCCTATACGACGAGCCCGGTGTATATGACGGCGGCGCATCCGCTGCTTGGTTAAGTTGCTGCGGTCGAAACCCATCCGCCACCGCCGCCGCTTCCGCCGGGTCTTCTTCGACTACCACGGTATGCTGCTGCTGTTGTATCAACAGCCCCTCCCTAGCCGGATCAATCGTGATAGTCGGCGACGTCAACGGCGAAACGGGTAACGTCGGCCTGCGCGCCTGATGGCGGAACGATTGGCCGGTCGACTGGCGGCTTGTCGTTGACCGTGGTGAACTAACGCCTTCAGTCACCGGTGATGGGGATGAGAACCCCCCTCCTCTAGCTCGAAGCACGGGCGAATAGCGGCGGCTGCTGTCCTTGGACGGCTTCAATTTCAGCTGCTGCAACTCGCTCGCGGAGATAAGTTGTTGGTCAACTTCGGTGTTCTTCGTGTAGAGGCCCTCGCAGATACGGAGGATGGAGAGCGTGACCGTGACCATGTAGGAGAAGCTGCCAGGGTTTAGCTAGATACCCATGGCTGTCGACAATTGGGACTTTGGGTGAGACAAAGGACCTACATGACGGCCACGGAGATAAAGTAGTAACCCCGTTCTAGTGCACACCACTTATCAAGCATCCCCTTTTTGTCGCTCGAGCCGTCGCCAAAACCTATCGTGTTGTAGCCCTTAGGAGCTTTGTTTGGCGCATCGTCGGACTCGCTCGTCGTCAACCCCTGGCAATTTGAAGGCACGCCTGTACGAGCCAAGATGGTAATAACGCCAATCATGAGCCCAGTGAATATCACGTCTCCCACCACGAAGGTAGCAACCACGTTCGTTGGTGCCTTGATGCGTCGTCTGCCTGTGTGTTGGACCAGCAGGACGATGGCCGTATATATCAGGACGACGCAAGTCTATAATACGTTGGTCAGACGCGGCTTCTTTTATGTGCCTCGAGCCTTGGTAGGCTTAATAGGGAATGTCTGTAGCAGAGATTACACACCATTATCTCGAGCGTAGACATGGCCTGGGAGAGCCCCAGGCGGTTGACGTGGATATACACCAGCAGGAACCCATTAAGTCCCGCGGAGACGATCGCCGCCAATACCTGGAGCAGCCTAACGAAGACCAGCCATGTTGAAAGACCCCATTTGGCCATTTTTATTGTTGTTGGACGCTGTGAATACCCCTACGGCACAGAACAATGGGTTGTCGCCACGCAATGCTCGACCCAAGAACGTCGAGCGGGGAGACACAATTAGACACAATTGAGGCTCGAAGAGAGAAAAAGGAGAGTGAGTAATACTAGAAAAGTGGCCGTAATCAACACGAAGAAAAGCGAGCAGAAAAACCACACAACACTAGTTGGGTGGCGGTCTGCAGGAGGCTGTGTTTCCTCTCAGCTGCAACATTGAAGATCACTCTTACCTTTACAATCGTTAGGCCTTTGGCCGGCTCAGCAGACAGAGGCTGCAGAAAACATTTGACACGAAACCCTCTGAGGCTAAGCGCAGCCTCTCTATATTGGACAAGCGGAACTTGCACCACCAGAAGACGCAGGCTCCAGAAAACGCTTGACACGAAGCCATTTGAGGCCAAATGCAGCTCTGTATTGGACAAGCGGGACTTGCACCCCCAGAAGAAGCAGGCTGCAGATTGATGGAGTTTTCTCGAGCGAATTGAGTTGCCGATGTCAGAAAAAGGTTGACAATCGGGAGTCACATCTTAACTCTCGAAGCTGATCCACTCGGCGGCACAGCCCGCACACACACCAAGGTGAGGCCTCTTGGGAGTTTATTTCTAGGTTAGTATATGGCGAACCAATCATCTTAAGTTAGGTGTTCCTGTCACAATGACATTGTCAAACAGACTCAATCGAAGACCAGATTTAGGATGCTCAAACCCAATTATCGAGGCGAGATTGAAAGACGCGTAATCGGCAAGCTCGGAAATGGGGAATAAGTGCATTTGGGCCAGATAGGGTGAATGCTTCTGAGGCTAGGCGTACCACACCTGCAGGCACAGCCTCAATCATCACTCCACTTGGCAGCAAACGCGACACCACCTAAGAGGAGAACAAGAAACATGAATCGGACTGAAAAGCCAATGAACGGCTGTAACGAGAACGATGGTTTCCTGGAATCTTGAGTGGCTGATGTTGTCAGGAGATGATGGATAGGATGGTGTGGTGATCTTCGCCCTGACACTGGGGTTGGGGGTGGCCTTAGTGGGTATGACCTATGGAACTTGCAGTCGTGTATCCCATAGCCATGCCGCGTGCTAGAGTAACGTTCGTAATGGATGAAGCCGAATATTGTCTAGTATAGGGCGGTCTGAAGGCTGTGCCTTCTGCCGCCCATCGGATTTTGCTAGGCTGCGTGCGGCAGCGCGTGAGAGTCGCGATGTCTGAGACGGATATAGACGTGTACTCGATCCTCGAGCAGGAGATATCTTCGCAGCCCGCCCAACGAACATGCTGCTTCGACCCTGGCTCATACATGTCCCGGCTCCGACTTGGTCTGAAGCCATCGATTGCCATCCATCCAAGGCCAACGCCTCTCGCATTGCAGTCCTCAAAGTCCAATTCGACACGACGGTATCACAGCCCCTTCCCTTTCAGTACTTACTCCTCATCCCATTCCCCCTCTGGCCACCTCATCACAAACCCCAAAACCGTTTTCTGCACCTCGACATCGCCAGGATCGTTTTCAAACATGGGCGTCTCCATCTTCTCCTCAAGCACTTTCTCCACCACAAACCCAGCCTCCCGCGCGCGATCAAAGTACTTCAGATCCTCGTGCTGCAACCAAGGCCGATAGCTCGAAAAAAATACATACGCCCTGCTTTCCCTCTTCCGGCTCAGTGTCTCCCTCGTCGTCTTGATGAGATTGTGGTGCTGGTGGTGGTTGAAGACCAGATCGGCCTGTATGAGGACGTCAAATTTGGCGTGTCTTTTTGGACTCTTTGAAGCTGAGCTTTCCGATGCACTTGCTGTCTCCGTTTCCCCAGACTGAGAAGATGCCAAACAAGCAAGCAGGCTCCCCGCATCCTTCCCCCAAGTAAACCCCTCCGCCACGACCCTGCCCTCCTCCACCAGCGGCCTCGCCTCCGCTATGTTCATCTGCATGTTCTCCACCAAATTACGGCTACTATAATCGCTCATGACGACCTTCCTCGCGCCGAGCACAGCGGCCACCAGGCTAGGCAGCCCGGCCCCGGCGCCGAGCTCCAGCACCGTCTTGCCTTTTACTTCCTCGGGGTGGTCCTCGAACCAGCGCGCGACATACCGCCCGCCGTTCCAGAGCAGGTGTCCCCATAGATTGTGGTGGCCAATGAGGTGCAGGGTGAGCGACTCGCCTGTCTGCAGCACGTAGGTTTGTGTTGTGGGCTCCGGTGGTGGCGGGAAGTAGCCCTCCGGTTCTTGAAAGAGACCCGTAGCATTGAGGTTGTCGTCGTCCGAGTCCGAATCCATTTTGGGATAAGTCGCTCAGTTGAATAAGAATGAGTGAGTTAGTGAGGGGCGAGTGTTTCGCGGGCAGTTGTGAATCGCGATTTGTGAAAATTGCATAGAAATGCGGGTTCGTTACAGTGCGAAGACAGTACTTAAGACACCGTGCATCCTGTATGCTAGTTGTTCGATAAATAACGACAATGACTCCAGTAAGCTGTATAGCTCCAGGGTCATGTTCTTTCCCACCTACCCAAACCTCTGCCTCGCGAGTTCCTTGAATACGGCCATGGTGCTATCCTCCTTCTCGCGATATTCTCTTCTTCTCTCCTCGATCTCCTCGATCCTCGCCCGTTGAATCTCCTCCCTGCGCAGCTCCCTCTCCGTCTTCTTCCGCTCTGAAGCCGCCTTCAGGCGCTTGAGCTCCGCCACGCTGTCACCGCCGCCTAGAAGCTCAGCGTCATTGACCTCTGCGGCCCCTGGCGACCCCTCGCGGAACCCCTTCATTTTCTCGTTGAGTTCCTTCTTCTTCTCCAGCTGCCTCTCCCGGGTTCCCGGCTCGGCGCGAGGGACGAGCTCCTCGAGGCGCGCCTTTTGCTGTATTCGGTCTACTTTGCGCTCGAGACGCAATTGAGCTACTTGCTCGAGTCGGTCTTCGTCCATCATCTCGCGCCGAAGTTCTAGATCTTGTAGACTGGGTATGCCGGGTCCTTGTCTCGCCGCCCCAGAGAACCGAGACAGCCCTTGTGAGATTGGCAGCGTCGGTCCATAGCCGTCGTCGTCATCGTTTCCGTTGTCCCCGTCTTCCTCGTTTAGAACCGTGCTGCCGTTGCCGTTGCCGTTCAGCTTGTTGCCACTTAAAGGCGGCGTACTCACTCCCCTGAGCTCGTCCAATTCCTCCATATCATTGCTCGAAACCTTGATAAACATTTCGGGGTTGTACCAACCCTCCGCCAGCGACCCCTCGTTCCACTTGTTGACAAAGCTCTTCCATCTCCCCCTAACCTCACGCTCGTCCATATCACCTATGTACTTGTTCTTCTGCACTTCGAGGTATGTCGCAAACAGCGACCTGAATATCTCGAAATCGGACTTGGCCAGTGGACGAGACGAATAAGGCAGCTGGTCCGCATAAAAAGTACCATGCGTATGAGACGAGGAACGGCGTCGTCGGCGGTGGTGGTGTTGGTGGGCATGATAGCGCGTGGAGGAGGAGGAACGGTTGCGTTTCGAGTCGCGCTCACGTTCGCTGGTGTCAAGATGATGTCGTCTGAGATGTTTCGATGCACCATCGTGGTGTTTTGTCCTCTCTCGTTCCGGCGATCTGGATCTCCGTCTATTCCCGTCACGTTCGTGTTGTCGGGAAGGTCTATCCTCGTGCTTCCTCCGTACTTTCCTGTCACCACCTGGTGATCTTAACCGCTCACGTTCCCGCTTAATTGAACCTCGCTCGTCAATCATCTCGCGTTGCGTCCGATCCATATCTTGCAGTCCATTTAGACTATAGTCTGACGAAGGCTTCATGTTTCTGGACTTTCGGTCCTGTTGAACTAGGAGGTGACCAAAGTTGGTTTAGACTGGGACGTTTCTAGTCGGAAGTTTCGCAACTGTCAACTTGTCGGGGGTTTGTCACGAATAGATAGCGCCTTGGCGTTGCAAGTCACCGATTCTCCACATTTCGATAAGCTTATTAGCCGAATTTGGGAATCCTGGGGCAGGACCTTCTCGGTGGATTCCCCCCTGCGACGCATCTGGCGTCATGACGTTGCACAACATCTCTAGGAGTTGGCTCAGGATTAAATTACTTTTGCTTCATACCGTCCACTCGGTATCGAGACCGTTCATTAGTGGAGATTCACCATAGGTTCCGAGTAGCAAAGCGCAATATCGCTAATCTAGGAGTATACCTGCCATCCGAACAGTCAGCTAGATCCTTGCTTGTCGGTAGGAGGGTGGATGTATAGTACTTCCCCATCAGTTCAGTCATATCTGAATCCATTACAGCATGTCTTACAGGTAGCAAAAGAGCAATATACATCATGCTGTCAAATAGGGTATATATATTACATCAGCACGTGCTTGTCTTGGTTACCCCGTCAACTTCGGATTCCCATACGAGGGATTCGTTTGCGACAACCTTTGCAAATATATCACCCTCGCTCGAAATTCTCTTGAAAGTACATAGCTTATGTCCAGCGATGGCCAAGCTTTATGCAATTCCAAAATGTCAACGTTATTTGCCGTAGGTTCCACGGCATCTCCAATATCGCAGCCCACAGGATCCTCTCCAGTCCAACTTGCCTCGTCTGCCGAGGCGGCTAAACCAGTATTATATAAAGACCATCAATAATATGATGCGTCATCACTATTCATTTGCGGGTTCGTTAGCGAGAGTCCGGCAGCAATGAGATCAACTCTTGCCATCACGCCCTGGCGACAACAATGTGAACGAGTGATCTGTCAGAATAATGCCTGTTCATCTCCCATGAGTCGCTCTCGGCCAAGATTGGGTGCTGCAGCGTGTGGTTTTGACGAACAGAGAGTCTATCGTGGAGGCAGCCAAAAACTTGCCTGGTGATAACCACCAAACTGATGCCACAAGTTTCTTCAACCATTAGTTCCCAGGATACCCAGGCTGGTTAGGCGCGGATGTAGCAGGCGTGCCGTGCATGTCGGGTTGGCGAGACTCTGCACCAGCGTCCTGACTACAGCTCAACCAACAAGTCTTTAAGCAGGAAGGTTGTTATTGCCGTGAGTAAGGCAGCCGGTGCACGCACACTCGTCTCCACACGGGCACGAGGCCTCCTGCCCCTGACAGTCTTCCTCGGTAGAATACTTGACGAAGAAGTAGTCCTCCTCTGAATATGTCTGATCCTCGCCGCTCACTGCCGAAGTTGTGTCCGAATGGCCCGGAGATGACTCGTCAACAGGGGACTGGGAATGTACTTCTTGACCACTTATTATGGGGTCAAAGGTCGCCGTTCCGTCCATGTTCTGGTACTTCAGTGCGCTGCTGACGTATTCCCGGGTTGCCGCATTGTACGGGTGAGCCGCGCATCCAATACAACTACAGTTCGGACCGCATCCACATTCATGAATTGTGCCCGGTGTATCGAAACCAGTGTGATCCATGGCTATGGGTTGTGAGACTGGATACGCAATGGACGACGAGGATGGCGATGGGTAGTCAAGTGCTGCCGCCATAGCTTGCCATTGCGAAGCCTGCAGGGGATGAAGATAGGTTCCATACGATGCAGGGTACGAGAAGATGGTTGCCTGTTGGTAATTAGCCGCATATATCTGCCCATTCATGCTCATCGGATACTGCTCCATCATGCTGGTGCCGTTACCGGGTTGCACGGGAGCTCCGAAGCTGTTGAACGGTGAGCTTTCTTCGCTGTCCACCTTTGGTGCACAACAGCCGCCAGCAGGCTTCGTCGGTGCCAGTTCGTGGGATATCGACCCTGAACTCGACGTCGGAGTGTGGCGAGCTACGCTGGATGCACCGGACGCGGCCGATATGCCAGAGCAGCAGCTGGATGTTCTGGTCCCATTCGTTGACGTTGTAGGTGATCTATCGGTTGGTCCCTCTAATCTCAGAGGGAGCTCGGTGTTGATGGTAGGTCTGGGTCGGTCAGAGCCATTGGCTACTGGAGCGGACATCTGGAATGGTCCTGGGTTGTGGAACACAGGCTCAGGGGCATGCTCATATCCATTCGTAAATTGGGGTGCGTAAGTGGAAGTGACTGCATCGATGGTCGCCACTCCGGGGCGCGGCTGGCCGGGCATCGGTCCGTACGAGCCCATGACATTGAAGTTGCTAGCATCCATGCGACCCAGGTTCGAAGGGTCATATGACTGTTTCCGCGTCGCCTTCGGGACCGCCTTGGAAACTCGGAAGGACGACTTGGCTGGTGAGAGCGGCGTGCCATCAGAAGCCGGAGGTTCCACTTTCACCGGGTTTTGTGCACTTCCCGGACCACTGCTTGGACATGCGCATTTACCCCGTCTAGGAATTGCAGCAGTAACGCCTCCGCATGCACAAGCATTTCCGGGAGGGTGTGGACAGGTACTAAGAGGCCGGCCCGGTTTTCGAACTGGCACCAACAAGCGCTCACCGCCATGGTTGCACTTGGTTGATCTGTGGCCGCGTATGCATGGCTCGCTATGAAGAGAAAATAATGCGCGTTAGCGACTACACAGATGGAGTGGAAGAACAGTTTGTTGCTAGAAATAGGCGCGATATTGAATCGTCAGAGTTGCCCAATGCTCACGATCCGCAATGAAAGTAGGCACGCGTCTGCAGCTTGCCGTGGACCACAACAGGCTGGAAATGGGCCCAATAGGGAGGTTGAGAGGAATTATGGTGCCGGGGAAACTTACCAGGCCATCTTCTGACCGTGTATTACCGGCATCTTGGGTGGTCTCGGATGTCAGTCCACTATTGTAGGTATGTTGCTTTGTAGCAGCCGGAAGTCGGTGCTAATGCGTATGTCTGATGCTGATCGTACACAGCCGTCGAAGAGGCTTTGAGGTACAACGTCCCAAGTGAAGTCTAATATGAGGACGGGTATATACGCCCTACTCGACCCCGGGTGACCTGCTGGGCGAGAAATCTGCAGGTAATGTGCCGGCAGAAATGAGGTATTCCCTGGGCAGTTACGAGTTGAACTTTCTGGTAATCGGTGACCAGGGTGGCGGATAGTGTGTGTGCCACAGAGAGAATGGTGAATATGTGTGTGTAGAAAAATTTGGGGTGCGTGCCTCGAGAATGATGGCCAGAGTTTGTGTGGGTATTGGGGTGATTTGCACCTTTCAGATAATGTCGGGAAACAACCGTGACTTCCTCGCCAGTTGCGTGTATTGAGCTGATTATGGAAAGCTGCTGACCGTTGGCTCAACCTAACGGCCTGGAAGGAAGCCAGCGCTAGATGGTGGCCGTAGGATAACAAAAACTATGGTTAGAGGTGTGCTCTTCGTACCAAGGAGTTATCAGTCGCAAGCTTGGCCGGTTGGGAAAGTACGACCGGGGGCACAGTTAGAGACCAAGCCAGAGTCGACGAGATGATGCTTGGACCGTGGTTGGTGATGTTTGCTCAGCAGAAGTAGGAATGCCGTCGTTCTCTCGGCTCCAAGGCTTCATTCGCGCGATTCAAGCGAGGCTGATGGAGAAAAAGATGGGACGAAACGTCGCGTTCTCTTGAAGACTGCGGACCAGGCTTCTTGGGTTTATGCAACTCCAGAACGGAGAGACACAGCTCTAGAGCATGTGCGTTCGGGAGTCGGGAGCCAAATGCTGTGGTGAAGTGAATGTAACGGCAATCTGCTGGCGCGCCCCAAACCCGGGGATTTGTACATTCCTCTTCCTCTTGTCGTCTAGACTTTTGTCGTTTCTATGCACGTCAATCCCTCCAGCCGTCTCACTGTGGTCGTGGCTGAAGGTTGTCCCACGTAAATAGAGGCTTGCCGACGATTCACCCGACTACACTCGATGGGCGACCAGGCCGCGGCGGGTTTGAGGAATTGAACGTCACCCTCTTGGTGGGGTAATGCGAACCTCGAAAAACGAGCAAGTTTTCATTGGTCAGTGCCGACACAGGACTGCTAGTACTAGAGATTCCTGGCAAGGACCGCATGGCGCCTGGGAGGGGCAGGGCTGTAAGAATGGACCGCCAGCAGGCGATAATTATACCACAGTACCTGTGAGGACCCTTGAGGAGGGGCGTCGCTGCAACGATGCTGCAACGATTCAGAAGCTGCCCCACGATCTCACCGAGCGTGCTCCGACCCTATGACCGCCGTCCTCGCCTAATCTCTCTTCCAGATAAGGAATCATCCTCTTGAAAGCTTTGGAGCAGGCATTTTCGCAAATCACTTTGCAAAGAAACTTCTCAGAGGTCTAGAAGACCTAATTTGATCCGTTCCGGCAGGGTCCGACTTGATCAAACCCTTCGAGATTGAGACGGTCCAAAACGGAGTTAACAGGACTGACCTCGACCTCAACGAGATCGCCTTGATAGTCAAGCTATCCACTCGGCGCACAACTGAACCGAGACGGCTCGGGGCTAGACTATATGCGCCGTTGCGCCTCAACCACGATGTTGTGTTGGACCATCTTCAATTCTTACAAACCAGTAGACTCACGAGACTCATCTTCCAACATGGCCATCTCTGTTCTTCCAAAGTTTCCGGCAGTGAAGCGACCTGTCAATGCATCTGACAACTCTCCATGCCTGCCTTCCACAACTTTGGTACCATGCTTACCCGCCAATATGCAGAGCACGACAAAGATTACCCTTTGCTGAGCTTACGCTAGATTCGACGACCTGTATGCGACCCAGCCATTTTGGTCCTTTCCAGTCGAGGGCGAACCTTGAAGCTCCGGACTACCGGTTGATGCTTGCTCAGAGGTGATGGAATGTTGGAAACAAACTACGTGGATCCTCGACTATACCCCAACGGCACAGTACCTTGCAGCTTGCAGCTTGCGGCACACTAAAGATGGCTCCGATGACGGTCACCGAGATATGAATTCGCATACACTTTCAGGAAAGCGGGTAAAGGAAACTCTCATCAATGTGGCGGTCGATTAGTTGCAAGAGCTTCGCGAGGACATCTCCGCCAAAGATACCGAGCTCCTACCGGGCGGTACCGAAGCGGAGGCGACCCGAAAGCTATCGCGGCTGCGGAAAAGTCTGTCCTGGGTTGGTCCTTAATCAACGGGCAACCTCGACTGTTCCATGAAGCATAATAGTCCACCACACGGCAGCAGAGGAACGAGTACAACACGCCGTGGGAGTCATAAGTTTATACTTACGGCATGTCAGTCATGGGGAAAGAGGCTAGGTACTTCTTCATCGTTCCAATAAGCATGGTTCGGTTATGGCTTTCGAATGGGAAATTTGATTAGAGTTCCGAAGACTTGTCACATAGAACAGTTTTCATTGAGGGATCTATGGCTTACCTACCAATGCTCGCTGTCGATCCAAGGGTCCACGCATATTCAGGCTCCCTGACGACACTAGGGAGAATTTGCTAGGGATTAGATCGAGGAGTGGCTTACAACGCTTTTGTCCCTCTGCAGAACTAAGAACGAGCGGACAGCCAAACGTACGAGCAAAACCCACATAATCCTGTGACTTATCTGGCTACTCACGACACCAGAGCTGCATGCCAAGCTCCAAGACGGCTGCGAGGTAGGCGGAGCACCTCAACGAAATTCACATGGTTCTCAACACGCTGGCACTCCAGCCCCTGGCGTCCTATATGCACTGCATAGCATAGTTTCTGTTGCCTTGCTTACTAGCACAAGGGTTATTTAAATTTAAGCTTATATACGTCCATGATCTATATACCCATTCCCGTTATGAGTAGCTACTTATGGCGAGGAATTGGTTCATGGGAAACGCAGGCTTTTTAATATTTTAACCCTTGGCGTCTCCTTCACGACCATGGAAAGGTTGGTCATCAAGGTCCTCAACCACCCAGAAGCGGCAAAATCGTCCAAAAATCTCGATATAACGTTGGCCAGATGCTGAAGCCGCTTGACTTTAAAGGTCGATAGGACAACTAGACCGACCATCCATCGAAACCACATGTTCCCTAGCGCCTATGAGGAAATTGGGTCTAACAGGACCATCAAGATCATCACGCTAAAATAGTTTGCAGCTTTGGGGCAAAATAATTCTACAGAACTTCGTCAACGAGTTCTTCTGGAGGCTAGGCGCGTGTAGTCAACCAACCTTAATCGCGATATTTTCACCTCCGAGGTAGCAGCTCTAACCTCTGTGGCCTCAAACAACACCACGCGTCTGATTCCGACTGAGTTTCGATGCTCTGTAGCCGGGCTTGCGGTTTCAATGACGACCCAAACCCCCTGAAGCTTCGTCGATATTGAGACCTTAGAGATCCCATCTACAGACATCGAGAACCACGACCATCGATCTTAACGAGGCAGTCTCCCAACCGTCTTATGGCTTATCTGGTGGGTTACCCCTCTTGAAGGTCGAACAATACATACTGACCTGAACGAATATCATCTCCAGTCCACAATGAGCCCGAAGTATCTGACACGACTCCGCTCACATGTTGATACACGCTTGGAATCGGTTTATTGTAAGGAAAGCTTGACTTTGACAGTTGGCACGACCATAATCTGATGGAGAAAGAGTTTTAAGGGTCATGTCTAAGTTGTCATGCTAACATCCACAGGGGTTCCGACACCCTTTGCCATTCTCGGAAATGTAATCAATACGCCGTGGCGACTCATTTGAAATGGAAACGGCATGATTGAGAAACCAACGTATGCGAAATTCTAAAGTCAATTCTTTCAGGAGCAAGGCCATGACAAGCTTTCGGCCGACATGAAAAGAGGTGTGTCCTTGGCTGCCACGAGGTCGGGGTTCAGTATGTAAAAACGTGTACATCACCTCACACTACCGCGTTTGGAATCCCGAAGCACTCCAAAGAAACTAATATGGTATTCATAATGTTCAAATACGCTTTTTCGAAAGTCAATGAACGAGTGAGTGTTTGGTGCGGCGCTGCAACAGATGTCGTGGCGTAACACCACAGTCCACTTACACAATCAAAGTCTTGCCCATCACATACAGTGGTATAGTTCGATGGCCCAATATTGACAAGACCATGCAAGTTTATATTTAATCAAACGCCGTAACAGAATTGTCGCCACTAGACTCGAGACTTGAAGAAGTCTTAGCCACTAGATAGCACGATGGCTCAACGTCAAAAGTCATGCAGATTTAGATTAAATCCAGATGCTGTCACGGTTTCCAATTAGAGTTAGATCGCACCAATCATTGTTACAGCCTTGGTTTCCTTGAATATGAACGTATGAATCTTCTCTTTCAAACGTATGGGGGTATCTCGATTAAGCTCAACCCTATCTGCCCGCCCGCCAGCCTACTTGCCCCCCTCATCAGACGCATCCGAGTCAGCAAACATGTCAACAGCTCGTAGACGCCTCCTGGGTCTAGGGCCGGCTTCTGTCAGGTCCCCATCCCCTCCACCAACACTAGAACCAACACCAACACCAGTAATACTAGGTTTCCCAACCTCCTGAGGCGCACTCACGCTCGCATTACCTTCCTCATCAGCTACCGGCGGCGGAGGCGGAGAAGGAAGAAGAAGAGGAGGAGGTGGCGGTGGATCTTCATCCATCTTATCGCCATCAAGGTCCTCGTGTCCTCTTTCCCACCCCTCCTCATCCTCACTCATCGGCACGCCGTCAATATCCTCATCCATGAGCTCGTCCTCGTCCCCCAGGTTCAGATCCACATCCTCGTCCATCGGCTCCCCATCATCAACATCCACGCCACCCACCTTGGTCTCACGACTCGGATCAAAGCCACCACCATCCGCCACAGCCTCGACAGGCTTGAACCCCCTCTGGCCGGCCCCCCCTCCTCCTCCTCCTCCCGCCGCCGCATCAATGCCCGCCCCTGTCTCCACCGGCTTCCACCGGCCCCCCGCTTTCTTCTCTTTTGTTTCGACCTCGCTCTGTTTCATGCTGTCGTCTTTCTTGATAGTAGCGGTAGTGGCGGCAGTGCTGCTGTTGCTGCTCGGCGGACTCTCAAAGCTCTTCGCAAAGAGTTCCTGGCTCTCGGCCGGAAATACGCACCAGCCCTCCCATAGCCCTAATACGAGCCCCACGCTGCGCTTCCACTTCTCCGCCCTTAGACGGCCCCAGTTCAACCGCTCCGCCGTGCGGCCCAGGTGCTCGAATACCTTCCGCTCGCGCAGCGACGTTTCGAAGAGCTGCCGGAAGCGCCAGCTATGTCGGACGCCGCTAGTCGCAGACGAGGAGAGGATGTCGGACACGATGTAGAGTCCGACGAGACTCGAAGCGCTCGTGTCTTCCGGCTCATTGGCTTTGGCAGCTGCGCCGGCGTCCTCGGGCAGAGGGGTTGAGGTGTTGGAGTCACCATTAGGTGGCGACTGGCCGTTGTCTTCTCCTTTGCTGTTCGGCTTGTATTCGGGATTTGCGAATGTGAGTGAGAATGGTCTCTCTATGTTCGAAACGATCATGTCAACGATTTCACCAGCTCCGCGGCTGGCGTGTGTAATGGCGAATGTCGTCACTCTAGCTATATCACCTTTGCGGATGCGACCGAGTGTGTTGGGCAGCCGTGCTAGTAGATGTGCTAATTTCGCCTTGTCGAAAGGGTTGAGGTAAGCGCTCTCATTATCGCCACCGGGTCCACCCTCGGCGTGCTTGTTCCCGTCGTCTTCAAAGTCTTCCTCATCAGAGGAGTTGTATTCAGGATCCGATACGAACTCATCGATATTGGTAGTGTATTCGTAGGCCAGGGGTTTCTCGGGCGTTTTCCATGCGTGACTACCTTCGAATAGAGGAAGGTACTTCCCCTGCTGCTTGCCATCTCTGGACTGTGAGCCCGTGATGACTTCCCATAGCCGCCAGCGGTACCATACACCGCCTTCGCTCCGTGCGTCCCAAAGCCAGGCCCATTTTTCCTCCCGCTGAACTTCTGGACGTGACATAAGTAAAGCCTCAAATTCGGGGCCATGCTCCAGGATTGATTCGACAACCTTGTGAATAAGTTGAAGCTGCTTAATGTCTCTCGGCGCTTGAACCGGGACATGCAAAATAGTCCTTTGGATAGGTCCGCCCGGTGGCCCATATGAAGATGGGGGGGCAAACCCACGGTGAAATTGTGCTGGTTGGTGATCATTTGTTTGAGCAACGGGTTTGGCTCCAAAGGGCTGGGATGCGGTAGCGGATGACAACGTGGCCGCCACGGTGGTTGTGACAGCTGACGATAAATGCCTGTGTAATAACAAGTTGAAACCATAACCGAGATAGCGATTTTGTAAAGAACTGACGGCGGCGTCGATGTCTGTCGCTGGCGTGTCCTGGGATAGAACCAAAATAGCCGTCATGGACTTCCGCTCATTGACGCCTGGAGCACCTGGCGGAAGCAGCTTGACGCTCTCGACTGTCAAATTTGGGGGTATGAGAGCCTTGATGACTGCTGGTGAGGTGCCAGGTGGCAGATTAGAGAGGCGTAGTGTGGGTTTCGCAACAGCTCGCTCCTCGGCCCTGTCTGTCGCCCTGGCATCTCCCTCGTCGTCACTTGTATTAAAGGCTTTCGATATCAATCTGGACGGCGGTGCATCACAGTCTCTGTCCTTGAGTCCATCTCTCTCACGCTCCTCTTCCTGAAACCCGAGCCGTCCCCGTCCCTCGTCTCTGCGTCCAAAGTCGCGCTGATTCTGACCCTGCAACCCTCCATCGAAGCCCCTCTTGCGTCCGTAACTCAAAGGTGGCGGTCCTAGACTCCCCGGCCCGCTCTTCATTCCACCAGCTGCGCCAAAATGTCTCTTCCCTGGCGCACTGCTACCCCCGAATGCTCCTCCTCCCCTGCCTGGCAGCCCTCCAAGTGTTCCACCTCCACGACCACCGAAACGACTGGAGCCCCGTGCGATAGCCGAGATCTCGTCCTCATCTTCGTCTTCATCGCGGTCGAAGCTCTTGACGAAGCTCTCGTAGACGGCCGCGGTTTCAGCAGCTTCGCGCTTTCGCTTGGCCTCCCGCTCGGCGCGCTCCTTCTCGAAGGCGGATTGCTTGGAGGGTTTCTGGAGTTTGGCTTCTACGTTGGGGAAGTCGGGAAGTTTGTTGGACGACATATTGTCACTCTTTCAGTTATGGGCTGAAGCATGTCGAGTAAATTGAGGGGTCGGAGGCCATTGGGACGTTGTTGAGGAAGTTGCTGGATCGTCATGTAACCCTTCGGCCGCTTGGATCAGGGTTGGTCTTCAAGGCAGGAATCTTAGATGGGACTAGTAGGCTGGAGCCTGCGGCTTATTCCGTGTCCGTGCGGCATCTTGATATCCCCTTCCGATATCGCGACACCAAGGCCTACCAACCCCACCCCCCTCTCTCTCTCCCTCCCTCCAACTGATACCCACAGGCGGATAAGTTACCGGGTGACTAGGGCTTTTATGTCAATTCACTTCGGCACGCCGATGGGTGTAGATAAGTGGTAGATTAGGTCTCAGAAGGTGGTGTCATTGTGGGAATCTAGGGGAAACTTCATGTATGTATGTTTGACTCAAAACATCAAGTGAGCTAAGTTCTCTTTATCATCATCTTGTTCCACAGCTGGTGCTGTTACCACCGCTTATCGCAGTCTCCAGTCCATTTCAAGATTTTCCCCATCATGAGTGAACCCTTCAAAGCCCCCTCGTCCCTCCTCATCATCGGAAGCGGTGTATTCGGCCTGTCCACGGCCTACGCCCTCACCAAGCGGCCCGAGTGGGCATCCACCGCTATTACGATCTTAGACCGCACCCCAGACTTTCCATCCAAGGACTCATCTTCGATAGACAGCTCGCGCATCATACGCGCCGACTACGCGGATGCCGCCTACGCGTCTCTTGCCGCTACTGCCTGGGAAGAGTGGCGGAGGCCCGGAGCAGACCAAATCGGTGGCCAGGGACGTTACACTGAGTCAGGTTTCCTGATCGTGGCTGACCAGGCCCCGCTCGTGAGGAAAGATGGCATTAAGACAGGTATGGGGTTCACAAAGGCTGCGTATGAGAACACGCTCCAGATTGCCAAGAAGGAAGGCCGTGAAGAAAGTTTTGTGCAGGTAGTAGAGGGTAAGGAGGCTATTGCCAAGGCGAGCGGGACTGATGCCGGGTTTGGTGACTGGGGATATCTCAACAAAGCGGCTGGCTGGGCCGATGCCGAGGCGTCCATGAACTGGTTGTACAACAAAGTTGTCGATACGGGGAGGGTCAAGTTCGTGACGGGGACGGTGGAACGGCTCGAGACGGAGGGCAAGCGAGTGACGGGCGCCAAGCTGAAGGACGGCAGCTCTGTGACGGCTGAACTGGTCATGCTGGCTGCTGGAGCCTGGACACCAAGTTTGATCGACCTTCGAGGACGTGTTGTGGCGACGGCACAGATCCTCCTGTATATGAGCATCACAGATGAGGAGCAAGAGAAGCTGGGTAAGAACCCAGTTCTGATGAATATGTCCCGTGGAACATTCCTCATCACCCCGGCCAAGAACATCCTGAAGATTGGCTTCCACTCCTACGGCTATCAAAATCCCCAAAAGGCATCCACCGCCTTGGTCGTGCCCAAAGATGGCGTGCCAACACCCACGGAGATTACCGTCTCGCAGCCACACACCCATCTCAACGATCCCAACCTCTGGGTCCCAGCCGAAGGAGAACGCATCGCCCGCCAAGGCCTGAGAAGTATGGTTCCATGGCCGTCTGTGCGCGATCGCCCATGGACCGGTAGCCGTACGTGCTGGTACACCGACACCCCAACCGGCGACTTCTTGATCACCTACCATCCGTACTGGGAGGGTTTATTCGTGGCCACTGGAGGCAGCGGCCACGGTTTCAAATTCCTGCCTGTTTTGGGTGATAAGATTGCCGACTGCATTATGAACAAATGCCCGACTGAGTTTCAGGACAAGTGGGGATGGCAGGATACCGTCAATGTTGAGAGAGTCATCTTGACCGAGGATGGGAGTAGAAGTGGGCGGCTAGGCTTGTTATTACATGAGGAGCTTCGCAAACAAGGGCCGCGTATGTGATTAGATAGATATGAAGACTTTTGAAAGAACTCGATGATTTTGCCTCAGCTATTGCTTAGACGCACAAAAGATAATGAATTGGTTAGCAACGAGCTGTCTTGTCAGCAAATCGTCATGGGAGAACCAACCAAGACAGAACGAACAGCATACCCAAGTAGAGAGCGTCATGAAAAAAGGGATGTTCAGTTAGTGCCGAAAACACGGCTTTCAACATTGTTACATCATGTAAAAAGCCGTATTCCTACATAAGTAGGTAATGATATCGGCTGATGGTAATAACTTACAACCTTCGTTTTGGATATGGTCAAAAGCAGCTACCTAAATAGCAGATTAGAGAACTGGACGAACTGCCAGGCCAGACAGAAACGCAAGCTGAGCTTCGGCTAGTTGCAAGAAATGCAATGTGAAACCCTGAGTAACTTCTCAACCTTACTGCAGGTTTGGCGATTGGGAATATCAGATTGGATACTAGACTGGATACCAGGAAGCCAAATCGGTTGTTGGAAGCAGGATAAACACTACGCCGATGATTTAAAGGGAATGGATGTTGGGGGTGAAAAATCAAACAGACGGGATTTTGTGCACAACCCCGCACGTGCTGCTTTGCAACACTCTGACTGAACTACATTGCCACTGGTGGAGAGTGACATATACTGCAGTTACTAGATTCACAATATACATTATAATACATATTATATTCAAGAATGCAGACCTAATTATTTTCAGCAGGAGGTGCATATATTCTGTCTAAAGAAGCTCCTCACACTACGGAAGTTTTTGCTGCTCAAAGTACCGAGGCTTTCGAAGTAGAGCCATATGGTGGCATGTGATCCAGTGGAACAAGCAATAAATGCATAATGCATTCGCATTTGCCAAGGGACGCACAGATAGAGTCCAGGCGTTCCAGCCTGTTACTCATCATGTGTCGGCATGCCATTAAGAGTGCACCAAACCTAACCTTTCAGATTCATCCCTGCAGACTGTCAAGGTGTGGCATATGACCGCCATCCACATCTCCAAAGTGGCCCGCCACCATCGTCGTTTATAGTCGATACGTGGCGTGGTATTAGGCAGCATCTTCACCCGGCGTAAATGCCGCTGAAGAATGCCAAATGCAATCTATAAACCGTCTGGACGGTTAAAAAGTATTTTCCGTGAAGAACTCGAAGGCATTTCTTCCAAAGCAGAGCCTTCCCGTCAGACGCCTATGCAATGCAATGCTGGAAGGACGAAAATGATACAAAAACATGCTTGAGCTCATGGAAAGGGGTAAATCGTGAACCCTATCACGCATTTCCATGACCTAGTAAGTCGGCAAGAGAAACGGATTTCATCATGTCGTGAAGGGGTGTGATGTACAAGGCGAGGTCTCTGGTGTGTTTCGCAGGAGGTAGGTTAAAAAGCAAGCCGATCTTCGTGCTCGGCGGCCCACACAATGAGATGATGGTGGTGCGAGTTAGATCTTGCGAAAATCTAATATTGAAATAGATTAGTACACCATTGAGCAATGGGACCAAGAGGCCCGGTAAACATACCTTGCAACACAGGGTAGATCATCTCGAACGCCTGGTAAATCTCCTCTCGGACGCGAGCACCAGTTAGGACGATCTTGCCGGAGACGAAGATTAAGAGCACAATCTTGGGCTTGATCATACGGTAGATCAGACCAGGGAACAGCTCGGGCTCGTAAGAGCTGAAGTTGTGGTGGCGAGAAGCAAGTCCTTCCAGGCGGATGGGGAACTTGATATCACAAGATCCAACGATGTTCTGAATCTTGAAATCCGTAAACTTAGCGTTGAAGCCCAGCTTTTGGATGATACGCGCATACTTGCGCGATGCAAGTTTCGAATCATCTTCTGACTTAGCACCAGTCACAACCATCTTGCCCGAGGCGAAGATAAGCGCTGTGGTCTTGGGCTCACGTATGCGCATAATGACAGCAGCGAAACGCTAATTGAATTAGCCAGGCATAAATAGAAGAGTAACAAGATTTCAATAGTACCTTTGGGTTGTATTCAGCATTGCGGGCGTGAAGCGCGATCGTCTTGAGATCAAGACGGCAGTCCAGGTTCACCGTGGCAACGATGTTCCTTTGTCAATGCGCGTGAGCAAAATGTGATACAACAAAGATGTTAGGTCAAACATACTGCAGCGTAGGAGTCAATCCACTGCCACCAGTGGTGGCTGCTGCCGGCGTAGCAGCAGGAGTAGCCGGAGCCACTCCAGAACCGGTACTCGATTGCTGACCGTTGTATTGCGTGGTGTTCTTGTCGACCGAAGTCGATGGAGGAGTAAGCTCTCCCACGGCCCCGGGGAACGACAAAGAGCCAGCGGCAGTGAAAGCCTTGGCTTGGGCGGCAGTAGCCGGGTGGGTCTGAATACCCTCCATATTGTACCGGAGTACTTCTCTCCAGATGTGTGCACGAGAAATAGTTGACTCGAGGTCGAAGGCAGCGGACCTAAGAATGAAATGTCAGAACAATGAAGACAATAATGAAAAATACTGAGTAAAGCAGTGGGAAAAAGAATGAATGACAAGCGCGTGATGAAGCGCAAATGCAAATCGCGATATTGATTCCAATATTGATTCCAATATTGAATGTTCGTTGCGATCGACAAACAGTGGTGGGGCTGAAGGTTTGTCGGAGCAGGTCAACCTGGCGGGGTAGCAGGGTCAAGTGCCAGCGCAAATATCAGACATCTTGGAATTTTCCTTTTATACAAGCACAAAGTCCAACGTGAAGATGCAATGAAGATTAATTAATCCTTACCGAACAAATGGAGTGTAGAAGATGAACAAGTGAATGTCTCCTCCACACAGCAGATACTGCAGGTAAGGTGATTGGACAGATCTAAAGATGTGACCAGAGGAATGAACACGCAACGATGGGACTTAAAGTCAACGACTCGTTCGCGATGGTTATTTCGGGAGCAATCGTAAGCTTGGTTTATTAAATTCGAAGCGGAAGTCGGAAACGAATGAGCGCTGTCGATGTCGAAAATCGGTCGAGCGAACGATGCGATGTGACAACAACGGCGGCTGCGATTCGATCCTTCTCGCGGCGACGTAGTTTGCAGACAGAGGTACCAGTTTGGTAATCCCTACTGAGCTTGCTTCAAAACTTCTCTATTCTGATGAAGCCGGCAACACTGCACCGTGACCTGTGCTATGGTGGGCTTGATAGTTGGGATGGTGAGAGATGAGAAGGGCTGGGTTGATGGCGATTGGACCTCGAGTCTAATCCCGTGACAATGGAAGAAAAGACGTTGCGGTACTCCCAGACGGAATGCACCGGATGCGATTGCCGCTGTCGATAGGACGGAGGGAAGAGATAATAGAAAAGGGAGTGTGAATGACGTAGTTGCTATTTGTCTAAGCCGAATCCGTCAATTCGGCAAGTGCGGGGGTGTAAGGCTGATGATGAAAATTGCCAGAGGAAGATGGCAGATTGACAGCTGGCAGATACGTGGGGTCGGGATCGGGGTAGAGACTGCCGCGCAAGAGCATCGACCCGGTCGAACTGAGGGGATGGCTGGCTTTAAATAATTTTTGGCAGCAACGGCCTCGCCCCTGGGTGTGCTCCGACCTTTGAGGCAGCGACGCCTCTATTGTGGCGGTCCCATATTTATCAGCAGCTTCCTGCCATCTGAGTGGCCACATTGGTCAGCGCAAGACCAATCAACTCAAACTCTGCCCCTAAATTTGATCTTTCCCCGACCTCTCTCTTGCCCTTTGGTCCTGCATTCTTCTCTTCTGACAGCGTTTTCTTGTCATCGAACAAATCTCTCAACATGTCACCACCCGCGAAACGCATCGGATTCCTTCAACATCAAAAATACCATGGCAATGAAGCTGACGAGAGAATCGACCTAATTTTCTCAATTGCGAGAAGCCAGTGGTAGTATGAAAAAAAGGATGAAAAAAGGAAGAGAGGATGACGACGAAACCCACATTCAAAAATCATGTCCATCGTCATGCTGCCGATAAACTCGCACTGGGACCAGGTTCGCCCGCTTGCTACGTGCTCAGGGCGTCCAAACCCCAGCCAAACCTGCCACAGCTCCTGACTCCCTCCAACCCTCTGAAACGGTTGCCTCCCCTTCCTTGGTTTGATGCCGTACTCTTGGCCATCATATGCGGAAAAAAAAACACAAAAAAACAAAAAAGAAAAAATAATTTCTCCCTCGCGATAATCCACCACGAGATTTTCTTGGAATGGAATATTTTCATCAGCACTTGGTATTGTTTGGGGTTGTCTTGCTGCGGCAGCAAGCGCGTGTCTGCTTTTGCACATAGTTTCGTGTTACCTTTATTGATGCGCGTCTCCTGAAGCCTACTTCACCTACCCATGGTTATTTCTGGGGTTCATTTGTAACTTCTCATATTTCAATTCAAGGGTTTCATTGTTTGCAGCCAAACAGCGAACCATACAGGAAAGGAGAAATTACTTTTGCGCACACTATCATCGAATGGGAGATATCAGCATTGCGCTGCCGACGGCCGTTGAGTCTTGCCGGTGGAAGAACTCTTCACGATGGTTCTGCGTGGCCCGTCGAGGGATGGGTGCCGCTATATTGCAGCACATGTCTCTTCTGGGTTTCATCATCTGCCGGTAAAGCACAGCGACTAACTCATTTCCCAAGCACGACCCCTGCGACAATATTGTTTTTGCCGCTAGCTGCCAGCCTCATCTGGGACGGTCCAGCCATCGACCAGCCATCGGAGCCATCGGGCAGCCATCGAGCGTCGCGGCGACGTATGAGTCATTCCTACAACACAACTCACTGCCCGATTTCTTGTTTTCTTTGACAACAAAATGTCGGAAATCCATCGCACTGGCCATCACAGATTTGGACTGGCACGATTCGCATTCCTAGCTGCTCTTGTATGGACAGTGCACGTTTGCCTATTGCAAGTTTGATTCCAATAAAGCAATGTCATACGAGCACGAAACTGTGCATCACATTGCACAAGGGAACTTTTTATTATTTCGTGATGAGCTGCAAATTACTTTCCTGTCGCGTCGCGACGGGACTGACCCTAGCAAGCGCCGTTGTTTTCATATTAATGCAAGCGAGCTAACCATGCAAGATGCGGGGAAAGCGGCGTGAAAATTTTTAGGCTGTACTCCGTGTGCTCGCACTGTCACGACATCGCAGCTGAGCGGGTCGATGACGAATGCCTTAACTCCTTTTGCAAACTGTTCTCAGTAATAACTGCGCATGAACAATCGGATTGAATAAATCGGTGGGTATACTTGTTGTCATAGTGTACTAAGTTCCTTTATCGGGCATATCAACAGATCAAGATAGAACACCGCCGCTCCTCGTAGATATCCAGATGCTGGCCAAGCTATTGTACTGACGTCATTATGCTCAAACAAACTCATACCCTAATGAAGTATATTAGGTTTCATGAGCTACTTGCGGTTACATAGGTTTCTTCAATAAGCTGGAGATGTGTGTAATTGCGAGAAACTATTAGGTTACGTAGTCCACCTCTCTGCATTGACAGTTGGAAATATAGGCTCAACCAGTATCTCAACTCCTACCTGTCTCAGTCTCTCGACGAAAGGCATCCCAAGGGTTGAGGGCGTGCACATCCCGCGGGGTCTCAGTGGCGATGAATTACTATCCAAGTTCAACTCGAGCAAGGTGCCTGCGGCCTCAACCGCAAGAATGGCACTGATATCCACTAGAGCACCGTTGTAAGTAAATCGAGCCGCTGCCACCGGTTTCCGATGCCCTTTCAAGAAACCTATTGCGCTGAAGTCCATGCGCTCTTTCTTTCTACTCGTCTCGCGATCGGGACCAGATCCGGGCTCGTAGGAGAACCAGCGGAGGAATGCTCGAAACCATGGAGTAGCTAGGAGCAGGATCCCGAGTTTGGTAAGAATGTGTACCAGAATGGCGCCCATCATCCCCGATGCCGGCTGGTACTCCCGGAAGGTGAAGTCGGGACCGTAGAGATCAGGCTTCAGTCCAGCCGAACGCTGAACCACTGCTTCGTTGGAGCCGGCGACGATGGACGTGGTGAGGTGTCCGAGGGTATCGTCGTAAAGATAGCCGGTGAGTCGTTGACTCGGCCAGGAAACGTGCTTCTGAGGCCTTTGTTGTGAAGACATGGCCCAAGCATCGCCTGAATTATACTGTCCAATACCGTATTTTTCAGCCACGCCGAGCAGGGTCATCAATGAACCGCCCTGCATGCCCAGCATGGTGAGCCTGCCGGAACAGAGAACGTGGTTGATCGTTTCACCCGGCGGCTGGTTCCCCTTGACCCATGTGGCTAGCATCCAGGCGACCAGGTCAGACGGTGAGCTGCAGTTGGAGATAGCGGGGATGATGATGGCGCCGCTGCCTTTGGCTATGGAGTCGTATGATTTCACCATATCGACAATCCAAGGCGTCTCGGTGCTAAAGTCGACGTAATGCGTGCCGCTGCTAGCACAAGCCGCGACAACGGGGGTCGAGTAGGCGTGGTAGGGTCCGATGCCGTTGATGAGAATTTTGGTTTGCTGCGCCAGGGGATTGAGTTGTTCAGCGGTCAGTTCGGGGATGGTGTGGATGACTGGCGCAAGACGGTCGGGGTTGAGGGCTCGGAGATGGTCTGAAAGGGATAACAATTTGGATCGTGAGCGACCGGCTAGACACCATTTGAGGGTCGTGGGGAAGGTTCGGGTGATGTGCTCGGCGCAAATGGCGGCTGTCCAACCGGTTGCACCCAGGACGGTGATGTCGTATTCTCGGGTAAGCGGCGGCATCTTAAGGAGTTATGCGGTGGGTGAGTACATGTGTAAAGCAAAGTCCGCATAGACGAGAATACCAGATGGTGGAATGTGAGGAATTGGGCTTGGTTTTGAAGCATGAGAAGGGAAGTCCAATCCTGACTGTCCGTATCCTGACTGAAGTCACAATCCTTTTCTCTTACAAAGCATCCGGAGCTCCGGGTTTGGGTAATCGCCCCGGAGGAGATTGAAGTCCCCGGTATGGCCAGCCGGCGACACCGAACTTGCAACTCGTGATGAAGACCCGGCTCTTTCTTTGTAGATTGTAGTTATCGGTCGTCTCCGAGCTTCAAGAGGATGATTGACAGGTGGTTCTTACCACGGATAATGCGCTGAAGTCTGTTCTACGCTTGGTGTAGCAAACATGTTTGGAAGCTTCTCAAGACGCAACGGTACAGAGACAGAGGCAATCGAATCGTGGCAGTCAGTATCCTAATTTGTGTTCGGTGATGCTTTCACCCGAAGATCAACTTGACAGAATCCAAATTTTATCTATGGGTAATACTCTTGTTCGATTGCCTAAGAAATGGCAGCTCCAACATGAGTTACGGCACACGTCTGATGCAAAAGAATTTGAGACATAAAAACACTTTTCGACATCAATCATGCACTTCAACCATATCTCACTTACACCCACCCCCTGTTAAATGCCAGCGCCAACCCATGCCCCCTGCTAACCCCCTGCTGAATTCCAGCGCCAACCCCATACCTCCTGCTACCCCATGCTACCCCAGAGTCCTCAAAACATCCCTCTCACTAGCATTCACAATACTCATCATCAACAACCCCAACTCATCCGCGTCATCGAGCCACATCTCCGCCCGTTTATCCATGAAGATCTCAGGGCCAATACACAAAAATTCCGCCTGCATAAACTCCCTTCCATCCCACTGCGCCAACCACCTCGTATACAGAGCATTCCACGACTCCTCATTCCCCGCCTGCCAGAGAAATTTCGCCCCCGGCGCCGGTATGCGCGACAGCTCGCGGCAGTCGAAACTGCGCGCAAAGCGGTAGATACCGTAGGCCCAGTGGAGGAGGTATAGAGATATGATGGCGCGGCGCTTGGCCTCGATGTGCGCCCATACGTGCCAAGGGGGACGCTGGTGGTTGTCTTCTTCTTGCAAGATGAGGCCTGTTGACGAGACGTAGTTGGCGAGCGTCTCGATCTCGGTGAAGAGAGAGGGTGGAATGTTCAGGGAGAAGTGGGATTGGCACGGGGAGGGGAAGAAGAGGAGGAGAACGTAGATTAGGATGGCCTGTAGGGAGGCGAGAAGGGTGGGTTGGTCGTAGGTTCGGTACTATGGTGGAGTTATTATATTTCAAATCTTTGACTGGCTGATAGACATCAAGTTGATTGAGATAGTGGTAATCACCTTTGCGAGCAGAGAATCAATCTCCTGTCTCACAGCATCCTCCACCATCGTTGTGGCACCACTATCGCACTGCCCCAACCACATTCTACAAAGTGTGATGCAGTTCGCCAGGGGCCGGGGCGTGCCGTTTCTAAACTGAGAGAAGTGAATCATGGGCGGGAGTTGGAAGCTCTTAGCTAGCATCCGAGGCCACGAGCGTAAGACGCGAAAGACGTGCCGCACTAAAGCAACCGAAGTCAGTAAGTTACTGCATTTTGATAATATATGTGTTGGGGTCTTCAAGTCATGTTTCGAGAGCAAGAGCACTCCCGCATGGCTCGATCAGCACGAGTAAGTGAGACTGAAGAAGGGAAATACATGACTTTCGAAGTTGCATACTACTGTGTTTGACGAGCTCCTCTGGATCAGGAGTAAGTTTCCTCGACACCACGGCCAACATCCAAGACTCGAGGTTCTCAGAGGTCCGGGGCGGTGGACCCGGATGCGGACTTGCTGAGGAGGACGACGATGAAGAGTTGTTGCTCGTGAGACACGGATCTAAGCTGAGACACGGATCTAAGCTGAGACCAGGGTACAGCAAAGAGAAACCAACATCCTCGTTGACCGAGTTGTCGTTGAAGAAATTGTCATCCGGTACTATCGTATCGATGGCTGTATCCAAGGCGGCGGAAAAGTTGCCATTTGTGGAGAAGTAGGCATCTTGGGCTGGCTGGGAACGGGCAGGGAGCTGGCAAGGAGTGGCGACTGCGGGCAACGATAAGGTGGTGGTAACCGAATCATGAATGGGGCGCACGTATACACAGGAAACTCCGTGGGTGTTGCAGCGGGAGCAGCTAGGCCGGAGCAAATCGCAGCGGGCTTTGGCAGATATGCAGCCTTTACAGGCCTTTCGCCGGAGTGATGGCGTGGGCCCGAGAGTGCATTTCTTGCTATGCCTTACAAGAGAGGATTCTGTAGGTGTTGGGTTAGTCAAGTCCCTGAAACGGTTACCTCATGTAAGTCGTGGTGCAATATGGTGCGACTCCCACTCCTCAGACTTCATTGCTTCACCGGATCAACCTGTGGAACACCCAGGGATAGAACTCTTCTCCGTGGATTTTCTAAGTGCAATAAGTCTTGAAGACAGCCGTCGTACCAATTGTACCACTATACTCGAGAATTGCAACGAGCCGAGTAAACCAACTGTGTCTAAAAGTCTTCTTGCAGAGACCACAACTGCGGACTGGCACAGGTCCAACGCTCATTTCGTCCATTCCTAACGACTGATTGCTCATTGCTATGGTTGACTGCAGGAGGTTATGAGAAGCCACCAAAACACTCTTCCCCGATCTGTTCGCAAAAGAACCGGTGCTTTTGTATGGTTCAAGGAAGGGTGTACCCTGAACTCCGGACATAGTATGGTGTACGCGGAATTCCGGGTTGCGTATTGCTAATGACGTGCAGGGGGTTGATGGCCCGAGATAGCCCGAGATAGCCCGCTTAGAGTCCAGGTGCATCCGTTGTGGAATATGACTGGACCTATGCTGTTGTTACTCAGCAACATAAATGTCAGTACTAAATTACTGTCCGCAGCGCTGATGGCAACAACGTCGAGGGGGGATTAACTGTATCATGACATGACTTGTTTCTATTTGGTCTGCTTTCTCGTCGCGTAGGTCGCTCTGCTTCGAGTCGGCTTACGAATGTCTGGCCGTGTTCTCCAGGGTCTGAAGACTCATAGATAATCCCTTCTCAGGTGTTTATGTTTGCAATATTATGTGTACACTTTTAAACAAGGTCGACAATATTCATCTTGTCTGACAGACAGAATACCGCGCTCGACGGTGCTCACCGGATCGCGAACTCGTCATCGGTCCCTGGCCATGGCCAGGAAGTGGAAGGAATTGGCCGTGAAATTGAACGACGCTACGTCATGTAGTATTTAGGTCCCTCCGCACCTTGAGGAACGGCCCAGTTGATATCTTGGTTCGGTGCCTTGATATCACACGTTTTGCAGTGAATGCAGCTGGAATATTGGTTAGCCTTGGAGGAGTCTCGACCCTCAGTTGGGAGCAGGAGCAAAGTGACTCAAGATGAAATAGTCTCGACTTACTTTTGGGCATTGATCTGGAAACGCACTCGTAGTGGCTTGGACTCATCCTCAACATATTCGTAGACACCCGCAGGGCAGAATCGGTTCTCGACACCTTTAAATCTGGGCCACGTGTCTGTGGTGTGGGCATCCCAGTCTTTGACTTGGAGATGTACTGGTTGGTCTTCCTCGTGGTTTGTGCCCGTTCGGGAGACGCTGGTCAGTATGTCAAATGAAACCTTCCCGTCTGGCTTCGGGTATTCGATCTTAGTACACGAATCTGCGTGTTTCGTGGCCGCGTGGTCCTCTGTTTTGTGTTTTAGGGTCCACGGAACTCTCCCCTTGAGGACGAATGCCTCGAGCCCCGAGTACATCATGCCGCCGTACAATCCCAGAGGCGTATGGAATGATGGCCGTATGTTTCGAACTTCTTTCAATTCTTTCCATATACTTGACTTTCGTAATGATTCTTCGTACTGATAAAGGAAGACGGATCCTTCCGTATCACCCTGGAGCGCGTCCCAGGCCGCCTCAGCAGCCAGGATTCCTGACTTCATTGCGTTGTGTGTGCCCTTGACTTTGGGGACATTGATGAATCCGGCGGAGTCTCCGATTAAGGCACCGCCAGGGAATGCGACCTTTGGTATGGACTGGAACCCACCCTCAACCAAAGCTCTTGCGCCGTACGAGATGCACTTTCCACCCTCGAGGACGGTCTTGTACATCGGGTGATGTTTCATTTTTTGAAACTCGCCATACGGCGATAGCCACGGGTTCGAGTAGTCGAGAGCAACCACGAGCCCAATGCTAACAAGATTGTCCCCGAAGTGGTACATCCACCCACCGCCATAGGTGTCGGCAGGAAGGGGATATCCTAAAGAGTGGGCGACTAGCCCTTTGTCGAACTTTTCGGGCGCAACTTCCCAGACTTCCTTGAGACCTAAAGCGTAAGTCTGATGTTGGCTGTCTCTCCTCAGATCGAACTTTTTGACAACTTGCTTGGTTAAACTACCGTGGCATCCTTCGCCGAACATGGTGACTTTGGCGTGGAACTCCATGCCGCGTTCGAAGCTATCCTTGGGCTTTCCATCTCGTCCGATGCCCAGATCATTGGTTGCCACGCCGTGGACCGATCCATCGGGCTTATACAAAACTTCGGCCGCAGCGAATCCAGGGTAGACCTCAACGCCAACCTCTTCTGCGCGTTCGCCCAGCCACTTGGTGAATTGATTCAGACTGACAATGTAGTTGCCGTGATTTTGCATCTGCGGAGGCGTCGGGACCCACACGGCCTTGCTCTTGGTAAGGAAGCGCATCTTCTCGCTGGTGGCCGGGGTTGCATGTTCGAAGCGATTCTCGTTGGCTTCGTCCAACCAGTCCGGAAGTAGCTCTTGAATCCCGGTGGGTTGGATGACGGCACCCGAGAGAATATGGGCCCCGATTTCCCCAGCTTTTTCGAGCAGAAGGACCCGGAAGTCTTCGTTGCCGTTCGCATTTGCCAGTTGTTTCAGACGAATCGCAGCGCTCAGCCCAGCGGGACCTGATGGGGAAGAAAAATAAAACCACCATCAGCAAGAGAAAGCATGGCGGGACAGAGGTATATTCAAGCAAAGTGACTACTCACCCCCTCCTACGATACACACGTCGACTTCGTCGCTTTCACGTTCGACAGATTTCGGGTCGAAGGACTCTTCGATATCTGCGAAACGATTCGCCCGTGTGGTACCGAAGGCCCTAGCCTGGACTACATGCCGTACGCCCCCTGCCATACCCGGTATTATATGTCTGTGCCATTGTTTCGATAATGCAGGGAGACTTGCTACTCTACATATTCGGCTGCTGAGTTGTGATCTGATCGGCAAGGCACCGCCGCGCACGAGGGCTCGGAAAGGCATTGAGGTAGACATGTTGTAGTCCGCTCAATTTGAGGGTCGTCTATCGTGGTGAACTTGTCGAGACGCTCGCGTCGCAGAGTTGGGTGCGTGACAACAGAGTGGAATGCGCACTTCGGGCAGTCGTCGCAAAGGACGTTAAAGAAAAGCATGTAGATGCTGATAGCCCCACTCCAGCAGGTTACCGTCTCCTGAAAGCCATGGACGGAACGTGCACGTAGGCGAAGCCGATAGTTTCCTGAACTTTAACGGTGCAATTGGACCGGACGGCTCGAAAATGACGATGACATCAAAATTGGCGGGTGGGCGAGTTGTACGCTGAAGCTCCAAGAAAATTCCCGAGGCACTTTTGATGCCGATTTGGGTCCCAGAATCCAGTAGACTGTGGCCAATCACAGTGCTGCTATTAGGGAGCGTGGGTGCATTTCCTAATCGCCCAAAGCTCAGGCCAAATGCCATGTGAAATCCATCTAAGAATTCCTGGAAGCGACTATGCGTGCATCTTCAGGATGGATCATCCAATGTCCACGAACCGCTCCATCTCATTTCAAAATCTTGGCCTTGCTTGCGTAGTTGATCAATGCAAGGCAGAACTCCAAACCAAGAACATGCATAGGACAGACATGTCACACATTGGCATTGTTCATGTATAGGCTTGCGACTGAGGCTCAAAAATCGGTCCAAGGTTTCGGGCAGTCTTTGGAGGCTAGCCCTGGATTCGACCTGGTCAGGGGCCCCTCTCTGTTCTTTTAAGCTTCATTTTCATTTCCTCCACTAGGCCCATTGATTTCGCTGTGGGTAGTTGACCTGCGGGCTTCGACGCAACAAGATCCGTCAACACAGCGTCATCTTTTGACTCTCGAGAAGTACCCTCCCAGTTTCACCAATCACCAAATACGGCGCTCGCGGTCAGGTCTGTATCAGTCCCTCGGCAGCGACTCGCGACGGCTTTGCTTTGGAACCGGAAAGATCGTGTCCTGAGACCTACACAAGATCATGTCTCGTTCTGGCCACGGCCAGGTAACCCCGTCTAATGAAATCGTCTCTTCCACGGTGCACGTCCCTTTTTGAGGCTGTGCGGCGTTCATCTTTCACCTCAGGTCGCGTTTGACGCTGAAGTCAGCCCATGTTTGATCTCCCGTTTTAGAAGCCTGCATGCCCAGACGGGCAACCAGAATCTCCAAGTTTAAAAAAAAGGGATACCAGATACCAGTGGATACAGGCTCCACCTCAACGTCGTCAAAATCACTCCAGGCTCGTCTTGATTGTCGGAAATCAACCTGGTAAGAGAGAGTGCCGTTGAAAGCTTGGCCCTGCCAGGATATTCCTCAACATGCTGGTGGTGATTTAGTAGTGAGTAGGCTCTGTTTCGAGAATCATGCAAATGTCTCCGAGTCTGTTTGAGGCCAATGAAAGCGTGCAACGTGCTCTCGGGCCAAGATGCTCGTTCACTCCAGCTACCCCAGCTATGCTCGTCTTCTCCTTAGCATTCGAAGTCGGGATGACCACCCGCGACTTGGCTCAACTGTCAAACACTTGGGACGGGAGTTGGGACCGCCCGGGAGCTGGGTCAGGGGATCGTGGATTGAATTTGGCGCTCAAGAAACCAGTACGGTGTTGAGGTGACTCCATCCCCTGTCCATCATGGATTCGCAACGAAATCGCCATGGGGACTCTAAAACTGAAGGGTCATTGCCATACATATATAACAGTAACCATTGCCGTTGTAATTATGTCTTACTTTCCTCATCTTACTTAAACCCACCAAGTACACCGTTCTTTCCTTTGTCTCTCACACCTAAGAGGAAAGTTCTCAGTAGCTCATCCAATCAGTGTTCCAACTTGAATTTCGAGTATTTACCAACACATTAGCCGGGGCTCCTTATTCGTCCATTACTTCAACACTTTATTCGTTCTTGTATAACCCTTTCTCGATTCGATCATTCTCCATCTTCGTTGCGTAAAACCCATATCGCCGACATGAAGAACGTTGGTTCCGTCTTGATGCTGCTGGCAGCTTCTGCCAGCTACGTCATCTCCTACCCTACCCACAACTCAGCGAATGCCCTTGCGGCACGCTCTAATTTTGATCCACGTATGACTCTAGATGCCCACCTTGATGAACACCGACTGATAGCCTCTTGATAGATCTCGTTCCAAGATTACAACATGCCAGAGGCAGAAGAGCTGCCCGGAGAATCGATCTCGCCGCTCGCGGTAATGTGAGTCTCCTACTACTGCAAATCCCTCTTCCATGAGACATGCCTAATATACTATTTCAGGACACGGGCAAGAATGACGGTGTGGCAGCAGGAGGTGCCGCTGCAAATGGAACAGCCAATGTCGTAGGTGCTGGATCCAACGGAAATGGCACAGCAGCAGTCGACGGCGATGACGAAGCGGCAGAGGAGGAAGAGGAGGCAGCCGAAGAGGAAGAGGAGGCAGCCGAAGAGGAGGAAGAGGAGGCAGCCGAAGAGGAAGAGGAGACAGCCGAAGAGGAAGAGGAGGCAGCTGAAGAGGAAGAGGAGGCAGCCGAAGAAGCGGCCAAAGAGGAGGTCAGTAACCTATTCAAGAACTCCCTAAGTCAAAAAGAGCCATTACTAACCAACGATGATAGGCTGCGGCTGAAGAGAAGCTCAAGGAGGGGCAAGAAGACGTTGCTGAAGACGCTGCCGGCGATGCAGCCGATGATGCAGCCGGTGATGCAGCCGGCGATGCAGCCAGCGACGGCAGCTTCCTATCAGAACTCTTGTCCTCGCTCACTGGTGCTGATGATAACGCAGAGTAAGTCTTGCCATCCATGCCTCATATAACATAAAAATATGGGAGACTAATCATAAATAACAGAGATGCTGGAGGTGTCGATCTTTCAGGTCTTCTGTCCGGACTCCTCGGCAAGCGATACCACGACCACAAGAGGCCCACTAGACGAAGCTTCAATATTCACGTCTAGATGTTTTTTCAGGCGGCGATCCACACAGCTGTGTACAGTAGGATCGTTTAGCTCGCTCATATGATGAGAGGCTCAGGCGAGATCTGGGGTGCTGGCCAGGCCGTTGATTCGAATGGTTGGTTATTGTTTGTTGAACATGGGTTTCAATGTATTTATGAAAGTCTAGCTGGCCTGGATGCTTACGTTCTACTTTTACATGACGAAATGCGTTGGTGGAATCAAGTTGCTAATATGTAGCGTTGCTTGCTTAAAAAGGATTTGGCAAAGGTGCATGAGAAATAGGGTTCGAGGCAATAGATTTGGGAGAAATATTCAAGTCAATTCAAACTTTACGGCATGATCTCCCAATCAACCCGTCCACCCAACCCCTCTCCACAAGGTGTCCATGGAATAAAATATGATTCAACTTCTCACCAATTCTGTCTTTATTTGTTCGCAAAAGCCGGCCTGTGAGCCTGTGATGTTGAAGTTGTCGTTTTCATCCGATAGGCACGAAGCAGATATGAATTAGTGGAATCTCGGGATATATCCGCAAGGCTTTGAGAATACCACGAACGCTACTTTGTAGACGAGTCCAGATGGAATTAATCAGTACTGGCACGGTGTATTTACATTAAGACAAACCCGGTAACAAACCCCAACCTCTATCTCTATTTATACCAAAAATATGTAGCATCCATCCCTAACCAGACCTCGCCCCTGAAATGGGCCCCAACCATCTACATATCTTGCAAGATCCTTATTCAGACATTTTAATCAAGATGGACCCAACACCACGCAAACCTGCATAGTTCTCATGTGCTTCCCGAATCTGCTCCATCTCCCAGATCTTATTTATCTTCACATCGATTTCCCCCTTCCCCGCTATCTCAAACAGCGCCAACATGCCCGGCACATAAGACGCCCTATCCCGCGAGATATAGTAGAAACTCGTCCTCCTCCGCGTCCAGAACATGGCATTCCTCGCCAACAACTTCATCGTCGGCGGCACTTGCGACCTGGCCACCCTGCCCTCGCCATTGGCGCCGGCATGAGTCTGTAAGTTGCCGCCGTACCCGACCAAAACGGCCTCCTCGTCCTCGCTCAGGATGCTATATGACTCGTCCCAGCTCTCGAACCCGAGCGGGTCGAAAACGGCGTGCACACCGCCCAGGGGCTTCATTTCGGATATCCACTGCTTGTCCGTGTACACGAATACCTCCGCTGCCCCCTGAGCCCGTAGACTGTCGTGGTTTCTTGCGGAGGCTGTGCCGTACACGAGGGCTCCCCTGGTCTGACATAGTTGCAGAGTAGCGTTCCCGACAGCGCCCGAGAGGCCATGGATGAAGACGCGCCGGCCCTTCTGCACTGTAGCGGCGCGGTGCACCATGCCGTAGGCGGTGGCCCAGTCGAGAATGATCGCCGTGGCTAGTTTGGGGTCCAGATCCGCAGGGACGAGGACGAGCTATTTGGTGGGGAGGTTGACGAGGGTGGATTGGGCGTCGTAGATGCTGAGACAGGCTACGAGGCGGCCGGGCCGGAGGCGGGTTGATGACGATGATGATGGGTGGGATTGGACGACGCGGCCGACGAGGCAGTAGCCTGGTGTGAGGGGGGTTTTGCGCTGAAAGGGGTAGGTTCCGTTACGCATGTTGATGTCGGCGCCTGAGAAGCCCGAGTAGAGGGGGGCTACTTGGGTCTCGGTGACGGAGGGAGGTGGGATGGAGGAGGGTATGAGGGAGACTGCGGAGGGGGGCGCCGAAGGAGGTGATGAGGACTTTGCGCACGGGAGTGTTAGAGGCCATATTTGGTGCCTACTTCGAGTAAAAAAGAATTTGGAGTTTGGGGTTTTCTGGTCTAAAGCTGGATTGAATAGTTTGGTGGGTTTGGGCTTTTGTGAATTGTGAAGATGTCGTAAACGATTCAATGTGATGGTGTTAGTGGTATAGAGATTCTCCCACCAACTTCCCCCGCCTGACATTGCCTTCTTGTAGTCACGATGTTCGTATTCACTATTTGACAGCTACGCTCGACATCATTGTGACTTCCTTCATGTTGTGCCGATTGAAATTACGCTCGGCTACAGGCATTTCAAAAGCCAGTTGAGGACACTCATTGCGCCGTATTATGTCCGAGCCTCAATTGACCCGCGCCGAAGTTGGTGATAATGTTTTCGCCGAAATTGAAGGCAGTGTAGCTGCGGTCGGCCAAGATTCACACCGCGCCCAGGCTCTAGAGCTTGGTATCTGTTTGTATTTGTCGTCTTAACCAAAAGTCTAAATGCGCAGGATCCAGCCTCTCGACGCAATGACCTCCTTCAGTGATTGTTTCAGTCGCATTCGCTAGAGACTTCGCCGTGGCAAGAGCGGGATGGGTAAAAAGAGCCCATAGCGCATTGTCAAGAGGAAAAGACGACACTAGATTGAGCACCGCCGGTCTGTTGACTTTAATGGCCGGGCTCCAACATTCCTTGACGGCAGTTAGAAGACACGTAGCATATCTTGGTCCAAGGCAGATTCGGAGAAAGAGGCCGTGCCACCGTATTCCTTTTCTTCAGCTTGAACTCTTACTTAATACGGACCTTATTGTACCCGTGTTACTGAATCGTCTGAATGCTGCCGAATCCAGCAGCTTCTTGATTTCGCTGGCGGCCAAGCCAGCGTTACTCGCAGCATCAAACGCCGTCCTCTTGTGGCTATCAGCATACGATGGGTCGGCCCCATGCCTAACCAGCAATTCCACCACTGCAATTTTTCGCGCGCTCTTGGCCGCGACTTCAACTGCAATAATCAACGGTGTAAGGAGTCCGGGCCCCTGTATATTCGGATTCGCTCCGCGACTCAACATGCGTACCATCTTCTCGTTGCCCTTCTCGCACGCGAGGTAGAGTGCCGTCTTGTTGAAGTTATCCACCTCGTCGATGATGGATGGACACGCCCCAAGGAGAAGCTCTGCCGTATGCAGCCCGCCGTATTGCGATTGACTGCGGTGCAGAGGCGTCATGCGAGAATTGTCCTTCACATCGACCACGGCGCCACATTCTAGGAGCAATTTCACGATCTTCCTGTTCTTGGTTGCGGCCGCTGTAAGGAGAGGTGTAGAGCCTCCTCGGGCATCGGGAGTCTCGGGCGGAAGCACGACGTGTGACAGCATATCGGTCAAGACTTCTAGGCTCTCGTGCTCGATAGCGCGATGGAGCGGCGTCTTTCCCGTTTTCATGTCGCACATGTCAAAGCGGAAAGTCGGCGCCTCGATGTCGATGTCATTATCTTGACACCACTGATACAATTTGCTCAAGTTGTGACCGTCGGCAGGTGGTGTGGCTGGCGGTGTCGTTTCGAGCCATATTTCGCGTCGGATCCATTCGCGGATGCCGCGGGCTTCGTCGAAGGCTTGGTCGCGTTGGAGTACTCTTATCAGTTGTTCTGCCGAGTCTTCAACAAGGTCGCGCGGCATTGGTTGTATGGCTTTGCGACCATCAAATGCCCTGCTCAACATCTTGCGGGCTTGAGAGACGCTGTTCTGCCTGAGATATAATGATCCTAATTTATGGTACAACCGACACCGCCGATGGGGATTGCGATGTGCCGCATCCCGGGCCACTTCCTCCTTGAGGAGCTTCTGCAAAGTGGTTTTTCCCTCTTGATCGGTCTCGGGCGTTTCACACTTCAGCAGAATATCAGCGAGCGTCTCCTTCATATTATCCTGCTCACCAGGCTGGAAAGGTCTTTTCTCGCTGAGCTGCTCACGTAGCTCAATGCCCCGTTTCTGGTATGCGGATGCTTTCAGGAAGATGTGACATTGGACGAGTCGCTGAACGTAGTCTTGGTTCGCTTCGTATTGCAGCTCCAAGACGTCGTGGCTCTGGTGGTTGGTGAGCTCTGGCTCGGGGTCGAATCCATCCTCATCGCATGCCGGCAGGGTCTCTAGACTTATCCTGCTGTCATCTAGCGACACACCATCGAGGCCGTTAAGTGAGACTGCGGTTGCCACGTCGTCTGCCGTCTGCCGCCAGTCCCGGATTTCTTTCGACAACGTGTCTCTATGCATGTCTTCCGGAGAATCGGGTGGCAGCAATATGTTGGAGCTATCTCCTATGGTCCAGGTGAGTTTAGCATTCTTGATGTTGTCGGTCAGCTGCCTGATATCGGTTTGGATTTGATCCTGGGACTTCTGCATGCTTGCTTGCGCGCCGATTTCCAAAGTTGTCAAGCTGAGTTGAAGTACCGTCGTTCTCTGGTTGATGTTGGACAGGATTTCCTGGATGCGAGGTTGTTTGATCTGCTTCTCAAGGCTCTGTCGTATCTTCTGAATCGGGCTAGAATAATCAGACAGTTGCGGTAATTCATCTTCAAGCGTCTTCAGGGAGCGATGGCACGATTCGAGGACCTGTTTGATAATGGTATGATGATTTCGTTCGAAGGAGAGCTGTTCCTTCCGTTTTCTAAGCGCCGCGTCGATGCTGTCAAGGACGAGTTCGAGGCTGTGAACGGATTCATAAAATTCGGCAATGGAGTCCGGGAGCGACCGCACCTCGAGAGTAAACCGACCGATACCCTGAATCAATTTCGCGGCCACTACCGTGATCTCCACCACGGATGCCGCTATAGAGAGCGGGTCCATGTTGCCTAGATGCGCCGTGTCCTAGAAGAATTGGGATGGTCGCATTCTTCAGACTCGGCTCGGATCAAACTTCAAGTAGCCTCTAGCTAATCAACGACGTTCGGTGGTGATATGGTAGTTACTCTCTGTGGAGCTCTGCAGTTTTTCGGACATTCTTTATTTGCGAGATGTTGCGATTACGTCGTGGCAATCGAAATTCGATCAAGCGGGAGGATGGAGTGAACAACGCTACTAATGCTGTGCGGGCTGTACACTGTACACTACGTATTATGCAGCAAATCCTAGCTGAATGGACGCCAATCCAGGTCAGACGAGGACCGTCTCACAGGAATACATCAACTTCCCCGTATCTAGGCTGGGTACGGAGTAGACTTGGTCTTAATATGTATGCATATTGTTCTGCAGCGAAATGGTGGCATGAAGCATTCCGAAATCAAACAACGTCCACCGAAACCCCTAGGCAGCCGCCCTCGACCCAGCTCATGGGGAACCTCCTCTAGGACTGGGGGTATGGATGGATGCCTGACGTCAACAAGCCGTTATAGTCGCCCGCACGCCGCTGCACCAGCCACCATGGGGTGGTATGAACCTGCTCTGGACGTCACTTGGCGGCGCCCTGATTGGATGCACTAGACCCCCTCGCAGCTGGGATCGGCAGTGTTTGGATCGGCAACCTAATCTACGTATTGTGGGATATACTCGCACGGCAGCACAGTGACATTTTGCCCTACGTTGGGTACATGTACATGTTTGCTTCGAAACTGAGTGGGATGTGTAACGGTCTTGACAAAAGCGAGACCTCCCACCGCTTGAGGGAGTTGACACATCATGGCATCATCTCGTCCATCGGAATCCTTCTTGTGCTGCAGGACGCAGCACAGCGACGCCTGGCAAAATGGTCATGAAGCCACACTCAACGGCAGTCAAAAAGAATTCGGTGTACTGAACCGGGTCTGAATCGGGCTGTCTGCAAGTCGACGCCTATCGCGCGAGGGCTATGTCACCGGCATGAAAACCCAGTCCCAGCAACTTTGGGCGGGGTGCATCGAACCTCAGCCTCAGCGACTGTCACAGCCTTGTAAGAAACTTACCGTTGCTAATACGACCCTCTCCTATTCCACATGGACCATCCTTCTTGTTCTGTTCCAGTTACTCTAGTGAGGATCTCGCAACCATGACGGAACGACATTTCAGTCTATCTCTGCCTGTTCCGACAGCACAGCGGAGGAAGTCCGGTGCTAATACCAGCGGCATCGAGTTGCAAGGCTTGCCCACGGGGCATGCACGTTTCAATGCACAGGTAAATCGCCGGCGAAGCAATAATCAGGCTGTCATTGAAAACCCACTAGGTCTGGATTTGATTTGGTTCTTGCTGAATCTGTACAATTTTACTTACACCAAATAGCCCATCTTACAGATGAAGAACTAGTCGCAGATGTATATCATTTCCAGCAAACATACCTTCGGTCAGCAGAAGGCGGCAAGCTGCTGCGAGCAGCAAGAGTGGCCAAGGATATCAGGACATACGATGAGGTTGCGCGGGCGGACAACCTTGATGCTGACCACGGCCTTCCAGTCCAGCTGAACCCGGAGGAGAAGGCGGCACTCAGAGCGGAGAAGGACGTGTTGTTCTCGGAGCCGGGTATGTTTAGAGTAATCCTCGCCGTGTCTTTGGCGGCTTTCCTTCAGGGATTCGTACAGGTAAGCCTTCTACCAGAAATCATTCTTTGCCTTTCTCATTATGGCTTGAAAGTGGTGAACCTTGCAGAGAACTACTTCTCATCCCAAGATTGACATGGACTTCTGTAGAGTGGCTAATGTGAGTATTGTGTACTGAGAATTGGACAGTCCTCAATTAATGGCGCGACGCTATATCTCAAGTATTTTGGACTGCGACCGGATCAAAACAACAAGCCGACTATATAGCAGACGCAGTCCGATCCGCTGAATATTGACAACTGGAAGTTTGGAGCCATGAATGCGTCACCGTTTTTATCTGCTTCATTAATAGGTTGCTGGCTTTCGCTTCCAATTAACGATAGATTCGGGCGTCGGGGGGCCATGGCGGTTGCGGCTTGTCTCATCTTCGGGAGTTCACTTGGCTCTGCATTTTGCAGAAGTTGGATTGCGCTTTTCCTAGTGCGGATCGTCAATGGAATAGGTGATTAGTTCACGGTCTCTACCGTAATTCTTTGCTCGGCCTGGTGTAGTTCTCACATGGGAATGATGATTAAATACCGGGGTACATTGCAACTAACATACTTGATAGGGATGGGAATCAAGGCCGTCAGTACGCCCATCTTAGCGAGTGAAACCGCTGTTGGCTTTTGGAGAGGAAGTTCCATTCTTGCTTGGCAATTATGGTGAGTAGGGATGAATTTCCCACCCCAAGGCACGTATATCTGACCTTTGCGGCAGGGTTGCGTTCGGCATAATGCTCGGCTTTGCATTCAACCTCATCTTTTGGACCGCAGGAACTGGTCAAGAAACGTTGACCCTTGGCCTCATACTCGGTGCCCCTCTCGTACCATCACTGTTCCTACTCGTCGGGCTGTATTACTGTCCCGAGAGCCCTCGCTACTACATGCCTCATGGGAGCTCGAACTTCAACCCTGCAAAGGCGTACGCCATTCTGCGAAAACTGCGGAAGACTGAGGTTAGTATGTTGCAATATTGCAGCTATTATTAATGTGCAAATTAAAGCATTTGTCGAATAGTTACAAGCGCTTCGTGACATCTATCTTGTGTACAAATCCGTCCAGCTTGAGGAGTACGCCGAAGACATTAATACGGAAGACCAAACCAAACCTAGTCGCCGAGGCTTCTTCTCGCATCTAGCTGGTTACCTGTCTCAGTTAAGAGAGTTGTTCACTGCAAGAAGGTTACGGAACGCGCTTATAAGTAGCGCGACCGTCGCTCTGGCCCAGCAGCTTTGTGGGAGTAAGTTCAGCACTTGATACGACCATCCCATCTCATCCCTCTACTATTCCTTCCATAAACATAAGAACGGGCTAACCCATTCCTGTTAGTAAATGTACTGGCATTCTATTCTGGTACAGCGATAATGCACTCTCCCGTATTGTCTGGTTTCTTATAATTCATAGGCAGGCTATTTAGTCGCATCAATCTCGGCGAAAACTCGATCCTCATTGCAATGGCATACAGTCTAGGTTATGGTATATTTCACCTCGACCCCGGCCATCTGTTCATATACGCCTATTGATTATTTTCAGGTGCCATCAACTTCATCTTCGGACTACCAGCCATCAGGACCATTGACACTCTAGGCCGTCGCAAATGGCTTACCATGACATTGCCTGTTATGTGTTTATGAATGCTCGGCGCAGCGTTGTCTACGTTGATTGAGGGAGATGAGGGGGTTAGAACCGGTGTTATGGCGCTCTTCATATTTTGTAAGGATTCCCAGTCCCCAGCTTGAAATGCTTCTTACAGGATTGGGTAGTATTCGCGGCCGTCTACTCCCCGGGACTGGGTAAGTTGGGCAAACGGGTATCCATGCTGGGTGGATTTTACTCATCCTCTGCAGGTCCAATTCCATTCACTCTAGCTTCCGAGAGGCATGTCGCCCCGTACACTTGGTGCGAACTGGTTGCTAATAAGAAGACAGCTTCCCTCTTTCACATCGAGAAATTGTATGTGGTACTCAACAGATAGTCACCGTGGTTTCCGCAGACTAACACGGAATTTAGGGTTGTGCATTCGCCGTTGCAACCAACTTTCTCTTCGCTGGTCTCTTGTCCATGTTCTACCCCAGGTCAGTCCCCACTGCTCTCTATCCCGGGTTCGTTCTTTGTAGCGAGTGCTAACAGCTTTCCCCCGTCGTAGTATAAACCACGGTCTTGGTGACGGCCGTTCATTAGGCCTCTTCGCCGGCCTCAACCTCGTCGCCTTCGTGCTGGTCTTCCTCCTCGTTGAAGAGACCAAGCGCCGGTCATTAGAGGACCTCGATCTCATCTTCGCGGTACAGAAGCGGACCTTTATCCGACACCAAGTCACTAAGTATCTGCCGTGGTTTTTGGGTCATTATATCCTCGGCCGTAGGAAACCACAGCCGTCGCTTTATCTTGACTTGATTTGGGGCGGTCCGAGGGAGGGCTCGACAAATGGGAGTTTGGTGCCATCCGGACCTGGGCGTGATCATCAAGCACATGTAGAGGGCCGGCAGGCAGATGAAGGATATAGTGCTACTCACGACACATCGCCTGTCAGCCCGAGGACTCACGCTTGGTATCCGGTGCCGCTGCCCGAGATCCATGAGCAGCTGTCGAGGGCTAGTTCACTGGATACGGATGATACCCATGCTTGAACATCAAAGAGAAGGAGTATTTGAGTTTTCGGTTCAGACACCAGGTTCATACCTTTTTTCTCTTCTATTACGATACCCTATATTCTAAATAGGTCACCGACTTTATTAATTAGGATGGTTACTATTGGTCAGTTATGTAAGTAATCATTATCTTTACCACGTTTGCCATATACAGTAACACGACGGCAAAAGGTCAATCTAAATGTTCTTCTCAATTCAAAAACAGCTCTGTTGGTCCATTTCAACTCTCTCTGGCAGTTGACCTCAGTCGGAGAGGTAGGGTTCCGGATAGTGGATTCTTATCTTAGAATGGACTGCAGCTTGGTGAGCACGCAATCGCGGTGCGTTTTGACGACAGGGGATTTATCATTGCTTCCAAATACGACCCAGTGCTCGGATATGCCCTATCACTACACGACTATAGAGCCATCTCCAATAAAGATCCAACTTATGTGTGTGTTTTTCCTTCATTTATGCCTCTTGGCTACGTACGACAGATTCCGGAGACTCATCTCCATAGGGGACAAGAGTTGACTCGCCCAAAGAAACTTCATGTTGTATTAACAATCGTGCAACCCGATCTTTCACAATTAGAAAGCACTGTGATGATTTCAAAATGACTGTCAACAGCTCCACACCTCCAAAGCAACTAAAAGTCGCCATCGTCGGCGGTGGCCCAGGAGGCTTAGCAACCGCCATCGCGCTCTCCAAAGTGCCCAATGTTGAAGTCAAGCTATACGAGAAAGCCAAACTGCTCCGCGAGGTCGGTGCGGGCATCAATATCGGACCCAATACATGGAACGTCCTGGAGCTGCTCGGAGTGGCGGATACGCTTACCAGTGGACATCCGATATCAGCTGTTCTCAACGTGTAAGTTAACAAGTAAACTTCCCTGGTTTCGCTAGAAGAGGGACCTTCACTGATTATGATGCAGAAATGGACGGACGGGAGAAGAAATCTACAAGTTTGAAAGAGATATCAGTGTGAAAAGACCTGCAATTCGCACACAGCGTACGAAGCTGCAGTCTACGCTGCTCGCCCATGTGGCGCCAGGAGTGATTCAGTTGGCGAAACAACTGTTGGAAATCATCGACAAGGGAGACGATGGTGTTGTCTTGGGTTTTGCGGACGAGACGAAGGAAAGGGCCGACTTGGTTGTGGGGGCTGATGGGATTCGTTCCGTAAGCTTGCCCCATCCGAACTCAGATTCATGAGTTTCGTCTTCTCACTTTACCCCTTTGACCACACCTCCTAGACTGCTCACTTTTTACTTCCCCTCCAAACCCCCTAGACGCCACTCCGTAACCTTTCGCCCAGCTAATCCCCACACCACTTCCAGGTCGTCCGCGACTGTGCCTGGCCCGACTACGAGATCAAATTTACCGGCACTACCATCTGGCGGGCTCTCCTCCCGCGCCGCGCACTTGTAGACCAGGACCCTCGGTTCGATATCACGGGATGGTGGCACCTGCCAAATTCTCATGTATACTTCTCTCCCGTGGGCGAGGGCCTCAGCGAGATCGCGGCTCGGGAGTACCAGGACCCGGCCGTCCACGGTGCTAGTAAGGTGGTCTGGGGGGTTCCGGTGACGAATGAACATGTTGAGTCACATTTCAAGGTAAGTCATGTTTTATATAGTCGTCGAATATTGCGCTTATTCTCTTGATTTGATTCCTCCCCCAGCTGAGTGGCTACTTTGTGTTTCTCGGCTTGGACCGCTCTTTCGAGACCGGAGTTTCATAACCTAATGCCTCTGTCCATCCTCTCTTCATTATTAATGTTTATCACTTTTCCGTCTTTCTGTTCGTGAGTTTATCAATAAGAGGAAGAAAATTAATCATTCAGCTCCAGTCCTACCTCCCCCAAATCCAACGAGCCCTCCAGTCCATCCCCCAAGGATCCTGGCGCGAATTCGCTGCCTTCGCTGGCCCTGAGCTCTCTAGCCTCACATCCTGGTCCCACAAAATCGTCCTCGTAGGTGACTCCTCCCACGCCTTATCCGGTGCGTTCGGCTCCGGCGCGGGCTTCGCCATGGAAGACGGGTGGGTGCTTGCGCAAACCCTGTCTTATTTCCGTAATGACTTGCGCAAGGCCTTGTCTCTGTTCGATGAGATACGGCTTCCTTATTATCACCGCATGTATGAGCACCTTGATGCGATGGCGCGGGGCCGACGCACGAGGTTGGAAGAGTTGGAGCGGGAGGGGACAGATGCAGAGGAGGAGAGGGTGAGGATTAAAGCGATAAGGGAGGGTGAGGATATGGATTGGATTTATAGGAATGATATTGGAAGGGTTTGGGAACAGATTGTGAGTAGGCTGGAGAATGTGAATGGGGGAAAGGAATAGGGGATGCTGGTGTGGATTGTGAAATCATGATCTGGTGACGCTTCCCAGACAAACTGACGAAGTGACATGGGATGGAGTAGTCAATATCAACCGAGCGATAACCGTAAGCATCCGAGCAACGTTGAATTGAACATAAAAGTAACAGTTGCTATTAGATAACACAGCACTGTACACTCACTCATCTGCATACACGGCCCATTGGGCGGAGTTACCCTACACCGCAACCCCTGAATTCCCAAGCCAAAAATCAACCATGACGCCGTGGGTATCTTGTTTGTCATATCGTTGCCATCTTCGTCAAGCGCTCTTCCGTACTAAAGCTAGTATGCTAGCCAGCTTTAAGTTCCCCTTCGCGCCCCAACCGGCTGGCCCATCTTCGACCTCGGGCCGCGTAGAAATGTACCAACTCCACGCCCGGCGGTCCAGCTCCACCAGACTGAGATGGTCCGCCCAGCTGTCATACAATATTCGAATCGCACCGAGCAGCCTCCCCAGGTTCTCTTCCTTTTCCTCATTCAAAGCCTTGGCAGTCTTCTTCTTCGGCGTCGTCGGCTTTTCCCCTTCAGCTTCTTTAGCACCCGAGGAGATTTCAACACGTTGTGCAAAGCTCTTTAACAGATATGCCCGTGCCGCCTCGGGTCGGTGAATTGGCATACCTACCACACCCGCCTCGTAAGACCTCGTCGCGGAACCCGCAGCAGCGGCAGCAGACTTATTCTTCATGGCCTCAAGGTCTAATCCCCAAACCGCTTCTCCACCTAAGCTGGCCTGCTCGCCCGTGACACGCAGCCGTTCGGCCAGGGCTTCCTTGAGGCAGTTGCGCATAATGCGCCATCGGTCCGGGCCAAGCATAATACCGCCGTACCAGCGCGTCATGACAACGAGGGTGTCGATGGCGTTAATCTCCCGCATGATTTTGAGCATGAATTCCCCGCAACCCGACTCGCCGTCGTCGAAGGACTCTTCTTTGATGGTGTGGGAGCCGAACATGTCGGGTTTCTTGACACGGTAGGCCCATGCGTTGTGCGAGGCCGTCTGTAGAGAGGGGATGGCGTTATACAGAGCTTGTAGACTCGGTTGTCGCTGTGATGATTCCGTAATCTTTGTCGCGCGAACGATGAAGGTCGACTTCATAAGCGTGACTGGCGAGCTTGCGGACCAAGTTCTCAATGTATCGTTCGCTATGATGTTTTTCTCGTTGGCTGGACTTGGATCAGCGGTGACTGTAGCGCTTGAGGCAGCACTCGTTGCGGCGTTCTCCTCTTTGATATCCGCGGAGCCAACAGTCTCCTCTCCCTTCCACTCGTACCCACTCCTCTTCAACACGGTCACCTCCCTCCCCATTATTCTCACCCTGGGTTGCCCATGGCCCCAGCCCTCCTCATCCGCACTTGCTCCCGTCTTCAGTCCAATTGCGACCGCCTTGCTCCTCGAATTCGCACTCACCACCGCCTGTGCCAGACTCAATCTGCTCGACGGCGGCTGTTCGGGCATTGTGTATCTCAACAATTCCACCGCGAACGCCAGCACAAGCGGGGCGCGGTTCGTCACCAGTACCGTCCCAGCTATCGTTTCCTCGTCCGTCTCCACAGGCAGAGCCAGTGAGGCCTCGAACCCGGCGGACGGGATCGGCGCCGGTCCATCGAGATACCCAGTATCGTCGGCCGAGATCTTGGATCGCTTCGCGGCCTGTAACAACTCGACGCCGGCGCGCTTGCTGCCCGAGGATCGGTTAGGGTTTTTCAATCGGGCTTTGCAGGCATTGCTAAGGGACTTCGCGGCTTTGGGGTCTTTGATGGCACTTTCGATCGCGGAGAGGGGCGCTTCGGCTATCTGCTGGATGCTACAAGAAACAAGAGGGTGCTCATCAGGTTTCCGATACAAATGACGATGTCGTGTCGTTTTTGTGTGGTTATGGTGAGGAGAGTCATACCTTCGCAGGTTTTGTTCTTGCAGGGCTCTGACTCGTTGCATGGCGTCTTTTATCGGCAATTTGCCCAGCGTTAAAAGCCGGAGGAGCTCTTGAAGGTCTTGTTGGGATGCCATTGTGTTGCTTCTGTGTCTTCAAGTGGTGAGCAGAGTAGAGGCGGAAGCTATACAGCTTCACAAGTCGTTTAGATGCTGCATTTGGTGTCAGAACGCGTTTGGCATTAAGAAATGGTAAACTGAGAACCGCGTCACTTCACGAAATCAATTTACGCATTCCGCGTCGTGGAGCTACCACAGGCATCTTCCCCCGCACTCATGCAACTCCCTCTGCACGGCAACCAACCTCAACGCCGTGTATCTGAGCAAAATCCTTGCCTCGAGTTGTGCGAATTATGCAAAACCGTAAAAAGAACCTGGAGCCGGATGGTGAAATAGTGAGTCTCAAGTACTCATGTACCCAAGTATCCATTAAGTACGTACCGCCGGCCGGGGCTTCCAAAAAGTAGACGCAACACGGAGCCGGGGCGCAAAATTCCGCTGGGCCTCTGGCACGCTTGCGGAAACGTAACCTCGAAGACCGACAAGCACTTTCGTCACAATCACATCTACCTTACATCAGACGAACCGTGCGATTGTTTCGTCACCCCTCAGCCAAGCAGACCTACGAACTACTCGACTCGCGAGGGTTGGAGCCATCGTTTGGACCCTGACTCGGAAGGACGTTCCATAGGGTGCTGACCGGCCTTTTTTTCGTCGCTACCATTGGGATTTTGGGGGAATGCATCGATGAGGAGAGAAAGGGGTAGACGGGATCGCCAGAGCTACGACGCATGAACGGCGCTTATTAGGTATCCGGGCAAGCTGAGGAGAGAAGGTCTTGTGACGTCGAACTTTGCGAGTGAGAAGTCGCAAGTCGGGTGTCTTCTATGAACGACTAGGGGACAGGACAGCTTTGCGAAGAACATCGACACAATGCGCGTAAAAAGCAGTGGCAAGGTCGGGGTTATTACATGCTTGATCCGGCCAACCCAGAGCTGTGGTGCATCACGGGCCGTACCTCTATCCCGGGTCTGGAGCCGGAAAGCTTCCAAGATACCGGGCTTTATTCGCAAACCACAAGTCCCCAAAGATGGGAGCGGGTCCAGCCGGCCGCTCCCATACAGGCCCAAACTTTCAACCACAGCCCCGAAACCATCAGTATCAAACCTAGTCGGCAAACAACGCTGGTTCGGCCTCTTCGGCGCCGGGGCCATAGCCGCCTGTCTCGGCCTCTGGACTGCATCCTTCATCATATCCAACTCCTCTCCCGCACCAGTTTACTGCACGGGCCATGAGCCCGTGATCCCCACAGGCCGTCCCGCTATCCAGTCGCCCGTGGAGTTCGACTCGCACCTCGATAAGTCAGAATGGCGTTACGGCATCACGAAGCTGCGGCGGCGCCTCGCCAGCGCCACTCGGGGCCACGTGCTCGAGGTAGCCATGGGGACGGGCCGCAACATGGAGTTCTACGACTGGGCCAAGATTACGGAAGCATTTGTGCCGCAGTCGGAGCGCAACAAGGAGAAGCTTCGGAAGACGGTCTGGGGCACCAAGAGCCTCGACGACGTTGAGCTGCAGAGCTTCACGGGCGTTGATATCTCAGCTGAGATGCTCGACATTGGACTCCGTCGTTTGCGCATGTTTGTGCCCCATGGCGTGGACAGTCTGCCCAAACGCCCCAGCTTCGCCAAGTTGGCGGCCGAGAGCGGTGGGAGCCAAGTTGATCTACTCGACGGCAAGCTGCGTGTCATCCAGGACGATGCCCAACAGACCCTCCCTAAACCACCGCCGGGGGCAGCAGAGAAGTACGACACCATCGTCCAGACATTCGGCCTATGCAGCGTGCGAGACCCGACACAGATACTTGTCAACATGGCGGCCCTAGTGCGACCGGACACGGGCCGCATCATCTTACTGGAACACGGACGCACCTGGTGGGGTCTCGCCAACGGACTGTTGGACCGTGCTGCACTGGGCCACTTTGAGCGATTTGGGTGCTGGTGGAATCGCGACATAGAGCAGATTATACGGGAGGCGGAGAAGAGGATACCCGGGCTTGAAGTCGTGGCGTTCGAGAGGCCTGGGTGGATCTCCTTTGGTACAAATATTTGGGTCGAGTTAAGGGTCCGGGATTTGTGCTCGAAGGCGGTGAAGGTGAAAGTGGAAGAACCGCAAGGGAAGACCAGTGAGGGTTGGATGGGGTGGTTTGGCGGTGCATTGAGTTCACCGCAACCGAAAGGCGGTGATCAGAAGAAAGATATGAATTGAGCATGGGATACCTCCTGTGTCTGGCATGTAAAAATGCCTCTGCGATACTCTTCACCAATTTGTTCTGTGTAGTCTTGTAGTCAATTACCTTTTGAAACCTGCGAAACTTATGTGAAGGAGTTGAAATTGAACGGGGATTTCTTCGTTTTTTATTTTTGAGCAGCGCCAGTTTGTGTTCCTGCTCGTGGCTGGCTGCTGTGCAAATCTAGAGCTCTAGCTATGCGTTTGGTCCACTCGCATTCTACATGTACATTTGTCGTCTAACCGGAGGAACGCTAGCCTTTTTGATCCCGGTGACATATACTTGACCATGAAACTTTTTGACGTCGACAGTCCTTTTTGGCCCGTCCAAGGCCGAGATTGACACAACATTTGTCAGCCCAGGAGAGGTGTTTCCCATCCTACATGGCCCCCACAATGATCCGGGAAGATGACTGCAAGGGCTGTTCGGCCTGCAGATTATGCAGACAACGCAAATAGCAACCACATGGAAAACAAGATTCCCAATAAACTCATTCGGGGTGGTTGAGAGGAACAACCCCCGTAAATGGCAACCACCTTTTGGAAGATCGATCTGTAGCGCCATGCAACCTCGAACGCCGTTGCGACCCAATCATAAAAATCAAGGAATTATCGTGCTCCATCATCGTACACATCCCAGAGTCATTTAGTAGTCATTCAACAAACCATCGAGCTCATCCAGCTCAACGGTTTCGGGGCTCCGGTTCCAGTCCAGCATGGCGTCGAGCTTGGACCAGCTCTCTGCCTCGACGTCCCGTTTGGAAGGTACCATCAGGCTCGGGCGCATCGCCGGGCTCGTCATGAAGTGCACATGCGGAAGCAGGTTGGGCACCAGATTAATTCCTTTCGTCTCGCCGAAAAGTTGTTCGTGATGGATGCTGTCATCCATGTCCATGTTGTCAACAGGGCCGGCTGACAAAAGGCCACCGCTGAGCTTCCGCTTCTGCAGTCCGTCGGCCGTCTGTGTAAACTCCTTCTCGTCCTTCTCCAACGGTGGCTCCTCGCCTCTCTGGGTGCGCGACATGGAACAAGTCAGCGAGCGCTGGCGCTTCGAGCCCATTGGGGTCCCAGGCATCGGCATGTCCTCTTCGACGTCGTCGAATTCAGGCGACGACAAGTCGACCTCGGGCGACAAGCTGAGCTCTCTCCTCCGGTCCATGTCCGCATCTTCCGACGTTGACACAGAGCTCGACAGAGACGGCGTCACGATGGCGCGTTGCGCAGTTGAGGCGTCGGGAAGAGGTTGATGAGGGCAAACGGTGAGGTAAAAGTAGGTCCGCCTCGGGTGGACCGTCTCAAGCTCCTTGGCCAAGGGACAGGGAGCTACCGCGGACCAGCAGGAGCGCTTCAAGTATGTGGAAAGTCGGGATGAGATGATTGCGCATGGGTTGGCAGACCTGGTGGTAAGTTAGCGCATGTTAGCAATTGAAACTATGATGACGACTGAAATTGTGTAACTTACTGTTGCACTATCTTGACTTGACCCATGAGAACGTTGGTAAGCTCCTTGACCAGATGCGGTCGGTTGCGCGTCTCTTGCAGTCGCATGATGACGGCTTCGACGATGTCATCGTTGATGCCTTCCAGGTCGATGGCTTGCATCTCCGCAGACTCGGAAGGCTCCGAGTCTTCCATCTCGATGGAAAATTGAAGTCCCGGCGATGGTGGCGGGGTGTGTTCATACTTGACAGGTGCGGCGCAAGGCTTGGACGTCTTAGAGGGAACTATAGACATGGCTAGGATCGACGCATCGTTGGAGTGCGATCGTTTTGCCTTCTTGTTGGGGTGTGATTGGTTATCTGATGACGCGGGCGATATTGTCGATGGTCTTGAGGCCGACGTCTTGTGATGCATATTGTTTGTGTTGTTTTGGGACACTCTGTTGGTTGGCCGGGGGTTGGAGGAAGGAACGTGGATTCCGAGAGAAGGGAGAGAGAGCGACTTGCGACGAGTGTTGTACGGCATGGCGGCGGCTGAAGTAATTATAAGACTTGATGTGTCGGGATAAGTAGTAACCTTGGTAAGACGATGGCGGTTGACGGGCAGAGTCAAAACAACGGGTAATGCAAGTTGAAGCCGCAAGAATGAGGGATAGGGGAATCGAGGATGAGGTGATAAGGTTACAGAGCAACTGAGTCGGCGGCAGGCTACAGCGGCGCGCACGGTACGGTACTACTACACAAACCAAGCAGTTGGCTAGCAGATGGGCTTGATATGGGACGAGGGATAGGATCGGAGAATGGGAAAGGCGGTGGAGAGTTCGAGTATGCAGCTGTTGTCCACGGATGGATGAATTCAAGGGATAGGCGGCGGGAGACCAAGGCGTTCAGGGCGTTTGCTTGGCGATGCGACGAATCGCAGCAGGGCGAAAATGTGAGAAAGACAGGAAAAAAAAGTTACTTCCGAGACCCTGGCCGGCTTGGACGGGGGTCGAGTTGGAATGGGGATAGGGGATAGGAAGGATGTGTCAGGCTGTGGCAGGCAGATACAACCAAGAGAAGCTTATTGGGCCGCCGAGTGACAATCGTCAGCGCCGTGGTGCCGAGTGTACAAGAGGTACTTGAAGCACAGCACAGGCATTAATGGACAGCAAGTACATACAAGGATGACAACAGTCCCTACACTAAATTGGCTAGATCCGTAATTGACTAATTGACCAACAACGGAGCCAAGCGTTTTTTTCCTTTTGGTGGTTTTAGGGGTCTTTTTCTCCAAGTCTGTTGACAAAGGCAACTGTGCGACCCCAAAGGAATTGCTTTCCTCGTCGTCCCGACGACCTGTCGCCTATTCACTTGGAGAAGAGGCCTTGGTAAAGATCAGATCTAACGGTGACGGTGTTTAAAATAGCGGTAAGTAAGGGCGCACTATGACTATGTAGCATGCATGCATGCATTTGTTGGAGTGCAGTATTCTCACTTGCAGTTTCATGGCACCGGCACGTTGTGTATGTGTTTGCAGGGTGGGTCTCCAAAAGTAGCTACGGAGTACCTCAGACCAGGACGAAAATCGAAGAGTGCCAATCCAATATTACTGGATGGTGTGGAACGCAGCCCCAAACGAAAATGCTGGCAGAGCGAATGGGAAAGAGGATTCTGCCCACCCACCTGAACTCAACGACTCGCGCTGCTCCGTTTCAAGCCCACAACGAAAGGGATGGATAACTCGGGGAGAAGCATTCGAGGCTTCTAAGTAGAAGGCTGCTAAGAAGGAGTTTACAGATAAGTCCGCAGTCCGCAGCGCCTCCGTTGCCCAAAGCCAGAGGAATGCATGTCAATGCCGCAATAGCAGTAGAAAGAAAAAAATTCCGAAATTTTCATGACGGATGACGGAAAGAAAGAAAAATTCTCTGCCGGTGCGGAGACACACCAGACAAAAGTGGGAAAGGTACGGCAGGCAAGGGTCCATGGCAAATGTTCTGGAGATGTTCCTGCACCAGCCGGTGACTTCAGAGTACATATGACCCGACGATGAGGATACTGATGACCCCTACTAGATTGCTGCCCAGATGAAGTCACGAGTCAGAGCTTCCATTCCCACTGCTGCTGCCCACTACAAGGCTATTTGTTGATGTGGTGCAACCAGACGCCAGCCATCAATGAGACCGCTCAGATGTGACTTTCTGCGATTGGATTCGATACAGTGAAACAGCGCCTCAACTCAGCATGAACATTTCCATTCTCATGCTGCTACAGCGGCTGACTGCATGTGTTGCAAACACCACAGGCTGACACATAATCTAGGTAAATCACACGGCGTGCGTCGAACTTATAGTGACCTCTGGTATTTGACGTTGTTTTCAGCTGAGTACCTCTAATGTACCTACCAACCGCTAGCGCGTCTCCGGGACATTCCCGCTGGCTTTCGGCACTAGACCGAGTGGGGTGCGCCGCCTGGATCTGCGGTGCCCAGCTGCGACCCCCTTGACGAACTCCGTACATGACGTTTAGTAGGTCGCATCCATGCCCCAGACGAGTGGTTGCTCACGCGAGATTCTTGGTTGGTTTGGTCCGTTTGCGCACCGTCTCATTGGATGGTTTTGTCTATCGCCCGACTATCTCCTGTTACACTTGGGACGCTTTGAAGCCGTCGTTTGCAGCGAATGGCAGAGGACTGTCCACCTCTAGATCTTGATCCAAGGTTCGCATCTCACGGCCTTTCGCATTCCTTTCACCACCCAACCAGGCAAGCAAGCAAGTTGGTCGTTCGTCGCTTGGACACCACCATCCCATCCTCGTCCCTGGGCCGCCCGATCCAGCCTGACTCGCCCTCTCCTCCGTTGGCCCAATTGCATCTCAACTCCTCCATCCGGAAGTAGTGATGCATCGCGGAGGTACCTTCTATAGTTTGTGCCTGCTGACTAGATGGGGAACCATCGGGGCCTCTCTGATACGCTATATGCTTCTTCGTCTTACGATATCGTACGTCGCGATGCGACGCCGGCAGAATACAAGCCATCCTTGGTTCTACCACAAATGTTGGGGTAATAATAGTGGAGACAGTGACGAGTCACGCAAAAGCTTCGCGATAGCTGGTTGTCTTCTGCCACCTAGTATTGAGTTTATTTCCAGCTTATTAAAAGCCCATTTTTCTCAGTCTGACTTGACTCCGTCAAACCTTCTTGATGGCTGTAGAAAGTCAATGGGGAAGTGGGCTTCTTGACTGCCCGCCACGCGGAGAGACGTCCGTTATTGTAGATCAATCAGCTGCCTTCGCGTACTACGGTATCAGGCCAAAGTTTTCACCCCCTTGACAAGTTCCAGTGGACCACTGTCAAGGTAACGCTATACTGGTTCTTGCCTAGCCTACTCATGGTGACGAAAAGGTACTTCCACCTGATTCCAACTTTGTCAGGGTACGGCTAGGCCGAAGGCAATAGTACAGAGTGATGGGGAGTAACGGGCGTCCCTCCTACGTAGCACCGGGTGGTCACTGGCGGTCTCAGGTAGGGGTGCCCACGGTGATGCATTGATCTCTGCTCCTTCCCTATCCTACTTCGAGATGGTCCTTATATAGATAGCTAGGCCGCCGCTTGGACCCGGCATAACAGCAGGGTCGGCGATGCCAAGGATCTTGACTCTCGTCATCCCAAAGCTTCACATAGATTGTAATCATGACTCGGGAGTCTTTTGTCCGAAACACCCCTCCGGCGCCCCACCGGTGTCTTGCGTTCAGTGTCCTGACACCCACTGGTGCCTATGGCATTCTGTTCTCTGACAAACTTGCTGTTAACGCGTCCTAATTATCGCGTATTCAGCAACTACAATGGGGACTAAACACCTTACAGAAGCGGATCGCCAACGAATTCGAACCCTATATTTCGACGGTGGTAAATCGAAAGCCGAAATTCACACTACTCCAACGTTCTCTCTTAATCATATTCAGACAGCTATGAAGGTCCCCTCAAGCCAGGTAGCGAAGAGTTGGCGCGTGCCTAGGTGGGGCACGGTACAAACACGCAATAGAAAACTTACCCATGATACCATAGTATGTTTCCGACTTCTTCATCCAAATCGCCGGACCACAAGACCGGTCCTTCGCCACGACCAACCTTACCGATTGCGGAGCGGCCAGCTTGGACGAGTCGATTTCGCGCCCTTACAACGTCGGCCGGCTTTCCGATTCTCTTATCAAGCTCCATCTCCTATTTCGCCGGCGCATTCCATTGCGGTCGCTCAAACCTTTGCAGCCGCAATTTGGGGCCTCGCTTTCTCGGCCTACTAGGTGGTAATCTATCCCAAATCTTCAGAAATCTGAACTGCGATAGCCCGTCCTGTTTGACCACATTCCTCCATATCGGCGCCGATGGGCTGACAAGTTGCCCGAAGCGGTTCTATGAGCGTGCCGTGTCAGGTGGGAAAGTCAAGTCAGTGCTACGGGTGTTTCTTCGTTGTCGCCTTGCTCGCTGCTTCCGCGTTGAGGACCATGTTCAATGGATTGATAGCGCCCAATCACACAAGTACAACCCGAGATTACATAGTTACCATGCTCAAACCTGTGGCTACACAGAGACCGTAATACAGACTTTCAACTCGGAACATGGCAATTTCCTGTTGCGTATTCTTGGTTGGTATTCACAGTCTCCACCTCAAGCCCCATCTTCGTTTTGTCCTCATGAACGACTTCGACGGCTGTGCGTGTCTTTTACTCTCACGGCTTGCTGATTGAGTTCCACCCGTTTCAAGCCCAAGGAGGCTGTCGAGATCCCATGGAACATCTCGAATTGTCTAGCGCCCAATAGGCACAGTGCGGTATATCAAGGTTGGAAGTCAGGTACATTCGTGCTATCTCCAGCCGAAGCCGGAGACTTCTGTGCTAGAATCATCGTCATCTTCTCGTAGGTGGACAAGAAGCTCGATGAACTGAACAGCCTCATTAGTCATTGATTCTGACGGCATATGACGAATATGCTGGAAATAGACAGTAGTGTTTCCTCGTTACTACCCATGCCCCTGACTTGTATATCCCCTTGCATCGAAAGAAATAGTAGTAGTAGCTGTTGTTGTTGTTGTAGTTGTTCTCGTGTTCTCGTCGTATGAAGCATACCGCTGTATATCTGTATTTGCGGCCATATTTGTCATGTTCAAGCATAAAACACGCACTTTTGTTTGTTCTGCCTCTGAACTACCGTAAACTAGCTGAGGCGTGTAGCAGTTTGGACGGTAGCAGGGACTTCAATTTTGACATCATGGACGAGAAAAGGACCAAACCCACATAATTTAGAGAGCTTCTACATTATCACTCTAGCAGTATAACCGCTAAATATTTTCTCGGTGCGGGTAACCGGCGATCTCAGTTCTTGGTTACTGAATATGCGAATAGACGTTGTTATCTGTTACTTTCTCCTATGAAATCGGATTCATTCGCGTTTTCCAGTTTCATAAGAAAGGCAAGTATAAAACAACCAGGGGTTAAGGGAATTGTCATCACTGACGTCTTCTAGACAAATCCTTGTTCCTAGGGAAGTCTGATTGCGACTGAGAGGGATGGCAATGATCTGCGGACCTTTCAATAGCGGCTTGCTAGAAAGCCCATAACCATATGACAAATTATTTTGATACTTAGACGATCTTGCCCTTCTGGCAGTCGGACGAGAGATATATGTTCGGCCCGATGTCTTAAGTAGCCACTTGCTAAGCTGTTGGGGATACTCTTAACCTTCTCTGAAAAGCAAACCGCATGGTCCGATGCTGGCCTGTATGTGAGATCAAATTACCGGAACCAGCGACCTCCAAAACGGCCCTCATATTGCGCCAAGTAAACATAAAAGAATCTAACTACTGAGAAGCTAAGTGGAAACGGCAGTCACCCAGATCTTTAAGCAGTCTACTTTCCGCGCATGGTAAGATATTTATATTTATATGGCTCGGAGGAACATGGACATCGTATTGTCAGTCTTTTAAAGTAACATGCCCCTTCACGAAAGAATTCGTCACACCGTGCTGATCAATTATCACGTTGACCACTAGCACAGCTCAGACTCTAGCTGGGCTCATTGCCTCCACGCAAGCCACAGTAGATCAATCTGAATAAAGCTCTCGTACGCAATTATGTAACATAAGTTGGTGGTGCTAAGTACTCTCCGCGGCATATCAGTACCCGTTCTTGATACTCGTCGTCCAATTCAAGTTCAGCTTCCTCGGACGTACACGATGCGGCGGCCAGCATGGCCACGACCATATATGCGATAACAAGAAGTGGTATTATCGCATAGCCATCTATCTCTGGTATTAACAAGAGCTTATTTAACGGTTTGGGACGAGTACGGAATGTGGTCTGAAATGGAATAAATAAAAATAAAAGAATAAAATAGAACTGCCAGCTGGGTCATCTCACGGAGGATTTATCTTTCGACTGCTTTGTGAGAAGGGACTTGTGGTGACTGCGTATTCACGAACGGACTGGCAAGTTTGTGAGTTGTTTACTGGCCTGAAGAGTAAAACAAATGACTTTATGACTCAACGTTCGCATCCATCACCATCCGAGACCAATTCAGAGGGTTTCATTTCGAGTCACGACGACAACATGACTTCAACAGCCACTCTACCACGTCTCGCCATTGTACGGTGCGACATACCAAATTTCACTCTAGAACCACGGAACAACTTCCCCTCAGTCATAGCCATCTTCTTGCTCGTCGTCCCATCAACCATAATATTCTGCATCACCGACTCCAGCATCAACACAACAATGCTGACCGCAAATCAAGATTCCAATCCGGAGCCATTTCAACCAGTTCCGACCTAACCATTGTATTGACCTTATCTAGTGCCGGCCTCGCAAACGCCTCAGCCGTCGGCGTTTTTGAACTGGCTCTTGACCTCTTCGGGAACCACGGACAAACAGTCGACAGGAGCTTTGATGGCTTGTAGTTCTGTGGTTAGACCGAAACTAAAGTCCGTAGTCAAAGCCTTGCTGCCCGGGTAGGTCGCCATTCACGGCGTCTCAATGCGCGATCCGGAGGAGACGTTGAGGATGCGCGACCTGGGTCTTTTCTCAAGGACGGGGAACATGAGTTTCGTGACCTAGGCCATGAAGCGCACGTTGGTGTCGATTAGGATATCAACGTCTTGGCAGCTATTGGCCAAAAGATCTTTGAAGTGATATGAGCCTGGGATGGTCGGGCTGTCGGTGTTTGTGATCATTAAGCTTACGTTTCCTAGTCCCCCTTAATAGCTCCTCAGGTAAGGCGAGAAAATCCTTGAACATTGGGTTTCATCTGCGCACATTGTGAGAATTGCCTTTGGTAACTGCCACCCGAACCAATCGTCTTCGTATTGAGGTCACAGCTTACTGCTTTGTTGAGAATTTACGTGAGCATCAAGTTTTCATTATGTGCACCGTACACCATACACCTCCCAAGAAGTCTTAATCTTGAGCTCGTTCTGTCCTCGTGATACTGAAGACACTCATGGCTTCAGACAAGCTTGAAGTTGAGTGGCTAAAGCTATATGTTGGGCTACTTGACTCCATGTCTCCATGTATAGTTTGAGCGTGCAGCTCAGTGTTTCGACAAGCATTCATTTCTCATGCTAACGCGGCCATCGTTCACTACCCACATATGACAGCAGCCACAGTGAAGACTTCTTTTGCTGCGAGGATCAGAATAAATTGAAATTCATCATTCGTATATTAAAACACATGTGTGAAGTTACATATGGCCAGTCTGGTCTCAGTACTTACATGACTGGGATGTCTTTGATCTAGAACGTAACTGATCAAGATATCGGTGCCCCTGACGCAGCAAGAGTAACATAAAGCAACTGCGTTTCTCCACATACAACCATTCTGCCATCTCCAGCAAAGTTGAAGTTGGCCGTAGTTGTACCAGTATAGATCTTGCCAAGAAGCTTTCCTGACGGATTCCAGACGTGGACACCATCCCCGCATCCACCATACACATTCCCCTTCGAATCACAATGTACACCTGATTAGATGAATTATTAGCAGGTTATACTTAGAAAATAGAACAATAATTGAGAGGATACCCGGGGGGGAAGGGAATCGGATTGTCAGGGAAGCTGAACTTACCGTCAGGAACACCTGCAGCGACAAACGCGAAGGTCTTGCGATTCTCCCACGTACCATCCTCTTTCACGTCATAACGGTATCTTGATTCAATTAGTGGAAGTCCATATAAGTAGGATCGTGGACTCACATCGAAGAGGGATCCGAAAGGTTAAAGCCTAAGAGGCCATGGTTGATACCCGTATCCGTGACATATGCATATTCTCCATTCGGCGAAAATGTAAGACCTAAAAACGCTTCAGCCGACTTCCTCTCCAGAAGACTAAACAGACCCGCAACTCACCATTTGGCAGAGTAAACCCATCAGCAACCACGGTCACGGCCCCAGTTGCCTCATTCAGCCGGTAGACTTGGTTTCGCAGTCCGGGCACCGGACGGAAATCTTGCAGATACCCGTAGAGTGTATCGGTGAAGTAGATATCCTTGGATGTCGGGTGAATGGCAATGTCGTTCAGGGAGTTGAATTGTCTGCCGAAATAGTTGTTTACCAATACTATTCATTAGGTTGTCAGTCTATTTCAGGATCCACTAATATTCGCAGAAGGAGAAACTAACCTGTCGTGTTATACGGCTCGACAGGGTTCATGAGATAAAGCGCAGAAGGCACCGTGTCTCCTTGACCTTCACCTGCGAAGATGATCTGCCCCTTGTAGTTGGTCGCGCCTGTGAATATCAGCATCTTGGTTCTCTCGTCCTCAGAAAGCAATAAGAAGTTATTACCATTGGGGTTTATAACCTGCGGCGTTGATGGCACAACGGTAACTGTCACGTTCCCCGTGGCAATGCGCTTAGACTTCACGGCATCTGCTTCGGCGAGGGATATCTTCTGTATGATGGCCGACTTGTTGAGTCCTGTACCGGCAGCAGAAGCACCAGCATTTTGCACGAAGAAGACTTCATCCGTTGGTGGATACCTTCGTATGAGATTAGCATCGGGGCCATCTTCGGTTATGAATGCCAGCAATACACACCATACGACAGCCTCGTGAAAGAGCGGATTCGTATCAGAACTCGCCACAATTGTCAGTGTGGGATCTGAACCGATTATATCGTAGAATTCGTCGTCGTATATGTGAAATGGCTTTGCATTGAGTGATTCCTCAGTTACCCCAGGCCATACGAATCCCTTTGGATGTATTAGTCACAAGTCACTATCTATCGAAACTCGTTGAGAGTTCCTTGACTCACAGAAGTAGAATTAGCCTCAGCCGGCGGTAACACCGTCTCCAACACGTTGAAACTCTTCTGGTCAACAACCTGAGCCAGAGGCGGGATCGCGAAGGCGCGCACACCCCGCGAAAAGGGGTTAAAGCTGCTGGCGGGAAAGAGGATGATCCCCAGGGCGAGCACGGCAGCAGCCATCGGTAGACCAATGATGACGTTTCTCTTCGCTGGCTTAGTCTGCTCTAGGGTCTTTTCTGACTTTACGCCAGCGGGCATCGACCGGACTTTATTCTTGGACTTATTGTTATGCTTTCCCCGCATTTCTGGAGGGGTAGACGACGACATCGTCATGCCAACCGAACCTTGGTCTAGAGAACCAAAACCCACAGGACTAAGATTGCGATCATGATCGCGAAATTCACTCAAGTGACAATTTAGGCCGAGCTTGCTTCAGCTAATGTCGAGCCGTGACGAGAAAGTTAGTAGAACTAGTCAAAAGTGGAGATGATACTGGGGCAGATCGGAGGATCGGAGCCGACAAGGGGTTCTTGTGCGGGGAGTATGCGGAGTATTTGACCTCGAGACGCCTTCACGAACGGACGAACTGCAGAAGCGGGGCGCCGTTCGGCAGTCAGTCGGTACTTGGCAGTGAATGAAAGCAGGAATTGTCGTGGGTGGAGTATAATAAGCGAAAGATTGTCCGGTGTAGGCACGAGTCAGGCAACGGATTTGTCAATAGGGGAACTCAGAAAGTTCCGTATATAGGCCCGAAAGCTCCATTGTAACAAATTCAATGGGCTCTGGTAAATAAAAGCACGTAATATAATGGAATGGCTGCCCCGATCGGATCCCGAACGCCTTTCTCTTCCACGCAATTAACAGGATGATCAAAAATGCCGCGCCGCAAATCGCAGCATGTATCCCGAAGCTCTTTTGGTGCCCTGCGCGGTGGCCCAAGTGACTTGAAAAAAATGAAATGATGAATCGCCCCAAGTACGCGAGTTGTTTCCCCAAGCCGAGACTTTGCCCGAGGCCTCAGAGTAACAGTCCAAATTGTATGACGGAATTGCAACGGTGGTGACCATACACCTGAACACATATAGACTCCAACACGCGGCAGTCGCCGTGAAGTACCCGTTATTCTCCAGTGACGGGCCCAGCAAGGCAAGCCCGATGACTATAAAGGGAGTGGCGATGAAGATAGCTGCAAGCCGTACACCCCTGGTTCGAAGTTTTTGTGGTGCGTTTTGATATACTACTTAAAGTAGAAGAGCCCGACTTGTATGTTGCCGAAAGCCGTACACAGGCGTCAAGAATGAGGTCAGTGTTGTGTCGATCTCCATATGTCTACAAGAATGCGCGCACAGGTCTCATGCAAGCTCCGCTGCAGGCGTTTCTCATATGCCTCGACCGAAACTGCGCAACTCCCAAGCAGTTGCTGACTACTTGCCGATTGTAAATCGTCTCTTCGAGGAACACGATAATTCCCACGAAGCCCAGTGCAGCCGTAGCCGTCTATGCCCAGAACGGCATCGACCAATGCTGAGTTTCGATCTGGAATGCTGTCATCAGAGGACCTAGTTAAGGGCTGACCACGAAGGAAAACCCGTAACTGACTTAACATCGTCTTCGTAAACACTGCGTGGTCCAACACTCACGCCCAAACGTTGATGTTCCGTGTTCTCTCATGAAAGACAAAGATCTCGTCGATAAACATGAGTCTGCCAGCTTGTGCCACTGTCGAAAACACGCCATTCAGGAAGCGAGCCCATAAAAGACTCGAAGTTCCTGGTCGCCGCAGTCCAGATGGACGTAATGGATGGGAGCGAGCAGATGAAACAAAACATGACGATAAGCCGAACAAAATAGGCACTGTGTGTAACAACTAGAGTAGTCGTTAGTAAGTGGTAAAACTCTCTTGAAGAGCTGTCAAGTGGATAACCGTACTGGAAATGCCGCCTGCCCCACGCAGGAATACATTGACGACAGCTGAGTGATTGGCCTCGTCCGGTGTCATGTCCCACTTATTGTCCGGAAGGCAGCTGAGAAAGTCCCTCTGTCATTGTAACTTTGAGACAGTGTCACTGTGATATCCACCGAACGAGCCACCCGGTAGGCGGTACATGATCGGCCCAACAAGTACTTCATTATGAAACGTTGTTGTTTGTATGACTCTTCCAAGATGGCAACTTGTACTGGTACCATATGAAAGAACGAGCGAAACGCTATTGTGAATATAACTTAACTGTATCTTGATCAACAGCAGCCCCAGGATAAGCTATTGCCGAAATTGTGGGTGTGAAGTGCATTGAATCCACCTGTAAGTCCCGAGTCTAAGTCTCCGCAGGTCTTCCGTTGCATTGTGCTTCTCAGGTGGCAACAGATGATGTATAACCGTAATTCTTAACAAACTTCAACTTGTTTTTCGTTCAAGTAGACGGATAAACATCTTCCCATCATGATTCCATCCGAATATATTTGAAATATTGCACCAAAGAGAATATGGATTTAAGCCTGTCTCCTCGCGTCCGTGCAAATGTAAATAGCTAGTATATGATGAATATGATATACCATAACTACTTCTTCATGTAGCACGTCGTTATGAAGCCGCTGAGAATATATTGTGGCTTTTTGGCCAGATAATACTTTGGCGGGTTTAAGTGTCCCCTTATGTTGGAGAACAACATACAGGAAACAATTTACATGCTGCAGGCAAACCAAAAATGAACACAACGAACGCTAACAATAGAGTTACATGATTTTATAACAGAGGACTAGTGGCACACAGTCCACTGGCGGAGCCCTAGTTACTCCGTAACAATGTACACTAGTTAGATAGGTAACATTCTACCGTTACACCTGACGGAGATTAACTTAGCTCAATCAACATCACAATCCTCCATGATTTTACAAGAGCCTATCGATATTCGACCCGTATCTCCATCGGAAAACCTAGTTCAAGCGAAGGATAGAAGTCTCGTGGGATGCATATGTGCAACATATACAGGACCTAAATATAATTAGCATGCTGGAATCGGGTATCCGGCTGCTCCGCTCGTTCAGATAGTCCCTAGAATTAAGAGGCTTGTACCATATTGGTCTAAAAGAAACATAGATCACCAGCGTCTATTATACTCGTCTTCCTATTCAACATTATACTTTCTGTATACGTATCTGTCATATATAAGTCCTTTGGACTAGGCCCGCTAACCTCTTAGACTCCCTTGGAAGGTACGATATAGCTAACTTTGGTACGTATCTTCTAGGATCGCTTGATATAGTGGTGGGGTCAGATTTGTCTCGTTCGCTCGTCTGGACAGCGTAGAGGGCCATCCCTTGTAGAACCGGGCCGCGTCGTGTTGCTTCACACCATTTTTCATGGCAAATTGGGCATCTCTGATCGCGATTTTGTAACTATTGTGATTTCCGTCTTCTAGACATTGCGCAGGTCAACTGGCTGAGAAACGCGTGTTAAAGGTAGGGTGTGGCTTGCGTCACGTTTGAAATAGGCTGGTTTGGGAATTGCTAAGGTGGTGGCGTTGATACGGCAGTTCAACACAGTTACAAGATTACCGTAGGGGGACGTTTCTTTCTTTTTTTATCTGAAGATGGCGGGCCTTGCTCGATCTTAGCTTCCTCTACTGAGACTTGCCGAAATTTCTCCCACAGCTATCTATTCCGCTACCCCCTCGAAATGTATGAAGATATTGTATTGCTTGAATCAAAGAGAAAAGCCTTATATACTTCGTTGTATATATCGATGGAATTGTGACAACTTCCGTATCCACCGCCATCGGATTTTGGTAGGCATATGATCGTCTCTTCGCCTCTCCAATTCAACTTGATAGAATAATTCCTAGTTACCTAGTGTCACTGGAGCTTAAGACAGAGTATTTCATCGTTCTTACATTGGAGGAAGGACGATGCAGAGGATCCTCACCCATGTAACACGCATACAGCACCGCTTGGGTGCATTCTCGTCGCGACGGTCCACTGATCACTTGTTCATCTCTCATGAATAGGCGCTCATCTAGGGCTGCCAGGATGAAGCTGACTATGTAACTGCTGGCGCAATGCCATTATGTAATCTTGTCGATGTCAATTTTCGCCGCGATCTTATCTCATACTGTGAGCGTGACTCAAAAGGGCGTCCAGTCGCAGTCGCAAGTCCAAGAACAGCGCTGAAATTGCGAGGGTCCTTGCACACCATGACGTAAATCTCCACTCATTGCCCCATCCACGGCTCGGATTTTCCTTAGGGTGCGAAACAGCAATAAGAAATTTCATCGTGCGCTCACAACTTAAAAACTACTTAATTGTGAAGTGCCTAGTGCTGAAATCTCTGCTCGGTCGCAAGACCTTCACTAGCGAAGACAATCCCGGAGCCTACCAGAACTACATCGCCAGTTACTGGTCTACGAAGCAATCGGAGCTGTCGCCGGCATGCGTCTTCCCCGCTAGCCGATGCGACATCGCTGTGCAGATTCTCGTCTCGCGCCTCGCCGGATGTCCCTTTGCCGTGAAGAGCAGTGGCTATGCCTCCTTCGCGTGCGCGTCAAGTATCGATAACGGCAGCGCTGTCTCTTTAAAGTCCATGACTAAAGTTTCGGTCTCGCCGGATCGTACGACCGTGCTGGGGCAAGTTAGCGCGATGTGTATCAAGCTTTGCAACCATATGGTGTTGTGTTGTTGGCGGACTGACTATTGGCGGTAGCATTAACTTCTTCTCAAACCTGTACGGCTGGGCGTGTGACGACATAGCGGCATACGAGGTCGTGCCTGCGAGTGGGACGTTGGTGTCACAGCGAGTTCCACAAGACAGGCTGATCTATATTGGGCACCCCGAGGTGATGGAAGCAATTCTGCAATTGTAACCAAGTACTACTTCGACACGTACGAGCTACCTGGAGGCGTAATGTGGGTCGGTGCGAGACGGACTCTGGACGAAGCTGGGTTTGGCGACAAATGCTTGAGGCATTCTACAACATGGGCGCACATGGTGTGGAAACAGATCTAAAGGCAACCCAGATCCTCTTCTTCGTCCAGATGGACGGAAAGCGATAGGCAAGTGCAGCGCTGACGACCTCTTTCGGGCAATGGCGTCTTCAGGGTGTTTGAAGTGCACATGGATATTTGGGGAAAGTCAACCCAATCCCTACTGGAGAGGCCCTATTTCTTCAACCGCACACTGAGCAACCTGACGACGTCATTCTTGACTGGCCAGCCGCCGGGAAGAGGGAACACATACTGGACCGCAACGTGCAAGATGGACAAAGCGATGCTGAAGTCCGCATTGGAAATCTTTTACGATGAACTTGCAGTACTTGAGCGTGGTCAGGAGGGTCCGGGAGGGCTTTTACGTGCGCTAATGTCATAGATCATCACGATGGCCGCCATGCGCTCAATGCAAAAACGTAGTGGGAACCTACTTGGTCCTGAAGCCAAGCACCCGGGGATACTGCTTGCGACCGTGATGCCGTGGGATGACGCTGCCGACGATTCAAGAACCATGGCGGTGAACCGCATGATCTCAGCGACTGGTATCTGCAAATGAATTACGCCAGCCAGGAACAGCATGTCATTGCAAGGTACGGGGAGGACAATCTGGAGGGAGTGATGGCGAATGCAAGGCGTTACGATCCGACGACTGATGCCTGGGTATCATAAGGTTGAGGTGACCAGAACAGGACAGGTTGGGAATGGTTAGTTCCACTTCTCAACGGCTCTCAATTCAAGCAAAAACTTGCCTTGTCTGAGCCCTATAGCCCCGATATATGGCAAACCCGACTCTGGCCAAGCGGTCCAATCGACACCTGCGCCCGTTGAACAATGTGGGAGGCCGTATTTTGATCCCCGATGATGAGAAATTTTTCAATACTGAATTGAGCATACCTTATGGGATGCCATGATTCTTTGTTCGATTAGCTGAGGGGCATCATCTTTAATATGACGAATAATGTGACTGCACTGAATGGCAGGGCATGGGGGTTCAAAGGAGCCTCTTGCTGCGATCCTCCTTCAAGGATGCTGAAGATAATCATACCATTATAACTAAATACAATGGTCATTTCAAACTAAGTTGTTCTCGACGTTGGTTCCGCCCCCGTGAATTGAGATATTTTATTTAAAGGCTTCCATTGTCCTAACGCTGAATTCTAATTTTCCGTCCTAATAGAGCTTCGAGCATCACATAGCAAACATGCATACCAGGTATGCCGAATCCGCTTCGCATTAGTCGTTTGGTTGGTGTATTATTGAGAAATGATACTCCATGGTTCATCGATCCCCCTGTTCCATGAGCAACGCTGGCTTTGACCCTGGCACACTGACGCTTCAGCAGTTAGCTTCGCAGATCAACAGAGGCAAATGTCTGATACCTGTGATATCAAAAGCCAAGAGCGAATGAGTTTTAGCTGGATGAGAAAAGCACAGTTCGGGAATATTGATCTCTCATATTGAAAAGAATTCGAATGGACGCAGAACTCTTTGGCGAGCGGGAATCTGTGCACAAATCACTCAGCCTCACCAAAATAGCTGCTTTGCCTAACTTCCCTTCAGCCGAGTGTTCCCTTTTTATTATATGTGGCGAAAGACGAGTTGTCATGATTGCAGACCATGTCATCCTGCGTATACCACCTTGGCTTACGCCTTTTCTTTTCCTTATTTCTTTTCCAGAACACTACTTGCTGGTCCCTACTTATCAGACACCTCTCGAGCCGAAGGTACACAACGCAAGAAGGATCCTGGGTAAGGGGAGTCAGATATCCCGTGCGGCGTCGGAAGTGATTATCCTACATGGTACCAGGGATACCCATGTTTGTCAAACGGCTTGGGGCCGACCGGAGCCTGACTCAACTTCTCGTCAGCATACATGATCTGATAATTCCTGTTGCTCCTTTACGAAATCCCATCGACATGGAAGCCAGCCATTGGCATATGGTTGAGGTTATTATCGGAATATCAGGTGGCAACGTTGAAGGGAACGCCTCCAATCATTGCTCGTGGTCGAGTTCCAGAGCCAAGAGAGCATTGACACGTAGTTAGGGGTGATGGCATGAGACGGCATGCCTCGGTCATTTGACGTGAATATCTGTATCTCGATCTGTACTTCAGTGTCATTGGAACCGACTCTTTGGCCCGAGCTGCGGTCTCTGTTTGAGCTGGGCCAGAGCGTTTCATCCCTGTGTGGCTGAGATGCCAAGTGATTGGGCCCATAGGTGCCACTGACACAACATTGTCGCTATTTACCGAAACTTCCACTCACCCAGTACGTCACTTGTCGAATCAAAAGCCTTCCCCTGGCCCGAAGGCAGCCACGCCGGTCAGCACAATGACTTCTGCGTAGACAAGGGTGTTGCACTTGAGCTTCTCCTCGAGAAAACCACTAGGCTTGTCTAGAGCCCCAGCCAATGACTAATATAGGACATTTCACATTCTCCTATTGGACCAAGGCGATGGCGGTGCCTGTGAAGTGTATAGGGTGGGAACGGGAGCAGTTGCGAATCTCCTTGACCTCCACCCAGTTAGTTGGTGAAGTTCAACCACTCCGGCGGGAACGCTAATTTCCCATCAATCACGGGATGGGTTGTAAAATACAGGTTCTTTCAAGTGCGCTGCGTCCACAAGGTAGGCACTTGAGGAAGTTGTGAATTATATGTTTGCACGGAAGCCGGCCCCACGAAAACATTAGCAGAGCTGCATTTCCCGGACTGGTATCGGTACCATGTCTTACGGAGTCCGGGGGAGATTGCTCGACTTCGGGCCACTCTAACCGAACATAACTCCACATTGGAGTGGACTCGGAAGCAATGTATATTTGACTCTTAGAGTCTTCTCAGCTCAGAAGACGACTGTAACTAGGTGGATTTCTGGATGCAATCTTCGGCCTACCCAGTGTCTGTTCGATTATACCCTCGAAGCGAAAAGTCCATACCCCCGGGCCATGACGTTGCTCAATGCTCAGCCTCTCCCATTGTTCTTCCAGCTTAGCTTAGGAAGCTGTGGGGAAATCTAGACCGGGTGTGTGGCTTGCATGAATCCCTCCGGTGCAATGTCTTTGCAGGCTCCACGTATGTCTACGGAACAATATATCTTCGCACAATGGAACCACTAGAAAACATTCGGTTTCCATTGACGAATAGGCACCAGAAAAACACATCGCGGTTGGTCAAAGTTGTTCAGATGACCGTTCAACTTTTCATTGAATTATGACAGAATACGTATGAAGTAGGTTGCTGACAAATTAGACGTTAGTGCGGGAAACGTCAACTCTTCGGGTCTCTTAGGGTAGCCATCTGATTCCAATAACGATTATTCATATTTCCGATGCGAGGAACAGCTGATAATTTCACGCCACTTCGCGTGGTTCTAGGCCCGGTATATTGATGCAAGTTTTACAATATACTCTGGAGCCGATGTGTTGGACAGGGGTTTCATGCACTCGCCGTTTAAGGAAAGCCGGCTTGCTTTTATCACTCATAAGAGGCCCCAGCCCAGACGAATGAAGTTTATCTGAAAAGGCCACGGAAAAGCAACGTAATACATGGGGGGTGGGGGTCGTCGTCGTCGATCCTTGTCCCAAATACGTCCCAGTGCTTATTGGTGGCCAATGCCACTTTCCTAGATGAGCCCATCGTTGACCGACTATCTGTTGCAACTGTCCGGTTACTTTTCGTTAATTCAGTCTAATAATAAAATTGTCGCAGTCCATGATGGCGGTTGCCAATTTCTTTGGCGTTCTGACTGTACCCGCGTATTTCGAGCACCAGTGACGTGTGCCCTGGGATCTAGATCCTAGTCAATATCTGCTTCTTCTTATTCTACTTCATCTTTTGCATTTTCATATGAATGGAATTACCAGTCTGTCGGAAACGGGTCTGTACTACGTTTCTTCACCTGACATGCTGGGTTCGCTTCCATGCGACGCTGCCGAACCTGGTTTTGCTGGTGATATCTGTTATCGAACCAAGATGTTGTTGTCAATGGTAATAAGGTGGCAGAGGAAGGCGAGTTATTTGATTTGTTAAATATATCATCGCCCGATCACAACGCGAATGTGATTTATAGTCGAACGGGTCAGATCAGGTGCTGTGAAAACAGTAAGATAAAACTCAGTATACCTTAAACATCCAAACGTAACAAGAGGACGAAATCTGCGGACGTGGCGTACCATCCCCTTAAACACTATTTAGGTCTAGCATCGGAGGCAGCCCGAATTTGAGAGACCGAACTCGCAATGATAATAAGACATACATGAGATATGATGTATTCAATAAGCAAGTTACGCTTCTCTTTGTGCGCTTGGCATCTATAATTGAACACGACCCTGCTGTTCCCATCTAGCCTGTGAGTAAGCTTCGTCGTCCTCAACTTGCAAACAGGCATTGCATCGTCTTCGTGGTTTGAATTTCTGCAAAACGTCAGCTGCTGCCCCGCCATGCCCGCCATCCTGTACATCCAAGACATTCAGATGCGACATCAGCGCCGTGTGGACTCTTTTTGTAGACAGCCTGGCGGGAACTCAGCCCAAATCCAGCGATCTAGATTGTGCTACCGGAACTAGCGCGGGGCTCGCCTTCGTAGCGCAATGCCCATGTGAGGGTGTTGACGTCGACCATCCGTTAATAGGTGAAAGGCCATGCCATCGCTTAATATTGAAGCTCTGCAAGAGCCAATCTCGTGTTGATCACATCCGCTTTCAGAAGCACGCCTCAATCGATGAATTGAAGACGAAAGCAACATGTTTCAGTAGGTTTCTGAAGTTCTCGACATGGGATTCCGTTGAACAACTTGGTATTCATATCCCGACGCTGCTTTCATCAAAGGTGACCGAGATACAAGAGCAATATTCCAGACTGAGACGGGAAGGTCATCTCCTCCGATAACCGTCAAACGACGCGAGGATAAAGGGGCCTCGACATATATCCAAGCATCATGAGATATCATGTCGCCGCTCTCATGATGCAACCCTGAAAGCATGCAGCACGGGCGACTTACACCGCTTTTGTGGAAGTCAGGCACGGAACCTGGACTCAAGGTACTTGTCTGCTGCAAGGAAGGGTCATCTGCAAATTTTCGACAGCTTACAGCTTATATGAGTTACACAGCATCGGTTAACCAGTCTGCAGCCCAATCTAGTGAGATATGGAATTTTTAGTAGCATCTTGAAGTCCCTGGCCGAAACCCGAGAATAGAGGCTAGCACCAACACATGGCACATGCTGATAGGGACTCTGCAGCAAGTGCGCGTTGGCTTCCGCATGGTCGCCATAAGGAGCACTCACCGATCATGGAAGTATGTTGTTTTTGGTTGTCGGTTTGCTGCAGCCGCTCTATTTATATAGGTAACCTGACATTGGCCATCAGGCCATCACCTACCTAGATCTACCCTAGGCCTTTGTTTCTCAATCATTATCAACCTGATGTGACTATCCTGAACAGGAAGATGGGAGGCTTACATGATCTAGGTTTCTCTGCCGAATGTTCAGAGACAATGTTCGAATTCGAAGATCTTATCAGATGGTGACGCCCGAGTATTAGACACAGTGAAGCAGTTGCCCAAGCAAACAGCAATTAATTGGCACACATGTTGTATTTTTATGAATGATCGTGCTAAAACGCAACTGAAGCCGAGTAGCAGCTTCGTGACATCAGGAGCGTAAATAAATCTAGCGGAGGAATACTCGAGATCCCAAAGAAGAAAAGCTCGCTGGAGAAAAAAGTACAGATTGTTGAGCCGAAACGTCACCCATCTACGCGACTTCTCAAACACCTGGTAGTTGTCACTTGAATATACCCAATTTCGACTAGCCCAAAGCTCGTAAATTCGTCCCTACGAGACGAACCCCACCCTCAAGTTAACAGCCTTGACTCCCGACATTCGGTCGATGGAGATCTTATGACCTCTCAATGTCCGAAGTCGTTGTGATTCATTAACGCCTCCCCTAAGGATCCAGCTACATGTCTACCCAAGACCGTGGATATTGAGTTTTGAGACACCGTGCAGGCGGTGCAAATTTCCCCTGCTCTTTTTGGCTTCTTCAGCTCTCGCTGGTCGCTTGTCAGGTTCGGAGTCGAGCGCAGACTGATGATCCCCCGTGCCTCTTCCCTTCCTTGCAAACGCCACCAGCCCAGACGGATGGGGATAGCAAAGAAAAGAAAACACATATATTTGGCCGCTGCTCTTCGGGTCTTGCCTCCTGGGTAGGGCAAGAACGAGCCGTCTCTTCTCTTGGTCTGTTTTTCTTGTTGCAATCATCTTCTTCTTCAAGTGTTTGATCATTATTACCGAGTTCCGCTCCCCGTCCATACCTTTATTGTCATATAAGTATACTCCACCTTTGTCTACCTCATACGTGACATCAATTTTCTGCTCGGAGTGCCATCTCGTAGAACGCGCGCCTGTCCCGCGACTTTCCAGTTTCTCAACCTGCACAAGGCAGGCGCAATCATTGATTTCCTTAAATTGACTTGAACAAGTTTCGAAACACATCGCCGTTCCTTCCTTCAGCACGAGTGGTCCTCACCCAAAGCAAACATGGCTCCCCACAACGATGCTCCCTCGCCAGCAGGCAGTTACACGCTGGGCTTCAACAAATTTCCCTTTCGCCCAAACACGTCCTCGGCTTTGAGACTAGGCACTTTGACACCGGCAGAATCCCAGTCATCTTTGAGCAGCTCTTTCGAGAGCACGTCTCATGACACTGGATCCCCAATGGAGCGTCCTCTCGTACCCGGCGTGTACGTGCCGACCATGTGCTTTTTCGAAGAAGACACGGAGAACGTGGATACTATCACCATTGCCAACCATGCCGTACGACTGGCCCACGCTGGTGTAACGGGCCTAGCCACGCAGGGAAGTAACGGAGAAGCAGTACACCTCACGCACACCGAGCGCCAGCTCGTCACGTCGACGACGCGCAAGGCCTTGAACGATGCCGGCTTCTCGCACATGCCAATAATCGTCGGGTGCGGCTCCCAAAGTACTCGCGAGACTATTCAACTTTGCTGCGAGGCCTGGGAAGCCGGCGGTGACTACGCGTTGGTGCTCCCTCCAAGCTACTATGCCCCCTTGTTTGCCCCTTCCAGCGCAACCATTGTCGAGTATTTCACCAAGGTGGCCGACTCCTCACCGATACCGCTCATCATCTACAACTATCCGGGAGCGGTGAACGGCATGGATCTCTCATCTGATATCATTCTGAAGCTTGCACAACACCCCAAGATTGTCGGCGTCAAACTCACGTGCGGTAACACGGGAAAGCTGAACCGAGTCGCAGCCGCGACGCGAAAGCTCTCCCAGAAATACGACCCCCAAAGCCCCGAGTTTTTGGTTCTGGCCGGCTCAGCAGACTTCTCGATCCAATCACTGGTTGCCGGCGGTCACGGCATATTAGCAGGACTGGCCAACATTGCCCCCAAGGCCTGCATCAGAACCATCGAGCTGCACAAGGACGGAAAGCATGACGACGCCCAAGACATGCAGGAAATCGTCTCGCAAGGCGACTGGACTGCCATCCAGGGAGGAGTGGTGGGTGTCAAGGCGGGACTGCAAGCTTGGAATGGTTACGGTGGCTACGCACGAAGTCCACTGCCCAAGCCAACTGCCGAGCAAACACAGTCGTGGAAAGAAGGATTTAGGGAATTGGTGCTGCTGGAAAAGTCCTTGTGACATCCCTGCCGACACCCGTCTTGACCGGCAGAACGAGGTCACCATTGCGATCCTTCTCGACAAAACACGAGCATTGTGCGCCAAATGAGCTACTAGATAACGGTGCGAAGAGAGCAAGGCGAATTACAATCAGCTGCAAAGTAACAGTTTTTCTACTGGGAGATCATACCGTTGCCGAAGTATCGAGAGCTTACATCCCGTCCATCGCTTGATGGTGGCGGTAGTGGACATGTCGGCAAGTTGTGTCCGCCCACTGGTTCGGCAGTCGTGTGTTGATCTTGAACACTGGGGAAACAGGACCTTTTGGGAGCGGTCGAGGATTCAAAGACGGATACGGCGTTATAAGAGGATTTCCTGTCACTTTCTGGTGTCGCTTTCTTTTGGCGGAGCAGCTAGTGTGCAACGAGATACCAAAACTTTCTCCTCTTTGTGCATCCCTTTGTCAAATTCAGTTGGTGGTCAGGGTACTTGCTGTGGACTCGACTCTAACGACGATTTCCTTTCGCTGGGTTCTGTGCATACGCTATGAAAATGTCTATTTCACTAAATGCGAAAGTTTTCACTGGTTTGCGACTCATCCTGCGACACATACCTCGAGCCTCACTTAAAGCTGTAGCTGAATGACCCAGGCGACATCTTACCGAGTTCGTTGTCTCTTCTTTAACAACTTGACTGCCGATATGTCTCGGCCGGCTGTCGGCCTTGGGACATTGTATCAGACGAGAAAAGTCCCGGAGGCTCCCCAGGGCAGTTGGATCCGAATCTGAGACTGTGACTGAGTTCAAATCGACGTCAGCATATTCACTCATTTTGATGTTGCTTGCGACGTCACAATGAGGACAACGACGATTCCGAGACCTCACAAGAGCGACGAGATTGCCATAGCCACAAGAACGACACGAACATACGTACGTATTGACGGGCCGAAATCGACAAGAACTGTCTAGAAATTCGGCCGTCAGTTGCAACCAGAAGCACTGTAGATTGGGAGTTGCAGACAATGAGATGGATATGCAACTAAAGCATCATCACGTTTTCGATGGTAGTCGCCCATCTTCACAAGACTCAACGGTCGCGCCTATTACACTGATAGATTGTAGCTTTGTCTTCTTTTCCTTCACCGATCTTTGGTTTTTTTCCCCAGCTGTCTTCAGTACCTACACAAGGTACAGACAACTGGAATATGACCGCTGCTTGAGGAGATGATCTCTTGAATCTATTCCGGTGAAGAGCAGCGTGCGATAGTTGACGATCGAGTAGACAGGCACATCAGAGGTTACCTTATGGCTCAAGGCCTACCGTTGATCCGGAAGGTAGCGCTTGTTCTACGATGATGCGCATACTTGATATTCCCAGGCCAGCTGGCGTCGTTCTCGTGCCAACCAGAAGCGTACATCACGGGTGAAAATAGGCATGGACAGAAAAGGTTGCTTCAGGGTTCTGGGGTTGAGCATTGTTGAACAAGAGGGGCTTTGACGAGCACAACATGTGTGAAGTCATGGTCTAACTAAGATGCAGGCGCTTGGATGATGGTGAGGAGTCCAGACATTTGCTCGTATGATGTTGCTGAAGTATCCAGCGACAGCCTCAACCGAACAAACGAAAGGTGGCCATTAAGATGGTGTCACATAAAGTCGGCGGAATGTAGTGCGCGTACGACCCGTGTGCCTGGTTTCCTTGGCGCTGTTCTGCAACGGCTGCGGGCGACTTAGCAGGAACGCCGCGCATATCCAAATTGCTTTTGGAAGGTTATTTCTGAGGACAAATCGACGGCTGTTGTTTCGCCAGGCCATGTTTTCACATCTCAACCGGGTTCCCGCAGGTAGTCCTCCAACGAGCCACGCTTGCCTTTACCCACAAGGATGTTGCCCACATGGATGGACGTCGGGTATGCAGAAATACGCCACGAAAATTCCCCGTTCCCGAAATTTGGAATTCCGCTTGCCGCATGTTCGTTCGATTCCCGGCCGTTGGAGGTGGAGGGCTCTGACACAGACAGATGGACGGACATGCGTAAAACGGAAACCAAAAACATCTTGACTTACACAGCCTATTCTATGTTGGTGGGCAGCTGCTTGCCATCAGCAAATGCAACCAACATGATCCCTGACTGGGGGCCACTATGTTACAAATGCATCACCGTGCCCAACGTGGTATGTGTTGCTCAGCAGCAATCTCAGCGGCAACAGCACATGATTTCCCATGTGAGTTGATTCTCGTTTAATATACCAAGTGTACCCAGTGATCTCGTCACCGTCACATATGAACTACAAGGCCGGGGGCGCTCTCGGATTTTGAAAAGGCGGTGGATGGGCATCGTGGTATAACTTGGTACCACTCCCTTCCTCCGTTCCGTCGATGATACCCATCCTCTTTACAAGCCTGCTTGCTATGGACTTTCACTTGGCATATTCTCACGGTAATTTCCCTTCTCAAACTTCAAGATGTATATCCTCAAGTGTCTGTATTTTGTGTTGTCGGTTCTTCCTGGCTTGGCCAGATGCCAAGGACAGCCTTTCCCGGTGACGGGTCTTATCACCGGCATCGACAACGAGACGGGCGAGAGGCCCATGAGGTGGAATATCAACGACTTACACGCTGCGAATGGTCCGCAATGGGATCTTTTCATTCTCGGCTTGTCCCAGTTCCAGAACGATTCGGAGCAAGACTGGTTGTCTTATTTCGGGATTGCAGGTACGTGAATTTGGAATTATCATCGCAATATGATGTGCTTCGAGGTCTCTAATTTCATCAAGGTATACACGGGCGTCCTTTGTACGTAAATTTCGAAGCCGCTGATGCTCTTATGCTCGTGTGCCTCGGAAAAGTCATAATCACACGACTGGGAGCTTTCGTGCTGGCATAATAAAAGTGTCAGTGACTGATATTTGTTGTTTTAGTATTCCCTGGAACGGTGTTGGTCCTGTCAAAGGTGGAGAAGGGCGCACTATGTGTACGCACGGCGTAAGACTTCAGCATGCTTTAGTGAGTACTAAGCTAATCAAGGATCTCAGGAGCCTCAATTCAGCCCTTGGCACCGTCCTTATGTTGCGTTGTTTGAGGTATTTATACTTAGACGGGCCACAGAAGTGTACTAACAGCTTGTAGCAAATTCTTGGCGGTTACATACAGAAAGCAGCTGAAGAATACTATGGCGATGATTCTCACCGATATGTACCAGCTGCGCAGACCTGGCGTTTTCCGTACTGGGATTGGGCTTCCAACAATACCCTTCCAAGCGCAGTAAAAACGAAAGAGATGACTATAAAAGGTCCGAACGGCCCACTGACGGTTCCTAACCCGCTGTACAGCTATCGATGGCAGCAATTTCCTCTCGATCACAACCCACAGTATTTCCCTACGACCACGCCTGCGGAAATCTGGAATAGTACCGAAACCAAACGGGATTCGGATGCAGATGTGAACGGAAGTTTGAATCATTCGGGCAGCCCGTTGAGGGATCAAGTTGTGAGTCTACAAGTATTGAGGGTTGGCACAGAGCTGATACCACCAGTACCGTGTGTTCACATCGGCCAAGGACTTCATTACAATGGCTTCAACATGGTCCTCCGGACCGAGTTTCGAAAACCCACACAACATCGTTCACAATGACATTGGCCCCGTTATGGCGGATCTCGAGTATTCTGCCTTTGATCCGATATTTTGGCTTCACCACTGTAACTTGGACCGATTGATCGCCCTGTGGCAGGCCATCAACTTTAACGATACGTATCTGGAAGGTTCTTACGTGACGAAGAACGGGGGGCAATATTCTGTGGCGAATGGTACAACCATCACAGCACAAAGTCCCTTGAAGCCTTTTTACCAAGACGCACAAAACTTCCACACTGGCATAACAGCCGCAACGACCAAAAACTTCGGCTACACGTACGAGGGTATCAACGACTGGAATTTGACACCCGAGGAGAATAGTGAAGCAGCCACTTTGCTGGTGAATCAGCTTTACAGCAACAATCCAACACAGTCGAAACGACGGTCTCATGGCCGGAGTTGGAGCCAACAGCGCTGGATAGAGTACTATATCCAGATCCAGGTTGATAGGTCAGAGCTGCCTCGGCCTTCCACCGTCAACATCTGGTTGGCCGAACAGCGTGCCGGCCAGATGGCGATTCTCAACATGCCAGAAAGGGGTCTTACTCATTCCGAAATCCCACTCGACCGCGCCCTGAACGTGCTTGGGATTGATCTCGACCCCGACACAGTTGACAACTTCCTTGAAAAAAATCTTCATGTTGAGATCCGCAGAGTACGTTTATTCCCGTCTCTTTTATTTTCTTCCCACGTTGTGATGAAACAGGGCGCTGGGAAAGTACCATCACCACAATGGTATGGAGTAGCGTCTGTTTCTTAGCAGTATTCCCATCCGAGCCATTGGTAAAATGCACAACAACATGGCCCGTTATTTTCCATTAGGGGTCCAAGTGGGATGGCCCAATGAACCAGACAGCAATTATTCCCGAGTATCTGCACCGCCGCCTATTTTGTCTCCTTTTGCTCACTCACAGCACCGCGGGCCGTTCAACCTTCCCAACGTGGCAACCGGGGGTTACCAAGTGGCTACCCGCCGCAGCACGACTATGCAGTGCACCGTGAACAAAAGAAAAATCCCTGAAAGATAGCGAGAATAAGGCTGACTTTCCACAACCACAAACAGAGCGACGGCACCTTGTACCCGGTCGAATTGGTCCCGAGTCTCAGTATCGAGGTACAGTCCGAGGACGTCGTGCCTCCAGATAGTGACAGGAAGTTCCCTACCTACAGCCCACCGACCACACTATCCAAGGTTGGTGTTGCGATGAAGCATCGTGGAAAGAAATAGCACAAGGAGGACAAGTAGAACACGTCATGAGAAACTGCTGTGTACTGGTCTCGGTTGTGTTCCCTCGGCCCCCCTTTGAGCGCGCCTCGTGGTCATCGTGGTATTTTTAGGCGCTGGTGTTGGGGTTTGCACCTCGGAGCGCTTTGTCTTGGAGATTGAAATTGGTGTTTTTATTGGATTCCTTTACTGAAGTAGCAGAAGTGAAAAAGAACGGGGCTATTTGCGCCTCTTTAGACAGGTTTGCAGAGAAAATGCTGATGGAAACGCATCAAACTGGTGAAGTGAAGTTCATATGCATCACAGTTTCGAAAGCACTGCTGGTGACGCAGGGTGGAAGGAAGGGGACCAAGCCCTTCAAAAAACAAAGTAAAACTACTTACTGCTTTTTCAAGCTTGTTCATGAAAACACTTCAGAAAACAGAGGAGCTTCTGGGGAAGGCCCGTAAAGGTATGAAGTTTCTTTTGGATTGTAACATACCAATGAAGACTCATAGTATGCACCTCTGCACCCCAAGTAGAAGTACTAGCCGCTATTTACAATGGCCCCAAAGTTCTATGGTCGCACTCGCGTGGCCGGGTATCTCACTATTCCCTGATCTAACGTTTTGCGCGCCCTTTTCCTTTCCTTTTCCCAACACTCGCAGTGCCCTCCTGTAGGTCTTCCTGGGCAACTTGTCCTTCCGCCTCCATTTCCTTGAGCTTCTCCTGGCCTGAAATAAACATGGTCAAGTCGTGATTTTGGTCCTTTAAGTCTGCATTCTCCAGGGTCAAAATCTTGACCTGCTGACCGAGGCTTTCGACTTCTTTGTTGATATGCTCGATTCGTTTCAGCAGACCCTCGCTGACTTCTTTTTCTTCTTGAAGACCACTGCCTAGCTTTCGAGCTAGGTCTGTGGCTTTCGTGGCACGGGTGCGCTCGCGCTCTAAATCTTTCTCGAAAGACGGGATTGTCTCAGTAGTCATAGTGCGGTTCACCTCCTTAAGAGCACGTAGTTCTTGAAGTGTTTCAGATACTTGCGCCGCGGCCTTCTCTGCCGCTGCCGAAGCCTTGGCTGCTTTATCAGCTGCTTTGTTAACCAATTTTTCGAAATATACACGCTGGCTCTCGAGTTGACTGGTCAAGAGGTGGGTATATTCCATGCCAATGCTCTCAAGCTTCGCCCGGGGGACAACGTCCTCGTCTTCCCCAGGCCGGTGTGGGCCGTCCCGGTGCCCCGGTAGCTCGACAACTTTGCCATCCCCTTTGTCTCGAATTAAACGGTGCACCCACATATCACCGGCGTAGTCCCAGACGTGTTGGGTGTCGAGTTCGAGGGAGAAGGTGTGGGCAGTCTCCTTCCAGTGATCTTTGGCATGTCCACCCTTGTAACGACCGCAGCCCACGTTACCACAGATGAGACAAATCCAGAGATCTTCAGGGGAATCGCATACGGAGCACAAATTGGAGACGTGTGAGCCGAAAGGCTGCGTGTATGTATTAGACGGGTCATATGCGGTATTTGAACGTGACGCAGATGACGAGGAGTACGACGTGTTGGTACTGTCAGTGCCGTTTGGCATTGACAAGGAGGGATTCGTGTGCCGGCATACAGGACAGCCTGAACCTTTCCATTTCTGGAGACAGGAGCAATGGAAAACATGCTGGCAAAGGATAGTGAGAAGGCCAGTGGTCTCATCCATGCGTTCGAGACAGACGGGGCAAGTGGGCAACTCGATCAAATTGGGCGTCGGGGGCGGGAAAGGCTTTAACCCAGCCGTAGCGGCCGATGACGACGGGGTGAAGGGGTCATAGCTCAGGTCTGGAAAACTGCCGTTGGGTCGAGAGGGTGTTTCAAAGTTGATTGATCTGATGAAGGCCACATTGCAGGTTTCTGGCTCGATGGTGTTGAACACCTTGCCGTCGAATTCCGTTTTGAACCGCTGTGCCTGTTGGCTGTTGCGGAACTTCATAAGCACGAGGTATCTATTTAGACGTCCTGTCATGACCATCCTGTAGTGGCTGACTTGGTCGCGAAACTTATCGCCAATGAAGCCAAGGAAGTCGCTTGGCGAGAGATAGCTCGGAACGGCGGGTATGCATACCGTCGTGCAGTCCACCTTGTCCAGCTGTTCCTCGTCATGGATGTCTCCCTCCTTGACGCCAGGAGCGGCGTCCAGCTCCAGGGTCTCGACGCTTTCGCGGTACAGGTGTACAATGCCCCAGCCAATGTTGGTCGTCTTCGTCTTGAACGGGATGTATTTGGCCTTGGTAGCCTTTCCAGCACTGCTCATTGACGGGCCTATGGCTGTGGCAGCCGAACTGCCCTCACCTGCCATAATGTCAAGGCTCTCGATGCTCAGTCGGTCGAAGCGCCAGTCACGGCCAGCTATCTCGGGTTTGAAACTGGCAGAGTGTTTTGGAGGCGGGAAGCTCAGGGTTCGTTGACGCAGCTGCTGCTCGGAAAGCACGACGATGTTTCGGTGGTCTTCGGTCGCCGGGGGTGGTCGTGGTGCCCCGCAATCAATAATGTTCTGTTTCGAGGTCGCCTTGGGTTCCAGCACGTCTATCGCCGTTGCTTGGCAGCGCAGCTCTTGCAACCGGCGGACTGGGGGCGTGTTGCTCGGTAGCTCGTCAAAGATGTTGTGATGCTTTGGTGGCAGCCAGATGTCGCCACTCTGAGCAGGCGTCGCCACATCTAGTGCGGCCGTGGGATAAAGCTCAAACTTGATATGATAAAAGAATAAAGGCATAGCCTACTCTATACCTGCATGCGCTGCTCTAGCTGTTGTTGAAGGCATTATCCGGCTTGCAAGCACATGCTTGAGCGTGATGTTTTATTGGAAGAATGTATCGGGTCTGGTGGGAAACGAGGCGAACATTGGAAGCTTTTACCAGTTAAATGCTACTTGGGCAAGGCAGTCGCAAACACGAAACCCCAACCACATACTATCTATTCCCCTCTCTTCCACCGGGATAAGCTGGTGACTCTGCAGGGCTTACACTAGAAAAATTGTGGGATAATTGACCTTATTCCCAATTTATTCCGCCAGGGTGGCCAGCGTCTTCAGGATGCTTCCACCAAATATAGGTAGCCTTGAGGTGGCTCCCTGCTGTGTTGCTTTAGGCGCACTGCCATACTACTTATGAACATGCTTTCGCAAGGTGCTATCGAGCAGAGACAAACCATCTGATATGGGAAATTCGCCATGATTTCGTCGGCGATTAGAAGTTCGCAGTACTTGCCTCCGTAAATGCTGTAACAAGGTCTGGCGGACTGTTGGCCACAAACTTGTTTGGTAGTCACCTCATCCCGATGATAGACTTTACGGTGGCCTAATATCCTCCAGCTTCCGGCTAACTTGTCTACCACGGCCATGGAAAAGGCAAGGGACGTACTCAATCCATTCGTCACGATAATCAAACTAATACATGGTGGCAATTTTAATCCATTAATACGCATCAGTGATTCCTATGATTGTAGAACAAGCATTCCCATCGTATCGTGCAATGCTGTCCTGCGGAATGTAAAGAGGATGCATGAACCTTTCCTAGGGCCCAACCTAAACGCCATTGTGACTACCTCCAACCATCTACTGGCCTCCACGCAGTCGGAGAACCAAGTGCAGGGTGCTCTCTTTCTGGATGTTGTAGTCAGAGAGAGTGCGGCCGTCCTCCAGCTGCTTTCCGGCAAAAATGAGGCGCTGCTGGTCAGGAGGAATGCCCTCCTTATCCTGAATCTTCGACTTCACATTATCGATAGTGTCCGACGACTCGACTTCTAGGGTGATAGTCTTGCCGGTAAGGGTCTTGACGAAAATTTGCATCCCACCGCGGAGACGGAGGACAAGGTGAAGGGTGCTTTCTTTCTGAATGTTGTAGTCAGAAAGGGTGCGGCCATCCTCAAGTTGCTTGCCAGCAAAGATAAGGCGCTGCTGATCTGGAGGAATGCCCTCCTTATCCTGGATCTTCGACTTCACATTATCGATAGTGTCCGACGACTCGACCTCTAGGGTGATAGTCTTGCCGGTAAGGGTCTTGACGAAAATTTGCATTCCACCGCGGAGACGGAGGACAAGGTGAAGTGTGCTTTCTTTCTGAATGTTGTAGTCGGAAAGGGTGCGGCCATCCTCAAGTTGCTTGCCAGCAAAGATTAGGCGCTGCTGGTCTGGGGGGATACCCTCCTTATCTTGAATCTTCGACTTGACGTTGTCAATGGTATCAGAGGACTCGACCTCGAGGGTAATGGTCTTGCCAGTGAGAGTTTTAACGAAGATCTGCATGCCACCTCGAAGCCGAAGGACAAGGTGGAGGGTCGACTCCTTTTGAATGTTGTAGTCCGACAAAGTGCGGCCGTCCTCGAGTTGCTTGCCAGCAAAGATAAGGCGCTGCTGATCGGGGGGGATGCCCTCCTTGTCCTGGATCTTGGACTTGACGTTGTCGATGGTGTCGGAAGACTCGACCTCGAGAGTGATGGTCTTCCCGGTGAGGGTTTTCACGAAGATCTGCATCTCTATGGTATTGGTAGACTGATGGATTGGTTAGAGAGAAGGATTCTGAAGATGTCGGATCAGTGATGGTGAGCACAGCTAATGAAGTTTGTGCGGGATGGATGGTTTGGGAAAGAGGGACAGAGGAATGGATGGAAGAAGTGAGGTGGGTTAAATAGGAACGGGTGGGCGCAGGAAGTGGAAGCCCGGAAGGTGGCGGGGGCGCTTGCCTTGTTGGCCTTGGCGGGGTGATTCAGCGCCAGCCAGGGTAGGTGCCAGTGAATGAATTGGCAAGCGCGCCGGGGAAACTACGAGAAAGGGCTGGACGCGACGGGAAAAAGGCGGCAAAATGCTGCTACTTACCGGGTCTGGCGTCTGTCTGATATCTCCCCTGCAAGAAGATTGCCAAATGTGTTGGATGATTGAGTATTTGCAGAACACGATGGGTGGTTGCGTCGTGGTTTACTTTGGAGGTCGGGTTGAGTCATGTGTGGAGGATTCACGAATGCAGGTGGCCTCATGTTTGACCTCAAGTGGGTCCCTCTTGCTAGATAAAGACTGAGGTGGTCACGATGGCCTGAGGCGATGTCCATATTGAATGTGACAACAACTATCAAGGTCCTCAGAGCCATCACGGACGATTGGAAGCCACCATGTGCCATTCTGTTCGCTTATAACTGACATTTGCAACATTATATTCGAGCAAAGTTTAGCATGCGTATTCATTCACCGACTGTCTCTCCTGTGAGACGCTGCCATCAAGTCATGGCATTTGGAAATAACGTCATATGCAACAGCTACAGTTGAGAGTATCTTGCAAATCGATTATCCTTACGATTCTCAGTCTATTCACAGGTGGACTTGAAACCTGTGTATTGGAGCACTCGAGATTTGAAATACTTGAGTCGAAGTTCTCGCCAGTTGCGATACCTGGACTTAGAAGCATGGTGGCGGTGACGGCAGAGAAAAGTCCACGTTTTTTGCTCTTGCCCTGGGTATTCCAGCGCCTCACACTTTGCCGGTCTCTGGCTGGTCAACTTTTCTTGTCGTTCCTAAAAATCCATACTGCGATTCCTTCGTTTGCGACTTCGCATTTTGGATCACTTGCTCGATGACTTCGATTCTCCAAATGCGGGGGTTCTTCAAGAAGATGCGAATACCCTGTTCCCTGCAATTTCGAATCAAGTGAATCGCCGATGACATCATCGAGTTGCTGCAGACCCGCTGCAAACTGCGTAAGCCTTTTGGCCACAGCTGCTTATATTGAATGTAACCTTTGAACCGTCTGTAGCTCCTTAAAGCCTGGGGGCCTTTTCAAATGCTGGTTTTGGTCGTGTCTGGGAAATGGATTTCCAGTCGCTGTGGAAATGTAAAGCAGCGGCTACATAGTGAACCACCTGAGAAAACGCAGTGTTCGTCCATAAGGCTTGCCAAGACCAGCCTTGGCCTTAAACCGACCGTTTGACTCCCACTTATTGCCCGACAATGAGGGAAATGCTTACCAATGATGCATGCAACTTTCAAGCCAATCGGGTCATTTAATATGCCTGGTGCGAGTGTTATTGATGGGTTTGACCATACCCGATCTACAGGTTGATAATCCTGTTGTAAATCCGTTCGGCCTTCTTCTACCTTGCCGTGCTGTTGAGTAATACTACAGAGTATTGAGCAGATATCCGCTTTGTTCATGGACAAAGTGGAGTTAGAAAGCATACATCAAAAGCCTTCCCATCGCACTCGGAATCTGTGACGTCGTGGCAAGCATCAGATGATTATTAGAACGTTGAGGCTTCCAATAGCTGCATATGTTATCCCTCCGTATGGGCTCGGTGCTACTTCAGCACATAAGTACCCCTCCAGCTTCTCGCCATGCAGCGAATCGTTTCTACACTTTTTTGAACAAGAAGATACCTGTTACTTGCTCCAGAAAATCCACAACGAGATTCGTCGGGTCTCAAGCTCTGAACTTAACCAACCCAACCTCGCAAGTCCAGATGCCAAACACAAGAGACGATACAAGGAGCGAACCCAGGGAACCCACGGGTCTCATCGCTCAAACCGGCATTGAGCTGTTAACCCTTGGCACCCCCAATGGCTACAAAGCCTCCAGTATGTGTTTTCAAGATTTACAGCCTTCTTCTGGTTGTTCTTGGGAACAAAGCCACCTACCAGAGTCCTTTGCTTGCAGTTATGCTCTGGGTACTCGATTGGAAACCCCTTCCTCATCGCTCGGTACACGAAAGTGATAACTACTAACTTTCACTACTTAGTCCTCCTCGAGGAGCTCAAAGAGGCATACGGGAAAGAATACACATGGCAAAAGATCAACATCATGAAAAACACTCAAAAGGAGCCTTGGTTCACGGCCATAAATCCCAAGTAGGCAATCTAATTATAACCAAAACATCTGATAGACAGTTACTGACCATATCATAGTGGTCGTATTCCCGCCATTGTTGATCACGATCGCAATGACTTCGCAGTATTCGAAGGAATCTCGATCCTAGGCTACCTCACTCGTCTCTACGACCCGGACCACAAGTTCTCCTTCCCCGTGGACTCGGATGACTACACCGTTGCCGAGGAGTGGATTGGCTGGCAACATGGGGGACTTGGACCGATGCAGGGCCAAGCCAACCATTTTTTGCGATTCGCGAAGGACAAAATATTGTACAGCATCCAGCGATATGTGGGGGAATCAGAACGTTTGTACGGCATCTTGGACAAGCGACTCGAGAGCCGTGAATACGTCGCAGGTCAAGGGAAGGGAAAATACTCCATTGCTGACATGTCCATTCTGGGCTGGGCCAATGTGACCACCATGGTCGGGATTGATCTGGACATGTTCCCTAACGTACAGGCGTGGTTGGATCGGTGTTTGGCCAGGCCTGCGGTAAAGAAGGGGTTTGCGGTGCCGAGCGAGAGCCCGATGAGCAACGCGGCTCTCAAGCATGCAATTGAGACTGAGGATGCCGAGGCTAAGAAGAAGCATGAAGAAACCTTGGCGCTTGTTGATGAGTCAAAGGAGAAGTATTGCTACAAGTACAGCTCTCCTTGATCGGATTTTGGTGTGAGGTTCCGGTTAAATCATGAAGAGCAGAATGGGAGTCTCGGGACATATACGCAGCGCAACGTTTCTGAACTATGTTGAAATGAGACAAATATAATAAAACATGGTTGCGATCTTGAAGCTACACAAATGATAAAACGCCAACTACCAACCTATTGAGATATTATTAGTGGAATTAACTTAATCACTTCGAATATGAGGAACCCTGCGCTTCGTCGGAGTTTGAGCAGGTCAACAGAAAGTACCTCACCGTCAAATTTGAATAGGCACCACACAACCCCACATCCGTAAATATCTGCTCGACTTACTACATAGCAGTAAGCACTGCTTTCCATCAGCTATAGACTAGCATGACAGGATCCTTCTCCACGTTTCCAATTCCACTAAGTTTCCCTGCGTTACTTGCAATACTTCCAGAACAATGACAGATTTTAAGAGAGCTTGGGGCGGCTACGCTTATCTTGGCGCGTAACCAGCGCAACAAGTTGACGTCAACACTGAAACCACGAATAGCCTATGATAGAGTTCGTACGGGAAATCTGTTGGGAACGAGACCTGCAGTTCCCAACGGCTTCGAATAGCATCAAGGGCTTGCATAAGGGCACATCTACTTAGATGAGGGTAGTAAATAGCAGCTCGTCTCGTCATCATTGACCTTTTTATGCACTCCAAGGATAACTCCAGAAACCAACAACGGAAGAGGTCACGCGACAAGGTGTGACGGGAGAAAATCCCTATAGGCAATGACAACGGTGAGACACAACAATGGATATTATAGGAGTTTTCAAAGTTTATTTTGCTGCTGGTGTTTACTGAGAGCGAACTCTGACCCCCCAAGCACCCCTCCACACGCACGAAGCTCTGATGGGGACCTCCCAGATGCAGACTAGCGGTTGCACCCAAGGATGCTGCGATTTCGCATTGGGGCTTTGACACTGACTTTACCAGATGACCCGACGAATCAGGAGACAGTGCAGGCGAGGCTTACCAAGTTTATTTTTCGCCCATTTCTGCGCCCTCGTCGAATGGGCATCGTTTGTCGCATTTCGAGCGTATGCTTTCTGCGGAGCGTTGAGGCATGTCCAAGCGGAACCTTTGATGAGGAAGATCTACATGCATGCTTCTCCAACCTTTTTTCAGGCAATGACGCCCCATGACGGCGACTGACAGCCTTGCCCAGGAGCACTTTCATCACTTTTGCTCTTACCTTCGCCGCATCAAACTCGGAATTGCGTCTCCGTTGCTCCGGAAAGTTGCTGGCTCCCGCGGTTCGACGATAAGCCTCCCTCATACGATTTAATTATCGCAGTAATAACTTAATTGCATTATTGCTCCTCTGGTCCTGCGCCCTCGCGAATATCAACCTTGGGATAACCAAGCGCGAAGCCGAGCCCTTAATCATCCTGTGAGCCCATTTGCTTGCCGATGCTTCGTTACTCGATAGAGAGGTCGACAACATCATTCGAGATCGATCGCTCACCATCATCCACAATCGGCGCATCATGTCGGATCGCAAGTCCAAGGCAGATATGGAGATGGCTCTACAGGGCGAGGCCCAGCCATCCAAAGAGCTCTATCCCATGAGCAACTGGAAATACGACGTCTTCCTCTGGTGCATGTCCATTATAATCAACCTTTTTTTCCGAGAAGTCCACCCGAGGGGATCGTGGTACGTTCCTAGGAACGGCCCGGTGCTGTTCATCGCTGCGCCGCACGCCAATCAGTTCGTCGACGCCCTCATCCTGCAACGAACCCTCCGAAACGAATCCCAACGACGAGTTTCCCTCCTCATCGCCCAGAAGTCGGTCCATGGCTTCATTGGATGGGGATCACGCCAGGTCGGCTCCGTGCCCGTGGGCCGAGCCCAAGATTCGGCAAAGGCCGCCAAAGGCACGATATACCTGCCCGATCCCGTGAAGACCCCATATCTGATCCGCGGCGTTGGTACAAACTTCGTGAAAGAGGCGGAGAAGGATGGCATGATCTTTTTGCCTTCGGTTAAGGGAATGTCAGGGTCGAGCGTCGGCATCGCTGAGATTGTTGGGCCTGAAGAAATACGGACGAAGCGACCATTCAAGGGCAGACTCCCTATGCAACAGCTGACTGGGCGGGATGACGTCGAAGCGGACGGCAAATTTACCAACAAAGACATTGCGGGGCCCAAGGAAGGATACCCCGGAACCAAGTTCAAGCTTGCGCCCAACATTGACCAAAGTCAGGTCTACCAGGCCGTTTTCGACCGCCTGAAGTCTGGTGGTTGTGTGGGTATCTTCCCTGAGGGGGGTAGCCATGATCGGACCGAACTGTTACCCCTGAAAGCTGGTGTTGCCATCATGGCTTTGGGCGCACTTGAGCAGGACCCTAACTGCGGACTTACTATTGTGCCAGTTGGCATGAACTATTTCCACCCTCACAAGTTCCGCTCTCGAGCTGTGATTGAATTCGGCTCTCCCTTCGAGGTACCCTCCGACCTTGTTACTAAATATCAGAACAACCAGCGCCGAGATGCCATTGCGGAGCTGCTTGAGATGTGCACCAACTCTCTGAACTCCGTGACGGTGACGGCACCTGATTACGATACTCTCATGGCTATCCAAGCAGCCAGGCGCCTTTACATGACTGGAAAGAAGCTACCGCTGACCCACGTGGTCGAGTTGAACCGGAAACTGTCCAAAGGATTCTCCAAGTTCAAGGATAACGAATTGGTGATTGACGTATTGGATAGCCTCAAGGAGTACAACAAGCAGTTACGCTACCTGAACATCAAAGACCACCAGGTCGAGAACGCTAAGAGGTCTATCCCCAAGGTCGTCTTTCTTCTCCTCTATCGGCTGGCGAAGTTGGTGGTCCTATCCATCGGGGTGATCCCAGGGCTCGTTCTCTTCGCGCCAGTATTCATCGTCTCTAAGATCATCAGCATTCGGAAAGCAAAGACTGCGCTTGCGGGTTCCTCTGTCAAGATTGCAGGGCGTGATGTCATGGCCACGTGGAAACTTCTGGTTGCCATGGGATTTGCTCCTATCCTGTATCACTTTTACACCATTGTTCTGGCATGGACGCGAGCTTTCGGACAGGCCCCAGATTGGCTTCCATGGTGGGTCGTTGTCCTCTGTGGCTGGATCATCTTCCCAGCCATCACCTATGCTGCTCTTCGCTTCGGGGAGATCGGTATGGACATTGCGAAGTCTCTACGCCCCTTGGTGCTATGTCTGAGCCCTACATCCAGCTACAACATCCAACAATTGCGACAGCGACGAGCGGAACTCGCCGACAGGGTCACGGAAGTGATTAACGAACTTGGTCCTGACATGTACGACGATTTCGAGAAGTCGCGCTTGATCAAGGACCCTACCTTCCCAGGTGGCAACACCATTACGCCCGGCAGCCCCACGCGCGACAGCGAGCCGGGCTCTCCTGGGGAATACCCACCTTTGTTCCCTCGCAGAAACAGGACGGCGGCGAGTAGAGCCATACCACGTAACGAGTCGTTCTCTAACATCGGCGCCGTTGGTATCTTCTCCACGCGCCCGCCATCTCGGTCCCGAAGCCGCAGCCGCAGCCGAAGTAGCAGCAGCGGCGGTGGCTTTGGGTCTGGTTCTTTCCCTATCAGTGGATTTACGACGCTGGATTCCAAGGAGGGCTTCGACGAGGCTAGCAGTAGGATCCGGGAAGCTATGCTGGAGCGGGGTCAGATGCGTAGACGCAAGAGTGGGATTTTCGATGAAGAGGAGGATTAGCATGGAACATGTTGTGTTCGTCGTTTATATAGTTTCTAACAGAGGGGTGGAGGACAGGATTTACCGAGGCGGGTACAGAAGCGAAAGAGCAGTGGATATAATTGTGCTTCAAGCGGCCGAAAACCTAATGGAGTCACTTGCGAGTGTATTACTGTAAGCGTTCTTAAACCTTCGGCATATTTCTCTCTATTCTAGAGTTGGGTGAGTGTGCACACGCAAGTTACCTCTCGATGCTAGGTTCTGGTGGGTTTGAAGAAATATACCGTAACAACCACACTGCGGCTCAAGGAATTCAAGATACGTCTGAAGTGAATATTAATCATCAACCCAACATGCAACTCTGCACGCTTCCCTTGGCAGGACATACCAACACAGCTCAGCGCTGAGCGTGGCCGCCCCTACTTGCGCCTTGGCATTTTGAGTGAGAGATCAACGTGTCAGGGTACAGCTAGGCCGAAGGCAATAGTACAGAGTGATGGGGAGTAAATGGGCGTCCCTACTGCGTAGCACCGGGTGGTCACTGGCGGTCACTGGCGGTCACTGGCGGTCTCAGGTAGGGGTGCCCACGACGGTCCATTGATCTCTGCTCCTCCCCTATCCTACTCCAAGATGGTCCTTATATAGACAGCTAGACTACCGCTTGGACCTGAAGCTTCACGTAAACGGTAATCATAACCCAGGAGTCTTTTGTCCGAAGAATCCCACCGGTACCCCACCGATGTCCTGCGCTCCGTGTCCTGACACGACGACCTCTCCCAACAAGGCCCTGTCCTCAGGGCCTTAACGCTCATCCCGTAAAACACCGACCCTTTCTATTCTCACATCCTCCGATGCCGCGCCGGTGGTCGCCGGTGCCCTCCGGCGTATATCCCGTAACTCTTCACGCGCAACAGCGTATACACTCGTGGCCTAACCACAGTGCTTCGCGCTGTCACCCGCAGACACACGTCATGCTATCGGTCCAGCCATTGCTCGAAACCTTTGCCTGACAATCGCTCACGATAGCGTATACACTTGTGGCCTAGCCACAGTGCTTCGCGCTGCCACCCGCAGACACACGTCATGACATCGGTCCAGCCATTGCTCGAAAACCTTTGCCTGACAATCGCTCACGATAACGTATACACTTGTGGCCTAACCACAGTGCTTCGCGCTATCGCTCGCCTTCCGAAGCTATAGGTGCCTACCGGAACAGCACGGGTGGCCCTACGCTCCCAATCGTCGGAACATTGGCCCAGTAAACGCTCGCAAACCAATGTTCGACACGTCCGCGTGACGGTGTATACACTCATAGCCTAGCCATAGTGCCCCCCGCCATCTTCTGCAATAGAGAGACCCTGCTTGTCACCGGCTTACCAACGGTGTACCGTTGCCCTCGTAGTTATGTAGACGTGATAATAGGTGACTTACCTGTGATCTTTGTTCCGTTCGTCGGCTGGTGTAGTTGGTCACTTGACTTGTCGCGACAAAAAATAGTGGAGCATCTTCTGCACATCAGCAGCATTCCACCCCTGAGGACGAATTTAAGTGCCACATTACCACATTTATCGGTAGTTCAGGCAGGGGTTGTAGCACAGACTTAGGGAGGGACAGGAGGTTTAGTAGTCGTTTGGCTACAAGTTTACCTGTATAACCGCCCGACGCGGCTTAAGGGCCCGCTATATCATCTATAGCCCCTTAAGGGAGTACTTGTAGAGGTACCGAGGGTTAACACCTACGGCGTATTTAATATTATTTTTTGTTCCGTTCATGCCCAGCCTCCATCCCGTCTATAAATCCTCGTCTGATCCGGTCCCCTTCGACTCTTCCAACTTCACCACATTCATCAATTCCACAAGTACACACTTCATTTACAATACTCATTCAATCAACCACTTCCTCTGTCACCATCAACACCATGTCTCAATCCACTTCTACTACTGCTGCGACCCACGTGGTCATCGACGTGGCCCCTGACGCTGCTGTTGCCACCATCCTGCGGGATGCCCCTTGCTGCCGTTGCCTTGACGCCATGGCAAAATGGTCCCCATCTGAGGAGGAGCCTGAGCCCCCTCAGTGCCGCGAGTCCACTTGTACTTAGTCCTTAGTAGCTCTCCTTTGGTACTTGGCTAATTGTGTCCAGCTGCCTCTGGAAAATGCGCCCGTTGTGCCGCAATGCGCGGCAAGCTCTGCACGCCCGTATGCCCCCTCCCTGAGTGCCGCTCCTGAGGCACTGGTGCTAACCTGTTCTACTCCTAGGCCACCCGCAAGACGGTCGCCGCAGCCATGACTCTCAAGGAGCTCATTGCCCTTGTTGCCGCTGGCCCCATCGAGACCACCTATGCTGAGCACCAAGTATGTCCTTTATCCCTTCTTTTTTTTTCTAACAGCCGCTTGAGGGTGAACTGGCTGAGGCCCAGTTGAATGGTTCAATGCTCACCCGGGCGAGCCTGGAAAAGTAACAGGAGGACTACAAGAAACCAAGACGCCACTAAGAACCAAACCGCGGGGTTGGGTAATGACGGTTGAAGCGACCTGTCCGAGGTCCCAAACGATCTGATAAATTTTAGCGGGGGTTCGGAGTTAACCACCTCGGACGCATCTTGACACTCAACGTTCTGGGGTCCCTTTTACGTCTCACCGCGATCTCGAGTCGTCCTGTTATTCTACAATACTGGACGGTTCGAGTACAGGTCTAAAAGATTGTCGATTCCCCAAGGAAGTTCATCTGCGTAGCGTCAGATAGGACACAAGGCAGTCGGAGATCCACGCGGCCTCCAAAGGGCCGAGACCGCGTAAGCCGAACGGTTGCTCCGAGCACATGGCTCCGGCGGATCTTCTGCGGGGCATATAACATCCACAAGCTCTCCACTGGGTCCTAACGGCGCGCCCAGTTGACACGGCTCTGAATGAAAGCAACAGCTTGTTCCATCCGTGGTTGGTGAGAGGATCCGACCCACGATTAGTTGCAAGACGAACGCCTTCCTCCCGCTTTTTTTTTTATTTATTTTTTATTTATTTTTTTATTCAAATTTTGCTTCACAAAGACACGTCTTAAGTCCAAGCTAAGACTTCCAGTCATCCAGGCACCCTCCAGCAAATTTGGAGCATCAACACGCCGACTTTGGGGGGACACGGGCGACTTGTTATGTAGTCAAGTTGTCCATGGTGTATATCCTGGTCAAAATCACGTCACTTGGTAAATCTCCAATTGACTAGGGAGCACCCCTGGATCCTGGGAGGCAGTCCCACAAACGTGCACACGTCTCGGCGGTCTCGCTCGCTTTCCCACCCCCACTTGCCGAATGGCGCCCACACAGCATTCGTCGTCTAACGACTCGGATCAAACTCACGCTCTTTCTTCTTCATCTTCTCCGCGATCTCCCCCGGTAAGGCAGAAAATGGCCCTCGGCATCCGTTCCCTTGTAGACAGCGCTAGAAAGCTGGTGCTGTCCCAGCCCGCCAACCCAGACAACACCACCGCCATCTCGGCAACCGAGCTCTTCCCGCCCACAAACCCCGAAATCGACGGCGAAGACTGCAGCCACGACTGCGAAAGTTGCCATATCTCGTACCCCCGGGGTTTCAAAATCGAAGAGTCGGACCTGCTCTACGGAAACATTAAAGGATGGAGCACGCACGTCCTCGTGGCAACGAGCAAGACGGACTGGGTCCGCGACGTCGAGCACGAAAAGGGTTCCGTTATGCAAGCCTTCGGCAAAGCGGACAAGCCAGCCAACGGCCGCATGATGCTCAGCGCGAGCAACATGCCCACGCCGAGCCACAGCCCCGATTACGCACAGCCTACCACCATACTACTACTGCCCGCCTTTGCCGTCCTCGAGAACGTCACGCCGGCGTCTGTTCCCACGGTCGTAGAGAAGTACATCAATCACGCGCCCACGAACACCTCGCCCTTGGCGCCCTTGACTCTCCCGAAATCCATAGCGCCGCCTCTGCCGGACGCGCGAGAGATCACGGCCAGACCGTGCCCGCATAGTGCGTTGATACTGTTGTGTTCGCAGAAGACGCGGGATGCGCGGTGTGGGCAGAGCGCGCCATTGCTGCGGAAGGAACTGGAGCGGCATTTGAGGCCTTTGGGCTTGTTTCGCGACCTGGATGATGAACGGCCGGGCGGCGTGGGGATCTATTTTATAAGCCATGTGGGTGGGCATAAGTACTCGGCTAATGCCATGGTGTATCGGCGGCCGGACGCTTTTGGGGTGGACGCGGTGGAGAGGGCCAAACTCGGGCCGGGGGATGAGGTTAGGCCAGTGAAGAAGGCGCCTCCAAAGAAGAAGGAGGAGATTGTGCCGGAGAAGTTTGTCGGCGAGGGGACGACTGACAGCACAGCTGCAAATGGAGACGAGACGATTGCAGGAAGTGGAGACACAAAGATGTTTGATGCCGAGGACGGAGAAGAAGGCGATGTGGGTGCAGGCCAGTGCCTCTGGCTCGCCAGACTGAAGCCGGAGGATTGCGAAAACCTGGTCAAGTACACCGTGCTACAAGGCAAGGTAGTCAAGCCGGAGACGCAATTACGAGGAGGGTTCGATCGTGGAAAGGGGCTCTTGAGTTGGTAACGACCCACTACCAGCTTGAGCGGGGTTCTTGGTTGCTGTGAGTTTTTCTAGAGGCGCTTGGACGGAAAGGCAGGAAACATAGAGTTGGGACCCAATCGATTTGCAGATGTAGTAAGACTGGGTGGCTGACAAGAGTATAGAGAAGAATATAGAGAGAGCAACATCTTGACATTAGAGCAGAAATCGTTCATACGAGACTATAGAATTGGTATTTTGCTGATGCTGACAACGCGGTTAGTAATTGACATGTATGACGATCATGAACTTGCAACATGGCAGGATACGCGATTTCTAAGCATTATTTCCTACTCTCACCTGCGATTTGGGCTTCTCTGAGCTCCCATCGTGCTGCTGCTATGGCTTCGGCACCTGTTCGTATAGGCATTGCCTGGTGATGTCACCTACCATCACGAACTCAGAGGCTGGAAGAACAAGAGAGGGAAACGTTTCAAAGGAACGTCAGTCAGATGCGTATGTACGACCGGCAGAGCTACCACGAGCCATTTCGCTCTCACTCCAATCCCTGGATATCAACGCATATTTCAAGAGAACTGCAAGTTTCAGCTGGTGCTGTTAGGAGATTGGACGTGATGTCGGCATGCTTATTGTCAGCACACATTGGGTTTGCTGTAAGCAGAATTCGGGGCTATAATACCATAAACAACTCACCCAATGTCGGAAACGGGGGTTGACTGTATTGCAACTGTGGGGACCACTACGTCAATACATATTCCGTGCCTGCCAACCTTAGGCCCCACCATGCCTTGGACAAATACTCGCCCACACCCAACGCATATACAGACGATACATATGCACGCTGTAGTGAGATTTGGGAAGAAACTAAAAGCATCATTAGAAGTCTTAACTTACAACGTCTGACATACGGCAAACGCAAATTTGCTTGCTCGAGATCGACTCCATAGCATATCAAGACCAAGACCGAACTTGACCGATGAGGTGCTCCCAACACGGTTTAGATATCTCCCGGCTTACAGAGGCTGAGACACGATCGCCCTCGCGTATGGTTTCCCTGGCCGATAGTCGATGGTGGCTGACCACGGGAAGGTGAGACACTACTGTCATGCCCTGTTCCCCCCTCCCCACGGGGTTATCTCCTTGCCTAGGTTGTGAACTACGTAATTGTCGCCGTAGATGATGCCTCGAGTCTTGCCCTCACCATTGCGGTGGTATCTGGGTCAGAACGACCAATCTGAACAAAAATAACGTTGAGCATAATACATCCGAGGTAATGACTTTGCAAACATTTTTAGTCACAGCGATTATGAGCTCACAAATCCTAGTCACCGAAGAAGGCCTGCTGAACTGCAAAGTGATTGGCGCATATTATGTAGTGGGCAAGCGGTCTGTCAGCAACCTGCATTGTTGCCGATAATTTGCAATATTCCCTGCATGCGCCGGCTAGTCTGGTGTGTTCATGCTGTCAGCATCCATCCATCATTTCAAGCTCGTCCGATCAGATCTCCTTACTTCCTGCGCGACTCAACAGTGTGCGTTCGGCGAAGCAAGCCCAACAGCACACATCACCAAGCCAGCCGGTACGACCCGAGCTCCAAATCCTTCCACATCAAACCCGTTACATTGAGCAAATATATTTGTCTCAGATGGTGGCTTACATGCAGGGCCCAATATAAGCACGTTTCGGATAATCTGTAATCTGATTTAGCTCGCACGGGGTTGACGATGGAGAATCATTTTGAATGGTCAAAGGAGCTCACTGGTAACGCAAACGCGCACAGATAACTTGTTTATTGTTCCCTTCACTACGTCGTCGTGGCCACTGACTGAGCCCAGTCACCGATGACCAGAATCGTTTGATGGAATTATGTGCATTACTACTCGTTTGTGTATCTATCCAGTTGCCGCCCACACAAATGTGGGAAATGGACGAGAGCGCGGCATCAATCCCATCCAGGGGGAATGGGGGCCTCTAACGCCCGCCCACACACCCCTCCCCGTTTCCCCCAACGCTTTCCAAAAGCTGCGGCTGTTCAGGCAATTCTGTTAGCCTGTAAACGCCCAATCCATGCATATGTTTCTATGCTCTGTACGTGTTCGCATATGTGATTTCGTGCCATAAAACCCATCTCGTAAAAACATGATTCCATGAAAGGCCATTGAGAATCGCTTTTTCGTCGCTTGCGCGATCGCAAGATGAAAAGAACAGTAGATTCCAAGTTCATACACTTCGTCGAATAAATCATCAAAATTGGTCATAAGATCCAATCGTCATGGCGGAAAGAAGGTTGTGGTTCTGTCGCATGCGGTTGCGGTTCGAGTTGGCGGTGACCAGCCGAGAAGGGAGGGAGCGAGAATGATAGTAAGTAGGATGTCGAACCAGGGTAGGTCATGATGAGAAAGATCAGATCCTCGGAGAACGCCGTCGCTAAATGAATCCACCAAATTGGAACAAATGAAAACAGATTGAAGCGGATCGCAGTAGTAGAGATTCCGCTGAGACAAATCCTAGCCAACCAAACAAAACAAGACACTATCGGGACCTTCAACAAAACATCCTACTTCCTAGTTGGCCTTGATGACCAGCTTGGACAAGAACTTGTTCGATAAGGAATCGAAGTCGTATCTGTCGAATTTGGCAGTGTTTCGCGCCCGAAGGTACGATTCTGCTTTGGATCAGTCTTTGAACTAGGAGGGAATTTTCACAAGTGTGCTTACCGTGCTTGAGAACATGCTGCCGCACTTCAGTCATAGCTTCACACACCGCAACGTTGTTGTTGAGGAGCTGACCGTGGCGCTGGCTGTCCCAGTCAGACAGAGCCGGGAGCTTCTGCGAGATGGCGTGGAAGAGGCCAGTAATGACGCCGACGGGGGTGGTCTCCATGTCACTGCAGAACTTCTCGACCGCAGCGGGGTCGGGAACTCTGTAGTGGCAGTCGAACTGCATCTCTTCCCACACGGCCAACAGGATCGAAGCCAGCATGAAGATGGTGGGCCAGTTCTTGAGGCGGTCACCACTGTACACGCTAGAGTAGAGAGAGGACAGCTCCTCGAGAATGTCCTTCTGCAGCTCGCGCCACATGTCCGCCATAGCGCACTTGATCTGGAAGTTAATCAGGACAGGCGCAACGTACTTCCCGTAGTACTTGGAGTCTTCGTCGTCAATCTGGCCTTCCAAGACCTCCTCGGTTCCCTGTTGCTCAACCAGAGTGATGTGCATGGTGAGGTTGTAAGCAAGGACGAGCTTGAGGGCCTTTCGGAGCACTGGGAGCTTCTCCTTCATGTAGAACCGGTGAGCAGTCTTGAGGATCTCCGTGATGAAAGGGGTGCCCTCAAAGTGATCGTCAATGAAGGTCTCGAATGCGTTGTCAATGTGCTTGTCGAGGTACTCGGAGAGAGCCTCGATGTTCACACCCTTTTCGCCTACGTCAAGCTTCTCGGTCTTGAGTTCGAACTCAATCGGCTCTTGATCAACTTGGAACGACTCAACCCAGTCGACGGAGAAGCAGCTGTCGTCGGCCACAAATACCTCACGAACCATGATGGGCAGACAGAATCCGTACCCGTGGGTGATCCACATGAGCGTCTCCTTCTGGGCGAAGCCCTTGACGTTGTAGACGGATACGCCGCGGTCGAGATGGCGCTCGTAGTCCGCCTTCCAGTCCTTCATGAAGTAACCGATATCCTTGATGTCGATACGCGTGCAAGGAACTTGCCACAACCGAGCATGAGACGGCTGGCAACCACCACATGGCTCGCCCGTGTCGCAAGTCTTCTTGAGGAACTTGCACCGAAGACAGGCACGAAGTTTTCTAATTTCGCTGGCCTGTTTCCGTTGCTCCGGTAGGAGCGGTCCCTTTCTTCGTCCGACTTTCTTCTCTCCGTTGCCGTCCTTCTTACCGTTCGATATCCTCCGCGTGACCTGCTTGGTGGGCTTAGCGATGGGGCTCTTGCGCGGGCCGCCAGAGTTTCTGCGGACACCACTGTTGGTTGTAGGGGAGGTAACTCCGGATCCGCTGGCGGGGCTTGGACGACTTGAAGTAGGCGAAGATTTGATGGACATGGGCGCAACGGCGGCGGTGGGGCTGACGGTGTCGTGGGCGTGATGGTGCGTCTCGCCATGGAAGCAGTTGCGGTGGTTTGCAGGGTCAGAATACGTATCCGACCCTGGTGAAAAGGGCGAGTAGTTGAAGGCAGGGTCCTCGTAACTGCTACCAAATTCCAAGGGTTGGCCGCTGCCATCGGTATTGGAGTCCGAAGGGGATCTCAAATGGAGCGTCTGCCCGGGGTTGTGGATAGCAAAATTGTGTGCTTGGGCATGGGCTTGCTGATATGAGTCGTAATTCTGGTACATGTCGACCTGTGTCCAGCCATGATCACTGCCCGAGCTCGGGAGTGACAGCACCTCGAGGTATGTGCCCGTGGGAGACTGACTGCCTATGCTTGCGAAGCGAGGAAGCCCGTCCGAGGGGAATTGCAACGAAGCTCCAAAATCCTGCCAATTCGCCATGCCCATGCCATCCCATTGCTGCTGCATCGCCTGCGCGCCATCAATTGGGGATAAACTGTTAATGGACTGGAGGCCCGACTCCAAAGGAGCTTGGGTGTTGGCGGGCAAGTACGCATTGGTCTGGAAGTTGGCGGGGAACGGGTTGAAGGGTATCAACGTGTTGTCCTGGATGAACTGCTGGTGCTGAAGTAGGGTCCAATCCGTCAAAAGCTGAGGCGAGTGCACATGTGGGTTTCCCTGGAAGCTTGGAGATTGCTGCAGCGGACTCGCGCTGTGCTGTGTAGGTGACTGCGACTGGGAGTGCGCGTGGGAGTGTGAGTGAGAATGTGAGTGAGAATGTGAGTGCTGGGACCCCTCGGGCGAGGACACATGATTCGAGGTCGAGGCCATATCGAGAGGCATCGGCCAAGCACCTGGGGGGCAGTTGGTCCCCATTGCGGTTGCGGAAAGGGCGGGATTGGAGGTTGGAGCGGTTGTGGTGTAAGGATAACGATCCCGCTGGTCGAAAGAGGTCAGGTCCAACAACGCATCTCCCCCGGCGGCATTGAAATCGAGACTCATTGTTGGCGTCGAAAAGTCAGGAAAAAGGAAGAAAGAATCCACTGGGGTTGGAGGAAATTGTCGTTAGTATTGTATCAG